CTGGGCGAGAATCTCCTGAAATTCCCGACTCTTCTTGCTCTTTCGATTCTTCGACTTCTTCCTCTAAGGGAACCATCTAGCTCCTTCCTTTTCGGAAAGGTGGATGGTGTAAGAATCGTCGTAGTAAGCAGTCTAAGACAGTTTTATATATTCGTGCGCAGCGTCTAGATACTTAAATCTAGCTGCGTAATTAATCGGTTTTTCTTATTATTAACATACTTCTTTATCTAAGGCTTGACCTGCCTCGTTAGGATCGGTTCTCCGTTGTTAGAACTCCTTCTTCCCTGGCTTACCCACGCCCCGCGTGTCCGAATTCTAGTGGCCCTTCTATGCTGTCTAGTCCTAGTCTTCGGTGACTACTGTAACCCTAATAGGAGTGTCGGCCTTTATTTCTCCTATACCGGCTATATCGTCGCTCATTATTATATGCAGTCCGTGAGCCGTTTACTTGTAATCTCGTGCACGATGTCCGGCTTTTCCGCAAGTATAGTATAGGTTCTCGCGTCTACGTCTCTCTTTCTCGTTATTCCTTCCATATCCTCCTGAACGTTTAAACCCTTCTTTGTGACGTGAGGTCCGAGTTATTATTATGTCCAGGTCCATAGGATCCCCTTGCGGCTAATAAGTAGACTGTCTTCCATACCCACTTCTGCCTGAGTAGTATATAGTCCCGGCTTTTCCTCGGTAGCCTTACTTATCCAGCCGTCGTTCAAATAACCAGTTGTTAATCTCGATGGCTCTATCGACCAACTTATGGTAGTCGGTCGGTCGTTTAACTCCTAGTTCGTATTTAATGTTGTCCTTTAACCTATTATAGAATACTGCCGCGAACGCGTTATCCTCCCAGTCCAGCTTTGCTTAAAGCCGCTTGAAGAGGGTGAAGTATTACGCTGCGGATCCCGTTTATTTAATTTAATAGATTCTTTAGGATGCTGCTTATTCCTCTCCAGGAGTACTAAAGATCTGTTTAAGCTTAGCGATAAATGTTAGAAAACTCCCGAAGATCTCCTTAGTCTCATCCTCCTTCTGTCCGTCCGGCGAGGTCAGGTGGTCCATTATGATAAGCTTAAACCAGTGGAACGCTAGTCCCTTCATGTTAAGAGCGGCGTACAAGACCTTATCCTCGTGGGTTGGGTACTTAGTGCGTTGAAGCTTAAAGAAGGCCGTGAGTTGGGCAATAAACATGCCTAGCTTAGCACGGTCTCCATAGTACGCATTAACCTTATAATAGTCCTTATCACCCTGTCCTCCTATTACCTGGGTGGTGCCGTACGACGAGGGTCCTGGAGTTGGGTTGGGTGCCGAGGATCGGACGGATCCTGTCGGCGAGGGGGATCGAACGAGTTTCGACATTATCTAATAATACCGTTAAGAGGTAGTTAAAGTGTTAAGAATTGCCTCCGCGCAGCGTGTATAAGGACACGTAAGCACACAGGTAACCCTCAGGGTTCTTGAGTATCGGGGGTAGAGTAGAGGTTAATGTCGAACGGATCGTTAGACGGGACACAGCACTTGTACTGTATCTCCTTGAGCGCAATGTTAACTGAAGTTGACTACGAAGCTATGGGAGTAGGTATTAACCCGAGTATATATGTTAGTTGGCCGCTCAGTCTGCTTAGTCCTGCTTAGTTGTGCTTAGTACTGAGCACACTGAGCACCACTGAGCACCACTGAGCGCTACCGAGTCGTCACGTGACCGTCGGCCTGGGCCGTCCACTGTCCCCGCCCAGGACTGGCCCCTTGTTTGCCCAGGCTCGGCCCAGCTTCCCTCTGGTTCCTGGGCCCTGACCTGGTCAAAGACTGGGTCGTAACATCGGGGTGCTGTGCTATTTACGGTTTAAGGGAGGAAGATCTCTTATAACCAGCTTAACCCGACTGTATTTATTATAAAGGCGTTCTCAGTACACTTATATTGCTAATTCGAGGGTGAGTTATGCGGGAACTATATTGACTAGAGGTCTTTACCTTTAAAAAGCACCAGCGGATCGATAAAACGACCCTCCGCCGAGCAGGCCTTGATTATAGTGACCTAGTCACGATTTTCAGGCGTCTTACGATATAAACGTCTCTTATTAGTTGCACCAATAACTCTTTAGTTAGTACAGACCCCCATAGCTAGTCCGGATTTATCGAAGTTCCATATATTGGCTGGTTTAATCTGATGACGGGTAACAATAGCGCGGAAGAGGGTAAAGAAGGTCTGAAGGGTATCTGGACTAGTATTTTCAACGCGCAGGTACTCGATCTTCCTTCCTACCTTTAATTTTATCTCTGGATGACGATTGAGAAAGCGTGTTGCCCAGTTTATGCCGACTAAAGTTGGGCCATCCGAGGTCTTTAAGATGAGGCCAGCAAACTCGCGTACTTGAGAGAAGGTTAGGGGGGCGCTAGCGTGGTTAAGATCGATAATCCATCGAATAAGAAGATCCTCTTATGTAGAGGACAGCAGCTGTTAGTCTTCTCTTACTGATTGTCGAGTTTAGCCTCCTTTCAGTCGACGACTCATGGTACTCAAGTCAACGCGGTATGCTGTCGCTACAGATCGAATCGAGGGGTAATCGCCGCGTTCGAAGGCCCGGATTGCCTCCTGGAGGGTTTCTTCGGTATAGGAGGGCATGCTGACCAAGTATGAACAAGATAAGAGAGGTTTGTGGTGTGCTGGTGTGATATGAAAGAGAGAGGGTTGTTAAGAACGCGATTTGACGCGTAAATGCGAGGCTGTTGCAGTACGCGGTTGTTGCATTACACGGTGGTCTGACTTAAGCCGGTACGTAGACGCGACAGCGGATATGATTTCCGACATGCGGAGAAGGCAGCTTTGCATCATTGCATGCGGCTCGCACCAGCTTGTGTGATACGGATGCTCGTGTGAACCCTGCTTTTACTCATTACTTTCAAATATATATCATGGCCGGCCCTCGCAGTGTACAGGGTTCCGTTAAAGTCGCCTCGCGAAGCATATACGCACCAGGCAGGCTTGTATGTCGCAACTGCGAGCAGTCTTTCAAAATCCCCAGCTACCAGAGACGCGGGATTAGCAGTTATGGTTACACACAGTCGAAGGCGCTTGTCTACTCCAAGTATGGAGAACCGCAAGATGTCCTGTCACTCCACGGCCACTCGATATCACCGGCATCTGGAACCAACGTCGTCCTCCGCATGCTCGTCGCACCCATTAACCCGGCCGACGTAAACCAGATTCAAGGAGTTTATCCCGCGAAGCCAGAAATGAATACAGCTCTCGGGACGTCAGAACCCTCGGCCGTCGCAGGAAACGAGGGTGCCGCGGAAGTAATCAGTGTGGGTTCCGGAGTGAAGAGCCTAAGTAAGGGAGACTGGGTCATTATGAAGAGCACCGGAATGGGCACATGGCGGACACACATGGCTATCGACGAGAGCAAGCTTATAAAGATCGACAACAAGGAGGGTTTGACGGCCCTACAGGTCGGTACTGTGTCGGTAAACCCGTGCACGGCTTACCGCATGCTCCTTGACTCGGCGAAATGGGGCTTTCGCGGGGACGAGTGGTTCATCCAGAACGGAGCCAACAGCGGAGTCGGGAGAGCTGCGATCCAGCTCGGCAAGGAATGGGGCTTCAAGAGCATCAATGTCATTCGAGGCCGCGAGAACAAGGAGGAAGAACAGAAGCTTCGCCAGGAGCTCTACGATATAGGCGCAACCAAGGTCATCACTGAAGAAGAGCTTCAAGGGCGAGAGATAAGAGACCAAATCAAAGAGTGGACGAACGGTGGACGCGAGCCAATCCGAGTAGGGTTGAACTGCGTAGGTGGCAAACCGGCTACCGCACTGGCAAAGTTCTTAAGCCCTGGCGGAACAATGGTGACGTACGGCGCGATGAGCAAGCAACCTGTCATGTTACCAGCTTCTCTATTGATATTCAAGGAGATCACTTTCAACGGCTTCTGGGTGAGCAAATGGAGTGATCGGCATCCGGACCAGAAGAAACAGACCGTGGACGATGTGCTTCGACTGACGAGGGAAGGCCGCTTCAAGGACATACCCGTGCAAGAATGCAAATGGGGATGGAAAACCGAAGTTGACATCTTGAAGGCAGCTGTACAGGGCACGCTAGGCGGATTCAGACCCGGCAAGGGCGTTTTGGTGTTTGAAGAGCAAGAGCCATGAGCAAATGATTTATGCCAACAATTCCGCTATAGGTGCCGCTCGGAGCAGTGTTCTCACCGTGATTCTGGGCCAGGACTCGAGGATGTGCAGTCTGGACACGAAAAGTGCGGATACGTAGCTGGTCACAACCATGACGACAGCGTACGCAAACCGCTGATATTTATCGCCTGCCGCAGCATACCATGCAAGACTGGAGGATATATATATATATATATATATATACAGGCGATCTTATCTACGAGAGGCCACCAGTCCAGAACAAGGAATTGCGTTGCATTGGGCTACGGGGTTCCATGTCAGACCAGAAGAACTCACTCCTGCCACATCCTAAGTCCAAGCAGCGGCGGACACGGTCGGAAGGTTCCTCGTTGAATGGAACAGCGCACAGAGCGCCATCAATCTACCTCAACTAGTATGAACGTAGCTTGCGGCGGAGCATCGCTCAGTACTTAGGTACATTGTGGTTGCAGAAACTTACGCTGAGTCGACAGAAGCAGCACGTATCCCCAGGGATCCCCTTTCCCTTTCCCCTTCCTCTTCATTCCTGCGAATCGTGGCAAGGCTCCGCAATTCCGCCAATGATTTGCATCTCTATGCCGACATGCGCCTCAATTCCGCCTTCGCACAGCTATCGACACCATAATCTGACCTAAAACTTCGGTCTATGACAAGGGCGTGCATATCTGTGGCGTTGTTCTCCTGTGTTCTAGAAGACGTAGAGACGAGCTAGACGCCCCTTGGAGTCCGACGTCTATACGAGTACAAATACCTGGTGGAAAGAGTCCCACAATCGGAAGCCATTCTTTGGAAACTCATCTATCCAGAATTTCGCTCCAGGCCAAAAAATCTAGGTTATGGATGCCGACCAATTTAGAAAGGCCGCCCACGCGGTCATAGAAGAGAGTATGTTGCAGTCTCAATGCTTGCGGCCTCCTGCCTTTATACACCAGACTGAAACTGACCTTTCGCAAAGTCATTTCGTATAACCAAAACCTCCCCAACTACCCCGTCCTACCCAGCATAAAACCCGGCTTCCTGGCGCCCCAGCTGCCCAGTTCAGCGCCCGAGAAGCCACAGCCATGGGGAGAGATTCAGAGCGACATCGCGTCGAAGATCATTCCCGGCCTGACGCACTGGCAGTCTCCCAACTTCATGGCTTTCTTCCCTGCCGGGGTGACATACCCCTCCATGCTGGGTGAGATGTACTCGGCCGCATTCACCGCGCCGGCCTTCAATTGGCTGTGCAGCCCCGCTTGTACGGAATTGGAGACCGTGGTCATGGACTGGTTAGCCCAGGCGTTTGATCTGCCCAAGGAGTTTCTGAGTACTGGTCCGAGTGGTGGGGGCGGGACGATCCAAGGCAGCGCCTCGGAAGCGATCGTTACTTGTATGGTTGCCGCGCGCGAGAGGTATCTGCACGGTAAGTGTGACGCAGAAGGACTGACGCCCGGTTCCCAGGAACGGGAGGACCGGATCGACCAGTTGAGAAGTCGACTGGTTGCTTTGGCGACGGACCAGACGCACTCGTCGACGCAGAAGGGCGCACTCATTGCGGGAACAAAGTATTGCTCCGTCCCGACGAAGTTGGAAAATGAGTTGTCCTTGCGAGCGAACGAGCTCGAGGCTGCCTTGGAACAGTGCAAAGCTGAGGGCCTAGAACCCTACTACATCACACTCACCCTGGGGACCACGTCGACATGTGCGGTCGACGACTTCGCCGGCCTGGCGCCGATCCTCAAGGCTCACCCGAATATCTGGGTCCACGTCGACGCAGCCTACGCGGGCGCCGCACTCGTCTGCCCGGAATTTTCCTCGAAATACTCACCGTTAATGGCCGTGGCGGACTCGTTCAATATGAACATGCACAAGTGGCTGCTCGTCAACTTCGACGCGTCATGTCTGTTCGTCCAGAATCGAAACCATCTTACCAGGGCGTTGTCCATCTCCGCGGCGTATTACACGAACAAGCACTCTGACAGTGGGCTTGTGACGGATTACCGGGACTGGCAGATCCCGCTGGGAAGACGGTTCCGGGCGCTGAAGATCTGGTTCGTCGTGAGAAGTTACGGCCTCGAGGGCATGCGAGCACATGTCAGGAACAGCATCAAGAGAGGCGAAACCTTCGCTGACCTGGTCCGTGGAAGGAGTGACCTGTTTGAACTCGTGTCACAGCCAAGGTTCGCTTTGACGTGTTTTCGTGTCAAGCCGTCTGCCTTGCGCTCGCAGCGTAGTACAGCAACGACCGACACAGACTTTGTGCCTCAACAAGCGGCAATGCAACAGCAGGAACAGGACGCTAACGACGTGACGAAGCGGATCGGGGATCTGATCAACGAGAGAGGCGAGATCTTTATCACGTGCAGCAGCACGGCAGCAAAGTCGTTTATACGCGTTGTGAGCGGAAACCCGCTGGGAGAGGAGAAGTATATCCGAGGCGCCTTTGACATTATTGTCAAGACGACCGAGGAGGTGCTGGCTTCAAGCTCGAACGGTCAGGACAAGGGGAAGATAAGTAATGGGCACGCACATTGATAGACATTAGAGTTTGAGATAGATCACAGTTCTGTACGCGTGAACACTCGTAGAGGGTGCATGTACCATGGTGGTGGCCAAGGACACGTATGTTGTGGTGGTTCTCTTCGGTCGTGCGATGCTGTGCGGAGGCATCTCCTCTGGGTCCTGGAGCCAGACTCAGGCAAGCACCCTACGGTGACGACAGTGTAAGCTTGCTTCTGGGAGTCGATCTCATCCTCCCCTTCTCGTCCACGAATGGCTTGAAGTGAAGAAGACGTCGAGATTGCTCACACGGGAGAAGCGGGCTGCTGCATTGCTTCAACGATGCTTGGAGGCGACGCGTTGTCCTTGACGCGTAAAGTGGTTTTGCCCTGCCCCTCAATCTTTCTCGTACATACGAAATCGTCGTTTACCTTCAAATTTCTTATCTACCGTCCTCATTCTTAGTCGTTCACATGGAAGCCTTCGGGGCAGGTCCAGGCTACACTGATGCCAATCGCGCATTCCTACAAGCCTTCCTCGCCCGAAGCGTCCTCACTCTGGACACGGCCAGACCCATCATCGCAGCATGTTCGTCCTTCCAGGAACGCCGCGAAATGCTGCCTCAGGACGTCACGGTGGAAGACTTGAATGACTACATCGCAGACGCGAACCGCAGACTTTCCCCCCTGGACCTCGAGATCCGAAGTACGTTCCACCAACAAACACGCGAGCGCATCTACGCCTTGGTCAACACCACGAGCGATCCTCTCACGCAGCTTGCGACAACGTATTCGCCCGACGAGATTGCGTTTGTCAAGAATCTTTTGGATGCCATGTTTGACGGGCAGAATAACAAGGGCAGAAGAGAAGCCATGTGCATCAGCGGCATTGATGCGATCCAAGTTGGCCGGACGCAGAACCGGCGTCTCACAGGAGATGGAGACGAGAACGCGACACAACCCACAGCGGGCGTGCTCAGCGGTAAGGATGTTGAGACCCTGCTCCGGAAGCTGGTGGACGAGGGATGGCTGGATAAAAGCAGAGCCGGGTTCTACAGCCTCAGTTCGCGCGCGTTGATGGAGCTGAAGGGCTGGCTGGTCGACACATACAACGACGAGGACGAGGACGGGAACAAGAGGGACAAAATCAAGTTCTGTCATGCTTGCAAGGAGATCATCACGGTGGTACGACTAAACACTTGTCGGATCCGACATGTTGGAGGCTAACTGGTGTTTTGTGCTCGCAGGGTCAAAGATGCGCGAACCGCGAATGTGCCTGTCGAATCCACGACATATGCAAGACCAATTTCTTCCGAGTGCAGCGAAACGAAAGATGTCCGCTTTGCAAAACTCTGTGGGATGGAGAGCACTTTGTGGGCGAGAGAGCCATCACAGCATCTGAGAGCTATCGATCCGGCCGGAGACGAAGCGGTGCACAGAACAGACACAGATCAGGGCCAAGTTCCCACGCCAATGAAGATGACAACGACCAAGACCAAGACGGTTGATTAGGCAGCCCGCAGAAAGAACGCGTGGGCATCCTTATACTGGGTGCGACTACGAGTCGATGCAGCGACTTCGGCACTCGAATCCGAACGACTGCGTCTGATGAGCACTACAAATTGTCGTTGGGCGTAAGTCCATCCTCTGATCTTCCCCGCCTTGCCACGCGAGCGACAGCCCCAGGCTTGGAAGCGTGCCAACCGAGCCTTTCCGAGCCTGGAGATGACATTGGTGGCGCTCTCGCAACCTGCGCCATCCCAGCAATGGTGCTCCCAGGCTTCTTCCGCTCGCCCCCACAGCTCCCCACAATCGCTTCCAAAGTCCGACGGAACCCAGTTTAGCAGGTCGATGAGCAGCTTGACGCCATGCGACCTTGTTGCGGCGCGCAGCTCGACCCTTCCTCCGCATTCTCTTGGTCTCCCCGACAGATGACGTTGTGGACGTTGTATCCGGCCCACAAGGTAGCTCGCCGATGGCCTATGACCGTGGAAGGAGCGGTTAGATCATGACAATGTGACCACAAGGGTACACAAATCCAAGCAACAGTGAATGGTACGATGTAACTTTTCGTGTCATACTTTTATGGAACCGTACCAATAGTCCGCAGGGTGCCTTGCGTTAGCCTCGTACAGCTCATATCTGGGTAGAGGCGGAGGTGAGTTGACAACATCTCAGTAGCACAGAGACTTTCTGTGACTTCCGCAAACTCTCGAAGCTGGTCTTGCTGTGATCTGGACGGTGGACATTAACTGGGGACAGTGTGAACGCGGCGTGCGTTGTGAGGCCTGACCAAACATAGATTTTCTCATCCACGACAGCTTTACTTGTACTTGGCTTGCGCAGTTACGTGCAAGATTGGGCAGATGCGCGAGACTTTGGGAGCCAAAGTACGTAAACGACGCAGCTGTATGAGCGGACGGATCGGACTGACTCGAGCAGATGGCTGGCAGAACGCACGTCTCTTGCTTGCTTCTCTCTCTCCTCTCGGCCACCTTGACGGCGGCTCAGTCCGGCAACGCCTCGACGGTTTACCAGACCCGCTTCGACGGTGTGACCTGGGATGCCACGAACTGGGTGCTCGCCACAACCGAACTTGACCAAGGGCATTATCAATCTCGTGTTACCGTCGCAAACGGATATCATGGAATCAGTGTAGCTTCTCTAGGCCCTTTCTTCGAGGTCGAGTCCTCAGTCGACGGCGACAATGTCAGTGGCTGGCCGCTAACCACCCGACGCCAGACCTTCGCAACCGTCGGTGGATTCTGGGATTCTCAACCAACGCTCAATGGCAGCAATTTCCCATGGCTGTCCCAGTATGGATGGGATACTGCCATCAGCGGCATCCCTCACTGGGCTGGCATCGTGGCGGATCTAGGCGGGAACAAGTTTCTGGCAGCGTCAACCAACCGCAGCACAATCAGCAACTTCCGATCGAGCCTAGATATGAAGCAAGGTCTAAAGGACTGGGCCTTCACATGGACTCCAGCGGGCGGCCAAGGGTCATTCAACGTGTCTTACCAGATGTTTGCTCACAAACTCAACATCAACCAAGGATTCGTCCAGATGAACATCACGGCGGCACGAACGACCAACATCACAATTGCGAATGTGATCAACGGCGATTGCGCTGTCCGGACAACTGCCGGGCCCAATGGTGTCGACTCAGGCATCATTTACAGTTCCGTCCAGCCTCAGGGTGTGCACAATGTGACAGCCTACATTTATGCTGGCCTAAGCAGTACCGGCGCAACAGTTCGCTCTGTCCAGCAAGGTACGCTTGAACGCCCATATGTGGGCAACAACCGTTCGTCAATCGCGACTGGGCTTGATGTCACGCTTCGAGCTGGTCAGGTTGCGACATTCACCAAATTCGTTGGTATCGCTTCCACCGATGGGTTCCTGCAGCCCCAATCGGTAGCTAGAGATGCCGCACTCGCAGCTCGATCCATCGGCTATGCTGAGTCGTTGCAGGCCCATACTGCAGAGTGGGCCAGACTCTTTCCGCCCTCATCCGTTGACGACTTCTCTTTCCCAGAGAACGGAACCTTGCCCGACGATGAGTACATTCTTGACGCGGCAATTACAGCAGTGGCGAATCCGTACTATCTACTTCAAAATACGCTTTCAGAGAACGCGATCAACAACACCGTTAACGCCGGCGGTTCGATCAATAGCAACAGTATCTCAGTCGGAGGTCTTGGTTCTGACGCATATGCTGGACAGATCTTTTGGGATGCTGAGATCTGGATGCAGCCGGGTCTCGTTGCTGCTTTCCCGTCCGCCGCAAAAGGCATCGCCAACTACCGTGTCCAACGCTATCAACAAGCTCGAAGAAACGTCGGCACTGCTTTCACCTCGTCGAAGAACGATACCAACTTTACTTCGGCGGCGGCAATTTTCCCTTGGACAAGCGGGAGATATGGGAATTGCACAGCGACAGGCCCGTGCTGGGACTACCAGTACCACCTCAACGGTGATATTGGGCTACAGTTCACGAACTATTGGATTACGTCCGGCGACGCAGCCACTTTCCAAAATGATTTGTGGCCCATCTATGACTCGGTCGCCTCTTTGTACTCTCAGATCGTCGAAAGAAACGGAGATGACTGGGTGCTTCGCAACATGACGGATCCCGACGAGTATGCGAATCACATTAATAATGGCGGCTACACCATGGCCATGATTGCCACTCATCTCACCCGTGCGAACCAGTTCCGCTCTCAGTTCAATTCGACACCTAACACCACGTGGGACGACATTGCTCAGAACGTATATATCGGTGAGGATGAGGATTCCGGCGTCACCTTGGAGTTTGTCGGCATGAACGGTACGGGTGTTGTTAAGCAGGCGGATATCATCCTGAACACCTTCCCTCTATCCTACACGGGCCAGAACTACACGGCCAACGACTCGCTCAGCGACTTGGACTACTACGCGGCCAAGCAATCCGTCGATGGGCCTGCCATGACATACGCCATCTTCTCTGTCATTGCCAATCAGATCTCGCCCTCTGGCTGTTCTGCCTACACCTACGAGCAATACGGCACTCACCCCTACGTCCGAGGCCCGTGGTTCCAGTTCTCCGAACAAATGGTCGACAACTGGAACGAGAACGGCGGCACCCACCCGGCGTTCCCATTCCTGACCGGCCACGGTGGCGCACTGCAAGTCGTGCTGTTCGGATATCTGGGGCTTCGCCTGGTCCCGGATTATAGCTTGCACGTCGACCCCAACCTCCCTCCTCAGATCCCACAGATCCGATACCGCACTTTTCATTGGTACGGTATTCCTATCCAGGCATTTTCCAACCAGACGCACACCATCCTTACACGGAACGCCTCTATCACGCCGGCCGAGGGCGCGTTCCCCAACGTAACTTTTGCGAATGCCGCCGTCCCCGTCGTTGTCGGTCCAGTCGGCGCTCCACCACTATCGACCCACCAACTCTCGCCCAACTCCAGCATAACCATCCCCAATCGACAGATCGGGCGTATCCCAACGACGCAAGACAACGTGGCGCAGTGCCTTCCCGCCTCCTCGCCCGACGACTTCCTCCCAGGTCAATTCCCGCTCGCGGCGGTCGACGGCGCAACCTCGACGAAGTGGCAGCCTAAGTACGCCAACCGGACCAGTTCCATCACCGTCACTTTGCCCCAGGGCTACCGTGTCCGAAGCTTCGAGTTCAACTGGGCCCAGGCCCCACCGTACAACTACTCCGTCCTCTTCCACAACACCTCCCTCGCCAACCCTTCCGCGGCCTCGCTCCCAACGGGTTCCGGCGTGCAAGTCGTGGCCAACAATCAGCGCGTCAACATCACGGACGCGTACAACGTGACTGAACTCAACGCGATCGAGGCCGTACAACACAATATCACCACATTCGCCATCCCGCAGGCCGCGGGGCAAGTGTACACGGCCCGGTACGCGACGCTGCGCATCTGGGGCAGTCTCTTCAGCGCCACAGCGACCGCGAGGAACATGTTTGGCGACGGAGCCACGGTGGCAGAGTGGAGTATTATTGTGGATGGACTGCCGGAGCCGCCTGTGCCCGGCGGTGCAACGAGGCGAGACGTGCCTTTGGGTGGGAACTTGAAGGCCAGAAACCTGGATCTAGATCTGCTTACCAAGTTGGGCCACGTCACGCGAGCACAGGACATGAGCAGACGGGGCAGGACGTGATGTGACGGGGACGGCTTCGAGCACCAGGTGTACCTAGGTATGGACGACGAGAAAAGGAAAGCGATTGAATTGGCACAGGCAGGCCTAATTAGTGATTTTTTGAATCCGTCCAGAAGAACAATCGAAAATTGAAACGAGTGGGTGGCAATAACTAAGTCATTGCGTAGGTTCCTGTCCTGCCCATAACCCTGAATGTGACCTTGACCTTGACCTTGACCTTGGCCTTGACCTTGACCTTGGCCTTGACCTCGTCGCTACAAGCCGAGCAATTTGCCCTGCCGAGTCTGGCCTGATCGAAGAGTTGCCGAGTATGCATCTTGATCGTAACCATGATCTTATTCTTATCTAGTGCTTCGTGCTTCATGCTTCGTGCTCTGCAGTCCAGATTGATTTGCTGGGATGCGCATCACACATCATGCATACAATGTACTGTACTCCTTACTCGCTCCATAAGGTAGTCGCTCCGTCCCCAGTATAGGTCCTGTCCCTCAAGAAAGGGTCCAATCCTCCAACGCTGATCTCTGGTCACTATGATTGGAATATTGCACCTCCCTCACTCTCGCTCTCGTCCTCGCTTAATGTCTTGTGCGTCTTCTCGTATTGCGCTTCCTGTGGTTCTGTAGTCCCATACGCACGGCCCTGTATTTGAAATGGATATTCTCGTGATAGACTCTCTGGAGGGGGAGAGAAATCGTCCCGTCGCTTCCTGCCACGCCGCCATTGCCATCGCCGTCTCCGTTGCTATCAGCACCGCCTTCACTCCCACCACTCATCCAGCGTCTAAACATTGGCCAATCCTACTGCGCTTCCTGCCCGCCAGCACCACCGCCCTCCATTCTGCCCCTCGCCTCTCCCAGCAGCGCCTCCTGCATCTTCCGCAACTCGTCCTCTCCCATCTTGTCGAACCCGCCAAAGTTGCGCATCTTCTCGCCGCGACCGATCCGCTTCTTCTGAACTTCCTGCCATTCACCGACCACGCCTCGGCAGTGCTCGATGTATGACCCGAATCCTAGGTCCGTGAGGGCCTGTTCCACGTGCTCCACGCTGATGGTCTTCTTGCTCTCGCGCTCGGAGATTTCGTTCGACTCGGAAGACAACATGCGCAGGAACTCCAGCGAGCAGGAGATGAGCATGTCGCGCGCGGGCCGCGTGAACGTCATTTCCCCGTCCTTGCCGGTTGCTGGGGAGCCATCGTGCGGGATTTGTGCGAGGATCTCGGATATGATCTTCTGGACTGTGGCTTTGGGGAGAGAGAGGTCGTCATTGTCTGCGAGGCGCGAGGTTAGCACATTGGTATGTTGGTTCAGGTCACTCGGAGGCGGAACATACTGCCAAAGTCTTTGTCGGACATGATGGCTTACGTGTAGTGAGGGTGTGATATGAATGTAGATTAAAGGTTCGGTAGAGGATGGGATGCCTGTTGGTGACCCATGGGTCCAGCCCACCGAGTGTGAGGAGGAAGAGGACAGTTAAATAGCTGTTGCAGAACAACATGAGCGCAAGGCGGGCGATTCTTGCGGCCTAAAACGGAAAGGCGTCATTTCTCTTGGCAGGAAGGAGCCTTTTCCGTTCACTTCAAAAGTCCGTCACTTTGGTTTTCACGCCGGTTTTTCTTTCTTCTTCACCACTTCCAACTCGTTGCTGTTTTGTGAACGGTGATAACGAAGACCACATTCTCACCGTCTTGATGCACTGGCTGTCGTGTCGAGCTTGGTCCTCGACGCGACGGTGACATCCACGCATACATGGTACGTGACTTCTTCCATCCCAAAGCTCTCCTTTTGATGATGAATTCTACGTGTCGCCCCTATCATACCCGATAAAATATGGTGATTACCTGTCCAAACCCAAACCGGACTTTCTGAAAGCTTTGCACAGCTGCTATCTTTTCTCTTGTTCTTGCTGCGACGTGGACCTCCACTGACATTGTGCAGATTAGGTTAGGTACATGCTCCCGAGACCGCGCCTTGAGCTACTGCAATGTATGTTGGCCCTCAGTTACCAGCCCGTAGCCTCCTCGATATGATGAGCAATCTTCATGTACTATCAAATTCGGACACGCGATGACGAATAAACTGGTTCGATTACCTGAATTCGACCGTCACTTGGGTTTTCTTTGTCTCACTTCCTCCACGGAGCGTATCCTGACTGCTACTACCACAGCCATGCGTCGTCTTCCAAATGAACACATAACATTGTAAGAGTAAGCTGGCACCCTCATTTTCATATAATCTTCCTTTGATGAACACACCACTCTTCCATGCTAAACATGAAGGTTCTCTTGGATCTGATGCTTAAGCCTGTGTATTCATTTTCATCTTTCGCCTGAGTCACAAGTCCTTCACGTTGATATACCTGGTTGCATTCTTAGGTATGCGCTAACGGATTGCGAACAGGTTTGTGGTTTCAACTGGTCTGCGACTGGCCGGTCGCGTTCCGCAGTCCCCATGCCCACTGAAACTGTGATGGCCACTTCGAGCGCCGTTGTCGATGCATTCGCCATGGCTGCTCATTCAAGGCATTCATTCATGCCATCGTCGCAATTCCTATAAGCACAGCCCGCACACCAACCTTTGTCAGTAATGCCATTATTTAGGCGCTGGGGTTTTCTGCTCTTATTTGACGTAGTATTTTAGCTTTGGGTCGTCCCAACTTTAGCCCTGTCAGCAAGTCCGCACGGGACGCAAGTCTCTTCATAGCTTACCTAATGAACAATCCTGACAACTCTCTCTCGGCGCTAACAGCCAGCTCGGCGATCACGTTGCCTGGCTTCTCCGGTGGCAGTAGTTTCCCTTCCTCTTTGGCACTCCGAAACTTTTGCTGATCCCTCTCGTCCATATTCGACAAGAAGCTCTCGCGGATGTCTTTCTGCATGGCAGTGTCCACCACCCCTGGTCGGATCGCCACGGTCGTCACATCCGGCTCTTCATTCTTCAAGGTCATGGTGAGGTGGTTGATTGCTGCCTTGGAGGCGCCATACGCTCCCCAAGACGGGTAAGCGTTCTGCGCGGCTCCAGACGAGGTGAAGATAATGCGGCCTTTCGTCTGTCGGAGCCAGGGAAGTGCTTCGCTGATCTACATGGGCATCAGATGTTAATGGCGCTTCTTGGACTGACTAGACCATCTTAATTCCATAAAGACATAAACTTACCATGACCACGCAACTCGTAACGTTCACCTTGAATACCCTCTCCCATTCCTCACCTTTGTCGCCCTCCATCTGCGCCAATCGCAAACACTTTCCCAGCGTCCCATGGTTGAGGATCAGCGCATCAAGGCTCCCATGTACTTCACACTGTCGTACCAGTCCCGCCACTTGGCCCAAATCCGCCATGTCGCACTGTACCGCCCGTACTCGATCCGGATACTCTCGCTGGAATTGTCGGAGAACTTCCGCATTCCGCCCCGTCAGGATCAACAGGTGCTCATCAGGGGAAGAAAGCAGGCGTCTGGCGACCGCCAGCCCTATTCCGCCGGTCGCTCCCGTCAACAGGATCGTCTTGGCTGAAGGATGTTCGGTCTGTGTAGGCGAGACAATCAGTGTATTAGGTTAGCCCTGGCCTGGACGGGTAATCGTGAAATGGCGTGTACTGCTCTGTTGCGATCCTCCTCGCTGAGAATGCATAGAAAGGCGGAGAGTCGAGACATATACAGTACCTACCCGGTGCTTCAAGATCCAGTCTGGTGAAGGCCCAAACCATGCGGTGGCCATTCTGATGCTAGTCCTCGGTACGGAGTAGGATGTATTCCTTACGACGTCATTCGCGATGATACCTACGATGTGATTCCGCCCTCGCTGGATTATGTACTTGAGGCCTTCAAAGTCGAGTAAAGAGGAGCACTCTGACCAGATATTGACAATGGTACCGAGTCCGCGAAACGAAGTTGAACGGACGTTCTTCGGGCAGAATCTCCAACGGACTCAAATTGACGTCAACTCGACCACGGGGGGCTTCGTGCCCAACGCCTCCGTCCTTACCTCCTTCCTTCCTAACACCCCGTGGGTGCCAGCAGATGTTGAGAGGATATCTCAGAATCTCCGTCCGGCAGCATAGGTTGACACACGACTGACTGGCCACTGAACTGCAAAGCTGGCCACCTACAAAAGCCGAAAAAGCGAGCACAGTTGTTCTGGAGTAGGTTTGAGGACGAGGGCGGAGAAGGGCGCTTGACAAAAGTCCTTTTATGATTGCTTCTCGATGCCCTGCAATACACAGGGCATTACAGTACGTCGCAGCTCTCCATGTGAAACCCCGTACAAGAGGGGATGAGATATCGTACTGTATTTAGGAATCACAGACACCTACCTATACCTATACCTGGTACTAACTCTATCTCACCCTTGTCTATCTCCCCTCAGCCATCGACAAACGCAACCTGCCTGTCGCCACCCATCTCGCAGAACAAGACTTCCACTCCCTTCTTCCCATCAACTCACATGCATATCACCCCTTGACGACATGTCCACAATCATCCTCGGAGGCGGCATCATCGGCCTCTCCACTGCATATTATCTTTCTCTTGCGCGATCAGCTAGTTCAACGTCGGGCGATATCCACATCATCGACTCGTCGGCAACCCTCTTCACCTCCGCGTCAGGCTACGCTGGCGGATTCGTGGCACTAGATTGGTTTTCACGGCCCGTGGCGTCGCTGGGGGCATTATCCTTCCGCCTGCATCGCGAGTTGGCGGAGCAGCACGGGGGGTATCGTAGGTGGGGATATGCGGGGAGTCATGTGTATAGTTTGAGTGAGGGCGATGAGGGAGTGGAGGAGGCATCCCGAGGACAGGGGGACTGGATTGCTGAGGGGACGAGTCGGGCGCAAGTCGCGCCGTTGGCTTCAAATCCAGACCCAGTCAACACTCCGCCTACAGTGTGGACGCGCCGGAGCGGCTGGACGTTCGACACGATCGGTCGCCCAGGGGACTGTGCGCAGGTCGAGCCGCGGGAGCTGTGCGAGTTCTTGCTCGAAGAGTGCCAGAAACGGGGTGTGCAGGTTCATCTTTCCACTATGGCAACAGGCGTGCTTACTGATGATATGGGCGCATTGAAGGGGTTGAAGTTGCGGACCACCAACGCTGGCGCTGGACAGCCACACGAGCAGGAAACACAACTTCAATGTGAAAATGTGGTGATTTCAGCCGGGGCGTGGACCCCGCGCGTCTTCAGCACGCTGTTTCCACAGAGTAAGTTGCGGATACCCATTGAGCCGTTGGCGGGACATAGCATCGTGGTCAAGTCGCCGCGATATACGACGCCATATGTGGACCTTGCAGAAAAAGAGGGAGGCACAGACAAAGACAAGTCGATGTGTTACGCGATATACTGCGGTCCCGGTCCGCGCTGGTCATTTGCGCCAGAGGCATTTGCGCGGCTTGCTCGCAGTGGCGAGACCGAAGTCTGGGTCGGCGGGCTGAATGATAGCACGCTTCCCCTTCCGGAGCTTTCAACTGATGTCAAGCGGATGATCGACCCGCAAAGTATCCAGGACCTGCGCAGGACGACGGTAGAGTTGACGGGACTTGCGAAGGGAGGCGGTCAGCCGAATCAAGATGATTTGGAAACGGTTAGAGAAGGGCTGTGTTTCAGGCCGATAAGCCAGCGAGGGACTCCCCACATCGGTGCGATAGACGGTAAAGATCTCGGCTTGCGCGCCGGTAACAGTGGTGTCTATATCGCTTCTGGCCATGGGCCCTGGGGCATAAGTCTGAGTCTGGGGACCGGGAAAGTCATGAGTGAAATGCTGATGGGGCAAAAGCCAGGCGCAGATGTGCGTGGGCTTCGCGTGGGCCGGTAATGCTAGCCATGACGAGATATCATTGTGCTAGAACTACTTGGGTATTGTTTTCTCCAGCCACTGAAAATCTTGGAATACGGTGTCGCGCGTTCACCGAATATCCAGCATACTGTCCGCTAATCGGGATTAGAGGGCCCAGAGTTTGTCGCATCATTCATCTTCTCGTATTCGACGGTATCGTACCGACACGGTTGGCTACCAGAACTATTGCCGCGATGGCCAGAACAATCAACAGTCAAGGTCAACTTGAGCTGATTCGATAGCGCAACCAGAGACTGTGAGGTGTGCCCGTCGCGTCGCTTGATGACCAGCATGCCTGGCCGAAGAAGCAACAAGGCTGTCAGCCTGGCGGGGCTGAAATATCTCCTTCGATGCGCTTGTCTGACCTATTTCCCCATAGGTACAGCAGGCAACAGCGATGGTCGACCAGCGGTCTTCGGTGAAGGACTAATCGACAATTCTGGCTCGGCACGCGTCGAAAGAAGTCGAATCAGTTGTCGTAAGGCCAGGGCAAAGTCGACGCCGGCACCGGAACAAACTTCATCCTTGTCCCGAGGCTGAGATGCTACGCGTACACGTGACGGAGCCTCGACGATCAAGCGCCGTCCCGCAGCTCTGCAGTTGAACTTTTAACACACGCGCGCTGTGGTTTATCAACGACGTTTGCGCAAGCAGACAGGCCTCGTTGCCGCACCGATTGCTGATGCGCATCGGTCGAGGTCATCGCGACTATAGGGATGTCACCCTAAAAGCTCACGTGCAGTCCCTTCTGCGCCGGTCGCACAGCAACTTCCAGTATGGGAACCCATATATCTCGCTCAACAACGAGATCCGCGTGCAAGATGCTTTGTTCAAGCAAGCAGCCCAGAACGACAACCTGCACAAGAGCACGAAAGCGTGGCGGAACTATCGTGAGTTGCCAATGTGCCTCCTCGCCTACTAAGCTAATCCTCTGGGGTAGACAGGTTGAAGTCCGCCAACCATGGCTTCACAGTCGTCATCAAGGACAATATCGTGACCGTGGAATTGCCTACCACCTGCGCCTCGAAGATTCTCAAGGGATTTTGTCCCTCAGAGAATGCCACCGTCACCAAGTTGCTTGAAAAGGCCGGCATGGTAATGGTCGCCAAAACCAACATGGACGAATTCGGCATGGGGTCACATTCACTACATTCAGCGTATGGCCCAGTGGTCAATGGCCAGGCTGCGAAAAAGGATCATTTGTCTGCTGGGGGGAGCTCTGGTGGCAGCGCCGTGGCTGTTGCTGGCAACCTGGCTCATATCGGCATTGGCACGGATACTGGAGGCTCGGTCAGGTTGCCAGCAGCTTACATGAGTCTTGTCGGCTTCAAGCCTTCTTACGGGTTGATATCGCGAGTCGGGGTAATACCTTATGCGAACTCCCTGGATACTGTTGGAATACTGGCCAAGTCCGCCCTCGACATCAGGCTGACATTCGACTTTCTCCAACAGCCCGACGACAGAGACCCGACTTGTCTGAACTACAATTCTCGACAGCGAATCAGAGCCGCAAAGCACAAGAGAAGAAGAGCCGTATTCGCCTCGAAACTTTTCATCCGGAGAGAATCCTATCCTGCGAGCCGGCGGCAGGATAGTGAACTGGCCTCTCTCCCGGCTAGAAACAGAAACAGAGACGTACTCGTATCTCAGAAGAACTACACCCGACGCATAGGAGTGCCTCTCGAGTACAATATTGCAGAAATGCACCCACTGGTGCGTTGGGCTTGGACGGCAACCCTGAGTCACCTACGAAACCACTACAAGTTCGAGATTGTCCCGATCTCTCTTCCGTCGACGAAGCATGCCCTGTCTGCATACTACGTCCTGGCACCAGCAGAAGCTTCATCCAATCTTGCGAAATACGATGGTGTCCGCTATGGCCGTGCGCGGACCGCCCAGGCCGATGGAGACGCCGCACCTCTCTTCTCTCAGTACCGCTATGAGAATTTCGGGCCAGAAGTCCGCAGAAGAATCCTTCTCGGCACTTATACCCTGAGCGCCGGGGCGATGGACAACTACTTCATCCAAGCCCAGAGAGTCCGCCGCCTAGTCCAGCAAGACTTTGACGCCGTCTTCCGGATGCCCAATCCTCTGCACGACAATACCGAGGCAAACAACAACGGTGTGGACGTGATCATTGTCCCGACGGCACCGACTCCTCCACCGTACGTTGAAAACTTGGAACACCAGAAGCCGGTGAGACGATACATGAACGACGTCTTTACTGTGCCGGCATCGCTGGCGGGCTTGCCTGCCATATCAGTGCCTGCGCCAGAACATCCCGACCATCCCTGGAATCCCGAGGTGGCTATCGGTATGCAGGTCATCGGACAATACGGCGACGACTTTGGAGTCATGTACTTTGCGCAGAACTTCCTCTCCAACTTCCATCGGCTTTGGATGAGGCGCACGCTCGAGACAAAGATAATGAGGTAGCTTTGCAATAAGATGGGGGTATGCTGTCTTTGATGTCCTAGTGTATCTATGTCGTAGTCGCCGTCGCCGCCGTCACCCCATGCCATGGAAAAGCGCCAAGTGTCGCATGGACAATAAGAAGACTGATCGCCTAAGGGAGCCTAGGGGCCTGAGAAGCACCGGCCAACGACGATACAACCTGTAAGCCTCAGGCAACCAGTAGGACCACGCGGATATCTGTTTGAGGAGGAGCAAGTCGGTCCAGCGATTCAATTCGCTTGCCCACGACACCGGTCTCTACTGTTGGCGAATCGCCTCATCGACCTATGAACAGGGAGACGCGCCAGCCTCAGAGCTTGTTGCAGGATTCGAATGAGAGGCGAAGCGGGGTCTTTCATATGACAGTAAATGCAATTCAAGTAGACAATGTCGAACCTGGGCGAAGATAGCGAGAGAAGTGCACGACAAGCAATCGGCATTTTGGCGCTTGCAATGCGTCGTTGGGTACTTTGTTTATCATCCATTCATTCACGCATCTCGTCAGACGCGTTGCGCTGTTCATAATTCAGGAGTTACTACCAGGGGTCATCCCATCAAGCTCACATGACCATGGTGTCGTCTCCATCGTCCCTCCTGTCCTGCTCCTCGACCTGCATTTCCCCTGCACCCGGCGCATCAGCACCCGTACGGTTCCTGCCCGCGAGTAATTCCCGTCTCACTTCTGGGCCGATATCCTTGTGACCCCTGGCAAGCAAGAGGTCTAGCAACGCCTCTCGCTGATCCTCGGTGATTTCGTTCCGGTAAGTCTGCGCGAAGATGAGGAGACTCTGATGCCACAAGACCGGGAGTTTCGCCTCCTTTGACGCCAAGGTCTCTTCGTCTTGTTCTTTGGACGCGCGAAACCGCAAGAAGTGAAACACCAGTGCGTCCACGACCTTGTACGGCAAAGCATACTTCTTTGCCAGCAGGACGCGGATGAAGATATTCGCCGCACCCGCGGCTTCGCTGTTCACGTTCGAGGTCTGCTCGGCCGAGATCTCGCACAGTCGAAGCAGCGCAGCGGCAGAGTGCAGGACGGGGATTTTGATCTTGGCCAGCACCGAGGAGATGATGTGCGCCTCGCGCAGAGTACAGCCGGATTGCACAAGCGGGAAGAGAAACCCCTTGAAGAACGCCGAAGGCCGGTAAAAGGCCGCTTTGAGGGCGTTGTAGAGGTGCACGTTGAGTTTCTTGGTTTCCTGGATATCTTCCCTGACGCGGTCGAGGAGGATGGTCTCGCAGAAGTGTTGACCCGTCGCTGCCGGGGCTGATATGAAGATCTTTGTCGCGCGATAGACGGCGTGCGGTGTCCAGTTTTCGGGTCTGGTGATGCTGAGGAGATCGGGCCACTGAGGGAGGGTTGGGAGGACTTTGAACGGTTTGGGGAGCGGCCCGGATCGGTAGCGACTCATGATCTGGCCGACTTTGGTGAAGGTGTCGACGACCTTCATTGGGATTTCGATGGCGTCTTCGGGCGCACCTCCGCCTACGAAGTGTTTGACTGGCTGCTCTCCATCTCCAGCACGTGCTGCGTCGAGGGCTTCCTTCTCGGCGATTCGTTGCAGGATTATGTCGGCCAGATTCCTGGTTTCGCCCTCCCCCTCAGGTTCCTCTCCCTCCCCTGCTGCTACTGGCGCACCTTTACTTCGGTCCGCTGTCGAAAGCTTCGCTAATGACGGCGCGAAGTCGGCCAGTTCTTCGCCGTCGTCGAGGAACTTTTTGTAGACCGCCATTTCTTCCGGGTCCATCTCATCATTCCCAGCAACCACTTCCTCGTCTTCTTCGGGCATCCATTCCTCCTCCTCATCGTATTGTCCATGGGCTGCCGTGTCTTCATTCTCGTCCCCATCTTCTCCAGCAAACCTCGAGTCGAAGGCAAATGCTGCGTTGGTGGGCGAGACAAATCTTCCGCCGGCGGCCTGACGGTCTGCTGCGTCTTCTTCTGCAAGATCTTGTGCAATGGCCAGAATCTTCCTTGAAGATCGGGCATCGATGTAGCCGTCGCCCTTGGCATCCTCGTCCGACCTCGACTTCCTCTTTCCTGTGATTGATTTCGTCCTCAATCTCCCACCCGAGGTTGTGATGTCGTCTTCGAGAGGCACATGTCGCCGGGCTGTCGCCGTTTTCGACATAATGGCCGTTGATACGATGGGTCGTTGGGGCTAGATTGCAAGGATGCGTCGGCGTTGTAGGTCAAGATACTCGTCGAGCAAAAACGCAGAGCGACGAAAATTGTTTCGATATGGGGAATTTTGTGGAGGGGAACTTTTACGCGGGCTGGAGCTTAGTCATCAATCGCCAAAACTTGCACTTTACGGATCGAGAGGCTGCAATATCGTCAGTCATATACTAAGATCCCTGTATCTCTCATGTGTTCTTCAGCAAGATATGTTGCTTGCATCGACTCTAGGGCAAGCAGATGCTCAAAGCGCGCGCTTTAGCACCTGTAAGTCCAGAGAAGCGTAGGTTTCGAAGTCTCCCAGAGTTGATACCTCCTCTTCAGGTGGCATGAAGGACTCCCCGGCCCAGGTACCAACAAGAGTAGGTGACACGTCACGAAAGTTGCCTTTGGTATCTTCATCAAGTCGAGATTATCATTGCTGGCGCTCCACATGGAGTTGGCCATGCCGTGGTGTCCTTCCTCTACCCCTCGTAGCTTGAAGTATACCGGACTCCTTCTTGTTTCCAGGTACTTTTAACGCAGCTGGCTCTCATCCGTGTCACAGTCAGCGTTCTGCGCAAGTACAGACATCTCGGTGTAGTGCTGCACGCAGTTGGAGCCTGGTCGACGTCTGGGATGTCGTCTCGAATGGAGCCAAAGTTCGCGCAACACTCGATATCCAAGTGGAGCAATCATGATGGTCGACACTCCGCCGAGCGGTGAGCATACCTCCTGGCGACGACAAGGATGAAGCATCAAACCCACCATCCTCATATGGAAGTCATGTCCGAACTTCCAATAGCATCGAGGCTGAGCGACATATCTGTGATCGAGTATTGGTGCATACGGTGTGTCAGTTATCCGAAGAACCAAGGCGTTGACGTACAATCTCCAGATGTGCCCGACCTTGAGAAACGATAAGTGGTCAAGCCTGACAGGGCAATAAACTCACGGCCAGGCAGCTATCTGCGCCGTTGGGGTATGCCTTAAGCGAGCGGGCTCAGGAGTAACGGTAGCACAAGGCTTGGGGAGCCAGCCTGGTTGTAAACGCAACCAAGCCGAAGATCTGGCGGCATTGAGATCTATGGCGACATCATGCACCAAACGAGCGCTCTCGGCGATGAAGGTGGAGGGCGAAGCGGGTTCACATCGCTTCGTGGTTGACGTGCAGGAGCGACAAGAACAGAGGATCCACTAACTTTCATGCAGGCTGCCATCTGTTGGACGACGGGTCCAGAGATGTGAAGGACATGCCGGTGTCCGCTGTCGCGTCCGGCGACTGTCAGTCAAATATCCAGATCCCACCAGTGCCGGAGGCTTGGGTCAAATGCGCTGGTGGAGATGCTGGATGCCAAATCCATGAGCACAACAGGCGGTCAGTATACCCCATGGTGTATGCACACTGCAGTGCCTTGAATGACCTTCAAGTCTATCTCAACTTCGAGATAATTGGTAATAGTCGGAGACGACAGAGATACGAGCTACGAGGGTCTGGATCGCCTGGACACCGAGCGCCTTTGTCTTGGAGCCGCCAACTGCTTCTCCGGCAAGCTTCCTGTGCCATCCGGAGAACTCCGCGGCGCTAGCAGACACCTCCTACTGTGTCCGAGTAAAGGGGAGCCAGCCACGCCACGCGCAAAGCTCCCGTGGCTGCTTCGTGTCCCTCGATTTTGTTAGCACAGCCGTTACAGTTATCACTCGTTCTGCAGCTCTGGAACTGTGGGTTCCTCGAACCAAGTGCCTGCATTTGCGGTTTTCTGCTCTTCCCTCGCTCCTGTGCTGTCACCTTGCTGAGTCTGTCTTTCATGCAATACGTAGTTTTCAGGTTCAGCGTGCCTTTACGGGCTTCCTCAGCGCTCTCAAAGACTACCTTGGTCTGTTGCGGTTTTACTTTCAAGTCATCGCGGACTATCGCGGTGGATACTTAGGAAAGCACAACTCACTTCGATTTGAGTTGGTATTGAACATCTGGTCAGGTCTATGTATCAGTGGGACGAGGATCAATTATCATTCTCTCCTGATTCCATACACCTGTACTCCGTACTCCGTACGAGTAGCTATGGCGACTTGCGACAATATAAACCCCTGTTCGACTCAATTCCATTTGACACAATCCGGCCCCTCGGTCTCCATCGGGCAAGGGACTCGATATTATTCATCCCTCGTCCGATACACTGCGGCTGCGCATTTAATCTACTGCGTGCCTCTGCCCCATATCTCACCTCACCGAGCCGGCGTCTGCATTGCAGCCATTTGACCGGCTCTCGCGTAGCCGCCGCACTCCTCCGGGTTCAAAGCGAGAGCAGAGTAAGAGGAGTAGAATCGAGTAGATCTCACCAATCTCCATCTCCATGCCCGTCTCCAACTTTTCCAGGCATTATTCATCCCACTCATCTTTGCTCTCCTCCTTATCCTTGACCTCGACTCCTTGCAACGATACCTCGACGTTTCAAAATCAACTGAACCCCTGCTGTTATACCACGGCTCAACCGAACTTTATAATCTTACCAATACAATTTAAGCCTTCGCTCACCTGATCCTCCCGCGCCCCGCGATCTGCTTTGCTTCTGCCGGCAATCCGCGAACCCCCTAAACGCCGCAACCCTCCTCCCTTTTTGAGGTTCCTTCTAGAACTGCATCCTCCAGTTCCCGAGAGCCGCAACGTCCAACAGCGACTCGACTCTATCCACGTCCACGTCCACCACCAACTTCGCCCTCATTTCCCACTCACTTCCCACACTTCAATTCTTGTCCGACCTCCACATTCGACTACTCGATCCTTTGACAGCAGTCATTCCCACCCGAGACCCAACGAGATCACGTCTGCGACTGTTTATCGCCTGGGCATCTTTCCCCGAGACATCCTCCTCTCCCGAAAGCGCCTGCGCCCAATCGCTAGACCGCCAGCCTGGAGGAGCATCGACCACTACGAGACGCAGCGCCTTCCCACCTACCCTACCTCTTCACTGCCCCCAATGTGTGGCTCGCTCCACTTCCGAGGCAAGATCTTGATGCCTTGCATGACCAGAGAATAGGACTCCGTAAACGTCCAACGCGCACCGCTTTTTCCCACTCGGTTGCTCGACTTTCAGGAAGCCTGGGTGCATAAAGAAGCGCCATGAGTACTTTATTTCAGCCCGCTCCTAGAAACCCTTTCGGTTCCCCTGTCGAATCTTCACAGAGAACTAGGTCTATGGCAATTCTCCCGCACAATACTAGCAATGGTAATACTTCGCCCCGGTCACTTCAAGAAGATTCTATCATGACCTCTCCGGCTCCCCCCAACATGGGTCCGCCTGGGCCGGGGCAAGGAAACAGTCCCGAGATGGAACAGGGGCAGAGCAACAACAACATTTCAAACGGCAACAGGGAGCAAAGCTCCTTCGCTGGCGCAAACAGCAATGCCGCTGCAGGCGCTGCGGGAGCGTCACAAGGACCAAAAGTAGTCCAGACAGCTTTCATCCACAAACTCTACAGCATGCTGGAGGACAAGAGCATTCAACACCTCATCTCCTGGTCAAACACTAACGAGAGCTTCGTCATGTCACCCTCGAATGAGTTCTCGAAAGTCTTGGCTCAGTACTTCAAACACACCAACATCTCCTCTTTCGTGCGGCAGCTAAACATGTATGGCTTCCACAAAGTCAGTGACGTTTTCCACACTGGTTCTCCGGAATCGGCACTGTGGGAGTTCAAGCATGGAAACGGCAGCTTCAAGAAGGGCGATTTGATGGGTCTGCGCGAGATCAAAAGGCGCGCCTCTCGTCACACGCTAATCCACCGAGATTCCTTTTCAAATGCCAAACCAGGTGTATCGCAGCCGGGGACACCTGCTGAAGTCATGCCGGATACCGACCAGCGTCTGGCAGGCCTCGAGCAAGCGTTTTATGACGTGCACGCAAGACTGCAAAGGACAGAAGAAAGCTACTCATTGCTGAGCTCGAGGTACTCTGCTCTGACCGAAGGACTGGTGCGATGTCATCAGTGGACGCACAATCTCACTAGCGCAATTCAGAATCTGTCGTCGCCTGAATCCGCTTTGCATCGGGACATTACGGAAATGCAGAAAGAGATTGCGCGACAACTGGAATATGTGCGCGCTCTGGAGACCTCTCCAGAGTCTTTGCAGAACGGCCGACAATCGTTCTATCCCGGCAGTTCCACATTGGAGCCGCCGCTTTCGCCAAGGGGATACAATTTTGATAGCCGAAGATCCTCCGTCCAGATCGAGCCACAGCATGTGGGATTACGTCCTCCTGTCCCACCCATACCACCACAATTTTCTTCCTCACCACGCCGCTTTGGCTCGATCAGCATACCGCACGTTTCTCCAGGATTCAGTCGGCCTGCTCTCCCGCCGCAGCCGCCGCCCAGCGTGCATCCCTTGGCATCCGTGGTTACGCCTCCACCAATGAATTTGGCTCGAAGGCACACGTCAGCTGATATCCGAGAACACTGCTGGCCGCCCGCCAACGGCAATGGGTCCCCCTACGCCTCTGGGCAGTCTTCGGTCCAATGGCAGCCTTCTTCGCCCCAGCAGCCGCCACAAGCACCAGGAGATCAGGCGATTCGGGACCAACTTGCCTCCTATGAGATCAACGGCCCCAAGAGGACTCCGGCAGTCATTCAGGCGAGCCAGCCGACGCCGCCGCTCACATCCAGCTCCGAGGCCCCTCCAGTCGGGCTAGGAGTGGAAGCGTCGTCCTGGGCGCTGGGAGGAAGCAGGTTCCCACGGCCCAACTTCGAGCTACATTCGGCGCCAGCCACGCGTAGAGGTAGCATGGCCACCCTACATTCGCTGCTCAACCCTGCGGAGACCGCGGAGCAGGATAACGAGGATGATGGTCCTGGCCACACTCGCGAGGATGACCGCAAACGAAAACGATTGATCTGATGCATATATTCTCCTTTTGAGGCGGCGTTTCTTCTTTCGCCGCTGAAAAGCGACGTCATGGCCGAGGTGAGAAGGGCGTCTCCTCTCACGTTGGTGTCGTTGTATATAACGAGGTGGTGACGGATCTTAATGAATACAACGGAGATTTGGCCTGGACAGTTTTGAGGGAGGACTTCTGGATTTAGCGACACTCATCTCGAGACGTTCTGTGGCGGCTGCCTCGTTCTTGGCAGCCCGCATTCATCTTGTGAAAGACTGGATACCTGAGCGAATAGAAATTTTCGCCCCAAAGTTACGAGTAATGCGTTGAGGAAGGCTTCAGGACTCTCCTACCTTTGACGGGGATCTCTCTTGCGCGAAATGTTAGGCGGTGGCCTTGATACTTGTACCGTGAAACCAATGATCTTGGCTACTGTGCATTGCATTCAAGATGGAATGGTATGTCGAGTTCTTCCCGGTCGTCCGTCTTCAAATGAAGAATTTTGCGCTCGCCCGACTTCAACCGGGCTTGCTGCCCGTTCCCTTGTTCTTCTTTTGCCTCTTAGCTGCTCTGGAGGCGAGGAGTTCGTCCAGGTAGCTCCCAGTCCCACGCTTCTTGCTCGCCTTGGCTTGCGCGGATGGCGGTCGAGTAGATAGGGCAATGTCGGTGCTATCGTGATCGGCACTCGCTGCTCTCTGTCCAGCCAGTGATTCAGCCCGGGGGATCTCCTCGGTCTCCCTTGTTCTTGCAGCTGTTTCAGAAGAGACGGCCTTGGCGACGTTATTCTGCCGTGCGCCCCTCCCCTTACTCACAGACGCCCGCGATTCGTCCTCGTCGGAATCACCTTGTTTTCCAGTCCGGTGCACCTGCGAGCGGATTCGCCCAGCTGTGGCATTATACCTTTGTACTTCCATGCTACTTCGAGCCCCACTGCGACCTCCTAGCAACTGTTTCCGCAGGAACATGGTCGTCGGGTCTGTTACCGCCGGTCGTGCGGCCGACGTGGACGTGGACGATGACGATTCCGGCGCACGGTATCCTATCCCGCCTGTGTCGGAGTATCGGTCCTGATGCTTGAGTAGTTCCCTTTCGGCCTCCTCCTCGTCATGCTGATCCGTGTCAGTTTCACGGTCATGGGAGCCGTTGGCCGAAGTGAAAGTGAACCCGCTGAGCCATGCTTTAGCTAAACGCGAGGCTTCGGAGTAGTTGACGCGGGCTCGGTTCGTGGCGATGTCTGCTTCTGAGGGGCCTCGTGCAGTTTGCTTGGCTTGAGGTTTTGGGACCATAGCTTTCCTTGTGAGCCGCTACATCTAGAACGTCCTTGGCTGTTCGGCTGTTCGGCTGGGCTGCTGTTTGAGATACCTAAGTGGGATTCCGTCGGTGATACGGTAGAACTTTTGTTGGTCTGGATTTTGGAGAAGGGAAGGTGTGCCGGGACGGCTACTGACTGCCCGCCTCTGTGTGGAGCGACGGACCCTGGCGGGCTGCAGGTCGCGCCTAAAGAGCATCTCGGGCACGCCCGCAAAATCAGATCTCTCATTGGTGCGTTTTGACTGCGAGGAATGAATATCATCCGGCAGCGGTTCCTGCGCGCCCATCATCCAGCCAGGTTACAGTTCTCTGAGGTAGCATTGACCAATGCATGAGATGACACGGTGACGTTGCGTCTATGAAGAGCTATGTTGACTTGTGCTATTGGAGAACGACCGCGAGCCAGGACAACAATATAAAGCGAGAAAGGTAAGCTTCACCGCAGCTGTGCGAAGACCAGGTCATTTCATGCCCAGCACGACAGTAGAACACGTTCGTTTGTGGCATCTTGAACCATGGTTCGCTTGTCTCTTGCCCTGGTGCTCAGTCAGGTTGCGAGTTCTGTCTCTGCTTCTGCGTACATCCAATATTCGACCATAACAGGCTACTTCTTGCAGGATGACAACTCGACCAACGCAACCACATTTGACTATGTAAGTGAGGGTGGTGATTCCTAAAGTCGAGTCAAGGGAGGCATAATGAACATGCTGACGAGCGACTACACACAGACGGCCACGAACTTCGGCCTGATCAACCAAACCTACCCAACCGATGGGGCAAACGCCGCCTCGTTGACGCAGTGGCAACGATTCGCCGGCCTGGTCGCCAACCTCACAAAGACAGCGCCCTCAAACGTGCAATACAAGCTTCTCTTCCTCGGCCGCCACGGCGAAGGCTGGCACAACGCCGCCGAGTCCTACTACGGCACCCCGGCGTGGAACTGCTACTGGTCGCTCCTCGACGGCAACGCCACGGCAACCTGGAGCGACGCGCACCTCACGGACAACGGGATCGCCCAAGCACAGACGGCGCACGCCTTCTGGCTCTCGCGCATCCAGCAGGAAAAGATCCCCACCCCGCAAACGTATTACACTTCACCGCTCTACCGGTGTCTCTCGACCGCGAACCTCACGTTCTCGGGCCTCCCACTCCCCAAGGACCGCCCCTTTCGCCCTACCATCAAAGCACTCCTCCGGGAAGGCATCTCGGAACACACGTGCGACCGCCGCTCCAACAGGACGTACATCCACGTCCAGTTCCCGACATACAAATTCGAGCCTGGCTTTCCCGAGACAGACCAGCTCTGGACGGGCGTCACGGCCGAGACGTCCACCGCGCAGGACGCACGCTCCAAAACGCTACTGGACGGGATCTTTGGGGCTGACAAGTCGACGTATATATCGTTCACGTCGCACTCTGGCGAGATTGCGTCCCTTTTGCGCGTCCTCCGCCATCGGGCCTTCTCGCTGAGTACGGGGGCTGCTATCCCCGTGTTGGTCAGGGCGGAGAAGGTCGCTGCTGGGACGAGCACCGTCTCGGCGCAGCCCTGGACGGCGAGTCCGCACTGTACGGTCCCGCCTGTGAGTAGTGTTAGTGGGGGTGCGAGTGGCGGGTGTGTTTGTCCCGGTGGGGTTGCGCCTGTTACGACTATGTTGCCGCCTTTTGCGGCGAGTGCGTAGGTAGATGCCGAGCAGGGGCGTGTCGATCGGCTATTGTAGGCGAAAGGAGTGCGGAAAAGTTCGGTAGATGGCTAGATCTGTGTGCACGAACAATGCAGATTTGAAGATGGAAATGAAGAGGCATATTGTGGCTAGTACATTCGGGGTCTCTCACTCAGGATCGTGGTGTAGATGCTGTCTACTATGTGTGTGCTGTGCCGTATCCTTGTCCTCGAGCACAGTGCGGTCCCGGGTTAATCGATCTCAAACTCTCTCACATGAATGTGCCTCTGCTCCAAGGACGGCCGTCTCTACTGCACGGGCTAGCCGCTTTCCCAGGCCAGGGAACTACACAGAATGTTGCTTCGCCACCATAGATGAGCACTGATCGATGTCGACTGGGAAACTGGCCAGGGTCCCCATGACGGCACAAGTGAGAATCGGAGTATGTGGAATCAGTCAGGGTTGAGATCTTGTGTGTCGGCGGGGATGTTGTGGGGAAAAGTGGTTGCAGGGAACAGGCTGATAAAGCACGCCTAGGACCCCGTATAAGGTGTGGGAGATACGTGCCAGGGGTTTGGAGAAGGCTTGGGTGTTCCACGCTGTGTAAGCCCGCCGGAAGGTCATGGCCATGATTATTCTATGTACTAATTAAGGCGTATACGTGTGACGTTGTCCCGTCCGAGCTGCACGTAGCCGACACATAATTATCGCAGGTGCTAGACCGAGTGGTCACAGAGATAGTGGCGGAAAAGGCCAAGGGGGGTTTGTATACGGAGTACGGAGTAGGTGTGAGTCGCATATGCCTTGCCGCGACCGTGGCGAAGCACCTGGTACCTGCATAAATAGACGAGGTCACACAGTTAATCCCGGCTATTATTTACTAGATACCTAGGCTGCCTTGAATATCCGCCCCGCCCTACGACGAATATTTGTGGTCGGGGCTCGCCGGCTAGAGTCGGAGCCCTCACGCCTCGTCTCTTTTGACCTTGGCTCGGCTAGCTACGCAAGAGTATCAAAATTCTTCTTTCGGCAATGGGGCATCTGTAGCCAATAGGGCGTCCAATCCGACGGGGAGGAGATACCCACTGGCAGATTAAGAATGACCTCAGATCTACACCGTACTCATCCTTGAGTATTATACGCACCCACGAGTTGAAAGTTCGCAGGTCGTCAGGACGACCCGCAATATCGAAAATCGTAGAACCGGCGGAAGGTAGTCGCAGGCGGAGATCCCACACATAAAAAGGCTTGGAAACACCCACGGATATAGAGTGTTCGACTCTCGGATTGCGGTATAAATTCCTACACACTACACCCCGCAGAAATTTCTCGCGCCGTAAATAACTGCAAGCTCCCAACAACAACGCCCACTCAAACAGCGGAAAAATGTCGAAGCTCACCGACTTTAAACTCCTCTCCTTTGATGTGTACGGCACGTTAATTGACTGGGAGGCCGGGGTTCTAGAAGGCCTGAAACCCCTCACCAACAAGGCGGGACTCACGAGGAAACAAGCTCTCGAGCTATACTTTGAGTTCGAAAGCACGGAGCAGGGCAAAACCCCGGACAAGTTGTACTCGGAGCTCCTCACGGCGATATACCCGCAATATGCCGCGCGGTTGGGTCTCCCGGCCCCCTCTGACGAAGAGAGTAAGGCCTTTGGGCAATCGGTCGGCAAGTGGCCCGCTTTCCCGGACACAGTCGACGCGCTGAAGCGGCTGGGGAAGCAGTATAGACTCGTGGTCCTCTCGAACGTGGACAAGGAGAGCTTCAAGGGTAGCAATGCAGGGCCGTTGCAGGGTGTCAAGTTCGACAGGATCATCACGGCGGAGGAAGTCGGGTCCTATAAGCCTGATCGTCGCAACTTCGAGTACATGCTCAGAGCGGTCAAGGAGGAGTTTGGCGTCGAGAAGCACGAGGTGCTGCAGACGGCGCAGAGCCAGTTTCACGATCATCATCCGGCGAGGGAGATGGGTATCAAGTCGTCGTGGATCGAGCGCGGTGGGACCATGGGCAACCGGGACTCGGCTGTTTATGATTGGAAGTTTAAGACGTTGGGAGACATGGCGGATGCCGTGGAGGAGGAGCTGAAGGGGAAGAAGGATTGATTGCGTTGTGGACTTCGGTCGCAGGCAAGATGGCCCATGAAGCCGGGCACAATGTGACAAAGTCTCATTGTGCTTGCATTCAGCCACGTCGCAGTCGTACTGCTTGTTCCCGACCATAGCAAAACACTGTGTCAAGACATTGTCTTGGTCAATATTGTGAGGTAGTACTTGTGTCTTTGGCTACACCGTCAGACACCAAGAATACGAGGACAGATTGCCCATCGTGCTGCAAGGAAAACGCGAGCATCAACGATGGCATGGCAATAGAAGAAGCTTTGAAGATTAATTGAAACAACCTTTGGTGAATAAAACGATCACAGTGTAATTACCCAACAAGCACGTAGGTTCTTGAGTAACAACCTCCGCCTCCCACGTCGACAACCAGCGGTGGTGGCTGGAATATGAGCATAGCGCTTCGATGTGCCCTCAAGAACGCGAAGGCAAGCAGTTCACCGGACGATCGCGTGAAATACAGTAGAGCGGTAATTATATCGACACTGGGTCGCTTCTCCTTCTGTCCGCTGTGAGTCCTCAAGCGGCTTCCACATCTCAGAATGAGTGGCCATTCCCGTACAAACAGCCTGATCAATCGGACGCAGAGAGGGACCTTGCATATCGGCAAAGACGCATAGGGATAACAAATGTAATACCATAGCGAAAATGGAAAGAAGAGAGTCGAGTCTCGCTGCCAAGGCATATCGGCTGTGGTTGCCTCAGCCTGGTGTGGCTTGCCTGTGGCTGTGCTTGCTGGTTACTGTACTCCTCTGCATTTGCGCCCGTAGCTCCCGGTACCAAGACCGCGGACGTGGAAGCTGCGATAACTGCAGCTGGTTCAAGCGTCCCTTACACCAGTCCGCAAGTCATTCTCTCCTGATCCTGTGGGCAAAATGTATAGGCTGGGTCGTCGTGGTCTAGGTCCGGCTTTCAAGGCCTTCAGAGTAAGTGTCACCGTCTCACCTTGATCTGGAAGCCTGGTTGACAACGCCGACAGGATACACCAGTGCGGAGCTCGATCCAACAACAACAACAACAGCGGAGGAATCTTAGCATCCACGAATACCTCTCAGCAAACCTGCTGAAATCCTACGGCATCGGGGTGCCCAATGGAGAAGTTGCAAAGACGCCAGAGGAGGCTGAGGCTATAGCGAAGAGCATCGGTTGGTCAAGTCGATGGCGAGCTGATGAGAGGCATGGCTGACATTGTCGTTCAGGCGGAGATGACATGGTGATCAAGGCCCAAGTCCTTGCAGGTGGCCGAGGCAAAGGCACATTTGACAATGGCTTGAAGGGCGGCGTGAGGGTCATCTACTCGTATGCACACCAGCCTTCTGTTTGAGGAAGGATTGAATGCCTGTTGACCCTGAACCCAGACCTACAGAAGCAAAGATGTTCGCCGGACAGATGATCGGTCACAAGCTCATCACGAAGCAGACGGGCGCCCGAGGCCGCATCTGCAACTCTGTCTACATCTGCGAACGCAAATTTGCCCGCCGAGAATTCTACCTCGCCATCCTCATGGACCGCGCGACCCAGGCGCCCGTCATTGTGGCATCCTCGCAGGGCGGTATGGATATTGAGACCGTGGCTAAGGAAACACCTGACGCCATCATCACCACACCTATCGACCTCAACGAAGGCGTGACGGACGACATCGCCAGAAACATTGCCACCGAGCTTGGGTTCAGCGAGCAGTGCATTGAAGATGCGAAAAACACAATCCAGAAACTGTACAAAGTCTTCATGGAAAAGGATGCTACCCAGATAGAGATCAATCCGCTCAGCGAGACGAGCGACCATCAGGTATTGGCCATGGATGCCAAACTGGGCTTCGATGACAATGCCGAGTTTAGACAGAAGGAGGTTTTCAGCTGGAGAGATACCACGCAGGAAGATGCTGACGAGGTCAAGGCTGCGGAGTATGACACCAGTAGGCTCCTCGAGAATCCTTGCTAATTGTTCACAGGCACGGCTTGAACTTCATCAAACTCGACGGTGACATTGGTTGTCTCGTCAATGGCGCCGGCTTGGCTATGGCAACCATGGATATCATCAAGCTCAACGGTGGTTCACCCGCAAACTTTTTGGATGTAGGTGGTGGTGCTACGCCTGAAGCCATCAAGTCTGCTTTCGACCTGATCACTAGCGATTCCAAAGTTACGGCCATCTTTGTCAACATCTTCGGAGGCATCGTCCGTTGCGATGCGATTGCTCAGGGCTTGATTAACGTTGTACAACAAATGGATTTGAGGTTGCCCATTGTATGCCGACTGCAGGGCACGAACATGGAGAAGGCAGCTGAATTGGTAAGCACTTTGAGTGATCTGATATCGCAACCGTACAGCTAACACACGGCACAGGTCAACAACTCGGGCCTGAAGATCTTCTCCATTACAGACCTGCAAGAGGCAGCCGAGAAAGTAGTCGACTTCTCAAAGATCGTGAAGATGGCGCGTGAAATCGACGTTGGAGTTGAGTTTTCTCTTGGTATCTGAGTCCCCATGAGTTGGCTTTGGTTCGTGGTTGATAGCTATCAGGGTCTTCTCCTCCGTAGCAGAAGTGTCGGTATCATACTCCTTCTGCTCATATGAACAACAAGTGTTACAACATACTCCCTCTGCGCTTATGAACAACAAGTGTTACAACATACTCCTCCAAGCAACTTCGACCCTGCTGTGTTATTAGGCGCATGCTTACTGCTGGTAGCTTTTGCGCGAGCCCCGTGGTTTCCCGCTGTGCGGTGCCGGACGTAGGAAGATACTAAATAGAGGACTTTGATTACAATCGAATTTCTTCACGGTATTCCGCCCCCCGAAGGCCCTTTTCCAATCGTATTGCACCATAACTCATTTGTCCTTCTCCACAACGGAACGGTCCGTTCTTTCCACTCGTTCTGTGCTCAAGTGGTTGCCCCTTGTTGTTCACGTTCACGTTGTCGTTTGGTGCCGCCATTTCCCAGTGGTCGTCCGATCTGTGTCTCTGGTCGAGCAGACGGAACATTCCGACATAAAAAAGAATCACCGTGCACGCGTACATGGGCCAAAAAGTGAAGTGGTTGTACATTGTACAAGTTCTGGACAAACGGGGCTTTACTTGATGTCAGTCTCTGAACCTCTATCTGGGACAGATTACAGGAGTCTTACATTTGAACCCCGGACCTTTCCCAGTCTCATTTTGCAGTGCAATGCGAAGGGAAAATCATACCCCTAGACCATTTGCCCCCGTGAAACTACCGTGGAGTTTGTGTTGAACTCTGACAGCATTTTGAGCTAAATTGTGGTGCGTACAAAATAACTTCAATAAAATATTTTACCACTATCCTCGGCTGTATGTCAAAGCCAATCCCATAATCCCCACCACTAGCTCACCAGTAGAAACTTCGCTAATGCCCGACCTGCTGACCCAGCAGCCTCCGACAGTAGACGACGATCGCCGCCAACTCCTACGAGGACGGGTATTCGGCAATGGAAGTTTCGTCCCCCGTCGGGATCTCGAATCACGATCCCCTCTCATCCTGCTGGTGTTGACAGATCATAAGCCTCAAGGCTCCGGAAAATTCCTCGTGGATCTCTTCTTGTAATTGTCTTGGTTTGAAAGGTTTTGCATGTACAGGCCACTAAGGGCGGTCCATCAAGGTTTGTATCTTCATCATGAACGTCGAGAGGGACGACCGAACACCATAGCAGAGCTAGTTTGGACATGACTGCAGAATACTAATCCTCGATGTGCCTCTATGCTGAAGGTCAATTGGCGGGCCAGTCAACAGCGGTTTTGTGCTAGCAGAGGTGGAGGCAAGGCGCAGGATGCCAGATGAGTCGCAGCATTTAACGTCCCTGCCCATGGTCGCTTCAGTTTCGTACCACGGGTCTTTTGCGCCGCGAGCCCGACCTGCCAGCCAGGCCTATTACAGCAGCAACAGCAAGGGAGGTCAGGAGGATAGAGCGAACATGTTGCCTCGTCAAGATGGCTGGCGCACGCCTTTTGTGGACGACCAGGGTCGTCGTGCTAGCCAGCAGGATGGGACGGATTATCCTTTCCCGCAAAACGCGGATGCGAGTGTGTCAGGAACAAACGACGACGACAGGAACCGCGACAAGGATGAAGACCCCGGCGAAGAGAAGCCCAAGAACCTCACCTGGAAGCAGCGGATGAAGCATGTGACGTGGGCTTGGTTCACGCTTACTATGGCGACGGGCGGCATCGCCAATGTACTGCATACTGGTACGTTCTGCCTTGCGGAGGTAGTGACCCTCAAGCGACATGCTAACTGATGCTACTACCATAGTTCCCTACCGCTTTACTGGTCTCCACACTCTCGGCGTCATCGTGATGCTCCTCAACATCGTGCTCTACATTATTATCTGGGCCATGATCATCACGCGCTTCACTTTCTACCCATGGACATTCCGCTCGAGCTTCACCCACCCGACCGAATCTCTCTTTGTTCCAGCCTTTGCCGTCTCGTTCGGCACCATCCTCATCAACATCGTGCAATACGGGTCCGGGAGCGTGGGGCCATGGCTGAACCGCGTCGTCGTGATCCTCTATTGGTTCGACTGCGGCTTGGCCATGACCCTCAGCATCACCATCTACCTCGTCCTGTGGTCCACCACGACCTTCACCATCGCAAGGATGACTCCGATCTGGATCTTTCCGGCTTACCCATTGCTCATCATCGGCCCGCACGCCGCCTACCTCTGCACAAAAGCACTCGACTCCAACCAAGCCATCCGGATCCTTGTCGGCGGCGTCACCATCCAGGGCATCGGATTCCTCGTCTCCCTTAGCATCTACTCGGCCTTTGTGTACCGGCTCATGACGCAGAAACTGCCCGCCGAGCCCCTCCGGCCGGGTATGTTCGTCTCGGTCGGCCCCTCGGCTTTCACGGTCAGCGGCATAATCGGCATGGCCAAAGACCTGCCCCGAGTGATTGCCTCTTCGCCTAACGCCACGTTCATGGACGTGCCCGGCGTGCTCGCCGCTCAGATTCTTCGCCTTGTCGCCAACTGGACGTGTCTCTGGCTGTGGGGCATCGCGTGGTGGTTCTTCTTCGTCAGTCTACTCTCTAACATGGCGTGTCTGCGAGGAAACCACCACATGCCCTTTGCCATGACGTGGTTCAGCTTCATTTTCCCCCAGACGGCACTCACGACCGCGACATTTGCCATTGCCGAAGCCTTCGACGTGGGCGCGATTCGCATCGTCGGCTGCGTCATGACGGTGATTCTCATTTTGGTTTGGTTTCTCGTGGTCGCTTGTATGATCCGGGCGATTATCAACAAACAGATCCTTTGGCCGGAAAAGGGCGAGGACAAGAGCGAGGGCGGGTTCAAGGCAAGGCCTGACGATTCGAGTGGCGGTTCTGCGGTGCGAAACAAGCAGGACGCGCACGCCATGGCGGACGGCAAGTCGCCCCGTCGGGGTAGGAGAAGCGGTGATGAGGGTCAGAGATCGTCAGTAGGGGATGCTGCCACGCGGAATGTTTGACGATGCTACGACGTGCACTTCTGCCGATGCTACAACGTGGATCGTGTGGTTCCCGTGATTGTGGGTGTCACGCGCTATGAGTCCTAGATTGCGCCTAGGAGAGGGAGAAGATCATGCTCGCCATGCCACCGAAACCAGGAATCCAAGATGAGGAACCTGCGATCACGAATCCAAGCTGAGGAACAAGCCGCCAACTCAAGGAATCCAAGATGAGGCCCAAATCACCATCCGTGTCTCGGGTCCCTGGGTTTCAAAACCCGCCCCAAAGAACACACAGACGAGTCTCCAACTCTTGAAGAAGAAGGCCTCCATCTTCAGCATGGTACGGGTCTGGTGTGCATGCGAAGGACCGACGACGGTCGATCCGCTTGTCATTCAGATCATCAGCAGCGTGCCTCATATGCCCTGTTCCCTTGCACGGCAGGCTCGCCATTCACGATACTGGCCATTATCGAACAGTGGAAAGGACCTCTCTGGGACGTGCATGCTCAAATTGACCTTCTCTACGCATCTTGGGTATCGTGTACAGTATAGGACCTTTCTGAACTCCATAGATTTCCATGGTCGCCCAATTTTCTTTCGACTGCACAAGAAACAAGCCACGATCAACCAGGTTCTCTACTAGCCGAAGACACCCTCGTCAATGTTGGCACCGCCGAACCGGCTACTGGAGGATCTTACGAGGTCTACGCGACGAGAATACGCCGCCATACGGGTTTTCCACTCGTGAGTCGTGGATCTGGAACAAAGTGTACATCTCATGCGTGGCCTCGAATGCGCATGATGCATCAGGCAACATCACAACCCCTTGGTGGCTGGAAATTCCTGTACAAGTTGGATTTGGAGTTGGTTTTCGCCCGTGCTGGTTGAGCTTGAGCCAATGGAGAGATAGCTCGCTCGGGAACACGGCACAGAAGAGGGAATCCTAGGAGTGTACGAGTCTAGGTATGTGGGGCAAACCGTGGCAGCGAGGCGACCAGGAAGCGAAGCGGCGAGGCTCATGGAGAAGGAGGTACTGCAGGGTATTCGTGCATGCTATGTACGACGCGTCCTCGGCATAGTGAACGATGTACATCTAGTACAGAATTGGCTAGGACCAGACTGGCATGAGTGGCGAAGCAGGAGTAGACAAGAAGTAGACAACAACGTACGTACGGCTCTGTGCAGGACGGGACAGTACAACGCACGCAGTCCTCTGTACAGAGTAAGTACTTGTATTTAATGTACTTTGACATATTGGCTGGGAAACCGACAGGCATGGCGAAAGCAAAGAGTAGGTAGGTACCTTGTATACAACACGTACGCAGTACATACGGTTCTGTGCATTGTAATGCTCTGGACGGAAGACATAGTATATATGTCGAGGGAGACGTATTCCTGTTGAGTTTCCACAACAGACACATCATATATCTGCCTGCCCTGCCTACACATGCAAGTATAGCATATTTTCCGAACGCCAGTCAGCTCAACTGATCTTGGCTCATCTCGACTCATCTCAGATCAGATGAACCCCGATTTCCGGCGCCACTTCACCTTCTTCACCTCCAATCCCGGTCCTGGAAGCAATACCGCGTCGCCTGAGGCTCCACCTCTAGTCGGGACAGCCGGCGCCGTGACGCTAAGACCGAGCAAGTTCAAGTCCAAGTCCAAGTCCCTGGTGACGTCTGATTCGTCCGCGTCCTCCACCGCCGTCGTGCTCGTGCTCGTCGAAACCACACTCGCGGCGTCGAGATCGGGGTCGGCTGCGTTGGGCGGGTCTGAGCGGGGCCACGTGGCAATAGAACTGTTTAATGTGGAGGTGGAGGTGGATTGTTGGACTGCGAGCCTGCGCCACGGATTCTTGGAGGCGAAGGTGTACGGATTTGGGGTTCGTATCGATGTCGGTGTGATCGTCCGTGTTGGTATAGATATCGGAGTATGTGTCTGTGTCGGTGTCGGTATTGATATCGGTGTCTGCATTGGTATCCATGTTGGTATCTGTGTCTGTGTTACAACCAGGTCTGATTCCGGCTGTTCGCCCTGTAGTTCTGACGATGGTCCCGGCAGTTCGGAGATACCGAGCCTCGACCTGGGGGTGGCGGCAGCGGCCGCGATCGCCGGGCCAGCTTGTTGTAGAAAGTCGATCTGCCGTACACTCAGTTGGCCCTCCGATATGGACAGACCGAGGCCCACGCCAGGGGTGTCGTTGTTGATGCCGATACCTATGGTGGTGTTGGCGAACAGAGTGAGGTCTTCCGTTGCGTCTCGGGAGGTTTGGTCATCTGCGGTACGCGGAGGTAACGAAAGCTCGTCGGACTCGTATCCCTCGTCGCCGTCTGCAAATTGAGGTGATAGATTTCGTGATGAACCGTGTCTCTTATGAGTCCGCTTGCCTAGAGGGAGGTTAACTTGGCTGCTATTGTTGCTGCGTGAGGTTGAGCGTATCCTCTTGGTTGGGCTGCGTGGAAAGGGCGGCTTCTTTTCCTCCTTGCCGTCCGCCTCGACTCCGAAGGTAGTTGCTTTGCAATCATTATCAGCGTACGCTGGCGGCCACAGATTGCCATTCACGAAGACGATGGGCGGGTGAGCCATCTCCAATCTTCCAATGTCTCGGTCCAGCGCGCCTAGGCAATTCCCCAATGTTTGAAGTTGTGATAAGAACTCCTCATTCTTCCATAGCAGCCAGATGACTCGATTCTTGGGTGTCACTGTCTGACGGATTTCGAGGTCCTTTCGACATGCTTCGATCGAGTCACGAACCAGGAGGAGAGTATTGTTAGTCTTTTCGATACTCTCCTCCGTTTCCCGGATTAGTCGAGGATCCAGGTAATGTGCCTTTGAGCGAAGGAGCCGTCTGGCAATATTGATGGAACTCTCGGCTCTTTCGATATTAGTATGCAATTGCCTGACTTCGTTCGGTACCTCTTTGTAGTGCGCTGCGAGACTGATCGCTTTGACGAACGAGTTGAACCCCGAGAAGATGGAAGTCGCGATCACGACTGGCTCGGGCATGCTGCTCAAGTCGCGTTTTTGAGGCGCAGATAGATGCTTCGCTGGTCGCAGGCTCGTAAGGAGCTCAAATGTCGTTCAGGCTGAGCAGACTTGGATGGAAGCTGATCGTCCGAGGGAGGGCAGCTTCATTGAGCTGCCGCTGAGACCAGGTCACCGGCGATCACGGGCTCAGAGCCAGTTTTGGCAAACGAGGGCCAGAAATCCCGTATGACGATGCGGCTTCATCCTTGTTCCATTTCTTGTGCAGATGAGCAGGCATTAGCACTCAGATGGTGTGGGTTCTCGGCCGTCTTGCCATGGTCGAAGCGGCACATGGCAACTGAGGAATGTGTCGGCAGTCAGGCTGAAAAAGCGGCAAGGAGAATAAACCTCATCTATTCCCGGGAGATATGAGATGTGGACGGAGTACGGACAGAGCAATGTGAGCTCGCCTGCAGGGAATATACGAGGAACCAGCGCTAGGATCGGGATTGGGAAGCACGAATCCCGCTGCATATGCGCCTTGTTCCTCAGCCTCACCCCACAAGTGAAGCCACCACCGCTCAGCTAGCCTATCGTGCACGTAGATATGAGACACGGTTGGCTTCAAAGTGATCTTAACCGATCCCAGACGCGTTGTAGCAACACATCCTCAGTGAGAGCGAGCACAACTTTATGAACCCAGCAGCTTGGGCAAAGAAGCCGGCAATATGTTGGCATCAATCAGGCTGATCTAACCAGATGTGAGCTTGGGCTCGCCACCAACACATACACCCTTGCTACTCCGTACTTCCGTGATTTCGGGTCCCTCCTGAAACGGAGCAGACCATGCAGCAACCTTTGGAGAGATGTGTATCGCGCCGGACCACCAATTATCGTTAGCCCATGTACGTCGTGACAAATCTCGCACTCACACTACTGCAGAAGCTGACACTCAAGGACGATGAGTGGTCGGTCTAGTTTGCGGGCGACATGGTCCGTGACTCTTCGAAGCTGGGGCTGGATCACGAACACATGCATCCTGCCCTTTTCGCCCCGTTGCGTCTGGGACGCTGCTCTCCGTGCGTTGGCGGCGTCGCTCCAGTAAAATCTCCACTCTGTGGGCTGCGATAGCAACAACAGGCCCAGCTCCTGACCTCGCTTACAGAGCTTGACCAGGTGCTGGTGCCTGTCTTTATCCGTTTCTGGTCGGATGTAGGTTCCCACAATGGAGTCCACGTCAGTGATCAGGGCGTCGATGGCAGTCTGCGAATGTGCTCTTCGCTCGGGCGAGTCCACGGAGCCGACAAGGGCTGCAGTGCTGGTCCTCCATCTCGAGAGAATCAACCGGCTTCCTGTAAGGCTGTTAGTACCCAGAATATCAACAGCATAGACATAGACGCACTTTGGTCATCTTTGAATTTATCTGCGGAAGATCTCAGAAACTTCGTTATAATTTCTGGCAACAAAGATCTCTCGGTCACACCAAAGAAGTCAATCGCGTCCAAGATCTGTGCTGTAATGAGCCCGGTAATGGCTGAGGACCGAGAGAATCGGTCAGCCAGCAGGGCTTCAAAGTCCACGTTGCTCTGAGCCGTGATGCCACTGGGTGGATGGGTGGACTGAGTGGCGGGCTCTTTTTGGCGGTCACTCCTCGCAGCCGTATCGACATAATAGTTGTCTGCGTGGTCTTCTATGGCCTTGAACAGGGCCGCAACGGTTTGTTTGATAGTGGCATCGTCCTTGGGTTGCTCCAGCACGGCTTCTGCCGTGACTTCTTCGACAGATCGCTCGACAGCTCCACCCTTGGGATGGCGCAGTGTACTATTCAGATAACCAGGCTTCTTAGAGCTTGCATGGCGGGAATGTGCCGGCGACGAGGCGGCACCAGGGTAATGCCTCTTCCTGAGCCGGTCTCCCATCAGGAGGAAGAGCACACCGAGTGCAATGAGGGCGCCGGCAATTGCACAGCCAATAGCTACACCCGCGACAGCTCCGTCAGACAAACCACGGCCTGAATCGTGAACGATGACCTGCGAGCTGGTACTTGACGTTGGCGCACTGCTGTTACTAGCTGCCGCATCAGAAGATGTTGGCGTGCTGGTGGTGGAGGTTGATTCTGAGGTAGACGCGACTGAAGATTCTGAAGTAGGTGCGACTAAAACACTATACACTGGAGTATAGGTGATTTCAACCAGGGTATAACTGGTGTTATTGGGACCAGCATCTGCCCCAGAGAGGGGCACACTGACACGAGTCGTTGTCGCGAGGGAAGGTTCAGACTCTGTCAGGATGACAACTGCTGGGGTATAGGTGACTGCGGTCAATGCAGAAGCGGTAGAGACTGGTGAGCCGTTCTCCCCGTAGAGAGTATTAACTCCAATGCTGACCGATGTAATCGCCTCGGGAAGTGTCGTTGTTGCCTCCGTAGAAGTAGCTGTGGACGAAGTGTTGGCAGGCGTGTAAATCTGTGGCAAGGGGCTCCGTGCAGAGAGAACGGCAGCAATGGCGTTCCTCATCGTTTATAGTGTGTCTGATAGATGTTTTGATTCCGGGTCACATAGATTGTGAGTTCCAGATCCAGGTTGGAAAGGAGTCAAAGGTAGGAGGCGACCTCAGAAGCGGGCTGAAAAGTCGACAGCCAGCAAGCCTTTATGGGAAGGACTTGGGTGTCCGTCTGGCTCGTTCGATCGCCAGTGTCCTTGCTGAACGGCCTGGTATCTGAACACGCCGCTTTTGGTGTAGATACGAGTCGTCGAGCCTGCGCGACTGGGTGGCTTTGTGCTGGCTTCTGGTGGCTCCTGTTTGTTCTCAACCAACCACAAGTTGCACGCGACGCCGGGTGGAGGTTGGGATGCGGCTGAAAGGCAGCATCCAAATGCCCAGCCGCATTCAACGACCGAAGGCCGCCAGGGGGTGAGTCTTGAGCCCCCACATGTGCTCTGCAGCCAAGGGTCCAATAGAGGGCAGTCTTTTAATGCGGGAGCCGGTCCGCACGCCTCGAGAGACAATAAACTCGTAGCAGTGCGCTGTGGACTTTCCTTCAACACAGAGCTGTAGCTGAAAGCGTAGCACATGCTGTCTTAACCGCCCTGTCTAAAGCCTGGACACAATGGCGCACGCTCGAGCGCCGCTTTTGGTAGGGATTGATGTTGGAATGACCTGCACGGGTAAGGCTGCGAGACCGATGTCGAGCTAGAGTTCTCGCTTATTCTGTTTTTACCCAGGTGTCGCATACATCATCCAGTCTCCAGCGATTGAGATGGTAGAGCCGCGTACAATCCAAAAATGGCCGGGGCGTGGCGCCGCCAAGGCCGACAAGGTGAGTGTCAAGCTTGCGGTCCATGAGGACGTGTCTTCGCTGATACTCGCTCAGGTGCCAACTTCACTTTGCTACTGGGGCCGGGAAATAGTTTGGGGATTCGACACGCAGCGAGACGAAATCGATGACTCAGAAGTCCACGACTGGTTCAAGATTTTCCTGGACGAAAGGGAGTTTGAGAAGTTCCGCTCACGGGGAGAGGACGTTCCGCCGTCCCATGGCCACGTGAAAAAGTACTACCGAGACTTCTTGAGGAAGCTCTATGCGCATATCAAGAAGATCTTGAGCACAGAGCTACCAGCCTTAAGCTTCGAAGACGAGACCATCCAGTTTATCTTCTCCGTTCCCACTACCTGGAGCCCTGGTGTTGCGGAAGATCTGAGGGTATTAGCGCGTGAAGCGGGTTTTGGCCACGATGGTGCCAATCACTCAGTCGAGATTGGGTTGACCGAGGCAGAAGCTGCAGCCGTCTGCACGCTGGGTACCGAGACCGAAAGATACTCAGTACGCTCGTGTCCTTGTGTCGTAACAACAACAACAACTGACAAGCCCAGAACGGTGACATCATGCTCGTGGTCGATGCTGGGGGCGGCACAACAGTGAGGATTTGTTGTAGCCGTAGTCATGGACGGCCACTGACGCGCATAACAGGACCTCGCTCTTCTCAAAGCCGAACTCGCGGCAGGGAGTAGACCGACTTTGAAGCAGCTTGATGATGTGCGAGGTGAGTAGATGCTTTCCGAGACGTACCGGTCTTCGTTGAAAACCGTTCCCAGGAGACGAGATCGGAAGCGTCGAAATCGACGTCGCCTTCGCGAGGCTAGCACAGGATCGCCTCGAAGAAGCCGCACCATACATCGGTCTCGACCCGGACACCATACCAGCCGTCGTAAAGAAGATGTGCAAAGGCGCATTCAAAATCGTAAAAGAGGAGTATGGAAACGAAGACTCTGTCCACCTCGCCGTGAGCACCATACCCATTCCGGACATGTCCAACCGCGTGTCATCGGAACTGGGTGGCGTCCAAAGAGGCAGGCTAGTCCTGAAAATGTGAGCCAGAACACTATGCTCTGCCCACCAGCGCCTGCTTGCGTATCGGCTGACAGAGTCTTCAGGTCCGAAGTAAAAGAGATGTTCGACGCGCAGCTGGAAAAGATGTACGGGCTCATCGACTGGCAACTGAACAGGATGCGGTCAGTCGCGCCGCACGACCAAGTGGTAAGTAACCGCCCAAAGGGGTTTTTGATGTGTGTTTCTGATGGAACTCAGAAATACCTGGTGCTCTCGGGAGGGTTGGGTAGTTCCGAGTACGTCTTCAAACAGTTGGAGAAGCGGTACATCCATGAGCGGCCGAACCTTTACGCACCCCATTTGAGGATAGTGACCACCAATTACCCGTAAGAAACCATTGCAGCATGTGAAGACTGAAGGCTGATGGACACAGACACCTTTCCGTTGTCAAGGGTCTGTTGATAGACAGACTCCAGAAGCTCAAGTTCGACAAGTCCGTTCTCAGAGCTCGAAAGTGCCGGCAATCGTTGGGGATCGTTTGCGAACAGGTGTATGATCCCAGTCAGCATAAAGGAGCGAAGCTGAAGGTCGATCCGGTCGACGGCTTGACATATGCGGTTGACCAGGTCAGCTGGTTTATCCGACAGGTACGTTCCAATCTGATTGCCGCAGGCTCATCATCTTACAGTGCCAGGGTGACCTGATAGAGAGCGGGGCAATTGAAAAGCCCTTCTATCGTAACCTCGCAAAAGGTGGCTCGCGAGAGCCATACACAAGCAGGATCGTGATCTGCAATTCGAGGCCCGGCTCGCTCCCGACAAGCTTGAAAGACGGTGCGTCTGCGGCGTTCTCTGTTCCAGGTGCCACTGGATTGACTAACCACTGCAGATGGAATTGAGCTGTGCTGCGTCATGAATTCTGATCTGTCGAAGATTGACGTCCAGAATTTCGACAAGGTGAAGAAGCACTGGTGGCAGTTGAAGAAACCGCCATCCTACTACAAAGTCGCCTATGGGATCAAATTCATCCTGAACGCCGCCAACATTGAAAGCGAATTGTGGTTCGACGGCAAGAAATATAACGAGCCTAGTTCGTTTCGCGTGCATTTTGAAAGCGGCATGTGGCGACCTCGGCCAAAGGAGCATCTTTCGGGGAGTGGAGCGGATTTGACATCTTAGCAGTTAGGAATGGGCTGAGTCACGGACAAGCAATCGGAGCGTGTTAGATCGTGTACGTGCGTACGTGTGTCGAGTGCCTCGGAGGGGCTTCAGGAAACCACGAGAGATTCCAAACGCGGAGTACGGAGTATTGCCGCGAACATGATGTAGGGGAGCCGGATGCGTAGGCACCGCCTGGAGTACCTCGTATGGACGTAGGCGGCCAGGTACCAATGCTCTTTACTCTTTGAGCAAGCTCGGCAAGGCCGGGGTAAGGTACCGTAATTGGTTCGTTGCCTCATGGCGAGCAAGCACGCAATCGCCATATTGGGATTATGGGTTCATAAACCACGAGAGGGAGCATATTTACCCCTCCCATAAGTCTGCTGCCATTTTTATCCTTGTTGCCGATAAGGTCGCGATCCTGGACCTGGGGTGAGGCAGCCAACTACTGCGGGAGTTACTGATACAGCAGCATATCCATTGCGTGTAACCAATCACAGACCAGCGACAAGAGCCAGGATGTCTGCAATCCAGAAGAATGTTGAAGCGGCCTCAGAAGCATACTCGTCCTCGTTCAGCCAAGGGCATCTCGCTCTCCCACCAGCAAAGAAATATCTTGTCTTGACGTGCATGTAAGTCGCGCTGAACAGCGGGATCGGAATTCCTGCGACAGCCTGACAATATATCTCCCTTGTCGGTCGATGCTGATTGTCGGGCAGGGACGCTCGCATTGACCCAGCCCAAGCCTTTGGAATCAGGCTTGGAGACGCACATGTCATCCGCAATGTGAGAAGAGCTCCAGCCTAGCAAATAATCTCCAGATCAGACAGATGGCTACGCCCGTTCGACAACGAAAATGTCGGCTAATGCTACACAGGCAGGAGCGTCGGCGCAGGACGCATTGCGGAGTGTTATCATTTCGCAGCAGCTGGTCGGCACTCAGGAAATTGTCCTGGTCAAGCACACAGGCTGCGGTATGCTGACATTCAAGAACGAAGATGCATATGGCTTGGTTGACAAGAACCTCGGGTAGAGCTTTCAGAAGTCAGTTCTAGCGCTTGACTGACACGGCGTAGATCCGAGGCAGCAGCGGAGCTCAAATCCCGCGGACTGGACTTTCTTCCGTTTCCACAGCTGGAAGATGCTGTAAAAGACGACGTGGAGTGTCTCAAGAATACCAAGTTGGTACCGGACAGCGTCGCCATTAGTGGCTGGATCTATGAAGTCGAAACGGGCAAAACCCGCAGAGTCGTCTGATGCTGCAAGGGTAACATGCCACAAGAGGATCTCGGAAGATCATAATGATGTTGTCTGATGTGCGAGCTGAGTAGAGAATGGCCTATATGCATTGGCGGGTTAATAGTGCGAGTGTTTGGTGACTTTGTTGACTCCCAATGATACCCAAGGACCAGCTGCAACTTCACCACTGACTCCGTCTGTTGGTTTCCTGTCGTGTCGAGGATCCCTCGTGCCAGCACCAGAAAACAGGTGCACCAGGCGAGCATTGTAGCTGCTCGTTGAAGCTGCATATGATCGGCCATATTCAGAGACGAATAGTTATGGGTTTGATTAGAGTTTGCCTGATGCAGTCGACACAAATGGGGCGGACTTTCTCTCCCATCGCATATGGAGATAATCATGGTCGACATACCTCCGTGCCGGCCAGTGCAGGATGCATATGGTGTTGCCGAACCGTACCGTTCCGTACTAAGCGATCGCAAGCCAGACCTAGTCGCACGGAGGGGGGCCGGTCTCACATGCTTCGAGGAGCTACCAAGGCTCAATCAGTCAGACCACCCCACCGCCAGCGGGGCTGCTCGACAAGGGTGGCAAGGCGGCATTGACGCGGCCTGAGCGCTTATGTAATGACAGGGCTGGTTACGATTCGCTGGCCTCGATCTTGGTCCGAGATCTTCGGTACGTCCATGACGAGTCCTGATACAAAGGAAGTGCGCTGCCGAGCCTGCTGCGCCCAGGACCAAGAAACACAGTTCTTGGACTTGCGTTGTCCAAGACATGATCAAAAGATGTACGTAGTCCAAGAGTTGAGCGTGGTAAAAGACCTCACTTGTCTCTTCGGTCGTACTGCACATTCTCTGCTTGGTCTGTAACGATGTTGCCGTTCCGTCGCGCAGGATAAGGAGTATTCAGTGTCACTCAACAACTCACGTGGCAGCTGGTTGAGCATGGCGCAACCCAGTCTCGAAATCTCCCAGCATGAGCCCAGACCTCGAGACCCGCACAATCCGAGCGACGAAAAGACCCTCGAACAGCAGGCGTCGGGCACCGCAGCATCGATAACAGCACCTCCTCCAGCGAATAATTCGACATTGGAAAACTTCAATTCGTTGACCCATCGAGATGGACGAGAGCGTCTTGAAGAGCCACCAGCTCTGCCGTTTAACATGCGAGACCACAAAATGTCTGTGTCCATATTTACGCTTCTGGTGGTCGCTGAGTGTACCGTCGTCCCGCTGACTCTATACTATGGGCTGAAGTATGGCACCACCATGAGATCTGGTAAGTTCCGCCTTCCAGAGAGCAGGCAAGCTTAAGGGAGAGACTGAGACATGTTGCCAGGCATTTATTTTGCCATCATTACCAGTCTTTTTGGCTTCGTTACCGGGTATGAATTCGGCATCCGAGCGTGGCGCCTAGTTCGCAAAACCGACGAATACCGGCCATTGTTTGGAAGTCCACGATTTTGGGGATTTGACAGTACTCACTATGTGCTGACGATTCCCTTTACCGTGATGCTGGTCATCATGATCATCTTCAGTATCCCTCACCATCCTTCCGTGAGAGCTCTGTCAATACCAATGCCTGTTGGTATGATCGTGACAGGCATAATGTTTGTGATCAATGGATGGGCTGCGCAAAGGAGTTGGAGGTTGATGTACTTCAGACTCAGTTCGCATGTGAAGAACTCAATCTGTCCACCTCTCACATTCTGCTTGTTGGAAGACATCTGCGCCGTGGATGGGAAAGGAGGAAAGAAGTTTCGAACTGCGGCTCTAGCCAGATACCAGGCTTCCCCACGCTTCCGAGCGCTGTTGTTGCAGTTGCAGTGGTTCTGGTCCATCCCGGCCATCGTGATCGGGGTTGTTCTCATGATCGTGATTTATGTCACAACTGATGACATAGCTTATGGTGAGTCTTCTTCAAACCCAGTCTATGCCGGGCAAGACGACTGTCTCCTTGTTCCTCAAGCTGTGGAATCAGATTGCTGATACGTCTTCGCGAGAAACATTAGGTGTTGGCTGGGGTATGCCTACCATCTGGGCTCTTGTATGGACATGGGTTACCGTTGAATGGGTGAGGAGAGCATTGCAAGTCGAAAAGGAATGCTGGAAGCCGGAGACGTCGCAAATAGTGTAATCGCGCCACGCGGCGTAGGTTTCTCACCATGGCTATGTATTGGTTGCAGTATCCAAATATGGCATGGCCTCAGTCGAGTTGACTCAAAGACGGCCCTCGTGGATGAGCACCGGTATCTACTTGTCGGATCCATTCGAGCGCACGTTGAATGTATTTGTCCTCCTTCGTTCCGAGCCGTGAAGCGGTCTCGTCGTGCGCTTGTACAAATGGGTCGGTCACTGATTCGACGATGTCAATGGTAACGGCTCGGGCTTCACCAGCCTTCTTCAGACATAGCTCCAAGTCGCCTAGGTACATTGCTTCGGCTGATTCGTCGATGAGCTCTGAGATGTGGCGAGTCCGCATGAGCAAGGTATCCAGCTGAGCTGCGTAAGGCGCCGCGTTACCTTGCCCTGCTGGGAATTTCTCAAGCCGTTGCTTGATCACCACATGAACACTTTGTGGAATTCGGCTCAGGACCTTCAACGCTTGTTCCTTGACGCCTGCAGATATGGCGGCACGGTCCTTGTCGCCGGTATCATCGGATGCGTCGTCGTCGCTGTGTGCACCCCCTAGTAAGTCATCGTCAACAACGTCGTCTTCCGGATCCCATTCTTCTAGTTCTTCCACCGCGTCTTTCATCAAGTCGAGCCACTGTTTCGCCCTCTTGGTAACAAATCCATGAACTCCTTCTGAAGCCAACGGAATCAAATTGTCGCAATCATCCCAAATCTTGCCTGTTGCTTCTGTGAACGGTTTCTTGGCCGAGTCCTGAAGCGATACTGTCAAGCTGCTATCACGACTTCGCACCTCTAGCAGTTCCAAAAGTGTTTTCAGATCACGAAAGGTCACAGCAGCCAGATTGCGGCACTCCGCGGAGAACGAAGGCGTGAATAGCTCCGGTGTTGCGAGTAACGCAGCCGTCACCAGGGACGTAAGAATCGACTCATTGAGGGGCGCCAAGCACGTTGTAACCGCACTCGCAGTGAAAGGAGCTGTAATGGCCAGTAGCGACAGCTTGGTGACTTGAGCTCTGAGAGTCGTCACAGCAGCATGCAGAAGGACCAGAGGAGAGGGCGCAGTTGGTTGTGTCCGAGGCACCTCAAACGGAGCGTCTGGAGACAAGGAGGCCGCAAACCGCTGGCAGAGAGCAATACAAGTCTGTAGCGTCGCAGGGAGCGACGCCTGCCCGATGGCATTCATGACTGCCGTCGCTGAGAGATCCGATAGATATGGCTGTTACGAGGACGAGGAAGCCACTTGCTGGCTCACCAAACGCGCGAAACAAATTCAGTGGGGCAAATGTGGCGGGGAAATATTGATCCGTTACAGAGCCTCAACTGACGTCACCGATATCTGCTTCAGGTCCAGGCCACCAGAGGCGGAAATCAACACTTGCGCATCTATGGAGTCTCACGCGTTTGTATGCGAAGTACAAGGACCGTGTGTGATTTACTCCGAGTCCAATAAGCGGCTTCATTGTAGTATAGATTCCCTTCGACACACGTCGACCATGACCTTAGCAGCGAAGTGCCCGTGGGGATGTCGAGATTGCTGGACGATACCACGATCCACGGACATGTACGAGTGTCAACTTCCGCCGGCTGGTGATCGTCCGGATACGCGACTCCGGTGAACCATGAGCTCTGTGATAGGAAGAGACCTTCTTCTAGCGCTTGACCTGCTCGAGCAAGACACGTTGCGAGACTTGTTCATCGAGCGGCGATGGCCCAGAACTGGCAGCAAATCGCGGTGACTGCACAAGAGACTCTACTCAACCCAATACCTACTATCTGGCGGCTTCCCGACTGACGCACTTTCACGAGTGAATGAGCTCGATCATGTCCTCGCCGAGAAAGGCAAGCCGTTCCGCCCTCTTCACGGTCACCCCGTTGGACTCAAGGAAATCTTTCATACGAAAGACAAGAACCTGACCATGGGCTATGTGTCCGCGCTGGTATGACTTGGGTTTGCATACCCACCGCTGACATTATATAGACCACCCTGAGCGTTGGAAGAATCAGCCGACGACCGTCCATCTTGTGCAGCATCAGTTTAGCGACGAAGAGCTTCTCGCCGTGGCGGAAGTTGTCGATTAATTCTGTATCGACCGACAGAAAGCATCCTACACGCAGGCGCCGGGCCCTTGCTCGTCTTACTGTCCTTTCTACTAGATGTCACAGGGAGATGTCTGATGCTCTTTCAAAGGATACCCAGTGCCAGCAAGCTCAACTCGTATGGTTGATACCAGCCAAAGCCGAGCAGACGTCCTATGGACAATAACTCACTCCTGCCTCGCTCGCATGGCCATGAACGTGCTCCTTTTACATGGACCAATCGCGAAATTGCATCTCTCTTGCCATTTGGAGCAGCTTATCGGTTACCTCCATTGGATATTCAAGCACTTCCCGGCCTCGATGCGCATCTCCGCATTTCGTACACCGTATATCGTATGCAGTAAGAGTACAGCTTCTGGAAGCGGACTTCCTCTCATGCATCGAGTCAAAGAAGTAGGTGAATCTCGCTGCAGGCTCGTCAAAGTCCGAGACGCTTTAAAGACAGTTCAACTTCTCTTCAACGCTCAGTGCTTCAGTAACAGGTCGAGAACAAATATCCGAAGACTACGGTATATCGGACATGGCCCCTCACTCCAAACCACTCCCCAGCGTGGACACCCACGACCCACACCGACTCTGGGACTCGCGCCCAATCTTCAGCCACGTCGCCTCTTCGACAGGACAGACACGCATCGTCGCCACAGCGGGCCAAGTCGGCGCTGACCATGACCGCGTCGTCCCCGCGGACATTGACGAGCAAATCGCCCTTGCGTTCAAGAACCTGACGCGCTGCCTGGAGGCCGCAGGCGCCGGAGTCACCGATGTGTTCAAGCTAGTGTACTATATTGTGGACTATGACCCGAAGAACCGCCGACATACAAAGCATCTCAAAGCGTGGTTGAATGGGCACAGGCCTGCAACCACGCTTGTACCGGTGCCAGCGTTGGCAGATCCGGAGTTCAAATTCGAGGTCGAGGCCTATGCTGCTGTACGGCAGGAGCCGCTGCGGAATGTGGATGTCGTGATTGTAGGGGCTGGACTGAGTGGGCTGAAAGCTGCGTACGATCTGCAACAGAAGGGGGTTACCTGTGTGGTTGTCGAAGCGAGAGATCGCGTGGGCGGGAAGACCTGGTCCGTGGATCCTTTGGGTCAAGGGAAGTTCATTGACGTGGGTGCCGCTTGGATCAACGACACCAACCAAGCGAAGGTATATGAACTGGCTAACTTTCTCGGCCTGGAGCTTGTTACCCAAAGGACCCAAGGGAGTGTGATCCAGGAGGATCTTGCTGGGGTGATGGGCTTGTTTCCGTACGGTGGGACCCCCTCGAATGCGCCAGAGCCGAACGGCATCGCCAACCTGGTCTACATCCGCGAGCTATTCGAGAAGCTCTGTCAGCAGATTGATATTCGAGACCCCGTGGGATCGGGTGGCCAGTTCGATAAGATGACTCTGGAAGAATGGTGCAAGTCGGAGATCCAATCCGAGACCGCATCCGCGGCTGTCAATCTGTGGACGAGAGCAATGCTTGGTCTGGAGGCGTCAGAAGTCAGCGCGCTGTATTTCTTGGATTACTGCAAAAGTGGTGGCGGACTGCTGCAGATGAGGTCCGATTTCAAGCACGGCGGGCAATATCTCCGGTTCATCAAAGGTGAGCACCATCGACTGGTCGATGAACTGATGCAGAGACTGACCGTCGGTGACAGGCACCCAGTCGATGTCGCTTGGCCTGGCGGACAAGCTGCACCCTGGCTCGGTCGTTCTCAACTCGCCTGTCCGCCGCGTCTCGCAGACCGCAGATGGGATTTACGTCTCGGCAGGTCGAGGCGACTTCACGTGCAAAAGAGTCATCGTCTCGGTACCGACTGTTCTATATAAGGAGATTACCTTTGACCCGCCTTTACCTGCCGCCAAGGTGGAACTGGGAAAGCACAACGTCCACGGCTACACGCTCAAGGTTATGGTCAGTTACTCTGAACCGTGGTGGCGCAAGAAGGGATTGTCTGGTGCCATCATGTCCTTTATCGGGCCCATCACGACGTGCCGCGACTCTAGCAACGACGAGATCGGCCAGTTCAGCTTGACGTGCTTTACCAACGGCGACTTAGGCCGGAAGGGCTCTCTCCTGCCGAAAAAAGAGAGATTCAAGTCTATCGTGGCTCACATCAAGCGCCTTTACGCGTCGTACGTGGACGTGCCGGAGCCGATTGCCGTCACGGAGCATGAATGGGCGAGCGATCAATGGGCTCAGGGGTGTCCATGTCCTGCCTCGCCGCCAGGGGTCATGACCAAGTACAACCACGCCTTGAGGACAACTCACGGGAAAGTGCACTTTATCGGGACGGAGACTGCGTATGAGTGGAAGGGATACATGGACGGTGCCATCCGATCTGGTGAAAGGGGCGCGAAAGAAGTGATTGAAGCTTTTGGACGGGCGAAGCTGTGAATGAAGGCATCAGTACCCAGTTAAACTTACTTACTGGCCTCGTGTACTGTACCTCAAAGCCAGCCTCAGACTCTAACCACGCAGCACTCTGCTGTGCACACAGGAGTTCTAGTATTGAAGTTGCAAAACACCACTAGTCGATACTTACACTGTACTTGACCAGCAGCATATCTTTATCCTTGAGCAGCCCGCATCTGCATAATCATGCCAGGTGGTCACTGCTTACCTCTCGCAGCGCCCCTATTGGTGGGCTCCCATGGTCCAGGGGCCTCCCCGATCGCGGCTTGCAGCCCTGTGGCTGCTGACTCGGTTGGCTACGGGGGCGGGAGGCCTATCGATTGGGCAGCACGCCTAGCGGACTCCGCGTTAGCATGGTGGAGAAGCCTAACCACCGGGCCAGGGCCCTGCGCGTGTCACTGGTTCCCTAACGCGGCCTCCTATATCTCACCTCGCACTCCTATTTTTGTACGCGAGTCAAAATTACTGTGTACTCTCCTGACCGCAGGCACCGTTGACATTCATTTCAATCCCTCTTCGATTCGCGCTCTTCACCTTGTAATAATTTCTGGTCTATCGCACTGATCACCTTCTCACAAGCGCAGTTGGTGGAACGAGACCGAATAGCCAAGCAGGACCGGAAAGATGGGCTACAACACTCAGCTTCAGAGCAAATTCGCTCACAAGGTCGGCGAGCCCGTGCCCGAGTTCAATACTGAGTATGTTCTTCCTCTCCCAAGGATGGGTCCTCTCATCTTCGTCCGAGACCGCTGACTTGGTGATTCAGATTCCCCGCCCACCCTGGCATCGTCCACTTCCCAATCGCCTTCAACACCCTGGCATGGGGCCTCGACATTCTCTACTTCGTCACCACGACATTCAAGCCCGAGTTCCTGACCAGCCGTTTCGGTGCCCCCACGACGTTGCTTGACATGACCCGTGTCTCGTATTTCCTCCTCTGCGCCGGCTTGATCACCACCGTCCCGGCCATCATGTCCGGTAACATCCAGTTGGTGGGCATGATCAAGAAGAACGGCGGCCCCTGGGAAAAGGACGCGGCGGGCAAAGCCAAGAACACCATGGTGCCGAGGATCAAGGCCACCATTACGCACGCAATCATCAACGATCTGATATTCGTGGCCAACCTTTATAGTTGGTATCTGAGGAAGGACAAGGCGGGCGCGGTCAACCTGGGCAAGATCCCCAGCAGCACGAATCTCATCATCAGCGCGGTGCTCCTGCCTTTCTTGATCATTTCGGCCAAGATCGGCGGCACTCTTGTGTTCAACCACGGTGTGGGTTTGAATTTGGGAAGAAAGAAGTTCGAGTAGAGCTGAGAACAGTTCACGCCACCTGCAGAAAGTCGCGCAAGGAGCGGAGAATGGACACAAGGCGCGACGCCGTGACGCGAGAGTTGCTGCTCGCGTCTTTGCTCGGGAGACGGCTAGGGCGGTTCTAAAATTCTGGGTTAGCGAGCAGGAGAACCAGGGTACGCATTGACGAGGTCGTGGAGCGGTGCGCGTAGCACGTATCGATACCAACGATCAGTGGCGCGGTTCTGAGTACAGTACCAGATGAGTTCAACGCGCGTACGAAACGGGTAGAGTGGACGAATAAGAGTTGGCCGGGACTTTCTGCTCATGGAGCGATGAAAAATCAAACGCTACAGAGTTTCAGGTTGGATAGTACAATACGTAGTGAATTCTTAATCTGTTTGTGCACGGGGTAAGTGGACAGAGATCTACCAAGTACGAAGTATAGAGGACACACGGATCATAAAGAATACAAGTACGGAGTACATAGTCCGTGTCTCTCTTCCAGCCGGCGGTACTCCAACTTACCTGCAGCGCGGACGAGACCGCGCGGCAGGCAGGCCACGGGGATACAGAAGTCAGTCGAATGAGACGGGAGGTTGCCGGAAATCCCCCGATCAGACAGTACAGTACTTTGAATCTGCAACGACTCGATGCTGCAGGAATCATCAACCAAGAATCAGATTGCTTGAGAGAGGAGCTTTGCCTCCACGGCGAGGTCTGCTCACGAAGCAGGCCGCCCAGCTCGGCTTACAGTAAATCATGGACGACACGACGGACTTCGCAGACCACGTGCCACCGCCACCTGGTCCTCCGCCGTTGTTATCAGAACCTCAAATGCTCCAGCTCGCGCAGCAGGGTTGGCTATCCTTGCCGCTGCCTGCACAAACGGCAGGGACCTTAGCTGAACTTATGGCTACTTCGGCCGCGTTTTTCGATCAGCAGGATCACGTCAAGGCGAGGGCATATCCCTCTTCCAAGGCTGGCACTGAGTTCGGATACTACAAGGTGGAGAAGGAGAAAGAGTATGTGAGTATGTCACTTTCCGCTGTCGGGTGCATACTGCTACCACGTCGCAAGGCGGGAATGTCGCACCGCTGCACCACAGCTTGGGGGACACCGCAGCCAGGGCATGGCAAGAGCGTGCGCTTCTCCTGTTCCGCATCCTGTGTGACTTGACGCGCTGGTGCCACTTTGACACGCTGCCGCCGCCGTCGTCGCTGTGGTCTTCCGTGTGGAATGACATTCTCGACGGCACCCTGAAGATGCCTGCCTCAGAAGATCAAATGACATACACTTTGCTGCGCCTATTTCGGTACGTTCCAGCCACTGGGGTTGCCGAAACGCACATCGACCTAGGATTATTGACGCTCTGCGTGGGTGATCGTGAAGGGCTGGAAGTTCTAGATCGACAACACTCCACAAACGAACGGCCCGTCTGGATCAACTTGAATGCTGCAGGTGCGGTTGAAGCTGCGGGTGAAGCACGTGTGGCGACCATCCTGGTTGGGCAGACGCTCAGGGCTTTGTCCCAGAGGACGTTCAACGCGGGCATACATCGTGTGGTTGGCAATGCGGAGGGAAGACACAGTGTGGTGTTTGCGCTCCGCCATTCATCAAGACATGATGTTGATCTCGGCTTGTTTGGTGGCAAGGGACGTGTCAGGGCCAGCGAGCTCTACAGGTTTATCGAGGTTGGGAAGGTTAATATCAACACTGTCAAGAAAAGGAGGGATGCCCAGCGAGCTGAGGACGTGAAGGGAAGGCTCGCGAAGTCAGCATTGGCAAGGTAGGTATGAACGAACGGTTACAAGGGAGCAAGGGGGAGCTAGGGGATGGGAGGCTTAGTTGCGGTTTCCCTGCCTCTCTTGCTGTCATCGCTTGTATATGCAGCATGAGTACCTCGTCACATGTCAGTGGGTGGTGTTTTCTATTCGTGGTGTATGCCTGGCAGTATGTGTATGCCTGTGTTAGGTGTATGCACATTAAATGGTTGTACTCCGTGTCTATCTGGGCATATACCTTCACATGCTCCCGCCGAGCGATGAAATCGCAGTCATGGGGTGCGTCCCTGGGCTGAACAGCGACAGTCTCGGTCCAGGTCCGTGTGATGCAGCGGAGCGCAGCTGATCCAGACCTACAGAGCCTCAACCTCTCCGTCCTCTTCCCGTCATTTACTTTATTCAGCCGTCTATTTCAGATCTTAAACCTCCATTTCCGGCGCACGAACGACCCTTTGCAGCCAACTCATTCCCTTCCAATAAGCCTCCCTCCCAGTTTGAAGCTCTATGCTTATCTTGTGTCAGACTCGCCGGCCGCCTTACTGGTAGCCCTGCCCAGCCTCGTGTTCAGCCGCGCCACGGTGTGCTGCAGCCTGCGCAGAGCTGAACCTCCTCTACGTCGCGTAACACGAATGCCCTGTGGTTATCTGCCTTGTTCTCCCAGCGAGCGACATGTGAAAATCCAATGACTACAGAGGGTTGATCCCCAGCCTCTGACTGTAACCCTCATCTTGGCAGATCAGTCGGAGGACACACTGTGTCCTCCGTGCTGGGTTGGACTTGGTGCCACTCAAATTCAGCAGCCTCGCCTATCGAGTGTCCCGCTTTGCTCAGCGTCATCTTTCTTGCTTCAACAACCTACAGTACTGACCCCACTGTCACACACAACCACCGGGCGCATAACCACAATGGCGACGGCGGCAGCCCAGACGTCCAAACCCCTTCCCTACACGGCCAACCCTCTTCTCCTCATGTTCAACGACCTGGTCCTCTTCGTGCAAATCACCTTCACGTGGCCGATAACAGCTGGTCTCATGAGCATCGTGCTACCTCTACTCTCAACGAAGTCGGGACCCCTCGATGAGCTGGCTCTCACGGGGCCAAATCTGTGGGCTCTCTTTCAGCACTTGATTCTTATCATCGTGCAGATCTTGTTCCTCCTATCACTGATCCCGTTGGCGCTGTTTGGACTTCCCGTGTTCTATGTTCTCTATATTACTGGGTGTGTTGTGGGAAATCAGTGGATTTCGGGACTGCTGAACGGTCCAAGGCGGGAGGAACTATTCCAATCCCATCCCGACTGCGTGGCGGGAGACTGGCCAAAGCATGAGGGTGAGAAATGGGTCTTTATTAACGGTGTTGCGGTGGGGTCAGCATCTTCCCTATGGCTCTTTGGCGTAGACGTCTGTGACAGCTGACAACTAGGCAGGAGTCACTGGCTGCAATCGAATCTCGACCTCCTCGCTATGACCTTTCGTCGTCCCGTATTCGGCATACATAACCAGACGTAAGTTTTGGCTACTTCTTCTTTCCGTCGAGACTCACAGCATGTGATCTTACTGTGCTAATCTCCCTCCGTACACCAGCCGCGGCATCATCTTCGACGTCCTCGAGTGCATCATCCAGCGCGATCTGAGCTTCGCGACAACAGACATCCGCACAGCATACGCCGCAATACTGGAAATTCTCCAGGACGACAAAATCCACAAGGTGGTGTTAATCCTGCACAGCCAGGGCGGCATCGAGGGTGGGTTGGTGTTGGACTGGCTCTACGACACCGTCGCCGCGGATCAGCTTCGCAAGCTGGAGATCTATACCTTTGGCAACGCGGCGAATCATTGGAATGCGCCCGTCATCTCGTCGGGGACGTCAAGGTCAACCACAAATACCTCGGGTGTGGGAGGCGGCACCCCCACCGAAGCGGGAGACAGCACGACGAGCCAAACACGAAGAATCGTCCAGCACATTGAGCATTACGCCAACGAAGGCGACTATGTCTCCAAGTTTGGCATCCTACACTTCCGGCCCGATCAGGCGAGGCCGATGGCGAACGCAGATGTACCACAACCGCTACCGTCACCAGCACTACCCGCGTCCAGGAATTCCACCACGACCGTGAAGCCGAAGACCAAGGCGTCAACTTCCCCTTCACCACCACGGGCTTCAAAGCTCCAGACCGACACCGAGTCTGATTCTGTCCCGCGCGCCCACACCTGGTCAACGTCGCCTCAGACGCCCATCGAAAGGAACGACCTACAGCACCGCGCGCAGGACAACAACAGGTTTTTTGGGAAATTGTTCAAGCGCGCCAGTTCAGGACACATGCTCAACCAGCATTACCTGGGCAATCTCTTTGAGATGGAAGGTCTGGACTACCCGCGAGATCGGTCACGGGGGCGAGTCAAGAGCGGGAACGCATTCATGGACCAAGTGGTCGATATGGCCGTGTTCGAGGGGTCGGATACCGTGCAGGCGGCGCGGGAGGGACGACCGAGCGACGGAAACGGGGAAGGGCTTGGACTTGGAGCAGAAGATGGCTTAAGCGGAATTCAGATCAAACAGCTGAGTCGACTTTGGGGGTATTGTAATGGGGGGAGTCCGGGGGATTGATCTGGGAGCGAAGACCGGCATATAGTATAATCAATCTCCTTGTCGGAGGGGTTAGGACTTGGCAGTCCAGTTTTGAGCTGTGGAGTGTAGAGGTATGAATTCTGAGATGTGACTTCTGAGGTGTGAGTTCTGTGTAGGATGCGAGCTACGTATCAGCTGTGCGGCATCAGCGAGCGTGGTGATTATTTATGATATGAAATGGAGAAGGATATGTACGGCCACGACGTACTGGTATACTACAGCACATTGAATATAGTACGGAGATAGCCCAAGGTTTGACGCTGGGAGCGACATATATTTACTCGCGACTACTATACTGTCCTGCAACCCAGACAAGATATCCATACAGTACGGAGTCCATGCATGGTCTGATCCCTATACAGTGCCCGCGTACTCCGTACGGGGGACTTGATCAGCGACAATGTCCCGAGCTACAGGAATTAGCTTGCTCTTTACTGCTTGGTGGCTTGCTGTCCAACGGGCACAGATTAATACATAGGTATGTATCAGATCCTGTCGTGAACATTAATTAAACATTCTTCACTCGCCTATTTTACTATGTTACTCTGGGATGGCTCCGACTGCCCTCAGGCTCTCAGGGATTGGGTAATTATGTACTCGTTTGCGCCCAAGTATCTCTTTCTTGCCATGCAGCCCCTCCAAGTCAAGACTCACAAGTTTCTTCAGTCTCCTTCACATAATACGTAGGGAGGTCCCCCTTTTTGCCCCCCACTTCCTGTCCGTCCTCATTAGGTAGCCAGCAGGCATCCGGCCCTCCCATTCATTCCATACTATCTGCCAGCTGGCCTATGCCCTCCCACCCATTCATTTCTCACTCCCAGCGTTCTGGCTGCCTACAGAAACCCCCCGACCCCACCCTCGAACCTCTCAAACAAACTCAGATCAAACGTCTCGGCCACCCTATGGTACCCGGCCTCATTAGGATGCAAGTAATCCCCCGACTGCAGCGCGTCGGCCAACTGGCTAGGAAAGCTCTGGTTCCTCAACACGGCATCAAAGTCGAGGACCGCGTCAAAGGTGCCCGAATTGCGGATAAAGTCGTTGACCTTCTGCCGCGTCTGTTCGCGCAGCGGGTCCGAATACGATTGCGCCGTCTTGTTGTAGCCTGGGGCTGAGAAGGGCGTGATGGTCGCGCCGAAGAGCGGGATGCCCATGGCGTGCACGCGCCGGGCAATCTGGATGTACCCCGAGATCAGGGCGTCGTAGAGCATCGTTTGGTTGGAGGCCGTGGGGTCTGCAGTGCCGATGTCGTTGACGCCCTAAGTAATCAATGGTAAGCAATTGGATTGGGTGAGGTATGGCGTGTCCAGAGGCTCTACTGTATGTAAGACATGGATCATGGGTTTACAGTTGTAATGGTAAATGGGGATTGTAGATGTAGATCATCATTCGTGAAGAGACGTATTGACGCGTCCGGGGATCCAATTCTGGTCAAGTTCAGAGAATCGGAATGGGATCGCCATCACCTGGACTTCCGAACCCCATGGCGGGGATATTCTTCTTATTAAATCAGGATGCTCAGTCTTACCTCGAAAATCATCACCCACCGAATGGCAGGGTGAGAGAGGACATCGCGCTCAAGGCGTGAAAGGACGCTCGGTCCTAGTCCGTCGTGAAGAATCCGGTTTCCGCCCGCGGCTTGGTTGATGAATGAGATTGATGTTAGAGCCGACGAGTTCGATGCCGCCATGCGCGCATACACCAGATCAGGCCAGCGGTTGTTCTGGTCCGTGTCGCTGCCGCGACCGTCGGTGATGCTGTCGCCTATGATGGCCCAGGTGCGGTAGTCGGGAGGAGACCATGCCTCGACGGCGGAGAGGAAGTACCTTGACGCGTACAGAAATTAGAGATACGTGCTTACAAGTAATAATGGTGACAGAAAGACAGAGGGGAATGTGAATGAATATGCGGGTGCGACCACGGACTAGCCGTACCAATGCGCGGTACTGTTCAACAACGGCCCCGTCAAATTCGTGGCACCGACTTGATTGCCCATGGTAAACCACGAAGTCGCCCTACTACCCGGATGGCTCGTGATGGCGGTCCCGTTCTGCCCTGCCGCTAGGTATAGCGTCACGGAGATGGTGGACAGGGGCTGGACGGGGAAGTTCAACGGATCAGACACGGCGAGAGCACCATTGGGAATGGTGATGCCTGGGTTTCCGCCACTGAATGTCACGGTTTGGACGGTTGAAGGCTGGATTGCGCTGACGCCGGAAGACCCGTTGAAGGGCAGAGCTACAGTCATGGCCGTGATGGGCAGATCTGTGAGGCCAAAGGCGTTGGAGATTCGGATCCGGATCTGCTCGGCGCCGGTTGACATGTGCAGCGTCTGGCGGATCGTGCTGTTGTAGAACTGATTGGCGGTGTTGTTCTGGTAGAAAGTGTCAGTATGTCATTAGATGCCGGTCCGGATAGCGAAGCTCGCCGGTCTCGAGCCTCGAACCTCAGATCCTTACATATGGAGGCGGAGGAAGGTTCGTATACTCCGTCAACTGCGGCATTGCTGCCCAGGTATCGATCCAGTGGCCGTTGGGTATGCTAGGGATGGTGACGAGAGCTTGCCTAGCCTGCGGTCTGGGCAGAGCATTGCTGATGGCGCTGAGGTATGTTAAGAGTATAACGAGAGTAGAAACCCAGAATCTTTGGACACCCATCTTGATGGCTCACTTACGAAGGTTAACTTAGTCGCCTACCCTTGCCTGCAACCGCGAGAGCTTCGAAAGCTTGGCCATAGCATTTAATATAGCTATCAGAACTATGCGCAAGACCCTTGTAGCTCTTGGTTGAACCTGCCGTGGAGAATCTGGGGTATGCTCAACGTTGTGGGAGTTTAGCCTAAATCTCCGGCTTGATGTGGCCGTTCGACCGCCTCGGTTTTCATCCATGTTCCTGCATAGACCAGCAGTCGTGGGTGTATGACTGTGGGGTATGTAGCTTCGTCATCACGGCAGACATGGGACATCATGTTGTCTGGACCTGCCTGAAGTGGCCTGGGCAAAATGACGGATGAATATACAAGGACACCGCGTGGAGCTTGAGGTGGCAATGATCGTCGATTCTATGCTGTGTAAATAGCCGCAGGCGATTTGAGCCGCATAAGAAGAGAAGGGCCAGATGTCCGCATCGTACTCATACTGGGGTATATGTTGCGGGGTTACGAGGTAGAAGTGCGTCTGAAGTGCAGCTGAAGTGAAGGTAATGGCAGTATGATGATGTCGAGTTTCGCAGGCTACCCGGAGAAACATTTTTCCACAGACCGGAGAATCATCTTCCAGCGACAGGTACGGAGTACATTTGAGTCACCGTTCACTCAAGTAAGTGATTCTCCTGCAGAAGGTAGTAGAAATCCGAATGAGAATCGAGGCTCTCTTGATGAGGGAGGGTTCGAGTGGGAGCGCACAGGAGAGCAGACCAGACCTTTCACGCTTCGTTCTTGGCTGGGTGATTTTTCCCGAAGTGAACAGACGCCAGGACTCGTAGTTGAAATGATCAGAAGCTGAATTGCTTGTGCTTCCATTTTAAGTAGCTAAGAAATCTCGGAGGCCTCTCGAAGGCCCAGGGAGTCGGAAGAAAACCAACAGAGCCCGTCTCTCAAGACAAGACCAATTGCTGGCGAAATCATTCGCTCTAGTAATAACATGCAGCCGTCAATGGCGACCACGGTCCCATCCTGAACCGATCCGATACCGTATCGGGTCATTTAATCATCTTCGAAGATGGGTTATGAAAATCGTGAGTAGACGTAGTCTATTTGAACTTTTGGCATTCTCTTGTCGAAACTGCTGACGCGACAACAAGTTGATCAAATGCGGCGGCCTCCAGGCGAGCGACTATGCATCTCATAGCCGTCCGTTCGCGGTCGGGGCTTTTCGCCCGGCAGAGGTTGAGCAAACTCTCCTTTTGTTGATGCTTTTGGCCATACCAGCACCGCAATGTAGACCAAGACTACGACCACGGCGAACACGCTGTAGACGGCAACGGCAGAGCTGGGGACATTAGGGGTGCCAATATTCCCGGCAGTCCTGAAGCCCAGGCCGCCATTGACGACGCCCACAAGGATCAAGGCACGACCAACCCAGCGGTGTAAGTGACCAAAGATGCTGCGGTTGCCGACCTTCCGGAAGTGGAGATGCTGAAGTAGACCCAGAGTCGGTTGGAAGGCAACCATCCAGGCGACGAGAAGATAGCCGATGACCATGTGGTAGCCATCCAGGTTGTGGACTTGATTTCCGAGTCTGACTCCTAGGCCGAGACCGGCAAGCATGAGGATAATGGTGACCACCTGTAGTGGAGCGTGAATGTATCGAACTTTATTGCTGTACGGCAGATAGAGTGTCAATGCCGCCAAGGGGAACAGCACGACGAAGACGAGAGACATGATAGTGGCGTGACCGATTCGGACGCTGTCATCGGGGCCCCTGCTCACAGTCGCATCCGATGACGAAGAATCCGACGACGAAGGGTCGGAGCTTGCGATAGGGTTGGATACTGGGCCAGTCGCTGTGGCCACCGTGCTGGTGGTAGCTGTCTCTGTCTCTGTTTCGGGGGCCTGCGTCCCACTGGCTGTTTGGGATGGAGAGCCAGATTCAGTTGCCGATGCGGATGGCGATGGCGATGGCGATGGCGATTCCGCCGCCGCCACGAAGGGGTTGGAAGAGCTGCCACCAATACCTTTAGTCAAGTCCAGGGTGAAACCACTATTGCTGTCATGCTGTGAAATTCCGGCACTCTGATCGGTCGAGTCCATCGGATCTCCGCCTTTGTGGGCAACGATCCAACTGCTTGAGCTGTCGGTTGCATCCATGCTGCCTCCATTCCAGCTCAGGCAGGAGTCGCAACGGATGTTGGCAACGAGAGTGCCATCTGAAGTGATACCGCTTCCTTCGAGGACTGAAATTGACGCATCCGAGTTGAATTGAGGTTCCTGGTGGCCAGTACCTAATCTAGGAGAGACGGTCACGTTCGTGCTGTCGGCGGCATAGACGACGAGCATGTTGGAACCAGCCATGCGCGAGCCTTGCCCGAAACCAACCCATTCCGTCCCGCTTGGCGCGCTGATTTGGAGAAAGATCGAGCCGCTCCCTGACGAGGCTGTATCCGAGGGAATGTTGACTGATAAAGCATATTGATCGGAGACAAGCTGTGCGAACTGTGCTGACGAGCTAGCCACTATACAAGCCCGGTATCAGAATGAATACGCTTTATCGATAGAGGGAGAGCAACCATACCAAAGGCCATGCCGGCCAAGACGCTTGTCCGGACCATTGCGTTTTGACACAAGACTAGACGACGTTGATCAAGGATAGGAGACCCAGAAACGGGAGAGAGGCCTAAAGGCGATATGTATATGTGCTCTGTAAAGACGTGTGTTCAAGGGGATCTGAGAGTAACGAAGGGGATGCTCTTCTGCCCGCTTTAACGCGTCACGTTAGAATTTCGAGGTTGAGACGCGCGAATGGAATCCAAAGGGTTTTTAATCTCCTTCCCGTCTGGAGTCGAGGCGCCATTGATGCCGAAAGTTTGCATCCCTCGTCTCCAGGGCAGATTGCACAGCCAGCGTGCGGGATTGCGTGTCAAGTGGCTTGCCAAGGGGCTGGAGTACCGCGACAAGTGACAAGGCTCGCCTTAAAACACTAGTCTCCCCTTGTTGCAGGATTCCCGTTTCCGACGCGCCATGCCATGGGCATTACGCGGCAGCTGCAACAGACTTACCTTGTTCCTGATGAATTGACCGGCCGTCGATAGACCAACGTCGTTCTTGCATCACCTCAGGCTAGAGAGATGATCTGATTACCCACGGCCACAGAACATGCTGAACGGAGTGACTCCGGAGGTGCAGACGGACAAGGCTGGATCAGGAGGAATAAATAGAAACAATCCACAAGGGCTGAAGGGCAAATTGACGGATTCGGTGCTGGAACGGAGTCGACGCTCACAGGGGCACGCGGGCTGGGCGAGTCCTAGCGAACGAGCGGGTCCCCAGCCCGCGAACATGCTTGAGCTTGAGTGACGGCTTTCCGGCTTTAATGCGCTTAGCGCGACTTTATCGCACTAACGGAAGGCTTGGCGCAAATTCCTCTCCGCGAGGCCGAGCGTCCTCGTAACCTATAACAAATCGGTTGGCCAGCAGCGTGGAAGATGCTGGGCAATATGTGGGAGTGCCGGGTGGGATCATGCAAGGACTCGTGTCCATTGTCCATATCCATAGTCGCGGTTGGCGGTTGGCTATTGCTAATACCCTGATCTGGACATATACCAGGTACTCGTATCAGCCATAGCGTTCTTCATCCCGAGCACCGTGCATCAAAGGATTCTGCGGCGAGTCAAGGCGTGCGTCATGCTGTGGACGCATGGAGACGTCGGCACCACTCTCTGGGAACACGACGACGAGGCCCAACTACCGTTCACGGTAGCAGCCGTTTTCAGCAGGCACGTTAGGACATGATCGCCGTGACTTTGGCCCAGCTACTCCATTCTCTGCGGTCCACGGCCGTTCTCCAGATCTAAGTTCTGACGTTTCCAGCAGTTGGAATAGCTAAATTGCCTGTTTGAGAAGTCGTCAACTGCTTTGTCGTACGCAATTACCGATGGCATAACACGGAACTGTGGCAGTGTGTTAACAGGCAGGCTATCTCGTCGCTTCACTTTCCAATCACGACATCAGCACAACTTGTCGGACCACTTCGGAAGGCATGGAACTGGTCGACAATCATCATAGTTGCGATGATCGACGCCAATGCAACCGAACCAAGCGAGTACGAAAGAACTCAAGCATAGGGAGTATGCGTAGAGAACACGATAGTCAGCAGTCCGAAGGCAATAAACAATTGACTCATTATGTTTGGAATCCATGATCGTCTTGCTTGATTGGCCGTCAAATTGCAAGAAAGTGCTTTCTCTTCCATCCTGCCCAGGAAGATTGATCTCTGCACTGACCCTGATCTTTAAGCCGGTCCCTGCCTGGAGCCCCAACTGCTTTCAGGATGCGACCTATCCTTGGCATGATGCCAGAAGCCTGCCTGCATCCAAGCAGTGGAGGTGCTTCGTAATATCTCTGGCCTTCCACCCAGATGACGTGATAGACACTCCGAACAGAAGAAACAAGTCACCTTGTCTTCAACATGATCTCTTTGATCATCTCGTTCCCGAGCCTTACAGCATCGGGAAACCGGGGAGCAAAGTATCGTTGAATGCTCTCGAATCGGTCCCGATAAGCTTCGAAGGCGCCAAACGAGACACAGTCGGACCACGCCTACCCGACGAGGTCTTGTTAGCGCTCAAATTCGTGCATGCACCTATCACTGTACCTTCCCATCTCGGAGAATGGTGGGGTGCGGTGATTTAAAATCACCCTTCCGACCGACAACGATGCTCCTTTCCCAATATGCATATGGGAGGAGTCGAAGCCGGTCGGAAGGTGAGGACTTACTCTTGCCGCGAAAGTGAATTCGAGATCGTCTGAACGGAAAGTGTTATCCTCGATTGCTGTGTTGATGACCTCATCCAACAAGGTCTCATTGCGAAAGAGATATTCGGTAACGCCCAACCATATGCGGAACAGCTGTTGGTCGGGCTGTCAGAAATAGAAACGTAACTACTCTCCGTGCGGAGGGTCACTCACAGGTGTAGAACAAATCATATGGTCGTACGGGACAATGCCGAGTTTCCACCAACAGTCAACAATGCCCAACAGGCTGAGGTGGTTGTTCGGCGTTCTTTTATCTGGTCGTTTGGAGAGCGAGAACTTGTCCAGTACTTCATCGCCCAGCAACAGGTCCTGATTCACTGCATCTTTGGAGAACACGGCAGCACCTGCAGTCTTGATCCTGCGAGATAACGACTCTCGGTGACCGCCCAGCATGAGCTTGTAGAGTTCTGTAACCGACTGGGCATACTGGCGAATTTGCTGTTTGGCTGCAGGATTGAGAATTGCTAGGCCAGCGTAGACGTGCCACTTGTTTGCATATATTCGCAATGTGATATTGATCTTGACGTTCTCAATGCCCCCAACGTACCGGTCAATCTCCCAGGGAAACTGATTGTTTGCTGCCCAGGCTGTGCCCATGCTCAGAAAGGCCGCATGCGTGACAGCTTGTGTGTCTGCTGTGATCCGATCATGCTTTTCGCCAGACAGAAACACGAAAGTCGAGTTCAAACAAGACAAGACCCGAACACAGAGATCGACACTCTTCTGCGACGCGCGGTGTTGGATGACCACAAGAGGCTGGCCTGTCGGGTCTACCGCAGGCCCGTGGAGAGAATGGCAAGAGACGATTTCAACGTCATCGGGCAGATACTTATCAAATGCAGCCAGCTCAGGGGCTTTACAGGAAGTCTGTCCACCAACTATAGCGCCAACTTTGGTTGAAGGGCCATACTCGGCGACGATTTTCTCAATGAGCTCAGCTTCGACACTGTAGATAATCCAGTCGCTTGCTCTGGAAACAAGGTGACCATTGGGTAAGATATTTATTCCTCTCTATCTTTTGTCAATCATGTTCATCAACTCTGCTGACGAGACGAACCTCGTTCTCGTACTCTTCCCTCAGTGTCTGAAACTTGTCGGGACGGTCACAGGCGTTGACTCTACGTGCGATCTATCAGCTCTAGCACCTGACTGTGAAACAGGGAGACGGTTGGTTTCTGTAATGCAGGAGTCAGCTGAGGTTCACGTTGGAATTGGTAGGACGATGGCAATGTGTGTTGGTCTTCAGACGAGAAAAAAGTAAGGTAGCGAGGAGTTTACATCAGTGATAGCCGCCGCAACAGAAGGCAACATCAGAATGATGAAGCCATATCGCGAACAACCATGCTCGAGCCAAATGCACTCTGGGTCATCATGCGAGGGTGGGGAAGGACACATTGAGACGTACCTGTCCGAGAACAACATCTAGCCGTATCTTCAGAAGACTACGCAGATGCCTACCTCCAGCCCGCTTGACTGAACCTCCTCGCGTACATGCGACCCATGTCCCCCATGCCAATGATGCCAACCATAATGTGCTCCATGGCAGGCAGAGAACTAGTGAAATTTTCCGGGTCTCGAAATTAAAGAGCTGTTACTGAGAAAGCGCAGGTCGACGGCTTGAAGCCGACTAGACGATTCCAGTTCATCAAGATGAAGAGCATGACTCACACCAGCTGAGGAAGATGTGCCGTCTTATCCACGACCGAGAAATGTAGGGCTTCGAGGTGTGTTCTGACAGAAAATCTCCCGGCACGAAAGGTTTGCTTGACCCTGACGCGCGTTGGCGCCAAGCAGTGGAGCAAGCTGACTGGCTAAACCCCGGCTCCACTGCGACCGCACCACCATTTTCCACCTTCGAAATTGATTGACAACGAAATTATTTCCCACCTTCGCTATTCCACCGACAACACCACCAGCGGCTCTTCAAGATGGCTCCCAAAAAGAAGATTGAGCGCGCCGCAACCGAGAATGTCTCGCTCGGTCCGCAGGTCCGCGAGGGTGAGTAAACTGCCGGGACTGCACATGTATGAGCTGGGAGCTGATTGAGATCTCGTTGGATAGGTGAACTCGTCTTCGGCGTTGCGCGCATCTTCGCATCCTTCAACGATACCTTCGTTCATGTCACCGATCTGTCGTAAGTGAAAAGAACAAATATTAAGAGCAACACCTCCTAGTGAGGCGCGGATGGTCCATAGGCTAACAATCTGGGTGATTCCAGTGGCCGCGAAACCATCTGCCGAGTCACAGGAGGCATGAAAGTCAAGGCCGACCGTGACGAATCTTCTCCCTACGCCGCCATGTTGGCAGCTCAGGATGTCGCACAACGCTGCAAGGAATTGGGCATCACCGCTCTGCACATCAAGATCCGTGCTACTGGTGGAAATGGCACAAAGACCCCCGGTCCAGGTGCCCAGTCCGCTCTCCGTGCTTTGGCTCGCTCAGGAATGAAGATTGGAAGAATCGAGGATGTGACCCCCACGCCGTCTGACAGCACGAGACGCAAGGGTGGTCGCCGTGGTCGTCGTCTGTGAGTGTGTGCGACACTGGCTCGTGCATGGGATCTACTTTTACTACTTTCACGCCTTGCGGTAGAAAGGAACTTCAGACCCTGTGGAGGCGGGGATGATGGAATCGATAACAAATACGCGAAGAACGGCTCCTCTGCCTGGTCTTCAGCCGTGGCTTTCCTTGCGACCAACGATCGCATGGGAAAGTCCGCAGGCATGATGAAATAAATCTCAATGAAAGCCAAGAATTCTCGCGACCTCCTAGTCTCCGTAGGCAACCCCCATCCTCTCATCTACCTCCGGCGTCGTTAAGTACCAAGATGGCGTCGAACTCAATCATCCTCTCACTCCCGCCCAAGACGTTTGTAGGCTTAGACTTGCTGTCCTTCAACTCCTCGCCCAACTTTCTCGGCATCGCGAGAGTCCCGTCAGGCCTCCACTTCCTGTACACAGGGACTGACGCGTCACTGTCAATCCGGCATGGCAGATGGCTGAAACTTGGCGCAACCGCAGAGACACATGTTCTCGAATGGAATGGCGATACTGAGAGCCTTGACTTGGTGGACCCGAAGGATCCCTCTGCGCAGAATGCAACCACTTCGGCCTCGAATGGCCGTGGACTGGTCGATTACGCTGCTCTACAGAATGCGACATCGGACTTGGCAGCTCGCGAAGCCCAGAATGAAGATGCTGATGTAGGACACAATCGGCATTCAGCAGACGAGGGCCGCGTAGTATCTACAGACTGGCCTAGCATGACCACGCATATCACTCCTTCTTTACTCGATCGCGTGCTATCCCCCGACTGGCTCGTGTCATCAGTCTCCTCCGCGCCGCATGATACCGAAACCGTTCCCGGCCTTTCGCATCTAGAGGTCTCCAATGTCCTTGATCAACTTCCGCTCAACCTTCTGTCTATCAACCCAAAGCAGACCTGGGCGGAGGGCGATGTCGGTCGAATCAGAACCGACCGCGCGCGAGATCGAAGCTGGTACCTGACCCATCTTATCGAGAATGTTACTCCGGAGGGCAAGAACAGAGTATTCGGTGCCCGAGAAATACTAGGCGAACTGCAATTCTGCTTCCTCATGGTCCTGACTCTTGCAAATTACAGCTGCCTGGAGCAATGGAAGCGCTTACTTTCCGTCTTCTTCACATGTCGAACGGGGTTAGATGAGGTCGAGGAGTATTTTGTGCAAATGCTCAAAGTCCTACAGCTACAAGTGAGACATGTCGAGGACGTCGAAGGCGGGCTGTTCGATCTCAGGGACGAGAATGCCAGTTCCTGGTTACGATCGCTCTGGGCAAGGTTTAGAGGTGTAGTAGATGAGGCGGCCAAGGGGGAAAGGGAGACATTGAAAAAAGAGGTTGCTGACCTCCAGAAGTTGTTTGAGGACAAGTACGGCTGGCAGAGTGAGAGGGACCTTTTAAGGCGCGGGATGTTAGAATTGGAAGACGGCGAGCGGATCGAGGTGACTATGCCCGGTGTCGACGAAGACGAGGAAACGGGCGAATATGCTCCGGTCATTGTGGAAACCTAGAGTGTCAGCAAGTGTGGTGACGGTCGCACAAATTCTCGTTCTCGAGCCATGTTGCTACACACTGTGATGGAAATACCCGTTTTGAACTGAAGAATTGTGTTTTGCTCGATTGGTGGACGCAAACCCTCGGCTGGGCAGCCGTCACGAGTAGTTAAGCGCCTCGTTGCGTTCTATGATAGCACAGCAATATCAATCTTGATCTTGCCGACTCATGCATGTTCCGGTCATTCCGTCGATGTTGGAACAAGACCCAAGCTCGCCTCACGAACCCGGATCCTGAATGAACATGATCCTTAGGACGGGGACATCCTCGCCAGGATTCACCGGCATCACAACCTCAGCCATTCCCACCCACGCCCACACCCACACAGCACGCTCAACGATACGATTTCTGGTACCGCGCCCGGGCGCCGGGACCGCCAAACTTCTTGGGCTCACACCGTCTGTTGTCCGCAACGAGTAATGTACGATCATACTGCACTAGCGCCTGCTTCAGCTGGTTCTTGGTGTACTCGTCGACGTATTTCTGGTAGTAAGCCACGATGGACTTGGCGATGGCCTGGCGAATGGCATAGATTTGCGAGGTGTGGCCGCCGCCTGTGACGCGGACGCGGATGTCGACTTCGCTGAAGCGCTCGGGGCCAAGGATCAGGATGGGTTCGTAGACCTAAAAATGCGCACTATGTTAGGACCTGTTTAGGACTGTGGTCGTTGGGCGTTTCAATCTCATAAGGTGTGGATGCCTTCAGGTGCTGAAATCGTTTCTCGTTCGGTGTCTTACCTTGAAGCGGAGGATTTCAGGTTGGACGAGGTTGAGGGGCCGGCCATTGACCTTGACGAGGCCTTTGCCTTTCTGTTGCCGCATTGTTGGTCAGTCCTTCGATTCTTTCTTCCTGCCGATATATTGGGAGTTGCTGACCTTGCAGTGGGCGACTGCCGTGGCTGTCTTCTTCTTGCCGAAGCACTGTACGCTCTGTGGGGCCGACATAGTGACTGACGGCGAGGGCAGAGTCGATACAGTCGAATGGTGTTGAGTCGTGCGAACTTGAACTTTCGTGGTGGAGGAAATTCGCAGCGCAAGTGCGGTGGGTCTTGCCAAGTCCGGTAGCCAAGTTAAGCCGTGTTTGGCACTAGTGGAATTTCTTCTTCGCGACGAACGAACGCAAGCTCAATGTGATGCGGCTTCTTTTCGTGGGCAGGCTGGCCTGAAGGAACATTTGGTTATCAACTCATCCACCGCTCAGGACCTCTAAGTCTTGTGGACTGTCGACGAACCTCTCAGCCGGACGTCTTCTCCATATCTGATGTCAAGATAGCACTAGCCCGCCATGTCGCAAACGATAGGCAAGGTACACTCACTGCTGCCATTGAGGCCTATTGAGCAAAACTGATATTTCTCCGCAGACCCGTCTGGCCTACTCCCGCACATGGCATTACATCGACGTGGGCAGTGATTCTCGCCCGCTAGGCCGCGTGGCTTCCAGCATTGCGACTTTCCTCATGGGCAAGCATAAACCCATCTACGACCCTTCAACAGACTGCGGCGACTACGTCGTCGCCTGCGGCTGCCACGACATCCACGTTACAGGCAAGAAGCGCCAGCAAAAGCAATACTACACGCACAATACGCGGCCGGGGTCGCTGAAGCAAATGTCTATGGAGAAGATGATCGAGAAATGGGGCGGAGGTGAGGTGTTAAAGAAGGCGGTTAGGGGGATGTTACCAAAGAATCGACTGCGGGACAAGCGACTGGCCAGATTAAAGGTATTCGAGGGCACGAAACATCCGTACAAGGCGAATATTGTCAAGTTTGAGGGTCGGCCGTTCACAGGGGATCAGCCAGAGACGGGCCCGGTCATGGCTGCGATTGAGGCAAGTAAGGATGCGAAGGAAGGTCCTTTATAATGAGGACGGAGCTGTTTTTCATCGAAAAGGCGTTCGGAGAACGAGCGGCAGAGAGAAGCGTCACATTGCGGATTTGTATGAATATCATTGCGGGTATCTGTACAGATTGTTTTATGGTTTGCTGGACGGCGCTGCCAAAAATTCCTTCCCAAAACTCCAATTTATCCCTCCTGCATCGGTCTGGGTTGGTCTATAATTTGGCCGATGGTACAAGCTCGTCTCGTGCAACTGTGCACTTGATCAGACCATTGGGGTCCGACTGCGGAGCATAGACCTCCGCATCTTTGCCGGTATTCTTCAATCCGTGATGCCAGCTAAGGTCGATTTCGAAGTAGTGCTTGTTAGGCAGTGAGTAGTCGACCGTCTGAAGAAGAGGTTGAGCAGCCAGAATCTGCTCGCACATCTTGTACATCGTGTTCTGCACGCTCGGGCTCTCCTCAAGCGCGAAGAGACGGAAGGTGATCTCTCGTACTTTGCTCCATGTCTCATCGAACTTGGCGACGCTCTTCTTGACGGCCTCCAGGCTGGAGAAGGTTGACCAGTTCCAGTTGGCATCCACTGACGTGCTGAGGATACGGTCATAGACTTCGGGGAGTGTTGTGAAGTCGTTGCGGACAAACGAGTGGAATTGTGAGCCCGTGCTCTTCAGGACCAGCAAGTCGGAGATGCCGGACTTGACCTCAATGCCCTTGCCCTCGATGACATCTGCTTGCACCAGTCTCTTCTCGTTGCCGTCGCGGAAAAATGAGTGAGGATGTGGTTTGCCGTCTATGGTCATGCGCGTCCACCTGTGTTGCATGACGCTGATGTGGGCCGTGTGAATGTGTTTGTAGGTTTGGATGAAGTGGGTGCCCAGAATGGAGGCGAAGAGCTCGGGAGGGTGGACGGGATTCTGCTTCGCCATGATGTAGGTAGTGTTCTTCATTGTATCGGTTGCGACCACGACGCTGTTGTCGGCTTTGGTGTACCTATGTACCTCGTGTCAGCGGAGCTCAGATTATCAATGAATAGTATGACTCACGATACATCTATCTCGCCCTCCAACAACACACAGACAGTCATCTCGTAGACTGTGTGTGTCTTGGTGGCTTCATCTCTCTCGACCTTGTACACGCGGATGTTGTCCTTGCCATAGCGAGCTGCTGCGAGTCGAGGCATCCTGGATATGTGTGTCTGGACTGATGCTACAGTGGCTGTTGATGCTTCCGTGATTCGCAGTAAGCTTGCTCGTTTTGTGTAAATAGATGCCTATGCTCGCCGTCTACAGTACTGGTGACAGCGTTATCTTTATAAGACAATGGCATCGACTTTCTTATCGGAGGGGCAACGCGGTGAAGAGCAAAATTGAACGACGCAAGTCACCAATTGCACGAGCGTACATCGCCCAAGGTCTGATAAATTGTTGATCACAGATTCCTTGAACGCAAATGATTGGTGTACCGAGCTTGAAGCTCGCTCATCATTGGGATGTCGTACAATCCCCAGCCTGACGGAGCTCGCCGAGACGCGCCGGATATGCACACTGGAGCTCGGCTGCAGATGCGACGCTGAGCAAACCGATCTCGAATCTCACCTGACGGTCTCAGCAGCGGAAAACCGCGTCAGGGACTCGTCGTTGTGCATTTATATCTCAGCACTGCGTTGATATGGCACAACGCGTGGATTAATCTGTTCTGCTGGGTTCTGGCTATGACGTAGCGGTGAGGTGGGGTCTTCGAGGCTTTTGGCAGATTCAGGTCTTTCTTGCTCATGCTGAGCCGGAAGAACGACAAGATGATATGGCCGAAGAAGAGAAAGTTCCTGATCATAGATGAGTGTTGACGGAAAACTCAACCATGTTACCCAAGGGTGCTCTGCAGGGGTGCGTTCTAGATCTGCACAGCATCAGAGTCCTTACAAGGTGAAGGCACTGGTGCCCCTGGCGCGCCCCTGCGAGTACGAGTACCACAAAAGTGCCACAGTGACAGTACGGACCACAGTACCTTAGCTAGATCGGGTGCGGGGAAAGCCTCCCTAACGTTAACGGGTCAAGGCCGAATCTGACTCGGCTGCGTTGGTGTGGCTGAACGATTTGGCTTTACACTCCAGACCCAGACGCATAAAACGATCCGAATTGGGCTGCGTAGAATGGTACACCAAACACCCTACACGCACGTCAGGCATTCCTCACATCTTCAGTACGACGCTTCGGTCATCACGAGTCAACGCGACGGACCATAACAGATCTCTCTGCTGCAACGACCCGCGCGACAGCAGCCCTTCCCGTACAAAGCAGTTGACGAAGACCACAGGTACTGTGTACGTCGAACTGCCGCTTCCCAGAGGTCATGAGGAACACATCACCAATTTTACACCTCCTATAAACCGATAGACCCGTTTTGCTTATACCTCTTTCTCCCTCGTTCCTTTCCCGGTCGAACCGGTCAATTCCTATGGGTGTTCTTCGCGCTGCGATCGGTCGACAACCCGCCCATTAGAGGGACGATACCCTTCATGGCTCGATGGCCTCTTCCGACCAAGCGTCAGGCTACTCGGTGACACCCACTCAAGGACGCTTCAACATTCGACACACCTCTAGGAAGAGCGATGACTACTCCGCGTTCCCACGCCCTTCGGTCAAAGATGGCCGCTCATTATCTGGAGGAAGCGCGCAGTATGGTCAGAAAGCCTTTATCCCCTCCCTCACGCCGACCAACCCTCCCGGAAGTTTCAGCACCGACTTGAAAAGCGCCATGCAGTCGGGAAGAACGACGCCTCAGACAGAAGTTGCCGGTGTAACCTTCTCGCGGCTGCCCCCACCATACAAGGACGGGGATGGGCAGATTACATCCGAGCAGCGACAGGCTGCAGTGCGTGACAAGATTGCGAAGGAAATGAAGATCAAGTTGGGGACTGAGAACATGCTTGAAGCGCTCCTCAGCAAGAACAACAAGCAGACAAAAGAACAGCGGCAGCGGGTGGAGATGGAGCTGGGCTCTTCCAACAGGAAACTGGCTGAGTTGAAGCAAGAACTCGACCAGGAAATCATGCGGTCCCAGACTCCCACAACTCCTCCGCAAACCAGGCTCTCCAGCTATTTTCGAGGCAGTCCATTGAAAACCCCTCCACTTGGCCAGAACCAGGAGCAGATGCTAGGGGAATCTATCGACAGCGAATCGCCCACCGTGGTCTTAACTGAGACGCTTCAGCAGCTTGAGGCCGGCGGAATGCCCCCGGACTATTACATTGAGCGCGCAAACACTCTTGTTGATCTCCTGAAGCGCAATCCGGGCTTGAAGTATGACCTTGCCTGGAAAGACTTTAGTGAGCGTGTGCAAATGATGTTGCTCAGCGAGAGTTCAGATGTCATAGCCGCAGGCTACAGAGTGACTCGCCATGCCATCGCCGATCGGAAGTCACTTCAGACCATTCGAACCCTCCACACCGACGAACTCGTCATTTTGTCCATGGTCAAGAAAACCAATGCCTTATTGGAACGAGAGCAAGCTGTCAAATTTGTACGAGCGTTCTTGGACGTCAAAGATGGTGTTTACGAGATATCCCGCGCCGTGGTCCGAAGCATAGTTGCCGTTGCCGAAGCTGCTGATGACCGACTGAAGGACATTTGCCTGTTGACATTGGCAGAGCTTTTCACAAAGCATACAGAACTTGTCGTTTCAGCGAACGGCATGAGCACGCTCACCGAGGCGCTCGCAGACGGCACCTTCCCTGCCCCAGAAGGACTGGTGGCTAGCTTCCTCCACATCCTTGATCACCCTCAGCAACGCAAGTATCTGCACACTGGCCGAGAGTTTGAAGCAATGTTTGCGCCCTTCACTGACCCGTTACTGCTCAATGGCAATGAGGAGAAGCTCAAAACTTGTGCTCAGGCAATTGCTGCCATGCTCAAGACTTGGCCTGGCTTCCTCCTCCTTGCTATGAATGGTGCTTCACCTCTTCGGTCTCTGATAGATTCATTGGTCTACCCCATCACCCAGTCGCGGGATATCGTTTTGGAACTCTTCTTTGACATTCTCCGTATCAAGCCGCCTTCTTGGTCAAGCTCATATCTCGCAGGCAGGAGACTCACCACCTACGGAAGGGTTAACACCTTACCGACCGAGCAGCCTTCCCAACGCCAATTAGTGGAATACAATGCAGAAGGCAGGTTTGATTTGACTTGCCACTTCTCCGCCTTTCTGTTGGCTGCCCTATTGAGGGCTGGTCTAATTCCTGCTCTGGTAGATTTGATCAAGTTTGAAGAGGATCTGGCATTGAAGAGGAAGACGACGCTCCTCCTCACCGAAGTGCTAAAACTTGCTCACCACACCTTACCCCAGGCTATGAGCTCCAGCGTTCAGGTTCTGGGCGCCCTTGTGCCTAACGCGCCAGATTACGGCTCTGAAAAATCAGCTATACACCTGAGCATGATATATCAGATTGACAGCATCAACCGCGCGATCAACAAAACTTCTGCCTCAGCGTTCGGGCGAGTCGAACATGTTGATGAATTGGCAGTGGGGCCACAGACCAACGAGAGATCCAAATACACCGCTTTGATGGACGGCGACCAATTCCGGCAAGCCATGGCCGACAGTCAGGTAACGGGTCACTCGCAGTACATAAAATGGAAATGGGAAATAATCCAAGGCCTGGTCGAAGGTCCGCTGACAGTCCCCAAGAGGTTGGAAGAAGCGATCAGATCGCCGAAGTTTATGAAGAGGCTCGTGGGATTCTTTCGTCCTTTCAAATACAGGTTTTCCACCATCAGGAACACCAGGCCTAACCAACGCTATATTCGCACAGGTTGTGCGTTGATGAGAACGTTGACCCAAACTTCAGTGGGATTACAGTATCTCGCTGAGAACAAGCTGTTACGGCAAATTGGCGAGTGCCTTGCACAGGTTGACCCACGCAGCGGGATCACTTCGTCGAATCCATTGTTTGAGCGTCATAACATGGCTGAGACTTTAAGCGGAGGTTATTTTGCCATGCTCGGTGCCTTGAGCCACTCTGCCGAAGGGATGCGACTCATGGAACAGTGGCACATGATGGATATTTTCTACCATCTCGTCGAGCTAAGAGATCGTGATGACCTGATTCGAGCACTTCTTGGAAACATGGACTACACCCTCGACACACATCTGCGGGTCATCCTTTCCAAAGCTCTGACGTCTGGAGTCAAAGACATCCGCCTCTTCGCCACTAAGCTCCTTCGGAGGTATGCTGTTGGGCGGGTCCAGTATTCGTCTGGATTGCAAGACCGCTCGAGCTCTCACTGGGCCGTCCGACTGGTGCTCACACAACTGTACGACCCTGACGTCGAAGTCTGTGAGGTTGCAGTCAAGATTTTAGAAGAGGCTTGCAATCAACGTAGCCATTTAGAGTATGTGGTCAAGTGCCGGCCATCGCTCGATCATTTGGGCGAGCTAGGAGCGCCTCTTCTCTTACGGTTCCTGTCCACCTCTGTCGGCTACCGATATCTCAATGGGCTCGACTATATCACTCAGGAAATGGACGATTGGTTCTTGGGTCGCAACGATGCGTATGTTGCCTTGGTCGAGGCTTCCATCCTGCGAGCCTATATGGACGGTAACACCCAAAAGGTGCAGTTCAACGACGAAGCTGTTGTTGAGCTACATGAAATTGGGATCGCGCCTCCGCACTTCTACCGCGAACTCGCGAGGACCGAGGAAGGATGCAGATTGCTGAAGCAGTCTGGCCACTTCTACGAGTTTTCATCTACCATTCGAGATTTCCGGCTCGACGAGGAGGATCCGGAAGTGCTGACGAAAGTGAAAGGGTGCATGTGGGCCGTAGGCAATATCGGCTCGATGGACCTGGGCGCGCCGTTCCTAGAAGAGGCCAACGTGGTCAGTACCATTGTGAGGATTGCAGATGGGGCGGAAGTCATGTCGATGCGCGGCACGGCTTGTTTCGTCCTCGGTCTAATATCACGAACACTTCACGGATTCGAAATGCTTGCGGAGAGCGGGTGGGACACGACGTTAGACTCGCGAGGACGGTCACTTGGTCTGTGTTTACCGCGGAATCTGGAAACTTTGTGCTTGGTAAGTCTGGACTCTGGTGATCGGGAAGTTCCCACGCTGACTGTACAGAAATCAATTGGGTCGTCGACTGTCCCGCAATCGCCTTCGGCCCAGGACGACGCTCAATACAAAGCCGCTACAACCGACGACAACCCGGTCAGAGCCAAAATACTCAAGTCCATTGTCGAAATGGGCAACTCAGTGATGTACAAAAAGGCCGCTGGCGATCTCCACACCCTCAAGACTAAACAGCCCAGTCACTTTGGCGACACTGAGGTGTTTCGAAAGACGCTGGTGATCTTGGAGAGCCATCATTATCGCCTGCAAGCCCGCCACTTCATACTGAACTTGTTCAACAAGGGTTTAATGCGGAAGATTATTTTCGACGAAGAGATGGGTGACTCCCCCGGGTCAGATACGGGGTAGGGCCAAGTCGGAGAGGCAAAGCGCACGTGGAAGCATGACGAACACAGGGATCACATGATCCTTGTGAATTCGGTCGCATCGTCTGAGGCTCGGGCCCACCTGGATTAAAGTCTGTGAAGTGGTACTGTGGTACTGTGTACGAGTAGGCCGACGCATTATCTGGGCGTCGGGTCTGGAGCGGCCGCAATAGGGCGGCGGATACACAGTGGGTGTTATGTCGCCATCTGCCAGAATCATGAATTGGCTATGGTTTCTGCTCGGCGCTTGTGGAGCATTCTCTTGAGGGACCGTCTGGTTGCTCGTCTGTTATCGGTAGCAGGTTGCAGTCGTTGCAGTGGCTGCGGCTGCAAACCTTCTCGTACCAAGTACTCGTGTCGTTCAAGTGGAGAATGCCGGCGTGGGAAGCGCGTGGAGCATTCAACAACCCACCACCTGCAATACTGTACAAAGGACTTCGTAGGTCGGCTGCTCCGGGAAGAATGCGAGTTAGGACCCAGTACTGTGGTACTTGTGGTACTCGTGCTCCGTCTCGCTGGGTGGGTTATCATGTGCACATGTGCCACGCTAATTACCTCGTACGAGGGATCGATGATGGCATCGACTCGATGCTGCAATGTGCGTCGCCAAGCATTTCCCTGCTGGAGCATGGAGGCGAGGAGGGTCACTGCGGGTCTGTTCAGCTGCTCGTCAGGGTCCGCATGCTGCAACCGACTCCTTTTTTCGTGCTGTAGTACACTCGTGCCCGTTATTTTCGATCCCTTCGTCAAGTCCAGATCCCGACATCCCCTCGATATTGCGCCCGCATCTCGCTTTGCTGTGGCGAACAACGTCTCACAGTTTGCAGCCGTCCACCATGGCCAATCAATCCTCTTTCCTCGCGAGGACGCTGATGGATCTTTCTGTTCGGCCCATGACTCGTCCTGCTCGTCACGCAATTAGCCATGCCCACGGTTTTATCTTTCCACCAGCCGGGCACCACAGTCGCCGCCGCGCTGGTTCTGCTGGCCTCGGTTCCAGGCACATATGCGGATCATTACTTGGGTCTTCGAATGGGCGTGCATTTACCGCAAGCTTCCTTACCACTTACTGAAGTCTGTTGAAGTCTACGACGTCGTTGATCTCTCGATTTGGCGGCCGTGTTCATGCACCTTGCCTGATTTACCCTTACATTTCACTGCCATCGTTCCTCAAATCCGCCTTCGCTGGTGGATTTTCTACGGTTTTTGTTCTCACGATATATTCGACTGTGCTGACTTCGCGCATGTCTGACCGTCTTCGCCTCGAACACCCGTCAAACGTGCTGAATGCGGCACAATATCGCAACAAGCATCCCACATATCGGTTACTGGAGCAGGTCGAAATCTTCCACCAACACCAGTCTCGGACACAAAGGGCATTTTGTAAAGATTAGAACATAGGAGGCCGGAGGGCAGTGGGGCTATACATATGGACTCGACTTGGCGTCGGCTTTGACTGTTCCTGGTACATAGAAGGGGACCATCTTGAGCCACCCCGCAACAAGCCTTCAGCAGTTGCGCAGATGAGTGATGGAACACGGTCGGCGACGACGACCCAGCAGGGACTCGATGCCCATCAGCAGGCCCGAGATGTCGTCAAGTTGTTCCAGTGTGAGCACTGTTCATATCCGCTCCGTGAGCCTATGACCTTGCCGTGTGGGAATACACTATGTCGCCCTTGCCTTCCGCCGCTCTACAAGCGAGAGAACATCACGTACCCCGTGGTCGAGGGACGATCAGAGGCCTTCTTATGTCCTTTTGAGCCCTGTGGGTCGGAGCATTCGGTCGGGGACTGCGCGACGGATGTGACACTCAATAAGATAGGGGATATTGTGAAGACTTTCATCTCCAGCTGCAAGTCAAAGACCCCGGAACTCTCGCTCCTGCTGGAAGAGAAGTTGAATTGGCCACGAATGGTGGAAAATACGGTCGAAGTCATGCCGCGGTCACGTGTACTGCACGGAGGACGTATCGCGTCGACCTTTGCCATGGCAGATATGGGCGAGTTGGACTTCCACTCCAGCGTAGCATATACGCCTATCGAAAGAGGAGTCTCGGACGCCATCCAAGCCGTCGATGTGAATGTCCTGGAGAATCTGAAAGCGGCCATACGGCCGGAACTCGAATGTCAGGTCTGTTATCAGGTCATGCTGGATCCATCGACGACCTCATGTGGGCACACATTCTGTCGAAGGTGCCTTTCGCGGGCGATGGACCACTCGAATCACTGTCCGATGTGCCGTCGTGTGCTGCCACTGGCGCACACACAGGAGACAGAGTCCAGCAACGGGAGGGTGACAGACCTCATCCAGAATCTATTTCCCGATTTATTGACAGTACGAAAAGACCTTGCGGCACAAGAAGACATGATTGATGAGGAGACGAATTTACCGCTTTTCCCCTGCACGTTGGCATATCCTCGGATGCCTACGTTCTTGCACATTTTTGAGCCAAGATACAGGTTAATGATTAGACGCGTGCTGGAGAATGGCACGCGCAAGTTTGGCATGTTATCATACAAATCTCAGCGCGAATATCAACCAGGTGGCCCGCATTGGCAGGAGTATGGGACAGTCTTGTTCATCGACCGTGTGGAAATCTTGCCTGACGGTCGAAGCCTCCTGGAAACAAGGGGGTTATACAAATTTCGAGTTGTGGAAACAGCGGTGGTCGATGGGTATCTCACTGGGCGGGTACAGCGTGTGGATGATATTAGCATCCATGAGGAAGAAGCAATTGAAGCGCAGGAGACCAGTGTAGCTACGCCGCTGGAGGACGATGAACTTGGTCGAATCCAGCGATTACCCACCCAACAACTTCTGGCATACGGGCTCGATTTCATTCGACAGGCGCAAGGGAGGTCGGCGCGCTGGCTGCATCAACGTGTGCTTGCCGCCTACGGCCAACCACCAGAGGATGCGGCTACTTTCCCGTATTGGCTCGCGAGTGTCCTCCCAATCGCCGAGACCGAAAAGTACACGCTATTGCCAGCCACGAGCGTGAGAGAACGGCTCAAGGTTACCGCCGAGTGGATCCACCAACTCGAGCAAGCACGATGGTAAGCCACTGTTTCTTCCTCCTTTCCTCAAGTGGGCCCCGCCTCGCCTGACATGGTTTGTGCTTGAAGTGAGTACGAAGCGGAGCTGGCGAAGAAATCTCGAGAAGAGCAGGTCCGCCACGGACGGACCACACCTGCGCCAGCTCCACAAAATCCCGTCACCGAGAACCAAGTCAACATGCAGCAAGCTTCAGCGGTTTCAGCTGGATCAGGAGAGGCACTCTCTGCTGCAGTCCGCGAAGTCGATGTGCATGAGAGTGAAACATCAGAGGCCGAACCTGCCCATGGTTCAATCTCGTGAGACTGAGACCTCGTATGCGAAGCTTATGAGACGTCAACTTTTGGCGACCGTGCTACATCATAAACCAAGCAGGTGCAGGAGCGGGCAGTATGAGGAGGCGATGCCTATGCACCAATGACATCGGCTACCAGCGACCAGATGAGGCGACGGGTCTGCACTGTCAAGGAGAATGAAACTGACTTTTACCAACCTGTGCAGGCACCAATCTTCTTCCTGCATTGTCTTATGACTAGCCGGTTTTACGAGCATATTGGCGATTGCCCTATTCTTGTGCATACCTTTCTTCCACGAGCCGATGATTAGACGCATTATCCTCATGAGCGACGGCAAGCGCATGGTTGAACTTGTGGGTGGCATTTCCAAGGCGTTGATGTTGACGGGATGTGCGATTTTGATCGGCCTGAGGGTCATGATACCCATTTTTGATTTGGCAGCAGTGGTCCCGCTCGGAGGGCGGGAAAGACTTTAGGATGAGGTGTAGGTAGAGACCTGGTTGGTGACAGTGTGGTCCCATGCGAAAGTAGAGGATGTACCGGAACTTTACCCCTTTGTCTGCGCTGGCCCATTCTGCAACTCGAGCCAGAGTAGACAAGTGTCATTGCTAGACGTTCATCTTGTTGTCCAAGCGGCTCGGCTCACGAGGCTGAACTCGGAAGGCTACGTTCACGAGGCTGAAACTTGTTGAGACGGTATCGACTGCAACCAATGGCACAGGATCCCCAGGGTATTTATGCTATGATGTCATTTGAACTTGGACTCCGTTCTCACTCAGTGCTCACCTGGTTCTCACCTGCTTCTCCATCCAAGCTTGAAGACTCGTATTGGAAGAGCGCAGCTGCTGGTATAGCTTATCGTGCAACTGACTCGAACTTCTTCTGTGGAAGCGGCAACATGAAACTACCCCGGCCTCCATCAACCCATTTCGTGATTGCGTGTGTCGGCCGAGACGTTCAAGCTACTGCTCGATCAAGCTATCCATCGCGCCAAACACCATTCATACAGCCGTTCAGCACGTCTCCCTCTCTCTCGCAAAAGAATCGCATCTTCTCCCCGTTCCGCACCCCGCCTCAATTCCATGATGCCCTCCGCCTCATATCCGCCAACAACACGCTACTTTTGACACTCTTTACCACGTCAACATGCACCCCGTGCCGCACGATAACCCCCTTACTCACCTCGCTCGTCGAGACGCGCCCTCCCTCCCCGGAGGACAAGTACGCGCACCTCGCGTTTGCAGAGCTCGAGCTCGACTCGCCCGACATGAGTAATGGCAAGATGCTCGACCTTGGGGTGGAATACGGAGTCACCAGCATGCCGACGCTGATCGGATTTGGTGGCAGAAGAGCGGAAAGAGTCACGGACCGGATGGTCGACACGAGGATGTTAAGCAATGAAGGGGCTATGGCGAGGTGGCTCGACGAGCAGATGAAGAAGGGCGATCCGTTCCCTGGTCAAGGGGGTGCTGGAGGGTTCTTGAGCAAGATATTCGGATCGTGATGGCCAATGGATAGGAACAAATATGGGCGAGGAGATTGGGGAAGGCCTCAATATACAGGGCGCGGCCAGCCACCGGCCACGCGACCATCTTCACTGAGTCGATGAACGACAAAGTAGCAGGGCGACCTAGCGATCGAGCCTTGGGCGTCCCTGTTGCTGGTTCGTCAACAAGGGTATTGTTCCTTGCACAACTTCAGATCGATGCAAGCAGCAGTATTCCTTCCACGATGACACATCGGGTTCCATTCCGAATGGCGGCTCAGCTCATTCGCCTCCGACTTCTGTCCTGAACTTTGGTACTTTCTACCCCGTCTTTTGGACGGGTCCTTGGATGAGCACCGGCTCCAGCCCCATCTGCCAACAATACAGAATGGCAAACAGAGATGGAGAGTTGTCGCGGTCACGCCGCAGTTGCAACCGACACTGCAGTCGCAATCGACAAGTTGTTCAGCACGCCACTGCAGGTTCTTGGATTTGCTGCGGACCTTCAAGAGTTCAAAACAAGGTCCTTGTCATCGAGCTTGTGCAAAGTCCCGGAGCCGGATATCAGCCTATGTATCCGACACGGCTTGGATCCCTGGACTATGGAAGTCTTGCACGTTACCAGACCGATGTCGACAACGACTTTCCATACATGTCAGGAGGAAATGATGCAAGCCTGGCTGGATGGAAACCTGACATCTAAGCTAGTCTATCTCACCTGTCGAGATGTCTATAACTGCGTCTGCACGCGAGCTTCGATGGAAAATCTCTGTTCTTCCTATCATGTGGTTCCCACCCCTCGCCCTCGAAGGACCCAATCTGACCCATTCAGCGAGGCTGTTAGTACTCAATTGCCGTTGCTGCGGCTGCCACCATCCTAGTGCTTTTCAAGAAGGTCTCTAACAGAGGCATGCTCTCGCTTGGCTCAATCACCCCGGACCTCGTCGTCAAGGGTGCTCCTCTTGCCTTGGTTGCGGTTGCCGCCACCCCATCGTTGTCCGGCGGGTCCAAAGAGGTAGCCTTGCTGTCAGCCGATATCTGATACGTCCGCCTTTCCATAATATTCGCCGCTGTCGTCCCCCAGCGGAAAGCGCAGGTTGCTCTGACGTCCGCTCGAGCTCAGAGGCTGGACATACCTTTGTCACTATCATGCCACAACTCATCTCTTTTGGCCTTCATGCTTGCTGTCCGTTATTAGCTTGATGTCGTCGCCTTGTCTCGGGCCACGATCGGGCCGGGTATTGCTATTGATGGCTTTCCGGTAGTGACAATGTCAGAGCGACGGCATCCACGTCGAGAATGACAGGGGCCGCACAACGAGTCCTATTGACACGAGGCTAGGGCTGGAATGCAGGTGTTGCTACTGTACCTTGCACGATAATGTCATGTAATTATCTCCATTCTGTTAGCCCCAGCACGCCGTAACCTCAACACATTCCCTGGTGGTCATGGAAGGCGCATACTAGAAGAAGGTTATGTAGTTAGACCTTTCCGCGGTGCTGCTGTCTAGGCCATACTCTGCACCAGTGCTCCGTCTGGAGTAGTTATCAAAGATCGGCGGCCGCAAGGGCGGACATAGACAGACGTACGTTAGAATGATTAGCATGTGGAAGAACTCGGACCTCTAACTAGCTGCACTGGCCATTGGCTTGATCACGACGCCCCAGGGCGGAGTACCTCGTACTGCTTTGGCGACGTTCCCCACGAGGTCGAGAGCCAGGCCAGTCAAATACTCCATAATTACTTGGTCAGTCAGCACGACTGCTGTTCCAATTCTCAAAGCAATAACCCCTACCCAGTCCTAAGACCGCCCCACTGCACGGCGAGGGTACGTACATCATCTGCTGGCCCACGGCCCGTCTGAGAACAGAGAACAGCAGCAACGACGTATCCTCTAGACTCGGCCCGGTGTCGGCGCTTACGCTGACCGTCCGTACTGTATCTGATCAGGGACTTTCATGATTCGGAAAACTCTGCGCCGCACGGACTCGACTCTTACGTATATGAGTGACAGGCGCGGAGCTGCTGCGAGCGGGGAACGTCCTGGACAGACCAGCGGCGGCTGAGGGTTGAAGACCGGAACGCCCGCGGGTCGGATCTTTTAAACCTCGCCAATACCTCTCTCGTGACAGGAGCGTCGCGGTTCTTTTGTATCTTCCAGTCCAGTGAGCAAATGGGAACATACGGACCGGACATGGCAGCCCAAACGACAGACTCGACGCAAACACCGCCGTCGGAAGAACGGTGGGATGAACTAAGCCGCGACGTGAAGGCACAGTTGTTACAGGAGATGGGCGATGAAAGTTGGTACTTGATCATTGTGAGTCCCCCAGACCAGCACTCGGCGTTTCCCCCACGTGTAACCATTTTGTGCTGTCACCATCGAGTGGCGTACGTCTGGAGTGTCCGAGGGGAAGAGTGCACGATCTAGTCACGGCATGCATGCATGATAGGCATGTGCGGGATGGAGTACGCGGGAGAACGGTATCGGGATCAGTAGCCTCGTCAGGCCAGCCTCGCCGGCCACTCTTTCGGCCGCCATATATCAACGAAACAAACCCATTTAACATTTCTCACGTCATCCTAGGCAACGGTCGTCACCGTCTCCAACCGACCACGCCTCTTAGCCGAGTTCTGGAGCTACCTCACGACTCACGACGCCTCATTTGCGGCCTCAGAGACACAATCCCGCCTCTCCGACCGATTCTGCGACCTACTCCTCAAGCAGATCACATTGATCGGCGCGCCTCGAGTGCTCAGCGCACTGATCCCTCTTGCGAACGTGCAGACGGACGGCAAGGGGGTGGAAGAAAGGGGCGAGCTGGACCTCGAACAATGGTAGGTCCTTTAAGCAGATCAACGGTTTGTCCCCACGGACACGATACTTTATCGTGTCGTGTCGGGTCACGTCAACGACGTCTTTCATTTCCGGCTTCGCACCCCGTCCCTTCCGCTCTGACCCGCCTGAACCAGGTCCAACACGACGTTTCCCGCCCTGCACGCCCGGGGCATCGAGACGATAACCTCCGTGTACGGCAACCTGTGGCAAAACATCTTCAGGTCCTTCGGGCCACATCGTCCACAAATCGGCCTCCACGAGCTCACGATAGTGTACGGCCTGTACCTCGCTGATTTCACGCACCTGACCCCGCTGGAGACCGAGCTGGTGGCCTTCACGAGCATCATCTGTCAGGGACTCAGGGGACCGGCGCTCTGGCACGTACGCGGATTAGGCAGACTGCTCGGGGCGAGAGGGCATGATGATGAGAACGACAAGATGAGACGGATCAAGGACGTGGTCAGGGGAGTCAAGGTCGCGGTGGCGACCGTCGTGGAGTTCTGCGGGCAGGAAATGGTGAGGCGGAGTGGGTTGGACGCGAGTGATGGACAGCAGGGGTGGCCGAATGTCGGAGATGTGGTGAGAGAGCTCGGAGGCTGGGGCGGCGACGAGTAGGGAGGTTGCGAGTAAAATGCCTCTGGGTCGAGGGTAGGCCTGGTAGAGAAATAGCCCTTCGCTGGGGGCAGAGATCTTCCACATATAACTCCCGTACAATGACCACTGAGGCTCACTGGCCCTCCAACTCTGTCACGGGACTCGACAGACCACTCCAGACGGCAAGTCCACCATCTTCACAAGCTCGATCAAGCCACAGGAAACCCTTGAGGAGACGTCTCAGCTGGGACCATGAAGAGATGCCGCCCTCAGCGGCCGCATATGCATTTAATCTCTCCGAGAAGAATCGTGTCCTCGTCCGGTCCGCCGCTGCTGGACAGGCCATGGCGCCGATCATGCAAACCCAAATCAGAAACGGACGCCCTACATCTGGGTGATCCACATCCAAGATATGCAGCGACGCCATGAGCCGACCCAGCAGAATCTCCACGGGCTCTCGGTTGGGCAACGGGTAGATGACACAATGCGTGAAAATCAAAGCCGTCGTCCAGCAGAGTTGTTCTCCGAGCGAGTGGCCGACAAACGTGTAAGCCAACAAGCGATGCTCAATCCTATCTCGAAGGGCCGATAGGTCTCGTAACAGTAATGTGCAGGGGTCCTGCGCTGTTGATCCCGGTCCCGGCTCCATCTGACCCTGCATTGTTTGCACGCAGGTGCAAAAGACACGTATGTTGGAGAGGATGTCCAAGAGGGACGCGTAGGGAGAAAGTGAGGCCCGCGGGAGTGCTTGGACGAACTTGTCGCGTACGTCTTTCTCAATGCTCCCCCTCGACGCAGCGACTTCCTTGCTCACCAGACGCCAGCGACTCGACGGGATGTCCATCCACGGCCGACTCAGGGTCTTTGCACTTTCCAGAATGTCAAACTGGTACAGCGCCTCGGCGAAGCCTGGGGTCTCGATCCCCGCGTCGGCCAGGCCACCCCGTGACCGCACCATCTGCTGCATGGCCCGGCAGTGCATGTGGTCGCTTTGATGTTGGCCCCAGAGGTTGAGGAATTGCAGGCCAAGAGGGAAGGGCGGGTCAAAGAGGCCGAACGTGCCTGGGAGGGGAGTGATGCTGGTGCTCTGACTCTGCTTGGCCAGAGACATGACTGCGAAGAAGAGTTCGTCGCAGGAGCCGACCTGGCTCCCCAATTGTTGGGGCAATGCGTCAGTGGAAGACGCGTTGATGTTGATGCCGAGCAGCACTTGTTTGATCACGGCGTTGGCGTGTCGGAGTCGGATAGTTGTGTAATCCCGACCCGTCAGATATTCGAGGTCCAGGCACGTGGCAAGGATGACGGAGTGGCGCAGCATGGGGACCTCGAGCATGCGTCTGGACCAAAGGTCGCTGAGGGCCCGAGAGGCGGCCGAGCGGTTTGAGAGGGCCCAGTGCGACGAGTTGTATGGTTTGGGCCATAATTTGTCTCTAGCTGCGGTCGAATGCGTGGTGTCAGCGTGGACGGGTTGTAGGAGGTACGGCTCCAGATCATACCGAAGAATAAAATGTCCCATTCGAGAGCACTGAGGGAGCCGCCCTGGTAGAGCGGATAAGTCGGACTGGCTCTCCAGACACTGGGCCCGGCTGCTCGCTTCGAAGGAGCGACTTTGTCCGCATATGCGCCGTGGCTGGGCAGAATTGATGCCAATTGTGCGTGAAGCTTCCGTGTTCCTTAGGCCGGGTCAATACGTGAAGCGAAAATGGGTCAGTGCCTTAGCAGCTCGACGTACGGCGTGCTCGCTGATTAATGCGGTTTTGGAGCTGTTTTCGTTTCTTCGGGTCCGACAGTCCTGTCCAGTCTTCTTCCCTGTTCTCGAATTTGGACCATAGCGTGGGTCCCTCCATGCCGCCGAGAGATGTTAGTTGTCGGTGTACATGTGTATGGTAAAGGTGGGAGGCATGGTGACAAGAGCGAGAAGACAATGAGCCGTGCCTAATAGTCTATCTGAATGGGTTAGGCCCCCTGGCCTGAACCGACGCAGCCAATTGGAGGTGGGAGCGACCTGACAGGGGTGTCAGCCGGCGGCATCAGTTCACAGCCTTGCATAGTCTCGGCGGGGGCTTTCGAACCCAAAGGCTGACGCCTTCACGGCGACTCGATACAAGGCCATGTTCCACGGACGGGACGGACAAACTTGCTGGTTGATTTCAAAGCACCGTCTTTAGGAATAGTGTTGCCGGCCGAGAAATGGAGCACACCAGCCTCACGGTAGGGAGGTGGTACGGAGTATATATTGACGACACCCTCGAGGAATAGAGTCCAGAGAGCAGAAGCCACAAAGCAGAGTCCAGCACAAAAGTCCAGAAGCAGAGTCCACGCACTCTCCACGATCAAACACGGTCGAAAATGACTTCTTCAAATCCATCCTCTCTTGCGGGCAAAACAGCCCTCATCACCGGCGGTAGTCGAGGCATCGGCGCCGCCATCGCCTTCCAGTTTGCGAAAAAGGGCATCACAGGCATCGCGGTGACATACGCCAACAGTCCCGAAGCCGCCGAAGAAGTGCTTGCCACCTGTCGCGAGCTAGGCGTGCGAAAGACCGTGGCAGTGCACGCGGACCTCCTGGACGCTGAAATCGGCCCCAACGTGATCCCGAAGGTGCTCGCCGGCCTGGAGACCAAGACGCTGGATATCGTCGTGAACAATGCGATTGTTGTCGACTTCGCCCTGATGCAGCCCTTTGAAGGCATCACGCTCGACGCGTTCTCGAAAGCCATACAGGGCTCTGTCTTTGGCCTCATCAGTATCGTCCAGGCTGCCCTGCCCCATCTGCCTGCACGGGGCGGCCGAGTCATCAATATATCCAGCATTCGGTCCAAAACAGCCAATACCGATCCCATGATGATCTATGGCGCCTCCAAGGCAGCGGTGGACAGCATCACGAGGTCCCTCGCTCTGACGTACGGAATCAAGACCGGGGCCACATTCAACTCGGTCAGCGTCGGAGGAACACTGACCGATGCGTTGAAGAACGTTATCCAGCAGGTTGGCCCGGCTTTGGAGCAACAGATCGTTGCCGATTTTACGACTGAGAAGCGCATGGGGTTGCCGGAGGATATTGCTTTCGTGGTTGGATTCCTCGCTAGTGAGGAAGCCCGTTGGATCAACGGGAGTTGTGTAGCGGCGAACGGTGGTAACAGGGATTTGCTTGCGCTCCAGGGATGAAGGGAATCAGTAGGGGTGAGTCTTTGTACGGCAAACTTGCAAATGGTTATATGCACCGCATATGTCCTGGTAACTCACATGTCCAGTACATCGTGGCGTGGTCGCACTGGTGAAAGAGACATGACAGAGATCATGTACCAGCTTTGAAAATGATGGTCAGCAGAATGAATGCATTCGCAAGAACGGCCCTCACAATCTCAGAATGTGCCACAAGCATCGCCAGATCGCAGGCTGGTTGACTTTATGGCTGCAGCAAAGCCGGTAGATACAAGGCAGGACAGCCAGAAACGTGAAACGCTTCAACTCAACCACTACTTATTAGCATGACGACCAGCAATATCGAGTGCATCCGCTGGGTAAGGTCCCACCACCAGTGCTTTTTGTACAAAATCACACAAGATACTCGATCTGCTCAACTGGTCACCCATGCGCGCCGTGGTACCTAGGGCTTCTGGGAGTGGCTCTGGCCTCTGGCGGCAGAACTGAACCGATGGCGACGGCAGTGTGTATTGCAAGGTTCGGATTCTGCATGGAGCGCCCTCACTGGGGCCAGAGTAGCTGGTTCGTGAAATTCAACGCAGCTATGACCTCCAGCCTTTGATCAACGCCCCGAAGAATCGGGCGTTGTTGCTTGTTAGTTCTCAAGCTGCCAGTCCTCGCTTCTCAGATTCGGAGAAGAAAATGAGCATGCGCCACAGCTTGCGAACAAGCACTTCGGCTTCTTCGTCCAGAGCCTATTGTATCACCGGTTAGCAATGTTCCGCACTTCATGTATACACTGCGCAAGGACATGTGTACTTACCCCTTCCAGCTGTCCCACGAGATCTTGCGGCTTTCCTCTCGTGGTCAGAGCGTTGACAACCACGTCCACGAGCATCTGCTCCTGGACACCGAGATATTCGACGATCTTCTTCTCGACGAATGGCTTCAATCGTTCCTCGATGACGCTCTCGTCCACAAACTCCCACTTGACGTCCCAAGCCCACAGTCCTGCTTTGTCGTTGGGGATATCCGCAGCGAGCTGTCGAGCCGCCTGAGCACGTTCTTCTTCAGACATCCCTGCGCTTGTGGAAGCATCGTACTGGATGGGTATCAATGTCCTACGAGCGCCAGACATGGACTCTTCTTCCTCGTCCTCAAGCAAACCTTCCACTTCTGCAACTGTGCGCTTGGTCGCCTGGGATGCATTCTGTGCTGCAGCCTTCTGTGCCGCAGCCGCTCCCAAGGATAATTTGAAGCGCGCAGGCTCGCGGCGTTGTTCTCGAGAATCATCCTCCTCGCGTTCTTGCTGGCGACTGAGCATCTCTGCCTCCTGCCTGGAGAAAAAGTCATCGGCCATCGCACCAGCCTTTTGCTGTTGATGGAGTTCACGGGCTCGCTCGCGCTGCTCCGCCGCACGATCGGCATCGTCATTAGCGTTTTCGTGTTGGCGGAAGCTCGCACGATTGCGGATCCAATTACTGCGGTCGGCGTAGTATTCCTCGACTTTGCGGGCTGCCTCGAGATCGTCATTCCAATCGTGCAGCCGCTTTCGCATCGTCGCCTTTTCTTCATTGCTGCGCGACGCTTCGTCCTTGTCGCGGGTTTTCTCTCGCTCCACAGCTGCTGTTCTTGATCTTTCCCGGTTTAGCCATCGCCGTTCTTGATCCAGAAATTGCTTTTCCAGCTCCGCATCCTTCTTCTCCTTGCGTCGCCGCTCAAGCTCTTCGTCGCTCGCGTCGGTGTCGTCGTCTTCAAAAGCAGAAGCGCCGCTGACTGCTGTTCCATTCACGAATGTTACACCCTTTTGATAATCTCGGGGAATTTGGACCCCGAAGCCTTTGGGACCGGCTGGTGCTCCTCTAGGCCCAGATGGTATTCCATTCGTGCCGGCTGGCCCCGCAGGCGCTGAGGGCGGTGGTGAAGCCAAACGATTGTGGCGCTCGCCATTTAACATGCGATTGCGCTCCTGCAGCTCCATCTCCTCTTCTCTCTTCAGCCGCTCCAGGTCACGGCGATTGCTACGGTCGCGAAATGCTGCAATTTCCTTTGCCACGGTCTCCCGCATTTCTGCTGGTATGTCGGATAACTCGTCGTCGATCGCAATTGGAATGGTAACCACCTCGCCATTAGCGCCGACTTTGGTCCCATCAGCCATGTGAATATCGCCTTCGCGGTCAATGTTTGACAAGTCATCCTTCTGTGCCGGCACCGAAGGGTTGCGCTGGGCATTTAGAACCGCGTCTAGTGCCTCTCGAGCATGATCGAGCCGCATCTGCGCCGCATCGGTATCCTTTCCTCCCTGCGATTCCTCCCACTGTTGGATATAGGTCAACGAATTGTCGTCTGCGACGATCTGTAGCCGTGTTAGTAAATGTCACTGTTCTTGCTGCATATCATTTTTGGCGTACCAGCAGTTTCGACATTTCGACTTGAGGCTCCTCTTCTGACTTTGCTTCGTCTAGAGCCTGCCGTTTGACTGGAACCTCAACATCCCTTAGTACTTCTATGGCAGTACTGAGGCTTTCGGGGTCTTCGTACTCTGCGAAACCAAACTTGCAAGGCTTGCCATCAGCATCCGTAGCGCGGATCCATCTCCGCAGACTTCCTGCGGCATTCAGGATTCTCTCGATTCCTTCATCGCCCCCAGCACCCTCGGTGATGCCGCCCACGAAGATGGTCTTGATGATTTCTTCCTTGGTTTGCGGCTGTATCTGTGTGATTCTGTCTCTCTCCCCTCGAAAATCTGACCGGTCTCCCCCACCCAGTCCTGGCCTTCTCCCGCCTCTTTCGCGGTCCTCGCGTCCGCCGCGATCATCCGATTTCGGTGGGCCAGACGTGCCTAAACGTATGACTGGGGCGGAGAAGTTGATGTTCGGCATATTGGGCGGGGGTTGGAAGCTGGGTGGAAAGCCAGGTCTTCCTGGTTGATGAGCCTCTTGCTGTTGTATCCCGGGCGGAGCGCCCATGCCTGGAGCTGCCATACCAGGAGGTGGTCCCATTCCTGGCGGCGCTCCGGGGAAGCCGCCATAGTCTCCTGGTGCGCCATATTGTCCTGGCGCTTGATAAGGTGGATTGTACATTCTGGGGGAGACGTGAGGGTTTCTCAAGAGGTAAAGGGAAGATCAGTGTTAGTCGAGTAACGGTCAGCTGCCAATCCTCGCCATAGAGTCAAGCATAGAGGACGAGTGCATGAGTAGAGAAGCACGACGGTCTTTTGCAGAAGCGATCGTGCCCCGGTCACATCATCGCTACTTTTCGACCATCAAGCACGCGCATAGAAAAGTGATTAAATTGAAAGGAGCGCGGCATCGGAACAAGCATTCATCCGCTCCGAGCCCTGGCACCCAACGGATCAGCCGCGTACCTTGTACGAGGTACCTCGTACCATTCTCACGGAATCGTTCGTCAACAACAATGCGAACCACATTGGCATGTGTGCCGTGTTCCCAATGGGGTACGGAAAGCGTCTTCTGGATGTAACCAGCTGGTGAGGAGGTATTATTGACTTGCGCATAACACGCGGAATGCATGATCTTCACAAAGGCGAAAACCGACGATCCGGCCACAGCATGCTCTCTCAGATGTTTCTTCTCCACCATCACGCTCTTCGATGTGGACTAGAGGGTAGGTGACTTGGAGGAAGATCAAACCCACTATGGACCATATTAAGGCCGCATTGACTTCGCTGCATCACTCCAGCAGCAGACAATCCCCAGGTCGCGACTTAGGGCTGACTAGGTATTATGCGCTCATACACAAGACAAATGGAGGGTCGACTTGCTTCTTCTCTGGGTCATAAGCAAAATCAGCAGAGCCCAGACAAGACCGACGGTGCATCTCTGTCAACCAGATCAACGTGGCTGAACGTTACTCTTCCCCAAATGTCCGATGATGGACGCGTGAGACTGGGTCGAGTGAAATCTACAAGAACACCAACAGGTTCGGAGAAGGATGAAGCTAGGCCGCCCGTCGCTTGACAGGGATGAAATCAGAAGGCTTGATACACATCAGGAGCTGGCACCGCCACCTGTACCCATCTCTAAAACGAATGGGACGAAACATTCAACTCATATCCATTAAGTACCTCAAGCCCAGAAATCTAAACAAGGCTGGCAAACAGGGCTACTGAGTACAGGAGCAGGGTGATGGACATGAACCATATGCTACGATGTAGGCACCGTTCCCGACAATAATGTATGCATGGTAGTCTAGGTGAAGTCTTGCACGGGGAACGCGGCCTGACAAGGCTATTCATCGGACTGTGATCGTCGCTAATTGTACAGTTGTGGTCAAAAACAGACTTTGGATTCTGAATATCGTCGGACCTGTCAACACCACCCTGTCGTGTAGCTTTTAGGCCGTCCACATCTGATGTGATCTGGTGGGCAAGGAGGAGGGAAGGTTGCGGTCAAATTTGGATGGATGTTAGGTGGTTATACTCAGTATTAGTCAGACCGTTGAAGAACCAGGAACAGTACTCCGTATCAAATGGGGCAAGCCGCATGGCGCTTAACATCAACCAGAGTCAGGACAAATTTTGTGTTGGAGAAAGCCAAAGAGCAGATCACGCTGGCAGAGCAGTCCCAATCTCAACGGCGCAGCCGAAAGGCGAAGTCTACAATGTACCACAGGCACAAACGGCACATCTGACGAGTCGAGGTGCTTCTTCGCCCTTTTCTGGGGTAAAGTTCCCCTGGATCTCATACAAAAGGTACCCGTTCCATGATAGAATGGCTGCCAACACGGTGAATGCTGCAGGGTGGCATCTGGCAGCATAAGCATTGACCTGTTGACAGCCTAGCGCCAACCAGTGGTGCCTTATGGTGTCGCTTGAGGGGTGCGAGATTGAATTTATGCGAGCAGGGAGCCTTCTGAAACCGGACTACGTAGGGAGTATACTGTACAAGTGGTACTGTTTAGGTGAATTGCCCTGGTGGTGCTGGCAAAATTTTCCACGCTCGTGTGCGCACAGTAACTCGTACTATTCGTCGCCCCTTCTGGAAACGGCGGTCCACCAGCTGACAGTCCACAGGCTAGGATTAGCCTTGACGAGCCCGAACAAGCCGCCTAAAGCCACCCATCTACTACGGGTTTAGGCCTACAGCAGCCGAGACCCTCCCCCACAGCTCGGCAGCTCCCTGAAGTTTCGGTCAGTAGCTGGTCTCGAGCAGCACCATCGAAAGGCTATCAGAAAGTTAGATGTTACAACGTCATTATTTCTTTGTTCGGTGGGATGGAATGGTGGTAGGTCCGCTGTGCAGGCCTCTCCATCGTCCGGGATGAAGCGTGAAGGTGTCCAGGGTGTCTTGATGGGTCAGCATCCGAGATGGAGATCCTTTGTAGATCCGTTGCAGACGCCAGAAGACGAGCTGCGCGTACCTCGTATTGGTTGGTGGGCAGTGTCCTCGTGAGATGCGGTGCTCTTCTAGGCACGCCAAAGGCAGCCTAGGGAGGCTTAGCCGCCTAACTACTGTGTAAGGCGCATTACTGTGGTACGTGGTAACCTCTACATCTGCTAGGGCTGCTCGAGCCACCTTTCAGGGCTTCTCCGGGCGGCCATGGGGGCCACTCTTTTAGCACAGTGCGCCAAGGTGGGGTTGCATTCGAGGCGCGAGAAAGGCCGATGGGCTCCCCGCTTTCATGCTTTAGAGCCCAACCACCAAATACATCCGGCTTCCTCGACCTCCTCCCCCCCTGCGACCCGCAATGCCGTTGCACAAAAGCAGCTGCATCGTAGAGACAGTGCCGGTTCTGGAGCCATCGTGGGACCCATCTTTTCCCGCTAATCAGAGTTCGTGGCAGTCTGGGGAGCATGGTGCCATGCCATTCGTCGTTTGGCCTTCCCCGAGTCGCACAACGCACCCCTTCTCGCAACAGTGCGAATCCTGTAGGTGTGGGAGAGGCTGTTGGTGGAGTTGGCCCAGTGTGGCCTGGGTCTCGATTTGTGCAACTCCGCTTCTTGAGGATGCGACGACCTCACGTCCACTTCACCCTTCGCCGTCGCTCTCGAAGATAGACTCTGTATTTTCACCACCATGGCTGCCGTTCTTCCTCAGCGCGCGGCTCTTGCCGACGCCACGGCCGCTGGGTACTCCAAGACTTCACGCCGACAGTATCAAGCATGTGATCAGTGTCGAAAGAGTAGAAGAGCATGCGACGCTGGCACGTTGAGAGTGGCCAACTTCCCATTTCGCGAAGAAGAACAACCGGAACCATCGGCTGCAACGTGCGAGGCGTGCTCTAACTGTGCCCGAACAAGCAAGCGATGCACCTTTCTCTGGCTCAGCAAGCTCTCTTTGCAAGGCCTGCCAAAGGGCGTCAAGAGGAAACTGGAATCGACAGGCCTGCCGAACCTCGTTGCCGAGCCAGCAACAGTCTCGAACTACCAGACTTCATCATATCAGGGCGACTATCTAATTTCAGATCCATCGACGCTACCGCAGCTGTTGCCGGCAACTCATTCATTTGAATCTCCCCAGAATGGATTACCCAAGTACCATATTTCGCCGATATATGCAAGCCCGGAGCAGACCATCCACTACCCCTCCACCTCTCCCGAAGCGCGCCACTCAATAGATTCTAATTCCCATCAAGTCGCACCTTCTGTTGCAACGGTGTCGGTCGACAGCAGGGCCACTTCCATTCAGTCTGTCCCAGATGCCGCCTTCCTGCCACCTCGTTTACCAGCTGAGACCACGAACCACATCCAATGGAGTCCGCCCGATCTTGGTCGTCATGACACAACATCTACCTCTTCGGCATCGAATTCCATCGAGTCCATAAATGCCATTTCGAAAATCGAGCCTTCGTCCAGCTTGACTTCTATCGGCTCCGACCCTGGCGGCGAAGACGGTGTCACGCCCGCCTACTGCTCGAAACGGGTCAAAAGTCGAAGCCTACCCAAAGAATATTATGACACTCTAGTCGCACATCAAGCCTCCGCAAATCTATTTCCACGCAAACAGCCGAACATGGCTGCAGTGTCGCCAAACTTTGGGCGGCAGAACTCGACAGTGCTCTCGAATCGTCAAGTCCATTTCATCGACACCGCGATGAAGAAGATGATAGCAACTGGACTGCTACAAATATACCATGACAGCTTCGAGAACTCTCTGTCATGTTGGGTGACGGAGCGGAATTGTCCTTACGAGATCGAGCTCAAAGGCCTCAGTCCCAACACTAACCCGGCATCAATGGCAGAAGAAGCCGCAATCCGTTTAGGCGACAACAGGATCTTGTCGCGGGTCTCTCGTCTGGACGCGGCCTTTGCTCGCTTGAGAGATCGAGAGTTGTCGGTCGTAGAGAACCGGACCGCCACCAATGCCCTGAATGCAGCCATCATGGCTTTTGCGAGCCAGTGGTCCCACAGCTCCCACAACGCATTCTGGAGAAGCAGGGAAGGCATGTCTCAGATGAGGGCTTGCCAGGTTCAGTCGCACGGTTTCTTCTCACAGTCCGAATGGGCAAACAATGAAAGACAGATCCAGAAGCTACTCTGGCACGATGCTCGCACCGCGATCCAAGCCAGTGCTGAAATCGACTCGTTTAAAGTCATCCTAGCATACATGATCTTTGCGCTAACACAACGGCCGATGGATGCGAAACCTAAGACGACCCTGGAGACGCAGACCTCACCGACCGACAATGCGGCGGATAGTCGCACCGGTTTCGAGGACCCTTCGACGTGCGACAGTACTGAACCCCGCGCCGATCCTGCCATGGAAACCATCGTAGACCAAGAGTGGAACCCATTTTATGCAAGCGAACCCGAGGCATTGGCCTCTCCACCCATCTATCTCGAGACGGCAGTGCGGAACCTATTCTCATGGAGGCGCAAGATCGAACGTTATCGTCGGCTACGATCGAAGAACAAAGGTGCGCATGGGCATGGCTCTATGGGACCTCTTGCGGTCAAGGATCATCAGACATTTAATCTGCTGTTTTGGCTTGGTGTCATGTGTGACACGACGTCGTCAGCCATCAGCAAGCGGCCATTGGTCATCTCAGATGAAGACTGTGCCATGATCCAGGAAAGTGTTGATTCTACAGGTGAGGAAGCGGAGGCCGAGGAGAACCATTGCCGGTCTTTGGAAACAGATCAGCCGGATGACTCTGGCAGCCTGTGGGGCAATTATCTCTTGAAATTTACATGCGTGCCAGACGGTTGCCCGCAGCTCCGATGGCCGTGTAGCTTCGACCAGGCCGCGGCGGTGCTTCAAGAAGCCATTCCGGTGAAAGTGCTGATGTTCCGCAAGGTTGCCGCCCTCCAAACGCTGGCTTATCGAAGGTCCTCACCACATCAGCTCGAGAGATGCATCAAAGAGGCACTGGACGTTTACTCGCATTGGAACAAGCTGTACGGACGGTTCATGATTGACTGTAACGACCAGCACAACATCCTGCCACCGCACGTAAAATCATGGTACGTCATCCTTGATGGGCACTGGCATTACGGTTGCTTGTTGCTTGCGGAGACAATTTTGCAAGTCGACAAGGAGGGAAAGACGCTGGAACCACAACGGAACCTGCGAGCGACTTGCCAGCTTCTCAGGGAGCTGCGACAAAGCAACGCGGTCGCAATCGCCAAGATCGCACAGGCCTCACTTTCTGAACATATACCTTCGGTTCCCGATAATGCCGAATTTCACTTTGCGACGAACAGCAGCGCTATTTTGACAGAACCATGGACAGATATACTCGTTCGCGCATTGGGCAGCGCATGTAAGATATTCATGGACTGGTTATCAGCCTGGTACAATTCGGCCGATACGAACCACGTGTGGGTACACACGACAAACAGCTACGAGAATCTGTATAGCCAGGCGGAGGCATGCATCCAGGCGATGACGCTCCTTGGTCGCAAGTCGGACGCGGCTAAATGTACGGCAGAAGCGTTTCGGACACGATTAAGTCGCGTCACTTTCTACAGGCGGGCATCCGCTGGGACAGACGCCGACAAATAGCCGCCTGAGACTTCATTACGAAGAAATGCCCAATAGTGATGCTGGGGATCAATCTGGTCTCGTTGTGCTATGAGATGGTTCATTGGGAACCCGCCGAGAGGACAAGCCAAAGTTTGATACCCCGTGTAAATCTTGTGGCCGGGATTTTTCTGATACGATATTGCTCGATGAACATATTCCTTCTCGGATACCAGGCTTCTTGATTTCCTGCCTCTTGGGTACACAATTACCTGCAACAAAGTCCAAGTAGAATAGGTCCCATGGAGGAAATGTCACTGCAGCTGTCCTGTAATCCACTGCCCGGCACCAGTCCTCCTGAACATGCAATGCCGCTAAAACATAGTGGCAGAAGTAGAGGTCGCAAGGCTGTGTGCGAGCCTTGCGATTCGAGGCACCAAGACGGCAGCATGTTGACCTGACGTCATATGAATTTACCTTTCAAGAACATGAGAACCTGGCAAGCAGGTTCCCGAAGGTTTTCTTGTGCACTGCTCAAGCTGGACGAGCAGCGTGAGAGACGACTTGTGCACATTCGATCAAGTCCGGGCATACATCCGCTGCTCAGCGTAATGTCTACATGATGCCTATTCTCGCTTACTGAACCTAGCTCCTTTTCTACGACCAGGGTACCTGCAGAGATCGTCATAGCCACACCATGTCCTTCATTGACGAGTAAGTCGTTCGAAGATCCGTGAGGTCGACTCATCTAATTCCTTTGCCGTATAGCGACCTACGCAGGGTGGATGCTGCGTTGGACAAGTTTCAACTCAGAGAGGCCGAGGAAAGGGTGGTGTCCACCGCAGCTGCAGCCTCAAGTGAGGATCCCCGGACATCGCAACTCAAGGCCGTTGTCCGAGCGTTATCCACGACTTCCAGCTCCAGACCCCTCATCCGCCGCACCCGACTGCGCACTCTGCTAGGTCAACTTGCCAAAAGAGATGGAGAGCAGGTCAGCGCCGAGACCGCGTCGCCTGCCATCGCCAACCTAGAATGGGTTGCGACGGGCAAGGCGACAGCCCAAGTCTATGGCCTGATCCTGAGTTCGCTTCTGGACCGCACAATTCCACTCAGCGAGTCAATATGGTACTGGGACGACCTGCTGTCATCTTATGCGAATATTGTCCTCTACACCATCCAGACCTCTCCTCTGAAGTTCTGGCAACAGGCAAAAGAAGTCTACGCGGACGCGCGCCACAAATTTAGACAAGGTCAAGTGCTTCAGACGTCCGCCCGTGATGCGACCAGGACCGTTACAGACAGCTGGCGAGAGTTCTACGCTCTTGTCCAGAACAGCGTCCAGGAACGATCACTCGCGCAGGCCCAGACGAAGATTTTATCGCCCTTCTCCATCGCCCGTGTCGAGGTCAGGAGGAACCTTGACCATATTCGGTACCTCAGGAAGACCAATGCGGCAACCATTGGTAGGCTGGTTCGGGAGTGTCTGGTCTTCGCGGGGCCTCCGGAGGACCGCAAACGGGGTGCATTGGTGCAGCAGCTAGACCCCGAGGACGATGACTGGCAAACGACGATTGCGCGAACGGCATATTTGCTCGATATTTCCACGAGGGCCACGCAGGAGGACGAGGAGGACTATACTTCCATTGACCCGCAATCAGCCTCTTCCGCCCAGGTGGCCGACCTGCTGCTCAAGGTGTTGGACCAGCGGCTCCCCAAACAGGAACAAGAAGCGAACAAGCTGAGCTCGAGCTATGGCAAACCCTCACGACTCGTCCGATATTGGATCCCTGGTGTGGTGCTCTTACTGTCCGGAAGCACGCTGCTTCGAATATTCGTCAACCGACGTGCAGAAATACTCCAATGGTTCCGGGAACTGGGGCAGACGACCATCGACTTCTGGACGAACTGGGTGGTTGAGCCCGTCAAGAAGCTCATTGGCACGATCCGCCACGAGGAGCAGAGCGAGATTGCCATCCAGAGCCGGGATAGCCTGCGTGCCGACCGCGAGAGTCTGGAACGGATGGTCGTCGACTTTGCTGTGCAGCATCCTGAAGGTGGCCAGAATTTCACCGAGGCACAGGTCGCCGAGATCAGAGCGAAAGTGAAAGAAGGGGATCTTACGCCTGTGCTGAAAGCATACGAACGAGAGATGCAAAGTCCGATCAAAAACGCCATTATGGGCGATCTGATCCGAACATTGCTCATCCAGGTGCAGAAGACGAAAGTGGATGTCGAGGTTGCCATTGGCGGGATTGATTCGATACTCAAGAGTCAAGAACTACTGTTTGGCTTTGTTGGCATTGCGCCTGGTGTGTTGATCTCATACGCCCTGTTCCAATGGTTCGCGAGCACGTTTGGCGGCCGACGTGGTCTCCAACAAGGACAACGGAAGGGGGAAGCAATTCGGCTCATAAGGTTCGGTGACCTCCCTGCGCCCCCATGATCCCCTACTGACAGTGGTCGAACAGAAACATTGATCGTACCTTGACCTCTACAGAGCTTGACAACGAGGAGGGCATTATTTCCGAAGAGCATCACGGGTTACTTCTGTGCGAAGTCCACCTGTTACGTCAACGTGTTTCACAAGTCCTGCCGAGGAACGTTATGCGGGATTTCCTCGAGGACCTGGATGATCTGTTGGATGTCAAGCAAGGGGTGAACCGGCAGGTCCAGGCATTGAGAAGAATAGAGTGGGTGTATGCCAAGTGGTTGAGATGAGGCTCCCCGTACCAGGCGGACAGTCATGCCAGCCTCATGTATAATAGAGGAAGATGAATGCATCAGAGAGAAAATCGTGTTCGTGCAGGATGGGTAGATGCGGTGGTTGAAGGCCTTAGGCGACTCGCTCCTGCACCTGGAACGGCAGCCTATTTAACTACAGTAAGCAGCACGTGGCCCCGTTGCCAGTGTCAACCGCGACAATGGCATCATTCTCGGCTTTACTGCGGGCGTTGTGGCGTTGAGATTGCCTACGTCTGATCCAACGTGCAACATCCAGACCCTAAATCCAGAACCCAGATCCCGAATCCGAGCGACATCATCTGTCGCATCTCTCTACCTTCACCATCCTCATCTACGGTGTATTCTCTACTGCTGCCTTGAGCTCAAGAAACCGATACCGTTCACCAATTTCAACGGTGTCGCTGCCGCTGACTGCCTGCTGTTCATCATACGCCGCACCATCTCACCACCTGCCACGAAGCATTAGGCGCTTCACTTTCAGCGTTCGACTTCCTACGCAGCCCGCCACCGTCAGGAACCACAACCGTCCTCACTGAGTGATCACGACCCTCGCTCTCCCACCCCCTTCTTCCGGCACATAGACTGTCGCCATGGCAGGCCAACGGAATTACGACTTTCTAGTATGTTGCGCTGCACCTTACACCGCCGCATGCAGAATCATGTTTGTCTAACCCACACTCTCCTTCACAGATAAAACTCCTCCTGATCGGCGACTCGGGCGTCGGCAAGTCCTGCTGCCTGCTGCGCTTCTCCGAAGACAGCTTCACGCCCAGCTTCATCACCACCATCGGCATCGACTTCAAGATCCGCACGATCGACCTGGACGGGAAGAGAGTCAAGTTGCAGATATGGGACACGGCCGGCCAGGAACGCTTCCGCACCATCACAACCGCATACTACAGAGGCGCCATGGGGATTCTACTGGTGTATGACGTGACGGACGAGAAGAGCTTTAACAGTACGCCCCCTCCACTGACAATCCCATCCCGCGCGCACAATTCTCTGACTCCTCACAGACATAAGGACATGGTTCTCCAACGTCGAACAACACGCCTCGGAAGGAGTCAACAAGATCCTCATCGGCAACAAATGCGACTGGGAGGAGAAGCGCGCCGTCTCGACGGAACAGGGCCAAGCGCTCGCCGACGAGTTGGGCATTCCGTTCCTCGAGGTCTCGGCAAAATCGAACATCAACATCGAAAAGGCCTTTTATTCGTTAGCGAGCAATATCAAGAAGCGGTTGATTGATAGTTCGAAGGAGAGCGGCGGTGCTGGAGTCGGCGGCCAGGCCGGTGGGCCGGGCGTCAGCGTCACGCCGAACCACGGCGTCGGGGGTGGCAAGTGTTGTTAGGCGTGCGTTATGCAGAGGAGCGACGACAGGCAGGCGCGCGAGGGTGCCAGCGCATTCTGCGGCCAGCATGGATATCAAGACCCTCAGACAGGCGCGACTCTTCACCGTTTTGACCATTCCCACAATCAGCTTCCATCCGCACCCGCGCCCGCACTCACACACCAAATATTCAGGCCGCACTGTCTGAGATTGACTCCTGCGAACCTGTGCCTCATCACCAGTGGGGACTCTACCGCAGTAGATTGAGGGCCAGGTGGACATTTGTCTTTTGACATCGAGGATGCTTGACGCCTCCTCACCCCAACATCTCTTCTAGTAATCTTGGGCACGGCATGGGTCTACAATCGGCGTTAGGGAAACAAGGGGTACCTACTCATCAAGTTTTCGCTCTCGGAATGAGGATTTTTTTCATGTCCAGGGCTTCTCGAGCCGGCAGACAGGCAGACAGACAGGCGGGTGGACCTGACGTAGGAGGAGTGCTTGACTGTCGTTCCTGAACATGAGCAGGTACTTGGTACCTTGCGAGTAGATGAGCATTTATCCGCAGCAATCGAATCCGTCCTGTCCTGTCCTGTCCTGTCCTGTCCAGTCCAGTCCAGTCCAGTCCAGTCCGCTCCTGCTTGAGCTGGACAGGGCCGCAGGTGGATGTATCCTTTCTCCCTCTCCCCCTCTGTGTGTTGAGCGTCCGTTGTCTTGATCTCCACTTTTGAATACACGATAATTAGGCAATCAATCAATCCCCCTTGTTTAACTCGGGATGCACTGCATCATCAAAAAAGTCGCGAGGCCAGGCAGAGGGCAAGGAATACAGAACACACTCCCACGCACATATCATATCATATTAGACGGCCGAGAATGTTGTACTGGGTGCGCTGAGGAGAAAACCATGCACACTGACTCTTGAAAGCAGAACATCTAGTCTAGGTGCCGTCCAGCAGTTAATCAGGTGGGCTGGGGAGAAACGAGAGTCTGCAGAGGCCGCAGTTTTTAGCAAGGGAAGAGAGTCAGGAGTAAAACGGCAATGATTCAATACCCCGGTGGTATGCTCTCGTGGTCGTCAAGATTTGGTCGCTGATTGATGTTCACAGTGTGTGTGTGTCACTTGGATTTCAGTCCAACTTCGCCTTCCCCTCCCTCCCTCCCTTCTGGGCCACTGCCATCAAGTCAAGTCATCCGGCCGACTACTTGCCACACTCACTCGGCTGACTTGGTCCGAGGGTTGTTTTGTCTGTCCGGGACGTCGCTGCATGCTCTTGCCTTGCGCTCTCCGTCTATGCTTTCCCCGTCTGTCCGTGCCTACAGACATGCAGCCTAATATCCCACTCCGACTAGGTAGGCGCCTAGTTTCTCGACCGTGTTGGCTGCCGTGCCGGGCTGTACGGTCTCCGGGTAGTGTGTGATCAGGAGGGCTTGTTTCGTCTTGACAATCACGACGCCTTCTCGGCCCTGTCGTGACCGTCAGCTTTCACTTTATTCTACTTGGCTCGCGTGAGGGTTTCCATCTCCCCCCATCCCCCCCGGTTGGGGACGCTTGGGAGATGTTCCTTCGCGCACGACGCTGCCTACCTTCTTGCCGTATAGACTCGTGTCGTCGGCCTTGATCACAATGTACTTCTGGCCTGCGATGTGGAGGCCCGTGGACTGGACCTTTTTCGGCGAGCTGGTGTCCTTGTACGCGCCGACGATCTCTTGCAGTTCCGCGGGCGTGACTTGGAAGTTCGGCGACGTGGCCCACACGGAGGTGCCTTCGGCGTTGAAGATGGCGGCGCGGTCGACGTGGCCGGTGCCGACGAGGCTGGAGGGCAGCTGGTTAGTATGATGGGCGGTCGTCGTTGTGCTCGGGCTGGCCGTACCTGGTGTCCACGTATGCTGGACGGTAGAATTCATGTTAGTCTGGTCAATCCACCTCGCATCTTCCGGAAAGAAGGGCGTTGTGCCTCACCTTGCCAAGACATGGTCGGGGAGAGTTGTGCGGATTAGAGCCTGTCCGGCCTGTGAAGAGGGCGACGGTGGCAGATAGTGTCGGAAAGTACCTGGTAAACCGATACAAGAATCAAGCGAGGGGGTGCGGGCAAGCGGGTCGCCAGCAAAACGGCACTGACTTGCTGGTGAGGTCCGGGCCGGCGTACAGGAGGATTTCGTAGGTTGATCGAAGGCCGCGGGTACGTAGGTGGTGCGCGAAGGGGAAGATGACAATGAGGTGTAATGTGTGATGTGTGATTGTCTGATCGGAATCAACAAGTGAATGAATTGTTGTCGAGGTGGGGTCCGGCTACTTTCAAATGACTCAGAATTGGGGAAGCCTGATTTTCAAATGTCACCCCGCTATGGATCCGATATGAACATGTGCCACGCAGAAACACTGATCGTTCTATGTTCAGGTTTGCGAATTAACCCAACATGTTGACCTTGGGCGCCCACGCGAACATCGGACCTTCTCACAAATGAGATGTACACCCAATAAGCACATCGCTCAGAGCTACTCAGAACTCCGCGTTAGTCTCCTAGCCGTCGCTTCCAGGTCCTTTCGGGACATTCTCCAATTTGTCCAGAGCAGGTATGTATCCCAGCGGTGCTGCTCGGCAACCTACGCACTTCCTCTTGGCTGAGAAACACTCTCCATGGATACATCTTCTGAGGTCTTTTCTGCCATTGCCGGAGTCCAGCTCGAAGATAGGCGCGGGAAGCAGAAGCCAGGATGGAATACAGTCTGTACAATGGTGGCATACACCATGAAGCTGTGGGAGCGTCAGTTGGAGGACAAATCAAACTCGATCTCGAAAGACTTACCATCCCTCGAACACGATAAACGTGGCCTCGTCTTGCATCACATCATTGCCCCAGCCGCCAGCCATCTCGACAATCCGGTAGATGCATCGAATGAAGATGGCGAACCACGCTGAACCAACACCGAAGGCAAACAGTCGGAACTTGCGTTGCTTGATTGTGGTGGCAGACTCCGGTGTCAGGGGATGCTGTTTGTGGGCTCTCCATCTTCGCATGACATACCATCCAGCCATGCAGCCGAAGAAGAACAACGCAACCACCTGCCAAGCGATGCCGGCCATAAGTAAGTCGTCTCCGGTTTGTCGCATGGATGGGTCGTCATCGTCAGCAGTCGATGCGATGCCACCCCCAGCACCTTGCAGGACAAGCGACAGCAGATCGGCCGAGATGAAAATGTAAGTATAGAAGCGCGCTTTTATAACCGAGAATTCCTCTCCAAAGCAGAGAACCATGTGCTTCAAGGTCAGATATATGGCGGCTGAATTGAACGCCGGGGCGATTATCAGGCAGCAAATTTGAGTAATGAATCCTGCCTCGTTGAAGGGGTTGTCGTGCAAGATGATACGGCCGACGTAACCGATCGACGCACAAACACAGCCCGCCGTCAGGGCGACCATATAACTCCACGTCCTGTACCGAATACCGAGACCCAGATTGATCAGGGCAAAAAGACCAAAGAAGCCGAGGAAGAAGCCGTTGGCGCCCAAATCAGGGTAGTAGCCGTATACAGACAACTCGACAGGACAGTATTCAGTGATCTCGGTGCATGTCTCCTGGTTCCACACTGTTTCGTTCGACATGTTGAGGGTCGGGCGCCAAGGTAGGGGAGAGATGAGGTATGATATCAAAGGCAACTCGACGTTCTTGGCTCTTCTCGCCTCAAGCTGCTGGGGTGTTCTGAAAGTGAACCTCGCGGTGCAAAGTGGAGGGAGACACCTGACCTTTTATACTCCGTGATGGAGAATGCTGGAGCTCGCGAGAAGGCATCATATCTGTTTTGCTCTACGGGTACAACACACATTACCTGTCACATAATCCCTCAAAACTTGCTTCGTGGTGAGCAAGATGATGGTGTGGCTGCAGCGCTGCGCCCGGTTGCGAAGCCCCTTCATACCAGATGATATTCTTTGGCTGCTGGGTTACGATGAGCGAACAACACAGGAGTGCGGTGTATGCTTGATAGAGTGACAAAGTCGCAAATAAAGCCCAAAGCAGTTTCTCTGGCGTCATGTGGGCATGCCTGGACCTTGGCTACTACGTGGGACGCAGGCACTCAGTAAGAGAATGGTCGGCCTAACTGTGTATAGTGGTAGAGCTGAAATACGAGACATGGTGAGAATCATTGTGACTGCGGCTGGAAATATCTATCGCCCGTATCTCGTATTTAGTGGCACCGTGGCATACGAGACATTGAACACGCCTCGAACGTGACGTGAAAAGCAGGAACGGAAGATCGTTGTTGCTCTCTCGCAGCTCACTTGTTCTTCCCGTTTCCTTCGTGCTGTCCTGTTGGCAAAGCTGCAATGGTCTGGGCCGTCCTTGGGCAGTCTACATCTTCTAACTGCTCTGTGGCTCATCCCAGACCCATCGTCATTTCTTAAAACACAATACAGTCATAGACCAGAGAGAGAACAGACCAGCCACCAAGCCTGCCTCGCCGAACTCTCTGGCGACATATTCGCACCGTGGTTGCCTGAATATTCTAACCTGAAGTAGCGATGGCTTGCGACGGGCTGCATGAGGCTAGGCATTGGCGAAACTTTCCACAACCTAATGTATGTATGATCCACGCGAACGTGTCGTTTCCGGCGCCACATATGCAACCTCTTCTACTGTGTACGGCTGGCAGCCGGGCGACAGGCAATTGTCACATTCGAGAAACCTTAAGCCTTCCATCTCTACCCGGGCGTTTCATGCCCAGGGAATCAGGCCCTGCAACACAATCTCCAGGCCTAAACGTCTAGGGCGCGTCTCGCCGGCTCTGTCCCCAATGATACTTGCTATTGGTCTAGCAGTGCATTCCCCTTCAGATCCGGCGACGACATCGCCGTGGCTGACGCGGCGTTAAGCATTGGCTCGCTAACTCGGAACTGTGCTGCCTAACGACCGCCATGTCTATATATCGTGGCATTTACGGGAGCGGCTTGCGATAGGACACGTCGGAACACAGTCTCCGCTATTGGTTCCTTCTCTGGCCCCGTCTTGAGTCAAGGATGGTGTACCACGGCCCTAGCGCCGGCTGCAAGGCATGTCGAACTCGGCGTGTGAAAGTGAGTTCGCAATCTGCCCTAGCGATTTGCATGGATTGATTGTCAATACTAAGTGCACAGTGTGATCAAAGGAAACCATCGTGCAACAACTGTATTCGACGCCGGGCTGTGTGCCCCGGATACGGGGATGTATTTGATGGCGCGCACCGAAGTCAAAACAAGGTAGTGATACGCAGAGTAGAGAAGCAGAACGCTGCGAAAGACGCAGATTCGGCTAGCAGCACTCCAGGTAGCGACTTATCGCTGGAGATCTCGCCAGCCACCACTTCGACATCTTCGAATGACTCGGCTACAACCAAACCACAAGGTCCGCTCCAGTGGATCATCTATTCTGCGACCCCGGAAGAACATGGAGAAGGTTACAGCAAGACACTGCAGCTTGGGAAAATTCATCCTGCAAGGCTCTCGAAAATCGATCCGAGCGCTACTCACATGTCGATTCCTGATTCATTGAAGCAAAGTCCCGAGGATGCCTCTGTGAATTTCTTCTTCCGCTTCTACACGGGAACCATCGACGACCCCCAACTTCACCATTCTTTTGCACTACTATGGCAGCCACTGTATCTTAGGTCATCTGCAAACTCGCCCTTGAGACTTGCAACAGCGGCAGTGACGGTCAACATCACCATGATGTGGAGCTTCCAAGGCTGTGATGCTCGCCCAGCACGCAAACTATTCACCGAGGCCATAGCGGCGACGCGAGAAGCAATCAACAACCCTACAGAGAGAGATATGGATGAACTTTTGATGACCATATTGCTCTTTGACCTCTACGACTCTCTCTTGCTGCATTATGTACGTAATCCCCCCACAAACTACGGCAAGCACAAGGACGGAGCACTGGCTTTGGTCAAACATAGGGGATTGTCCAACTACACCTCCCTCGTTGGTAGGGCCCTCACCAATGCCACACGACACAACTTCCTCGACTACTCCCTTTCCCACCGACTCCCAATGCCAGTGGGATCACAGGAAATCTTCTCCCACCCAGCTATTGGCGAAAGCAGAGCAGCCCAGCTCGACGTGCTAACAATCGAGACCGTCAACGCTCAGGCCCGTCTCTGGGCCTTACGCCGCGACGTCTCGTCTACAATGACGAGAACACAGCGTACAAAAGCGTACGAGGACCTTATTGCCGACGCCATCCGCATTGACGAGCTATTCATGACGTGGAAACGTGCCATCACCTGCCGCGACTGGCTACCACTATTCGTCTCTCGTGAGGAGGTCCCGCCGTCCATTTTGGGAGCAGGCTTCTATGGCACCAAATGCGCAGTATGGAAAGACTTGGCCGCAGCTGAGATGTACAATCTGCATGCCTTGCGCCGGCTTTTCGTGCTCCAGATGATCCGCCAATCCCTTGCCGACGAGCCCACACTCCTGGCGGAAACCAATTATCGAACATACCTGGCCAAAGCCAACGCCGCGGTCCAATCACTCGTCGACTGCATCTGCGAGACCATCCCATTCCACCTGGGCGACACGGTCGTGCCCACCAACCCGCTATACAGCTCCGAAGTCGCGATGCCCTGCAAAATCGTGAGGGACCCGTCGACGGGAGAACCCCGCAGCATCCCAGATCTCGAAGGCAGTGACTTCAGGATGAGGGCCGCTGCGTCGGGCGGCTGGATGGTCTTTTCCCACCTCGTCGATATCTACAGGCTGGCCGAGCCGGAGGATGACGCCGAGCCCATCGTGTTGAGAGCCGGCCAGCTGGACTGGATCAAGGGCCAGATCAAGAGGCTGCAGACCACGTTTCTGTACTGCGACCCCCTGTGGTAAGTCTATGCTTAAGCTAGTCGGAGGGTTCTGCGTGCTTTCTTATTGCGCGCGAAACGCTTCAAATACCTACTACTGGACGTACTGTGCGGCGACGGGCTCACGAACATCTGCAGGTTCCAACGCATTCCTTCGCGGGAGGCGCCAGCACCAGCATCAACACCAGCAGCAACAACACGAAGAACAACATGAAGTATCACTTGGAAGTCGGGTTCGGCCAGGTTTGGCAGTGTATGGCTGAAAGAAGAGTGGGAAGAACGTGACAATCAATGCCTGCAGACAAACCTAGGCAAATTGGTCCTGCTCCTCTTCAATGTCTGGGAGCTCGCTCCCAAATGTAGCCAACCCTCAAGGCACACACCACGGTCGCCTCCTCTCGCACCGAGGATGTGTCCTCGTACGGTTGACATACGACTTGCTTAGGACATCTGCTCTCTGGCTCCTTCTGCTAACCAGCAAGGTCGAAGAACATTCCGGATACCCAAGACCCCAGATGCAGAGAAACATGGCTCTTCCGATCGACTAGATGCAGATTCTTCTTATCTCGCGCTCCTCAGAAACTCAACTACACCCCGGCTATACCCTACTAACTCGGCCAATCGTCTCTCCTCTTCCAGCATGACGTCCCGCCAGGTCATGACTGCGCGTCTCAGCTCGTCCGCTTCAGACACGAAATCGCCATGCACGCGCAGAAACACATTCATCCAGGTATTCACTAGCTCAAAAGATTTTCGTGCGCGGAGCTGGGTAGTAAGGAAGCTTATGAACGCAGGCATCTCGGAGAGGGCGATCGAGCGGATTTCAAGGTCTGCCGCCGAGGGTGGTAGGGCGGAGAGGTATGTCGCAAGGGCGGCGGGGTCGCGTTCAGCATCTTGGGAGAACTTTTCAAGGAGAGGGGAGAGATCGCTACCAGAAGAAGGGAGGGTCGATACGGCCATGCGGGAAACCCGAGAGCGCTCGGCTTCATCGACGGCCTTGGGAGCCGGATCAGGTCCATTGATATTGGGCGTGCCATTACCGCCGTTGACGAGGCTTGCGGACGTGCCCAGGAAGAATGGCGCGGCTTTGGGCTTTTCGGGAGGTTGGATGGGTTTGTTCCTTGCGCGGATGCGGTCGAGGTTCAGAAGCGTCTGCCACCGGGATTGAGGCTGGAGGGAGAGTGTGAGGAGGGATTTGTCCAATTGATCGAGTTCCGAGGAGAGATCGATGCCGTCGACTAGGGCTTGTTCTGCCTCTTCCGCAGCCACCCCGGGTTCGTCAATGGCCTGAAGTTGACTCGCCGCGTTGAATGCGGCAGGCGTCTGGCTGAGGTCGATGATGCCCTTGACGTCGTCGATCTGTCGGGTCGGCACGTGCGTAAACAGAGCCTTGTTCGTCCAGATGAAGATCCCTGAACTCCCCGCGTGGGTCGTGGCGAGGAATTCGCCCGTGCTGGAAAACGCCATGTTTGTGCACGTCGCGGCTGTCTTGAACGCGTCGATCAGATGGCCCGTCGCAAGATCGAACACGCGCACGACAGAGTCCATCGAGCCCGCGACGACCCAGCGCCCATCGTGCGAGAAGCAATAATCGTAGATTTGACCGGTACAGCCCCACAGCTCGCGGACGACCTTGCGCGCTTCGATGTCCATGACGCGAATGCACAGGTCGTCGCATGATATCGCTAGGAGTCCAGACACGGGATTATATCGTGTCGCGGTCGGGGCGGCATCGCCAAAACTTTTTCGTTCGAGGATCTTCCCAGTGGAAAAGTCCCAGAAGATGATTGTCCCATCCAGACTGGCAGTCACCATGGTACGGTTCAGATTGTCGACCACGATGCCGGTAACGGCGGCTCGGTGGCCACGAGGTATAGCGGTTAGATGCTCTGGATCTGCTTGTTGTGGTTGTTGTTGTTGTTGCTGCTGTTGTTGCTGCTTGAGCTGCTTGGCTTGGGCGGGCGTGAGGCGCGGGGGGTACCGTTGTCGATGCGCGCCAGACTGTAAATTGAACATATCCAGACTGCCACCCGCGGAGCCGACGACGGCAAAGGTCCCGCATGCGGTTATGGCGACGCTGGTAACTGGTTTGTGATCGCCCGTTTCAAAGGCCCATCTGCCTGCTTTTTTGCGTCCCCAGGACCACGTCCTCGCGACCTTGTCGTCGGAATGGGCTGTAATGACGCTTTCCCAACCGGTCATTCCGGATTCTTCGGCGCTGACGTTCTTCGAGTTGGACCAGACTCGGCCCGTGACCGAACCCATCCCACCGTCTCGATTGAGTGAGCAGGCCAAGTCGATGATGGGTGGTGCTTTCAAGTCTTCTACCGCGGACGTGTCGTCCGTGAGGAGACCTGATTTTTTCGCCTTGTGCCTGATGGAGCCTTGACTGAGTTCTGTACTTTGGCCGTCTCGGCGAAGCGAGAAGCCCCAGAGACTGCGGTCCTGGGATGCAGACAAGAGCCACTTGCCCGTTGCATCCGAGCCGTCTGATGCTGCGGGGAGGAATTTGAGTCTTGTGATGGAAGCGGCGTGTCCGCTTCTGTGGTGGAGAAGACGCGGAGTCGGTGAGAAGGGCGTCTCGTCGAATACCCATGATTTGAGGGCGTTGTCCAACCCTGATGAAACCAGGACGGGTTGCCCGGGGAGAAATTCAATTTTGCTCACGCCCGTGCCTTGGCCCAAGCTGGAGGTCTCGTGGGCTCCGCGGACGACCCCAACCACTTTACCGCCACGATTGAGATCCCAAAGCGTGATGTCGCCGCTTTCGATGCTGGAGGTGGCCATGATTCCCGCTTTCCGGCCATCCTCCCCAGCACCCATACCGTCTGTTCGGAACGTGATGGAGGTTATTGGCTTCCGGTTGTTACTGTGGCGCAATTCCAGAACTACCTCGTCGGCTTCGACGTCAATGATATTGAGAGAGCCATCGGCGTAGGATGCGGCCAGTAATCCAATCGCCGGAGCGGGAGCAAGGGCAGTGACAGCTCCGGATCGTGCAGATAGCGGGAGAATCGTGTGTACCAATCTTCCTGTACTGACGTTGTAGACTTCAACCGAACCATGTTTTGTCCCGACAAAAATCTTGTTCAGAAATGTTGGCAGAGTACAGACTTGGCCGGTCAAGGATCCTCGCGACCCAGTACTGATCGAAGTGTAATGCTCGAACGACTCGGTTTTCCACACTTCAATGGATTCTGTCCCGCATCCGACAATCCAGGACCCGAAGACGATCAGTTGGCGTATCTCCTGCGGGTGGGTATGCTCGATGTCCAGTTCTGCAAGCAGCTGCCCTCTCTTGAAAACCCACAGTCCTCGGGGCTCTTTCGGCTGCGAGCCTCCCCAGGCGACGAAGATTCGGTCCCGGTAGGCGAAAGTCGCAGTGATAGTGCCGGGACATTGCGGCCGGGTGAGAAAGACGAGGTTTAGCCCTCGGCGCAGGTCGTATGTTTGCAGCGAGGTCCCAGTCGAGGTGGTGATCTGGAAGGTCGTCTTACCCAGAGGAACCGAAGTAAAAGGCACGTTGGTGGGCGAAACTAGTCCCAAGGTCTGGAGAGGGTGTGTCAGTAGAAGATCCGATCAGTAGTGTGATAGACTGACTCTGAATGGAGCGAACAGCCTTGAGCTGATCGCTGGCCTCTTTCCGGTGCCATCCTGGTCTCTCCGCTGTCGCTTCGCAAGTGGAAGCTCAACAGCCTCGTCCATTGTGAGGTTTGCCCAGGTGATCTGGCCGTCACAAGCGGGACATACTTATATGGCTGTGGAAGGGCGCAACTGCCATTTCTGGCCGCCAGTGATATTTTTTTCTCGATCCGACGCGAGGCTGAAAAACTCACCGCCCGGCAGAAAGACAGGGCCGCCAATGACGTGCATTGAAGGCTTTGCAGGTGCCCTAACAGTGCCTAACCAGGCAGCCTAGGCCAATGCCAGTTAAAGGACGCCCTCCTGGTCACTGCTGGGCATCCCACATTCCAGGCGGGCCCCTCGTCAATTAGAGCCACGTCCCCCACTTACTCATCAGCTCACCACCCAAAATTTCCGTCATCAGCTTCGACTGACTGTTGCTGCTTCAATGGGACCCACGATCCGACGACGGTGCTTGCCCTGGGCAAAGATGACACCGCATTGATAGGCAACGTGCGGCTTCTCTTTCATCTTCTCTTCACATTCGACACATGTTTTCTCTAAGTTCGATATCCGCCGAGATCAGGTCACCGCCACCAGCCGTTCTTCCTCTATATTGTCATTCCTTGACCGCATGCCTATGAGCTGTCTCAACCGTCTTGGTGAAATCGAAGTCTTCACGGAGACCGTCGTCCGGATTAGGGCATTCCTTGCATCTATTAGAACAGTACCTAGTGCACGTGCCAGCCATTTCTGATTCATATCGCCATGGACAGCCATTCGCCTCTCAAACGAACCCCGACCAATACGTCAGAGGGCAACTTTAACGACGCCAATCCACTTCCTACGGTTTACTCGGCAAACTCTTCTATCACATCTGCTCCCCGACCTTCGCAGCGGCTTGCTGGCCGGACACCGTCGACACATTCATTGCTGGCCGCGAACAAGAATCCCGAGGTCCGCAAGGGTGCTCATTCCGGGACGACTACCAAGGCTTCGGTCGACCGCTCCAGCATCAGCATGCCGCCGCCGAGCACCAAGCCTTTAGCCGACCGAAGACTATCTGCCTCGATCCAGTCAGCCCTTTCCATGAGGAAATCTGAGGAGACCGCGAGAAGCCCTCCGGCATCTGTCAAGAGCCTGGAAGGAGAACGGTCCGCGCCATATAACGGCTCCCCGACTGCGTATTCTGCAACAACCGCTCATGACCCCACTATAGTAACAACTACCGCGTCCACATCACATGCTCCAGGTCTGCCAGTGCTTTCACCTCCTCCCTTCAACCCAAGCATTCCTAATCAATCAGATCTAGTGTCAAATCTCTCATCTCAGATTGCTTCGGCCAGCCCATCTGCTCCTAGGGGTGAAAGCCAGCTTCCTTTGGCGCCAACGAGCCAGTCCCTAGGGATAACCGGCAAGGCCGAGGGCGCCGAGACTGCACTACCCGTGCGGCCTCCGAGAGTCAACAAGCCCCGGTCTCTATCTTCCACTCGACGTCTGAGTACCACTGGGTCCTCCAAGAACGAGAGCATCAATTCTGAGGTGAAGACCCCTGTAGGCAGGATCGGTGTATGCGCCCTTGATGTAAAAGCAAGAAGTCGCCCTAGCCGCCAGATTTTGACTCGCTTGCAAGGCGACGGCGAGTTTGAAGTTATTGTTTTTGGCGACAAAGCCATTCTTGATGAAGGTATGTCTTCGCTCGCTTGCTTTGTACAAGTTGTTGACAGTGATAGACGTCGAAAACTGGCCGATGTGGTGAGTGCAGCCCATGCTCGCACATGCGCTGCTAATATGATGTAGTGACTATCTGATTTCATTCTTTTCTGACGGGTTCCCCCTTGACAAGGCTATTGCGTATGTCAAGCTGCGGAAGCCATTCGTTGTCAATGATCTGTCCATGCAAAAGGTGCTCTGGGACCGACGACTATGCCTAAAGATTTTGGATAAAATGCAGATTCCGACCCCCAAGAGGATCGAGGTCAACCGCGACGGTGGTCCGAAGCTCGAGTCCCCAGAACTTGCGGACCTCGTGAAGAAGATGTCGGGAGTGGTTCTCGAAGGCCCTGAGGACGGTACAGGCGGTGGTGCACCCATGACAAAACACGTTGAATTGGTGGACGACGGCGACACCCTGGTTGTCGAGGGCCAGCCAATCAGAAAACCGTTCGTAGAGAAGCCCGTTGACGGAGAGGACCATAACGTCATTATCTACTTTCCCAGGAGCCAAGATGGTGGTGCCCGACGGTTGTTCCGAAAGATTGGAAACAAATCCTCGGAGTTTGATCCAGAATTGACCGTCCCAAGGTGCCTCACAGAACCGAACAGCAGCTACATCTATGAACAATTTCTCAAGACGGAGAATGCTGAAGATGTCAAAGCATACACGGTTGGACCAGATTACTGCCATGCCGAAACAAGAAAGTCGCCGGTCGTGGATGGTCTTGTGCGCCGCAACACACACGGCAAGGAGCTCAGATATGTGACGAAGCTCACTCCTGCCGAGAAGGAAATGGCCTCAAAGGTATCTAGGGCCTTTGGGCAACGCATTTGCGGGTTCGACCTGTTACGCACGGGAACTGCCAGCTACATCATTGACGTGAATGGCTGGAGTTTTGTCAAGGACAATGAAGACTACTATAACGATTGCGCGAAGATTCTCAGACACATCTTCCTCCAACACAAATTCAAGGAGGAGAACGCTGTCTTCGAAGAGCCAGTGTCCGAAAGCAATGGGGATCCTACGCAACGGCGTCAAGGGACCAGCAGTTCAGCGCGGTCCGCGTTCAAAACTATCCTCAAGTCGCCAAGCATGACAAAGCTGTCGCAACACTTGCCGCACTCTTCACGGCTTCATCCTTCCGCTCTTTCTGGTTCCTCAAAGACGTCTGCTATGACGACACCGATAAGTTCCCCACCAAGCATGGAAAAAGGCTCTCATGCAGTCATTCATCCAGTAGGGATTGACAAGGGGGCTCTCCCACCACCAGCTGTTCCGGCTCCGGAAGCCGTTATGGCACCAGAGCCCGTTGCCTCCGCCAAGGAGACAAAGTCTGACCCTCCATTGCCGAGCTCTAAACACTCGTGGAAACTCAAGGGTGTTGTAACAGTTATCAGGCATGCAGACCGGACTCCAAAGCAGAAGTTGAAGTTGACAGCTCATTCGCAAGTGTTTGCTGATCTGCTCAAAGGCCACCACGAGGAAGTGCTCTTAAAAGGCGAGGCTGCATTGGCCAGCGTTCAGACAGCGGTCAAAATTGCACTACGGGACAAACTCGAGGATCCAGACAAGTTACGGAACTTGCAAAACGCACTGTCGAAAAAGATGAACCAACCGGGCACAAAGGTGCAGATCAAGCCAATGTTCCGCAAGCGAAAGCCGGAAGAGATGTCAAACTCGAAGCCATTGGCTAGCCCTCCGATTATTGCAGAAGAAGAGATCGCACCAGATCAAGAAGCACCTCCGGTTGAGAGGCACGCGTCAACGTCGAGTAATAAAGAGATGCGCCGCGTCAATACCAGAAGTGACTCCATGTCCGGCGCCACTTTCTCCCGCTTTTCAGCCGCCGAGAACGACCTCGTGCTCGACAAGCTGCAGTTGGTCATGAAATGGGGCGGGGAACCGACGCACTCGGCTAGATACCAGTCGCAGGATCTTGGGACCAATATGCGGGACGACTTCAAGCTGCTCAATAAAGAGGTACTTGACGAGGTTCGCATCTTCACCAGCTCTGAGAAGCGCGTAAAAACGAGTGCACAGATCTGGGCCGCAGCCTTTTTGGACCGACAGGATATCTCGGAAGACTTCATCCAGGTCAGAAAGGATCTTCTGGACGATTCCAACGCCGCAAAGGATGTCATGGACAAGGTCAAGAAGAAGCTTAAGCATCTACTTCGAGAAGGAACCGTTCCGGACTCCTTTGCCTGGCCGAAAAACGTCGCAGAGCCTTATGTGGTCATGCAAAGTGTCATCGACCTGCTCAAATTCCACCGACGGGTCATGCGACACAACTTCAAGAAGCTAAGCACTGGCGCTGTTGCCTCGCTCAATGCGCTGAATGGCCCTGCCGATGCCAAGGATAATGGAAGCATCATCGCCGTTGCCTCGATACAATCTCGCTGGTGTACAGGTGAAGATGCCGAGCTTTTCAAAGAGAGATGGGAGAAATTGTTCTCGGAGTTTTGCGACACGGAGAAGGCAGACCCGAGCAAGATCTCCGAGCTCTACGACACCATGAAATATGACGCCCTTCACAACAAACAGTTCCTAGAGTGGGCCTTCACACCCAGCCAATCGCTTCTGGACGAGATGGCCAAAGAAGAGGAAGGACTATCATCCACCACTTCGCCTGAGCCTGAACGGACTGACGATGCACCTTCTCCCACGCACAGTCCCCGTCACGGGAGCGTGGTCTCGCCTGTTGGTGAAGGAAGACACAGCCTCGCGCATAAGATCGGCCTAAGAAGACAGTCGGTCCTGAAGCAAGCTCCACCAACACCACCCTTGACCACGTGGGAACAAGGGGCTTCCTACTTTAAATTGTTCCCCGGATCTGGGGACAGTCGCTCCAAGCAAGATCAGAAACTTGGCCGCCTAAGAGAACTGTACCGATACAGCAAAATCCTCTTCGACTACATTGGGCCCCAGGAATATGGGATCAGTGATGACGAGAAACTTGAAATCGGCCTTCTAACGTCTTTACCATTGCTACGCGAGATTGTCGACGACCTGGAGGAACTGCAAGCCTCTGGGGACGCCAAGTCGTTCGTGTATTTCACCAAAGAGTCGCACATTTACACTCTACTCAACTGCATTATGGAGGGCGGGATACACACCAAGATCAAGCGATCCACCATTCCTGAGCTCGATTACCTCTCGCAGATCTGCTTCGAGCTTTATGAAGCCAAGGACGTCGAAACGGCCGAGTCAACGTATTCGATCCGCATCTCCATCTCCCCTGGCTGCCACACTGTCGACCCCTTGGACGTATCTCTGGATTCGAAGCACGCCATAGGCTCGGCGCCGCGTCGATCGTTGACAAACCACCAAGACTGGAAGGAAGTGATCTCGACCCTCAAGGCCAAATTCAACACAGTTCAACTTCCCAAGAGCTTCTTGGCCGTCAATGTAAGCGATAAGCATGAGCAAGAGGCGGAGATGCAACGAAGAGCAAGCTATTTGCAGAGCGAGGCGGCTAAGCAGAAGTATACGAACAACAGCGCCAGTGGTGATTTGATGGAAGTGAATGCCGAAGATAGTTCTGGCGGGCCGCACGCCGGAGACGCACTGGTGCGGGACCTGGAAAACCCTCATAATACACAACCTGAACCCGGCACGGCTATGCCCACCTCTTCTGGTCAGGAGTCAACTGTGGTAGAACCACAGTTTGTGTCGGTGGAGGAAAAAGACGATATGAATGGAGACGCCAGTCTCCAAGGGAGGGGAAGAAGTATTTGAGTTGAAACCTTTTGGAAATCGCGGCCCTGTACGAGGTGGAAGCCAATGCTCCCTCTGCGACGTACGCTGGACTGTTCTTGGATGTGGTGACGGCAACAAAACAAGAGACATGGTCCGATGAACTATGGCGGATGACCGAATCGGATTGACAAACACCGGGGTACAAAAGGCAGGCACGTTGCGTGCGTTACTGTCATGATAACACCAATGCAAGATGATCTACAAGATGCAATACCTGGTGTAGGTCGAATCTCACCGGCCTGCTTCCGGCTCATTGACCATTGCGCAAGTGATGTTAACGGATCGACCAGAAATTCCTCAAGAGGGATACAGTCCAATTTGTAGACAGGCGGATTACAGAAGATATAGTCCATAGAACATATAACACCGAACCTCCGCAGTAAGTAGATGCATTGACATTGTCATGTGTTGCAACAGGTCTCCCACCACGTCTTGACTCATGATATGTGGTTGCCCTGGTAAGCATTCAACCCGCGAGGAGAGAAACTGTCTTTAATCCAGCCAAGCAGCTGCTGCCAGTCCAGCCAGCCACTCGTTCGATAACTGGCGGTTGCGTCACGAGTGAGTGCCCTGCATTAAATCTAAGTTCCCCGTATTCGTGTCCGTATATGTGAGGTTCGATATCATGGGACTTCGTCCAGGAAAGACTCCGTGGGGCCGACTTGTGGTGTGATGTGAGGTGATGTGCGAATGGGCGAGTGAGTACTCCGTACATATCCGACTCACCGACCGTCTGGAGTCGAGAGTCGTCAGTTTCGACGTCCAGCTCGGGTGCCTGAAGCCCGATGCCTGATGCCTGGCGCTCAGGGCCCGTGAACCTCAACCCAAATCGGACCCCGCCTACTAGCTAGATGGCATGACCTCCGCTATAAGACCTCCTCAGCCCTGCTTACAGTACGCAAACTACGGTGTACCAGGTATCTACTCGCACGGAGTACACGGTCGCGTATCATCACTGGGCGAAAACAAACCTACCATAACCAAGATGAGGTTCGGTAGGAGAGCCAGTCTGATTGCGTGGTGCGGAAGATTCCGCTGATCCATCACGGCCTCTTCTACTTAGACCAGTGTGCCTGGTGCGCCGAACGCCCATACGGTAAAACCAGGATACGCTTACTCCATACTCCCCAGTCCATCTAGGTGCCTAGTGCGGGAACCCCTCTGTTGTCCGGCACATCATATCCGCCTGGCACATCTCTCTTCCAGCGCATAGTCATGATACCGGGCCAAAAGATCTGTCTTGTCGACATTACCCTGCGTCCCGAAGGTGAAGTGCACTGCCAGAGCGTCAGTGTTGACAGCGACTTGACGGTGCAGCTTCTTGGGTAAATTGACGGTCAACCACTCTTCGTCCACCGTGTCCATTGGGAGATTGTCGAGGACATCATCCGCCCAAATGGTGATGAAATTGATGCTGAGACGCTTGTCGACTGTGAACCACGGCTTGCCGCCGTCGGCGTCCACGCGACGAACACCCACGCCCATCTTGTACACATCGAGGTTGTCGTCCGCCAGGTTTTCCAGGAAAGAGTAGTGCTCTTGTGCGGCGATGGCCCAGGACTTGAGCCCCGTGCCCCATGTCGCGTACTCGATTTCCGAAGCTGGTGTACGGTGCATGTCGGTGTCACCGGGCAGGCGCAGCCACCGGTGGCCGTCGTATGGTGGCTCTTGAGTGATGCCGAAGAAATAATCGGTGGGTCCTTTCCACTCGGGATACGACCAGTACGTCCATGTTTTACGGGACGGTTTTCTTGGGTGGAGGAAACCGTCAGGTTGGTAGTCAGCGAGCTCAGGTAGGTACGGGTGCAGGGCGCCCATGTGGTAATGGACCCAGCCCATCAGTGGCGAATTGATCATGTTGGCGGCTACGAGCAGATACTCTGGGTGCGCCAGTTTCATGCTCACGATGCGAGGAATCGTGTCGTCGTCGAACCATACCACGTCGTCGTCAATCTTGACGTACAGGTTCCCGCGCTCCAGCTTGCCCCAAGCCTGACCGTAGCCGACAAAGCCAACTCCTTCGAGCTCGACCGTCTTGTACCGCGGGGAAGAAGCCAAGATTTCGTCAAGGTACTTGAGGTCGTCGGGAATGTCGGTATTCTTCACCCAGTGGATTTCATCGAGCCAGCCTCCGTGATCGACCAGGTTGCGTTCGAGGTAACAGCGGAGAATCTCTACGCGGCTCTTTCGCCCAAAGAACACAAGGCCAATGACCTTCACGTCGTCTGGCTTGTCAAATTGCCGTACCCGGAGATCGCTGGAAAAGCCTGTAGCCGATTCTGATGTGGGGAAGCTGAGCGGTCGTTGAGATTGCAGCTCGCGCAGTCGATGGAGTGCGAAAATCACAAAACAGAGCGCGCCAACCAGGGCGAAGCCAAGGGAGCGGCGGACCCTTGAGTTTCTTCCGCCCGGAGCAAACGAGGTGACTGACGCCATGGGGAGCAGAGGCTGCTTCTCTTTGAAGCCGATGTAAGGGTTGCGATGCGGATGTTCTTGTTGTAGCTGCGCTGGAAACTCCTCGCTTCCGACATCACGCTGCCGGGTCCGGCACCAGGCTGGAGTCGTGCTTCTCATGTTGCCAAGCTGCCTCACCACCCGCAATTCACGTTACTCGGAGCCGGCTGTTTGCAGCTGGCACGGAAAGTGAAGTGAACCGCAAGAGGGGCCTGATTACCATCCCTAAAGACATTGGGAAGGAGTGAAACACTTGCTTTTTCCTCTCGACATCTGGGGAGGTGGTTGGGTTGGCAGCAGCTAGCACGGATACGCGAAAGCCGTGGATCACCTGGAGTCCTCCTACGCAATCCAAGACTACAAAAGGAGTTAGAAGACGGGGTATCGCTTGCATGGCGTTGAGGAATCCCATGGTGCTCTTATCAAGACCTCGACCGCCCATCACTGATACAGAAAAGCCGGATACTATTGGACAGATAGTTGCTGGCGGGTTAGGGGAAGATTGGCATTGCCTTAGCTAGCCGCTACCTGTAAATTTCCGACGGCAATGACTTGAAATCAGTAGACTTCGATGGCGGTTCGGACTCAGCTTTTCTGCACTCCATGGCTCTGGATCTCGTATCTGGGAAACGTCGAACCTGTGGAGCTGAGGTCAGGTTGAAGGTTAAAGAGTCACTTCAAGACTGACCCTCGAGAGGACATTGACGTCATCCGTAGCTTCTCGTGGGAGCGGATAGTCACGTGGATGTCACGTGGGTGGCTTCCGCTTGCGGGCTTCCAATCCCTTGGCGTGTTATTTCCCGCCCCTCTCCTCAACAACCACCACCACCTTCTTCGAATTGTTATCCGCACGCAAGCCACGAGACCGCCAGTCTCATATTCCGACGAACAAAGGACTGCCTTGACACCTGTGTTTTGACCCAGCCATTGAGGGTATGTGGGAGCCAAGTTTCTTTGTGTCTGGCTGGAGAAGTTACCTGGTCGTCCGAATGGCAACTTCCAGTGTCGCCGTCAAATTCCGGGAGCACACAGTGGAAGCTTGAAGTGCTAAAATTGCGCTTTACGCTCTGCGCATCGAGTCGAACATAAAACACACTCGAATGTTCCCTCACCAATTGGTCCGCGAAGCCGAAATTGTTCGGGTATATGGTTTGTCTGCCAGTTTGCGCTTTGTCTGTGCTGCCACGCAATCTAGAAACGGCTTCTACGGTCCAGCTCGCGACGTGCCTTTATCTGCTTTCCATATTCGGCACAAAGGCGTCTGTTTCCCAATCGTGAGAGTGCCATAAGATGTTCGAGTCTCGCCCTAGCCATTTTCCATTCCCCAATCTACCGAGCCGCAATCCGACACAGTCGATTCCGATAGACACAGTGTGCTGTCCCCCCTTCGACATTGAGTACCAGAACAGGCCTGATACATCACGATGCGCTCGTACGTTCCATTTCTTGTTGGTGCTATTTTCGCCGTCGTGGTCCAGGGCAATCCCGATCATGAACCTCTCATGGCTCGCGGAAAGATAGCTTGCAAGCCTTCGGCAGAAACAGGCTGTGCTGCCTGTGGCGCCAACTGGGTCGCATGCGGTACAGATGCATGCTACAATCCTGTGGCTGGAGACGTCTGCTGTTCCAATAGATGTAAGCTGACCTTTATTTCATCTCGTCTGTCAAGCACTTAACAAGAAGTAGATGCATGCCCTTCCACCTCCAACTGTACCACCACCGGCATAGGATGCATTCCTCAGAATGGAAAGCCTCGCGAGTGTCCTCAGGAGCTCAGACACTTGCTCAGCAGCAGTAGCAGCAGTGCCACTAGCAGCACCGGGTCATCGAGCTCATCGACCACGTCTATTTCAAGCGCCTCTGTGTCTACCACAGCTTTCGCGTCGACCTCTTCAGCGTCTACGACTGATTCTACGTCGAGCTCTTCTTCTGCCACCACGACCGATGCTACCAGAAGTTCCCTTTCGAGTTCATCTACGCCACCTGCCACGTCGACCGACACAACTACTAGCCAGACTGCGACGATCACCTCGACCACAACACGCACAGTCACCGTCTCCATGACCAGCCCTAGCGGAGAATGCCACGCGCCCACCGTGACTCCGTTGACCAGCTCAATGGCCCCCTTCGGTAACTACTCGTCCACCAGCATGGTCGCGTTGAATACTACCACGTCGACTCTCTCCTTGACGAACGTGTCTTCGACCGTCCCTGGCACTATCTCGGTTCCTGTCAGTGTCAATGCCACGAAGCCGACGGGCAGTATTGTGCCGCCAATCAGCGGGTTCAAGGGTGCTGCGGATCGTGCTGGGGCCTCTGTGTTTGCGCTTGGCAGCTTAATCCTCGTGGCTGCTTTTCTGGTTTAAGCTCTAGGGTTCTGAGGTTATGTGGTGGCGTTCTTGTCTTTCTTGGCCGTAGAAGTATTTTAGAAAACAGTTGGAACTCTTTTGAACAATCGAGGCCCATGTTGCGACTGGAGCCTTCTGGTGACTAAGTCTTCCCCTGGCCAACAAACTAAGCTCTCTATTGTATATATCTACAAGACCACGACCTTGGGCTTATTCGACAATTGATTCCCTGTCTGGTACGTGAGCGCGCCATTAACCATATATCCTCCCTGCCTGGCACCACCCCACAACCTCGTCCACAATAAACCCCTCACATCCGCCACGATGGACTCAATCCCCTTCCACCATAGTGCCAAGTCAAGGACTTCCGTCAGCGGTAAACGATGACTTGCAGCCATCTCAGCAGGCTTATTGTACGCTGCGGCGAGGTATGCCTCCCACGCCTTCTGGCTTTCATCCCACCAGGCAGGCTCGACGCCGTGGCCTGAATGAACGTGTCCAAAGGCATGCAACGTCGGCTTCACGCGCCAAACTTCCTTCAACTCGAATTCGTCCCCGAGTCCACCACTCGCGGGCAGGTCGAGATGCCATTTCGGCGGGTTATGCGTGATCAGCACGTCCACGTCGTCCGGTATCGTTGCCGTCCAGGCGTCCTGCCCCCGTTGGTATTGGAATGCAAACTCTTTCCCTCCGCATTGTGGGATCTGAGGCGCACCATAGACTTTCAGGTTGCGGTCGCCCGGGAAGGTCAGGGTGATGGACGAGTGCTGTAGATAGTGGATCTTGCCCAGGTTCAGGATGCGGTGGGAGTTCTTGCGGTCGTGGACGCTGCGGCTGCGCTCGTCAAAGTAGCTGTCGTGATTGCCGGCCACGAAGACTATATGGCGGAACCCGTCCGAGGAGCCGGGCCATGGCTTCTGCAGCGTTTTCAGCCAGTCGAGCGTTTGTTGGATGGAGGATAGGGTGCCCGTGTTTGTGAGGTCGCCGGAGTGAATGAGGAGATCGCCCCGTGGGATGGCGTAGCGGGGGACTTTGGAGTGGGTGTCGGAGAGGCACACCACGCGGATGGGTAGTTTGTTCTTGGGTGGGAGGTAGGGTGCGCCACGCAGGTAGAGCAGCAGGTTGTGGAAGATGGTGAAGCAGGTCGTGAGTGGGTGGTAGATCAGTTGGTAAACCAGGGAGGGCGGTGCGAAGGGGGAGTCGGGTGGCGAGAAGAGGCCCATCTTGCAGGAGGATCTGGGAGGTATAATATCGAATAACGATCGTCACTTTTCTGTAGGGTCATCGGGATGGGGAGTCGGATGTTATGCTAGGTGAAGCGCTCATGTTTGTGACTGTATATCCGACAGGCGTTCGGTTAAGGACATTGCAGAGATTTCGCTGAAGCACCGAGCTGGGATTTCGAGAAGTCTTTTCTAGTCCGGGCCTGAGATAAGCCTCAACAAACATGGAGAGGATGATACGCCTCCATTGCCTCCTGTTCGAAGTCTGTGGTACTCGTACGGAGCACAGTACGGATAGACTTACCGCCACGTCGGCCCTGTCAGGATGGCGCAGGTGGCTTGCCAGGAACAGCTTGATTTCCATCCATACTTGCAAACGAAGACATTAATCATGCTGAGCTCGGAATCCATCCTGTGTTTGTCTTTAGTCATGGTAGAGAAAGAGAAGACTCTACAGCATCTCTGTTTGATATCTATCCCATCAACCTCTCGTTGTGGTGACTGAGCACCTTGCACACCACCACAGACAAGCCTCATAGATACCCCACTACGGCTGCTTGCTATCCCACCTTGATGATCACATACAAGTAAAACCAACAAACCAGGGCCCGTGACTGTGGCCCGACCCCAGCCGTATTCATATTGATATCGCCATCGCCGGTAGCTCCGACTCAAGAGCTTCTTCAGCTCATAAGACCTGAGCCCGAGATCCGTCAGCTCCCTTGACCTCCGCCGAAGACTCGATCCAAGATCAGTCGCGTTTCGCACCACGACGTCAGCCGGCTTGTGGTTTCATTTCTGGACGATCCTGGCACGCTGACTTCGACATCGTCACACAGACGCTGGATTTAGTGACTCGATCCCAGACCTCTGCTTTCGCCATCAATGTCCTCGATCTAACAGCCGCCGGTGCATGGTGCCCTGCTTGCGTCCCACGAATCACATCCGTCATCGAGCAGCACGCAGCACGCATCGCAGAATTGTACATCGGCGCTTGTGCTCTTCCCGACTCACGTCTCACGGAAGCCGCAGAAAGCCGCAGCCGTATCTTTGACAGAAGTCTAGGTACGAAAAGGAACCAGAAAAGATAGACATAACATCATCGCGCCTGGGCTGTCAGCATTCTTTCCGGCGCTCCATCGAGTGGCCCGTCCCCGAAGCGAGCCCGTCTGATGTTCTAGAAGAGTGGGCATACACGCCGCCGTAACGAGAGTTCGACTCTCCCAGGCTCTCCGCAGATCCTATCACGATCACGTACCGCCGCACCAGGCCAGCCGGGGCTACCCTCGTGGCCCGACTGCGCCCAAGAAAAGTCATCCCCCTTCTAATCTCGACTGCACCTCGAAATACCCTCCACAATTCCTCCATTATCGGAAGCTGGCCCTGCAAAGGGACCAGTCGCTCACAACCCGCACAAACTGCTGGCCACAAACGCCGCGGCCTTTGCCATGATGAACGGGACGGACCTGAAGAAAGCCGCCATCAACCAGGCCAAGAAGGTTGCGACGACCGCCGCCCTCGCTGCCAACGGCAACGGCCAGAAGAAGCGGCGAAAAGGCGACAACCTCAAACCCATCATCACCACAGACAGCGCGGCGTCGTCGAGTCTTCACGACAGCCCCACCCAAGCAGAGCCCGAGTAAGTTCACTTGCAACGTCACTGCCCACTGCCTCTTTGTCACACGCGCGCCTCGCCATTCTTGCACATGATATCGTGATTGATCGCAGATGCAACATTTTTCCCATCTTCTTCTCAATCCAGCCCCCGAGACTGATCTTGATCAGCATGGACTCTCCCTTACCTCACGCCAAGGCACCGTCAAATAACTCACATTTGAATCACAGATCCCCCTCCTCATCGACCTCAGAAGACGACCCCGCCGAGACGACGGCAGACGAAGAGGACTCGGAGGACTACTGCAAGGGCGGATATCACCCAGTCCATGTCGGCGAAACATACAACAACGGCAAGTACGTCGTGGTGCGCAAGCTGGGGTGGGGTCACTTCTCGACAGTCTGGTTGTCAAGAGATACCGCCACTGGCAAGCACGTCGCGCTCAAAGTTGTCAGATCGGCGGCACACTACACCGAGACCGCCATAGACGAGATCAAACTATTAAACAAGGTCGTCCAAGCCAACCCGAACCATCCTGGCCGCAGATATGTTGTCAGTCTCCTCGATTCCTTTGAACACAAAGGCCCCAACGGCGTGCACGTATGTATGGTGTTTGAAGTGTTGGGCGAGAACCTGCTAGGCTTAATCAAGCGTTGGAACCACCGGGGTATCCCGATGCCCCTGGTGAAGCAGATTACCAAGCAGGTTCTCCTCGGCTTGGACTACTTACACCGGGAATGTGGCATCATCCACACGGACTTGAAACCCGAGAACGTTCTTATTGAGATCGGAGACGTTGAGCAAATTGTTAAAGCTTTCGTGAAAGACGAGAAAGAACCAACAAAGGACGACAACAGAAATGGCCGAAGACGAAGGCGGACGTTGATCACAGGCAGCCAGCCGCTACCGAGCCCACTGAATGCCAGTTTCACGAACCTGGACAAGTTGGGTAGCCATGGCCACCATCAGCCTAGCAGCCTGAATCAGGTCATCAATGACTCCGTCTCCAATAAATCATCAGATGGCCTCTCGATGCTTGAGCAATTGAAAATGAAGTCGAAGGAGAACAAGCCGAACGAGGAGCAGACGGCAAGCGGGAAGACGAGAGAAGGCACCACAGACCCACTCGAGAAGGACCTAGCCGGAGTTTCTCTTGACAGCAAGAAGTCAACAGACGCGGAAAAGGTGTTGAAGGCCGCCAAGAACGAGGACGACCCCATCGGCGAGATCATTTCTGTCAAGATCGCCGACTTGGGCAACGCTTGTTGGGTCGGTCATCACTTTACAAACGATATCCAGACGCGACAGTATCGGTCGCCGGAAGTGATCCTGGGCGCGAAATGGGGTGCCAGTACGGATGTGTGGAGCATGGCATGCATGGTATGATGATGGCCTCGGGCTTACAAGGATGAAACGCCACTAACGCACCGCAGGTATTCGAACTCATCACAGGCGACTATCTATTCGACCCACAATCAGGAACGAAGTACGGCAAAGATGACGACCATATCGCGCAAATCATCGAGCTCCTCGGCCCTTTCCCCAAATCTTTGTGTCTCTCAGGGAAGTGGTCACAAGAAATCTTCAACCGCAAAGGCGAATTGCGCAACATCCATCGATTACGACATTGGGCCCTGCCCGATGTACTGCGGGAGAAATATCATTTCTCGGTCGAGGAAGCCAAGAAGATTGGTGATTTCCTGACTCCCATGCTCGAGTTACCGCCGGAAGCGCGCGCGAATGCAGGCGGCATGTCGAACTCGGAGTTCTTGAAGGGCGTCAAAGGCATGGAGAATGTGAACCTCGAGATCCCTCCGGGTTCCAAAGGCGAAGGCATCGAAGGCTGGGCGTGTGAGGTCAAAAAGCGGTGATCTATGGCCTGAGCCGGAGCGGGCTACGGTTTTCCAGTTCAGATATGCCAGGGTGGCTATGATGTGATTTTCCCAGCAGATTCTGGCATGCACTCGAGTGCCTTCATCTGATGGTGTGTTTTTGGAATGAGGCGAGATGCAAATGAATGAGGACGAACGCTGGACTAGGAAAGACACGAGGCGCAAATACACGGTGGTGTCCCGTACAGAATAAATCACGACCTTTATGGGCTGGCCGAGCGTCTGTTGATCACGACACTGAATGACTATGAAGACTTTGTCCGCTTGCGAGAGGAGAGAAAACAATGCATGACATGCGTCGCAGTCATCCGGAACCCTCGACGCGAACCGGTATCCCGCGATGACCAGACGGTGCCATGCCTTTTCTCCAGCCTGGTCGCGGATCGCACTGGCCAGTGGATACTTCGTGTCTTCCCGTTTCCGTCCGGAGTAATATGCTGTACTCCCCACGATGTCCTCCACAATGCGCTGAACACGGAAGATTCGTCACAACTCGAGCAAGGGTCCCAGTGGTGAGTACTGGGTGTGGATGGGGTGAGCGAGAGCAGCGTACCGCGGCGCCCCGGATTCGGCTCTTCTGAGCGAAATTAGACTACCGCGCCTCTTTTAGCCCATCGGAGAATTCCTTCCGTTGCGCGTCTAACCGGATCAAGATACCTAGGTAGTTAGTGATACCACAGGACCCCGAATGCACGATTCACGAACTCTCAGCTCGTACTGTATTTCGACGACTGGGAGGGAGACCACCATGCCAGGCAGAGCGGGAATCTCTACTGCGAGTGCCCTTTGCGAGCATCTGTTCCGTGAAGTTCCTGAATCTGGGTCCACAGTTCCCCACGACGGCAATCTAAACGCCTCATGCAAGCCACGGCGATGAGCAAACCGGTGAAACCGAAGAACGAGCACCAATCCGCGCTCGACGAGCAGTGGTAACGCCGCCTACGAGCAGGGCCCGGCTGACGCGTACATGGAGGATGCGAGGGAACGTGAAGACCGAGATGCAGAAGGGCAAGGGCAAGGATGGGGCTAAATGTAAGTGTGAGTGTAAGAGTAAGGCGGCGCCACCACCACCACCACCATTACCGTCGCCCGTGGTCATTGTACGGGCCGACGCTCGAATGACCGTGTGGAAATGGACTCGGACTTGACGACAGGGAGCACGACATATTGATTTGATTTGATTTGATTTTGATTGGACCGAACTGGACTGGACTGGACCTACTTGGAAATGGAAAATGGAAATGGAAATGTTTGATCGGATTGCACTCAAGTGGATCGAAACCGTCAGGACCATCTGCAAAAGGACCTCTGACAAGTTGGAATGGATTGGTGGTGGCTGGTGGCTTGTCTCTGGGTACAGTACAGCATGTACCACGCCGGACAAGCACGACCAGCGGAGCGGAGACCAGAGTACATACATACATACATACTGTATTCGTGCTCGGGTCAGGCACCTGCACTGGCACCGCCACATGTCATTACCACGACGGCGCCAGGGGAGGTGCCATCTAGGAGGCTGGGGTTGAGCCTCACATGGATTGTCCCGGCCGTCAGCGCTAGGCATTGGGCAACGGGCATCGGGCTGCAGCCATCCGACCAGCAAGGTTCTCACGGACTAGTTCCGTAGTCTCATGGTCATCGTGTACTCGGTAAGCAGGCAACTACATGTTATTTGGGTAGAGGATTCCCGGACCATTCCGCTCCAGGAACTTGCGATAGTCTATTGCAGTGCCTGTGTTGGAGGCTGCGTTATGCGCAGATGCGTCATGTTTCTCGTGCTTCCAGTGATCCCGCTCGCGTTCGACATGCTGATGCATAGCCACATGCACCAACCGTGCTGTCAGCGGAGGCCTGACTATTCTGCTCCCCATGTACACACGTGCTGCGTGCTGCGTGCTGCGTACTGCGTACTGCATACGTCGTTACTTTGCCAATTTGCCTAGCGCGGCGTAGTCCCAATCCTCCTTGATGAGGTCGGCCGCCTTCTCCGCCACCATGTACACGCTCGAGACAATGTTGCCGGACACATTGTTTGCAAAGACACTGGCGTCCGCGACTCTCAGGCCTTCCACGCCCTTGACTCTCAGCCTGGAATCGACCGTGTCTCCCATTGCGCAGGTGCCACAGCTGTGATACTCGCCCAGGATGTATTCTTGCACTGCTGCTCGGCGTCCTTGCACGGTATCCAGCGGGAACTTGTCCGGCTCGGGTACGATGCGCCGGGCGAGCTTGTCCTTCAGCTGTGGCGCTTGCGCGACCTTTTCCAGGAATTTCAGCCCCGCGCCCATGAGGGCCACGTCGGCTTCGTGGCCCAGGTAGTTGGGATTGACCTCCGGTGCGACTGTCGGGTCGGCGGACTTGATGTGTACGTGGCCTCGAGAGACGGGGTATTGTAGGCAGACTGCGAACGTGACGCCATCTTTGGCACCCTCCGCGGGAAGAGCGAAGAGTCTCGACTGATCCGAGACACCTTCCTTGAAGTTTCCTGTCGCGCCGATGAAGACTAATTGAAGGTTTGCCGACTTGTTGGATTTGATGTGCTCGATGATTTGATCCATCTGCTTCTTCTGAAACGGTGTTGCGGTCTTCTGCGAGGCTTGGATCGACTGGACGATTTCGTCGAGCTCGCCTTCTTCCAGAAATAGTGTGGCAGGGAAGAAGCCCTGGACCGACTGGATCGCCGTGAGAGGACCGCCTTGCTCTTCTGCCAGGGCTTTCTGCGCGGCGGCCATCACTTCAGGCTTGTAAAGTGAATCGCCTGACATCTGGCCGTCGGCGAGCTGGTAGACCGTACCGCCAACCGTATGGTCTTGGTAGTTCTCACCGACTGAGGGCAAGTCGACCAAACACTCGACCCCGGCAGCCTTCAGGATCTCTGGATTGCCGATACCCGACATCTCTAGAATCTGCGGCGAGTTAATGGCACCGCCAGCAACGATCACCTCTCGCTTGGCTCTGATGGTATGTCTCTGGCCATTGTTGATGAATTCCACGCCAGCGGCTCTTTTGCTCTCGAGTATGACTCGTGAGACGAGGCACTCGGTGATGACTTTGAGGTTGCATCGGTGTTCGTTTGCTTGGAAGTATCCTCGAGCAGCGTAGCTACGCATGCCCTTGCTGGGGCCGGTCCGAACAACTGTACCGAGGGTATTGTAGAAGCCAATATGGTCGCCACTCCACGGATCCAAAGGCTTCTTCTCGAAACCCGTGACATGATCTGCGGCTTTGATAACATGGTCCTCGATTGGCAGGCGGAAATCGTTGAAGCTTGTCCGTACGGGGCCGCTGGTACCATGATTCTCCCCAACAAAGGGCATTGTCGAACGTTCGGTAATCCGCTCGTCGATCGGCTCCAGTGTTTGGTGCTTCCTCATGTATTGCTTCATGTTGGCGGCGGACCATGAAGCATCGTTTGCGAGTTCAGCCCAGTCGTTGAAGTCTTGGTCCGAACCTCTAACGTACCTATTCCGTGCAAGGGCAGGATTAGGGTCTCCGATACGTCCCTTCTTCGAAGGCACACTCACATCATATAGTTGATCGCGGTTGAACCACCCAGGGCCTTACCACGAGGCACTTGGTGGACTTTGTTCTTGTTTCCTGGCTATGACGGGAGTTCAGCCACCGTACGAGTCGCGACATCTCAATTTTTCGTACCTGCGGTACGGTATCCCATGCCCAGTCATACTCCTTGTTGCCCAGCATCTGGACGAACAGAGCGGGAACATCAACGAGAGGATCGCCAAGCCGATTCTTACCAGCCTCGATTACACCCACGGTGACGTCTGGATTCTCTGTCAAACGGGCTGCAATGGCCAGTCCGGCGGTGCCACCCCCACATATAAGGTAGTCGTAGTTTTGATGCGCCAGGAACTCATCGACGCTAACGAGGGCAGATTTCTGGGCCTCGTTGACGCCGTTGACACCATTCACACCATTGGTAGTCGCCATAGTTGCGGTTTGGTAGCAAGAGAACCAGGTGCTGTGGTGGGGCACTCCCTTTAGGTGGAACTGGTTGGTGGACGTGAGATGGAAGAGGGTCTGGTGGGAGGTGAGATCAACTCTTTATACAACCTTGGCCTCCTCCCGGCTGTGGATGGTCCATGTCCCATGCACCATCGTATTCTCCGTACATCATTGTATCGAGCAGGATCCCATGGGCCCGGCCGGGTCCCGAAGGGTTGCATTGCGACTCCAATGGATGCTGCGGTGAGAAGCCAACGGTGCACTCCAAGTAGAAGCTCCACTTAATAAGAGGTCCGACTCGAAGTAGCAATAGGTCGAGCAGTAATGCAGAGTGAAGCCCAGACCGGCCGCAGTGTCAGAAAGGAACACGCCTAGGGAGGGAGGTAGCATAGGCGTGGAAGGGATCAGTTTGGATTTGTGGGGAACACATCGATGTCCCCGGTTTGGCATGCTCGCTCGGTCCTGGTGGTTCCACAGCGTATTTTCGGAAACGGCGTGTGGCCAGGCGCGAGGCGCGGCACGGTAAGTGAGCGACGAAGAGCAGAGCTTCCGCTGAATTCGTGTGGCTTTGTTCCACTGCGTATGGAAACAGATGCGATGTATTGGCGATAGGTCACAAGCCTCATTCGTAAGAGCTCGTATCAATTTCTTGACGCTTTCTTGTCGCTCTCCAGCTGTCGCTGTAGCGAGCGACAAACGACTACTGAACGTCCCCTGCATTCCGGAGCACTAGCACGGCTGAGGAGCTTCGGCGAGGGGCCCCGCATTCGCTGAAATGGCAACTGCTTGTCATCTGTCGGTAAAGTAAGTGTTGATTGGTTAACGCCTTGAATGCTCGTATTAAGAAACACTGGCGATGAGCGCCAGTCCATGTTTGTCGAAAGCCAGGTGTTCGCGGCGTGGTCAAGGCCGCAGTACGACAGATCTGACTAGATTGTTTGTCCATCGGTCGGATGAAGCATGCACGTGCCGGGAGCCACACCACAGTGTCAACGCAGCAGAGGTCCGCTCCCAGGCCGTAAGTCATAATCGCAACTGCCTAATCGTGCTGGACACTTCATCAACCCCGGTTTGGTCATGTCGCAACGTATAGGGATAGCGATTCAATAATAGTGACCGCGTATCCACGGCGGACCCGAGAAGACGCCACCGAAGAGCCGAGTTGAACGAGGGGCTGTATTCGGCATCACGTCGATACCCCCATCTTGGAGGCGGCTGACACTGGGCTAGCTAGTCAGTGACCGACAATAAGGTAATACATAAGCTAACTAGTTGCCGGCGTCAGTTCGAAGCACTGGGTAACTCCATGAACACTCGCACAAAAGGCAGCAAGTCGGGCAGTACAGTATGATTCGGAATTTTCCGAGCTCAAGCTGAAGAATGGTGATGAAGAAGGGTAACGCGTACGGAGTAAGCAGCAAGAGAAATTAATTACCTAGTACTCCGTAACTCGTAGTGAAATCTGGTTTCGCTCCACTTCCTTAGATGGGACGTGGCATCGCGACATTCCGCGGGACAATTCTCATCGCGTCTTCAGCGATGTCTGACTTCCATCATGACTGTCGACCTCTTGCGATACTTTCAGGTATCGAGGCCTGTACGTATCCGGAGAGTAGGTTGTTCTGACTCAGCTGTTATACATTAATGATAATCCGTACAGGACATTTGTATTCACTCAAAACCCACCTACAGGTCATCCATCGATCACATATGGTTGCACATGAGCTTACATAACATCAATCAGGCCTCCAGAAGCCACTTGGTGGCAATAGGAGGAATCTCATCCCGCGACAAGAGGTCTTGCTTTCACTGCTTCAGCGGCGTCCACACTCATTTCCAGCCTCAGCCGGGCGTTTGTGGACGAGTCGAGAACCTGATTACCTTCGGCTGCGGGCACAAGCGCTGATTACTGGCGCTGGCGCGTGATTGAGCCTTTCGCTACGACCATGGCGCTGTCAGCTCGGTGGAAATCCCTGCCAGGGCATCTGCTCCCTGACCGTGAGATTCATGTGGTGGTATCCATTCTCTCGGGTCGCCACAAGGCGCAAGAATACTACGAGGGGTCCATTAAGCCGCTACTCGATCAGCATGAAATCCAATATTTTACACACCAGACAAAGTCTGCAAGGACCATCATCGAACTGACAGAGAAACTCTTTATTCCAAACGCGCGGCGCGGGGTGAAACAAACAATTATCCTTCTATCAGGTGATGGCGGAATTGTCGATATCGTTAACACCTTCACCACTGTGCTAGACCGCAGCAATGACGATATGCGAAGCCCTTCTATATTTCTCAAGCCTGCCATCATTCTCATTCCCATGGGCACCGCCAATGCTTTGGCCTGGAGTTCCGGTGTCGCGCAGGATGCCATCAAAAGCATGATGGAGGGAAGACCAAAGTCTTTACCATCGTTCAAAGTTACTCTCAGTCCTGGCGCTAGGCTACTGGTCAACGAAGGTCAAGACCGGGAAGCCCTGGGCGATTCGGAGGAAGATGAAAGTATCACCTATGGTGCAGTGGTGTGTAGCTGGGGTCTCCACGCGAGCCTAGTGGCAATGAGCGACACGACGGAGTATCGCAAGCATGGAGTAGAAAGGTTCAAGATGGCGGCGGAACAGCTACTAACAGAAGCTCACGTTTACAAAGGGAAGGTCAAGTGGCGAAAACAAAATAGTGACTGGACGGAAGTGGCGGGAACAGAGCACGCCTACATCCTGGCTACGATGGTATCCAGACTTGAGGAGTATTTTCAGATCTCGCCAGCTAGTAAGCCAGTGGACGGGACGCTGAAACTGGTTCTGATTGGCGCTGAGCCTGCTTCGGAGATCATGCGAATCCTGGGGCTAGCGTACCAAGCCGGTCAGCATGTCGCAGATCCGAAGGTCGTGTACGAGGACATAGAGGGTTTGCGAATCGACCTTGACGAAGACGACGACCAGTGGCGTCAGGTTTGCGTGGATGGGAAGATTATCGCAGTCCCTCAGGGAGGTTGGATGGAGGTAACGAGGATACCTGGGACAGGCATGGATGCAAGGCGTGTTGTCGAGCTGGTTTGCTAAGCAATCGGGACTGTCCTCACCTTCGCTCAGGCGCGGAGATAGTTGGCTGAGAAGCGCCGGCGGCATCGGCATAGAAGGATCCAGTCAGCTTGGATCCCCGCACGTTGATGTCCATCCACATACTGAACATCCTATGGTTTACCTGTCAAGACCGGTGGTCTCTACCAGTAGACCACCGCTTCACGTGATTGTCATTTGCACGTGACTGCACGTGGCTTGTAGCTCGTATCTCGTACTGGCTCGTGCCCCCTGTGCACGCCGTACTCTTTGGGGCCGAACCAACCGAACTTCCGCTGACGTGCCGGTTTCTCGAAAGACACCGAGACACCAATTGACGTCGGCTCAGCATCGCACCGGCAGCGCAGCCATCTGTCATCAACAAGCCGCTCAGCGGGTCGCAAACTATCAATCACTTGGATTACACCAGGCTGCAAACATCAACTCCTCCCGTCGCCCAGCTCATTCTCGAGCTGTCCCTTTGGTAGCACGGTAGTCCACGGGCAAAGGCAGCAATGTTAACCTAGCACTCTCTGTTGAGTCTGCCATCGCCTTCAGGATCGCTGCGACGTCTTTGTCCCATCACGGCACGCGCGCATAACGTTCTACCATCGCAACGACCCCGGGGATCACGCTGAGGGCAACATCTCGCTGCGATAAATCTGATCCGCAAACATGCACGGCTGGGGTGCGTCCGACAAACATTCCACTTTCTTTTCCTGGCTGCTGGCATAACTAACGACTCATGCAGGGCTTTTCTTCTTCCTCCTCTTCCTCCTACTCATCTTCGCGGTCGTGGGATGGGTTGCGTACACCCAACTCAGTGCTCGCAAACAGGGCCTACCTGCTCCCTCCTTGAAATCGTGGAAAACTTATGTCCCGTTCCTGAGAGCTCAGGCGTCATCGAATTACCCGGCACCCAGGCATGCAGGACCGCTGGAGTGGTTCAGAGACCAATTCGCAAAGTTGACTCGGAGGAGAACGGCCAGAGGCGCATACGAGGAAGCGGGTAGCGGCGCGGACGGGCTAGTCGGTGGCGGCCCACGAGGTGGGAGGGGAGCACGGGGAATGGAAGACGATGCATGGGATACGAGAGTCGGCCACGAAGAAGCATATGGACCCGCTGGAGGCTACTCTGGTTACGAAGAGCAAGAACTCGGCCTGGCTCCGACACCGGGTTTACACACCGATGCTTACGGCGGTGGTCGTAATGGTCCGGCAGACTACCTAGGGGCGCCGGGCAGTGGTACCAGAAATTACTCGGATGTGGATGTCAGTGGACGAGGAAGATCAGGCGGTCCCTCAAGAGACAACCCTTTTGGAGATGAATACGAGGCAGGAGCTTCGAGATTGCGAAGTGTCAGCCCCAGACCCGAGCCGGAAGGGAGTGGCAAGGGGCACACGAAAGGGAACGTGTCTCTCGACACGCAAGGGAGCGGAAGCGGAGACGGTAATACCAGTCCTATCAGCACGAGAAAGAGCATATTCCGGGAGGGCATTTGAGATTGCGGTGGCATCAGGACAGCGACGCGCGACGAGGAGATGAAGTCGAGAGCGTTACTGCGCATTGAGGCTGGCTGCGGTGGATTTTGCAAATTGGGTCACTACAGGTTGGATATGAGACCGAGCGATATACTGACGGGCTGACGGACAGCAGAATGGCCGGATGAAGGCGATAAAATTGCGGAGTTTCTGGTCATGTTGAGCTTTCAGTAGGTACCATGACGAGAAATACAATTAATGCCTTAGGCCGCCTAGCCAAATGTCCAGAGGCCACTAGTCGCTTTCTGCATATGGCATTCCGGCTTGAAGAGAGCTGAATCATCTGTCGCATGCTGACGAGTTCATTGGGTGGTGCGACGATTGAGCGGGTTGCGCGGGGCACGATTCGATTTGCTCAGCTCGTGCTTGTTGCATCATTGCTAAACATTTTGCTGGCAGCTGCTGCCCCTCCATCCGCCTCCGAATTGATTGAAAAAGTCACTCGGCGCGTTCGCAACTGCACATATTTTCTCGTTTTGCTTCTCAGCCTAATTGCGAGCTACTCTGAGATCATTTGACGATAGTAGCTCCCTGAACTATAGGTAAGAAGTCTGGAATGCATTCTCTGCTAGCCCTTTGATTATACCCGCCCCGCGCCGAGTTTCATTCCTGTATCATATTAGCCGGGCTTTGGCTCTTGACCTTGTCTTCTTTGTGCATCTTCAGATCGCTGACTCCTGGTAACGTCCAGAAAGTCCTCGAAAAACTACCTTGCACCCTCAAGATGCCTGGCTTCGCACAGGCCACAGACCTCAGCGCATGGCAAGCTCTCGTCGAGCACCACAACGCCGTGGGCCGGAACATTGTTCTCAAGGAGTGCTTCGACAAGGACCCTCAACGATTTGAGAAGTTCAAGCGAGTGTTCAAGAACAATGCCGACGACACCGAGATCCTGTTCGACTTCTCCAAGAATTTCTTGACCGAGGAAACCCTCGAACTCCTAGTCAAGCTTGCAAAGGAAGCCAAATTAGAGGAGCTTCGGGATGAGATGTTCGCAGGAGAGAAGATCAACTTTACCGAGAAGAGAGCTGTCTACCATGTTGCTCTTCGCAATGTCTCCAACCAACCCATGGCAGTTGACGGCAAGAGCGTTGTCGAGGAGACAAATGAAGTGTTGGAGCACATGAAGGAGTTTTCGGAGCAGATCCGAGGTGGTTCTTGGAAAGGTTATACCGGCAAGAAGCTCACCACCATTGTCAACATCGGAATCGGCGGCTCTGATCTGTAAGTGCGGCCCGTTTCGAAGCTCGACGTGGTATTGACCCGTTTTGCAGCGGCCCAGTCATGGTCTCCGAGGCCCTGAAACCCTATGGCAACCGAGACATGAAACTTCACTTCGTCTCCAACATCGATGGTACTCACATCGCCGAAGCCCTCAAAGACTCCGATCCCGAGACGACCCTCTTCCTGATTGCTTCCAAGACCTTCACCACGGCGGAGACAGTAACCAATGCCAACACGGCCAAGAAGTGGTTTTTGCAAAGCGCCAAGGAGTCTGACATTGCGAAGCATTTCGTGGCCCTCTCGACCAATGCTTCCGAGGTCAGCAAGTTTGGTATCGACACCAAGAACATGTTTGGCTTCTCAGACTGGGTGGGTGGAAGATACTCCGTCTGGTCTGCCATTGGCCTGTCTGTCTGCCTGTACATCGGCTACGACAACTTCCATCAATTCCTGGCTGGCGGTCATGCCATGGACCAACATTTCAAGACTGCTCCTCTTCACGAGAATATTCCTGTTATTGCCGGTCTGCTTAGTGTGTGGTACTCGGACTTCTTCGGCGCGCAGACTCACTTGGTTTCGCCTTTCGATCAGTACCTGCACCGCTTCCCAGCCTATCTCCAGCAGTTGACCATGGAGTCGAACGGCAAAGCTGTCACGCGAACGGGCGATTATGTCAAGTACACGACGGGAGCCATCTTCTTCGGTGAACCCGCCACCAATGCACAACACTCATTTTTCCAACTTGTACACCAAGGCACGAAGCTGATTCCCACCGACTTCATCATGGCTGCCAAGTCACACAACCCCGTGGAAGGAGGTCTCCACCAGAGAATGTTGGCGTCCAACTTCCTTGCGCAAGCGGAGGCATTGGCAATTGGCAAGACGCCAGATCAAGTGAAGGCTGAGGGTGCCCCAGAAGAGCTTGTCTCACACAAGACCTTCCTTGGCAACCGACCAACCACAAACATCCTCGCTGAACAGATCACGCCGGGTACACTAGGTGCCTTGATCGCTTACTACGAGCATATGGTATTTACCGAGGGCGCCATCTGGAATATCAACAGCTTTGACCAATGGGGTGTCGAATTGGGCAAGGTACTGGCAAAGAAGATCCAGAAGGAGCTTGAGACGGAGGGCGCTGGGGGTGACCACGATTCGTCGACCGCCGGTTTGATTGCTGCTTTCAAGGCGAAGAATGGTCTGAAATGAAGGTGCCAGAGTTTGTTGTGAGTCGATGCGAAACCTTCGAAGAGGGGCGATCAGAGCTACGGAGCGACTCAAGCATCAGCATCGACAGCTGCAAGCGAAGAGGTGTTAGCCACGATCCATACAAATGATTCAGACGACTGGGCAGATATTAATAAAAACGCTCCATGACCCAAGAGGAGAGAAAGCAACGAAAGACACTGTTCACAACAGGTCTGTAGTATCAGTGTACTGTCTACAGCTCACGAATGAAGTGATCGGCTCTTTCCTCTCCTTTACCATCCTACTGACTCGCATTGTTGTTCTGGTGTTGCAACTGACCGAGCATGATATCCAGCTTCAGGTCGACTGTGGTGGACATGATGTCTTCATGCAGGCTCCCGTGAGGTGCCAGTCCCAGCTAAGGCAAACGATCCGCGAGTGTCAGGAGCATGCTGGACCGGCGATGTTTCATTGCATACAGCCATGGTCTGATTCGTGGACGCGAGAGCCCTATATCGTCTTCACTATTTCACATTTACCTCCCACTTCGCCATATGCAAGAGCGCACCTTCGTCACTTGAACAGTCGCAACCACAATCATGGTTCACGATCCCTGAACCTCTTTCTCTTTCCCCTTTGAGGAACAAATGAGCAAAACCAGGGGCCAACCGACGATGGACGCCCAAGGTTTGTCTCCATTATGACTCGACCGTGTTTGGCATAACAGTATACCCTACTGATCAGTCGAAACAAGCAGCTCCCTCTGTCATCATGCCTGGCTCTTCTGCCATCACGTCGTACAGCCACATGCCGCCTCCGTCGCGGGCATCTCACAGTGTACCGCCGCTGCTCAGCCAACCCGAGATCCAATGGTCTGCCATCACACCGTCACTGGCCTCTGTGGAGAAATTGCGCCTGCTATGCCACAGCCAGAAAGAGTTGAAAAAGGAAGGATACGTGCTGAAACCGCTCGACGTGGCCCAGATTGAGGCCAAGTTGAGGTGTATCAAATGCGGGAGTAAGTTCGAAGACGTCTGGCTATTCTGTAGGCCGTTGCTGTTGCTGACTGTGCGTGACTGTAGAACGTGCGAGCCGCAAACCAGTCCCCAAGCCTGTTGTCCTCGTCACCACTGCCAACACCGATCAGGAGAAGCCTGTTGGTCTGGCCGCCGCTACCACTGTCAATCAGGACAATCAACAGCAACAGCGTGGGACCAGCAAATTCTGTGATGTGGCGGTTGGTGGGTGTGGGAAATCCGGCCACACAATGGATACATGCTGGCGATTGCACCCTGAACTGAAGCATAGGAAAAGAGGCGGGAAGGTGGAGAAAGGGCGAAGTATCAAACTCGAGCTTGACAGTAACAACACCAACAACACAGCGGGGAGAGCAGAGAGACAATCCGGGGACACCACCAACACCTCAGAGAGAGCAGATAGACCATCCGTGGACGGGGACGCCACGTTGGGAGCCGTAGCAGGCGCGAAGACTCGGCGTTCCAAAACCTGCCAATACCACGTCGGACGCGTTCGAGACAAGGTAAGAAGGAACGGAACCATGCTGGGGCATTTGATCTTGTGCTTTTGCTAACAACCTCCCCTGGTGTCCCCAGCACTTTACGTGCTGCAACCGCCACGTCTCGCAGCCAGGCTGCATCGAAGACGAAGAGCATGACCTCCCTGCCCCCAACGATCCGACTACTCTCCAAGACTGGCAGTTCCACACGACTCCACCAGCGGGTGCTTCCCAGTCTGGGAAAGGTCCAACTCGCTACTGTCAAGCAATCGCACTAGACTGCGAAATGGGCACCTCCCGCGCCGGCGAATCCGAACTCATCCGCCTGACGGCCGTCGACTTCTTCACCCGCGCCGTCCTCATCGACAACCTCGTGTGCCCCGCGGTGCCCATGGCACATTACAACACGCGCTACAGCGGCGTTACTGCCGGCAATATGCGCAGTGCGATCCGCGCCCGCACGGCGATCCACGGCCGCGACGCCGCGCTACGGGGTCTTTTGGGGCATGTGGGCCCGCAAACCGTGGTGGTTGTGCACGGCGGGAGTAGTGACTTGCGGGCCTTGCGCTGGATTCACCCCCACGTCGTGGATACGTATATCCTCGAGGGGTATGCGAGTGCCACCTCTGGGGGCAAGAGCCTGCAGAACCTGTGTCGCGTGAAGTTGGGGATCCACGTGCAGGCGAGGGATCGGCCGAGGGGGAAGTTGGGGCATGACAGTCTGGAGGACGCGCTCGCGACAAGAGAGTTGGCGATAAGCTGGGTGGAGAGTATCCCTGGGTAAAGGGTGAGAACGTACGCAGTGGGGCTGGGATGCGGCGACGAGTTGATTGAGCTGAGAAGCCGCGCATGGCTGTTACCGCGCCGGCGGCAGTGGCGTTTGACTCACTCTTCACGTAGTCACTAATTATGGACTTTCCTATGGAAGCACCCAAATAGAGACCGTAGACGAGATCAAAGAAGCAGGTCCCCTCAACGCGGGGCCCAGTGCCGTCGAGTGTCGACACAGTCGACTCCCATTATGTATGCCAAAACAATGGCCTTCAAGGGCAGCTTGTCGACCCAGGTCGAGTCTTGGACCCCAGGCGGGGGTCATGCGCTTGGCTCGCACAACGGGTGGTTTATCGTGTCATGTCTACCGAGCTAGAGGGCGGTCCGAGCGTCTTTGCGCAGTTGAAATGAGCTGTCGTTCAGATAAGACGCAAATCATGCCAAGTGCTCTGCTGTCTACATTTCGAGGCGGCGTAATGGCGCACAGCAATGGGCTAGGCAAGGCGTGTATCATGTATGCCATCTCAATGGGTCAAAACGCCAACACCAACACCAACAGTAAGACTATACGGGTTTAGCAGCCGGACTGATCGGTAGGTACTGCTGACCCACAGAGTCGGCGTACCTCGTACGAGTCGCCTTGTCATGAGTGTCGACGCACGGTCTATATCCATGTGTCGACTCTTGACAGCACTGCCGATACTACGAGATTAAGAAACAGGAGGAAGTACTCTGTGGGATTTCGACATGCTCACTCATTCGGGCACTGAATGCACAACCAATCCCCTCGCGAGCTTGATTCCGTGGTCGCGACTTCTTGTGAGTCGTTATTCTAGCAAGCCCGTTCAAGTTTCATGCTCCGTCGTTACTACCACAGTCTGCCTTAACGAGCAGGACCATTTATGACCTACCTTCCTACCTATTCCGCATTATATGCAGGAATGAGATTGCATTGGTTTTCCGTTCAAATCCAACGATCGACAATCCTCGTGCTCCTTCCCAAACCCATCGTCGTTCCTCTCTTCTCTCAACTCCGCACCGAGCTGGTACCATACATGACATGTCAGGCAGCGGAGTGGGGGCTGATACAGACGAGGCTGAGCTCTCCTTTCTCGGAGTGCCACGTAGACTGGTTGTCGGGTGAGTCCCGGCTCCCAGTCTCCGGCCCGACCTAGGTGCCGCTTGATTGCACACAAGTAAATACACCCCAGAGGTTTGGCCCGGATCCAAGTGGCTTGATGCGTACCCGGTTGACTATCCTGGTCTCCGATTTCGTGGCCCGGGCGCGATATGCTTGTCGACATATAGCAACGCCGCGGTGCGTGCGAATGGGTTTCTTATCCGATTAGCCCGTAGCTGCGTCGTGGAAGCATGTCCTGGACAATTAATCGCACCACCAACTGCGGAACAGCAACGTGCTATGAAGTTCCTTTCTCTTGCGCGGTGTCAGGAGTCGTTCTTCGGCTAGGCAGGCGTTAGTAGATCCACTGAGTGGTCGGATCTGCCGTGCAGGATCTGCTCGGGCCTTCATGATAGAATGACCTGAATCTCGGGAGACTCTGCCGCCGCCTCAGTTGACAGAATCTTGCTACATCCGGACCACGCGTATGAACCTTCTGGTAGCTCGATGGCTTCGTTTTAGTGCCCGATGAAGTTAAATGCAGGAGGCCAAGGGCGAGCTGGGTCCTGGCTGTTCGATGATTGCCTCGATTCTGACGACCGAGGATGCCTCGGCGGTGTCGGCTGCGACTGTTCGACAGAGACAGGCAGTACCAACGCTGATGGCTGTCTTGGCATCTGGAATCCGTTGCCCGTGCTTCTGGAATGCCTTCGAGGGCTACCCAAGGAGGAATTGCCCCGCTCGTCGTAGACCTCCATCCCTTCCGGCGATGTGGTCATCCCCGGGCTGACTTCGTCTGCGGCATAACCATCGGCGGCTGGCGACACGCTGCCAGCAAAGATGTCAAATGGCTCGGCGTGAGCCCGTTTGTGGTCAACAATATCTCTGGACAAATGTCAGAATCATGGCAACTCATCTCTCACCATCTCTTGGTCGGACTTACGGAACGCCACGGTACAGCAAATGATCGTCCAAGCGCGTCAGTCTGTGTGTAGCTTGAGCGTCATTGCCAAATTGGACAAATTGGATGCTGAGACGTCTTTCATCCTCCTCCAAGGTGTTTGGTCGAAGTTTCTTGAGATGTTCGCTGAACTCCACAATCTTATCGTCGACGGCGAAACTGTTTTTCATGTCCTTCCACTTTCCGTCTGTCAACACGATGATGGTCATTTTGCGAGGCATGGATTTCTTCCATTGCGCCACCGTCTCAAGATACTTGTTCAGAATGCTGCCTAGCACAACACTCATGTTGGTCTCGGCTCGTTGCTTTGGAGTATGCTTTTCGTTATCTAGCTCCTTTTGGAATGAAACAACTTTATTTGTTGGTTTGAATCCGGTGCTGCTGGCTGTGAACATCAGGTCCATGCCGTCCTTGTCAATGTTACCAGCATGTTCAACAAGCTGGATGAGCTTGATCTTGACATGCCCCCAGTGTTCAGCCATGCTTGCGCCGTTGTCAACGAGGAATAACTATGCAGAGAGTCAGCTTGTTCCAGAACAACTTGCGGACATCGCACATACAATGTCCCGGTCTTCGAAATAATGGCGCAGCTCAGGATCGCCCCTCGGCGTTTCTTTTCTCCAGAACTTCATCTTGGTGCTCAGTGTCGATGATCGTGATCTCGTTGATGTCGTTGTAAATGCACGTTGTGGGGGCGTGAGCAGCACAGAAGACTGTGCAAGGGAGATATCCTCATGTGGTTGACTATAACGCTCTTCCTCTTGCACAACATCAAGATGTCCTGCCATAGATGAGCGATGAGGCGATGCGTCGCGGGTGGTGAGAGAATCGTCATGCGCTGTACCTGGCATTAAGCCTCGCGACGTAATGATGAACGACTGTAGATTGTGCCCAACCGCCCTGCTCCGGTGACTAACTCGTGTTTGCGGGAGTTGTGAGGTGGGCACCCGAGCACCTGCGGGGGACTGAGCTCGGAGCTCGACACTGTTGCGGCTAGGCATTGATGCCTTGCTCTCTTTGGCCCGAGACTGGGAAGCTTCGACGAGACCTTCTTCCCAGCGGAGTTGAGTTGTCTGAATGGCATCCCTGATGCAGTCTGCAACCACAGCATCGCCTAGGAAGCCAGTAGCGCTTTCCTTGATCTTGTACAGCTCTTCGCATAGCTTTTGGGCGGATATGCGGAGAGCCGGGTTGGAAACAAGCATGGCATTTTCGATAAAGTCGAGAACCTTCTCCGTGAATCTATCGCTCTTTCGAAGCCCTTGTCGCAAGAAGCTGTGCCAGAGACTAACAGCTTCAAGGGCCCTCTGGCCGTCGTGGAAGAAATCACCTGCCTCAAGTGGGACCTCCGACTGCTCCGGGACGGCTTTGTTGTCGATGATGTGTTTGATTGCTTGCCGGCGTAACTCTGCGAATTGTTCTAGCCCACTGGTACCATACACGGACCATGTCGCTGCGACGGAAAGGACACATCCAAGCGACCAGATGTCGCTCGACCGCGGTATTAGAGATGATCGCTTCCCCCACCGCTTCTGGTGTTCGAGGATATAGCACTCGGGTGCACCTGAGAGGTTTAAGACAAGACCCCGTATGTTAGACGACCTGCCACCTACCAAAGGTGCTTGTTCCTCCCATATAGTCCGTTGCGTCCCTGCTTTCGATATCCTGCTTCTCAAAACGGGCAAAGCCAGGATCAGCCAGCTTGAACACCCCTTGAACGTAGAGGATATTCTGCGGCTTTACGTCGTTGTGCCATCTCGTACTCATTAGGTGACATTACGAGGAGAGATAGGGGCGACATACCCGTAATACTTCTCGGGCCCGAGGTTTCCCGCATGATAAAAAGCATGGATATCTCGGATAGTGTCCGCCACGAGGAAGACATGCGACCAAAAATGGAGCTGTTCTTCCACCAGGACTGGAGGTAGATAGAAATGAAAGTATTGATCGAGATCGAGCTCCCCAAGTTCTAGCACAAGATGGAACGTTTGATTCGCGGAGTCGTTGGCGGACGGCCTTCCTCCAACTTGGGAGTAGTCGAGCAAGTACTTGATCATACCTCTGTTCGTGCTCAGTCCTCGAAAGGCGTTTCGCTCGTTCTCGTACAGCTCTTCATTGCCATTTTTGTAAGTCTTCAAGGCAAATATATGGCACTGCATCAGTCAGTCAGCTATCCAATAGCACTGATGTGTCCCAACACTTACAAGCCCATAGTCCTCGTCGACAAATCGCGAGCGCGGTACTGCCTTGGCAAGCGCCTCTGTGACGAACTCTTCTTGCACAACGATCTCATAGATGCGAGCTGTTCCACCTTCATTGATTTTTTTCTTCCTGCAAATGGGAACAATGTGGTCTGCGGTGAGACTTTGCCGCTCGTTCGGCTCGAATGTCAGAGGACAATATTTCCACTGCGCCTTTTCGAAGCGTCTCAAAAGCTCCGGATATCTTGCGAAGACAGTCCGTCTCTCGAGAACCGCGAGAGGGACGGGCAATCTGTCGTCGTTGACCTCCGGTGAGCGCAAATCTTCAATCAAAGCACCGTTACCGAGCTCGAGGAGAATGCTGAAGACCAGCAGGCACTTCCACGGGCCTTCTGTGATTTTGTCTGACAGAAGAGAGAAGCTATTCTTCGAGCGGCAGCAGGCGAAGAGCAGTCGATCAACCTTGGTCGGCTGACCATCAACCCGACCCTCGAGCATCCAGCGCTTCAGGTTCTGAACCTGTATGTATTGCCTCCCGCAGACGGCCGTGACCTTCCATTTCTCCAGCTGCTGCATGAATTCGTGGATAGGATCGGGCCCTGGCGTCACGGAGGTCATTACGGCAGATGCGCCCGCCTCGGGGATCGGGAAGGAATGCTTAAATCAAGTAAACTGGAAGGCCAAGACATTCGCGTTGAATTCAAAGAGCTCGTACAGCAACAGCCTTGAGGTAGAATAGACAAAAGACAAGTGAACTACTCAGAACCGGCTCAAAACAACAGAGCAATGAGAAAATCACTCTCACGAGAGGTGCTTCGATGCGCAGTTGGCCGTTTCGCGGTCAGGCTGGCCTGCCACAAGAGGGCACATGGGCCTGGACTCGAGCGCAGGAGCGGTTGGGCGGTTGAGCTGTTGCCCTTAATGCGGCTGAACTGGTGGGGAAGGCCATGCATGGTGTCTGCCCTGGTTCCCATGCGCAGGGGTGGCTCGTATCACTCGCTCGACGAGAAGGCGGGGGTCTGAGCAGCCATTGTAACTGGGCAACCGACCGCCCAGCTGGAGACAGGTGGGCAAGGACTGATGCCGGTTCGCAGGCAGGGTGGTCGTGGTGGCCGCTTCTCGGATCAGGAGGAAACTGAAGTGGTGCATCCGCCGTTCTTTCGAGAAGGCTTGGCTTGTTCATCGAGGCGAGGGCGCTCTACCCGATGGAACGGCTCGAATCCGTCGCCCCCGGAATGAAGTGCAGACCAAACTTTGCGCTCTGCACCAACTCTTCTTGGCATTGGTGTATGTACTTGTCAAGCCTGCTATATCTGTTGTGTACACATTACGGGTAGGAGTGCGGGTCACTGGCCGTATTCTCCGCCGTAGCGACGGTAGAGCTTATGTGGCCGCCTGTGGCTTATCAGCGCTTCTCAACACCCATCGTCGACCTAGCGCAAAGCCTAACACGGCCTTAGAGAGCCATAGGCCTGGGTCATGCAAGAATGGAGAACACCAAGCGCGATATCTCCTTCTTCACTCCAGAGCAAAGACAACAGCCATCGGACAGGCCTAGTGGGCTCTCTCGAATCTTGAGAGTGACTGAGAAGTGTCCGCTTCTACAGTATCTGCGAACCGGCACCACCTGTAATGGGGACGTCGATTCTTCTAGGTGAGCCGGGGCCCCTAGGAGTTTGTGGTATTAGGCCCTAAGGCCAAGGAAGCCACTAACTAATTCACGGTAGCCGGGAGCGGGTTAAGCCTCCGGCCCACAACAATACCCCGAAAATCCATGCGCGTCGAAAGCTACGCAAAACATCCCCCCAGACATCTTCCTGCACTTCGTACTCCGTTCATGAAGCGAATCACATCTATCGCAGTCCAAGCTTCAACCAAACCCGTCCATGCTGGTGGCATCAAATTTGGCTCATCCCACTACCAGAAACCACATTGGCCAGATTCATCACTGTCAGCTGCTCGCTAGGATGGGCTCATCTGAAGAGCCTGCACCAGCTGCCATCTCCATGATGGCGTGGTGGCATAATTGTGACCTCGTGTGTCTGATTGTGTGGAAGAAGGCTGAAAAGGCAATGACCAGGATGCGGTCCTATGGGATTGGTCGATACGAAGGCAGCAGCCCTCCCTTTCAACACGTTCCGCCCAGTTCGCGGACCAGGACCGGTCACCAACGATAGCCTTCCAGGCCTCTCTGAACACAGGTAGGCTGCAATAAAGGACGAGGGTATCCTCAGCCAGGCACATTTCATATCTCCCTCCGAACGGTGAATTCGTCCTTTCAGAGCTTGGAAACTCATCATTGCAAATACGCCATGGCATTCCCTTCGCCACCACCTCGCCGCAGCACCAGCTATTCCACCCGGACCGAGCGAACATTGACCAGGCCTCTGAGCCTGCTCAGACGTCGAACCGAGCAGGACCATTCACCGGTCATGAACGACCGCCCTTTGCGGGCCTACTACTTCCCAGTTTACCGTCTGCCGTGGGACAGGCTCAGAGATTATCTTGAGTCAATATTCCCTGATTTAAGAGGCACCTTCGTGCACAACGTACGGTGTTCTTCCAATTGCATGACGTCGGACGCTCATCGTTACAACCAGATTGCAGGCGACCAATACGTTTTCAGATCATATAGGCCGTTAGAAGAGGTGTGTCGTTCCGCCATTAGTTCTCCCGCAATACTTGCTGAAAGCTCAAATAGCATGAAGAGACGGAGATTCTCAGGTTGCGGGATGAAGAAGCCAGGGATCCGAGTCGAAAAGAGGACTCGCCTGAACCGCCCAATCGCCCTGCACACACCTAACGCCAATGGTAGGGTAGCGGGTAGAGATGATAGGCTGCCCCGCACTCGATTGCAGTGCAGTCTTCGTGATGGGCTCGTCAAGGAGGTCATCTGAGGCTGGGCCCTGAGGGGCGCACGAGGCGCTCAGGAGTCGCCCATGAGGCTGACTCGCAGGCATTGTTTTGCACGGCGGAGGAATCAGACGTCGCTGCGTGTTTGAGCATAGCCGCCGCCCGACCATCTGAGGATTCATTCTTTGCAGTCTTCGTGAGAACTGCCACACTGCTGTAGATATATCTTTGGATTCGCATGTTCGACATTCAACATCAACTGGCAACTGACTTCTCCCTGTAGCTGTGCTCTTAGAAGGGACAGGACACTGTGCAGAAGACGTCCTTTTGTGGGGGATCGGGCCAGCCATGGGCACAGCGACCGCAACCCCAATCGGCCTGAACCTTACCACCGAGTTCAGCTCCAGCTACAGGGAGTTCGAATCTTTTCCAGAGAACCTCTTCGACCGGCATTCTTATGCGCCGACTCTTCGAGCATACAAGCGCCGACTGGATTCTGCTTCTGCCCAGCTACTTGTGCAGCATGAAGATGTTGCAGACGTCCCCTTCAGAGACCTGGACGGCACTGGAGCAGTGCTCGCCCGCAAGAATATCTTCAGCGACCACAGACTTCGAGAGCACCTGGGAGACAATGCAGTGGAGGGTCCCTTGAGCTCGAGTTCGGTTTCGGGAGCGTATGCGACCAAACCTGACCCACAGTGTCGGTTCATCTTCTTCTGGGCTAAGCACTCGAGGGCGCCTCTCAAGCTAACACGCCGGATGTTGATGCGGATAATGAGCTATCACCAGGTCATGCCACGATACCTCGAGTTCCTCTTTCTCTTCGGCCAACGGGCCATACCACACGACCTCCGCTACAGTGGGTTCCGCGAGCAGACCAGCCTGGAACTCCCAGCGCCGGGTCAGAAACTTCCCGAACTGCGGAGAAGCGGGAAACACTACCAACTCTGCTACAATCTCAAGTCTGTTGGATGCTCGTCACCACCGGACACTGCTTTGATGCATCAGCAATGGTCCATTCGTCACGCCGCTATATATCACCAATTAGACGTCGAGTTTGGCACGACTCTGTGGATCATCACAAAGGGTGACCTGGGCTTGAAAGAAGATGTGCAGGATATCACCGGCCCCAACGGTCGGCTGGAGGATAAGTCGTTCGGGACAGCCCAGGAGGCTTTCCGGGCCAGCCTGCCGATCCACGCGCTTTTTGCACACTGGGCAACCAACGACTGGCGCTGGTATATGCAATGGCTAGAGGACAGCGTGGACAAGGAAGTAAGCCGGCTCATTTCCTTCCGGTACATCCCATTTGTGTAATCCAGCCAGCCACTGACTCTACGCCATAGACGCAAGCCACCATCTTCGAGGACAGGGACGAGAAACTGCTGAGCACTGTATACACGCCCAGGGACTTACAGCGCATCCAAATCTGGGAAGAAAAAGCCAACGAGGCGATTACCACCCTTGAATCCAACGCCAGCGTGCTCGGTGCTATTCTTGACTACTACCTGGCTTTGGCGGACAATGCGAAATTTCCCCTGAGAAGCAGCAACGCCGACGACATCAAAATGTTTGCCGCACAAATAAAGGACCTCATCGCAGACAGTAACATGCAGAAAAACCGGGCAAAGCTCCTTGTCAACATCGCCTCGCAGAGGAAGACTTTGGTGAGCGCGTCCGCCCAGGCTATATCTTTCTCATGTCATCCGCTAACCCTACTCTCAGATCCTCCAATACCTGCAATCACAGGCCTCGGAGAAGATGGAGACCTTGACGATGATGGCGCAGAAAGAGGCCGTGGCCATGCGCATCGTCACGGTCGTCACGCTGATCTACCTGCCCGCGACATTTGTATCCGTACGTGCAGGATTTCAGTACCTTTTCTCACTTGTAACCCTTCTGACTGCCGCAGACTTTCTTCAGCACCGACGTCGTCAAGTACCAGAACGGAAGCGGCACAGATCCCACCGCCGGTGGCACAAGCTATTCGTCCGTCGCAATGGCTAGATGGCTCGAAGTGACCTTGCCGCTTACGGTCGTGACGTTCCTGCTTTCATGGCTCACTTATACCAAGGCAAAGAAAAACATCGGCGTCCAGGCGCTTGCCAAGGGGATTTTCGGCCACACGCATACGTACCCTTGAGCAGCGTCCTGACGACGAGTCGCTAGCTAGTATTTGTGACGAGGGCTATAGTGATTGCGGTTATGATCCTGATTGAGCCAGGCTCATGAACTTCTTCGACGAAGCGACCAGGATGGACAAAACAATTCCTCACCTCCTTCGGCTGATCCGAACGACGTTCAGAACCCAGTATTCAGAGTCCGGAACCCCGAACCACAATACAGTGCGATGGCAGCCCTCACAGCCCGTAAAAGGCTCTAGTCCGGTCGTCCGCAGCACCGATCTGAGCAGCTGGATTTGCAGCGTGGATGACACCGGTATACCCGTACAGAGGCAAACTGAGACTGACAGGCATATGCACGGAGTATGTATTCGGACGAGAGCTTGACGGGCGGCTTGGTGGTCTGGGATCCGCTCTCCTAACCGAAAGGTTGCTTGCATGCTTTCTTGCTGGCTCGTTTGGGTTTGGGTCTCCCGCACTAGATGTGAGGATTAGGGTGATATGCGTAAGAGTACGACTGTACGACTACGAGTACAGACGAGCTCCATTTGACAGCGTTGGATTGAGACTTCAAGACAGATCTGGTCCGACTTTGGCCTCTGTTTCTACCCGCTACTATGTGCCCCTTACGTCTATCTATTGTCCGGTCGGCTAGCCCGATTCATGTCAAGGACGTATAATACATATGTACAGACAGACATGATACCCAATAGGCACCTCACATTTGCGCAACGCCATATCCTGCCATCGCATTTGCCTAAGATGTCTCCGTCAAGTCGGTCCTGGTCCAGTCCAGCTCAGAACGGTCTCTACCCTACGTGGTAGGCCTACACGGAAGCACGAATATACGCGGATCCTATTCGAAAGGAGTTGACTCGGGACCGTAAAATAATTCCCTGTAGTTGAACCTCCGCTTCAGTCTTCTATCTCTACCCTCTTACTATGTACCCCTCTATCTATTGTCCGGTCGGCTAGCCCGCTTCACATGGACGACGTATAATACATAGATACAGACACGATACCGAAGATAGCACCTCGCGTTGGCGCGTCTCGCCATCTCATTGGCCTCAGTCCAGCTCAAAGCTTTCCTACCTACGAGGTAGGTCTGAGGGGAACACCGCGGACAGGCGCCTCACTCGACCGCAACGACAGCTACCGCGACAGCCGCCGCGCGTTGGGAGCGGTGCCAACATCCCGATCTTGGACGGGGCCCATGTTCACCGCCTGAGCCAGGAGCCGGCCATTGAGACTGGACGAATTGCTGCTCCATCGGGAGTCCACCGGGGCCGCCGCCGGCATCGGCGGCGGCGGCATGAGCACGGAACTCCGCAGGTACGGCGAGTCCGGAATGTTCGACACGCTTTCGGAGGGGGTGATTGATTTGCGGAGTCGGCGGGGCGAGTAGTTGACTTCTGATTCGGGCGGGGTCTTGGGCCCGAAATGTGCGGCTGTTGGTGTGCTGACGCCGAGTTCGGACTCCGCGCCACCGCCGCCGACAAAGGGTATGGTTGGCATGGCGGCTGCTTTGTTCTGATTGCTCAGCCCAGCAGGCGCCTTCGAAGCTCTGGGTGTGGGGGGGTTGTTTGCTAGGCCGCTGGGATGTCTGTGATGGCCCGGACCCGGGTTTGAAGACTGGGATGCGGCATAGTCGGAGAGGTTGAAGTTGAAGGCGTAGGTTCCGTAGCCTTCGGGAGGGGCGCCAGCTCCCGCTCTGGTAGCACTGTTGCTTCGAGAAAGTGCGGGTTTGCTCACGAGGGGATTTTGAGCGTTGGGTTTCGTCGAAACGTTGCGGACGAGGACTGGTGGAGCAGCACGTGTGTTGGTGATAGGCAGGGCAGCGGCCGCCGTGTCTTTGGGGAATGTTGGAAGCATAGTGATTTGTGTAGAAGCTAGGGATTCCTCGCCAGATGCTTTGGAAGCCGTCTTGGTGACATACGACGCTTCGGTCATCTGTGGAGTGGTCGGCCGGAAAATTCCGTCTTCTGCTTCTGGAAGTTTTTGTCCTTTCCGTGCACGGTAGATTGTCCATCTCGCCCGCAATGGCACGCAATATCGAAACAGCAGGTAGACGGCCGCGATGGCTGCCACCGACCCAATCACTGCGGGTACAATCACGGCCGTCTTGGCGAGGGGATGGTTTGAGGCTTCTGGCACGTCAACGGTTGCAACACTGCTGGTGGACACTGGTGCGGCGGCGATGTCAGACCTGGTCGTGGATCCAGATATTGACGTAGACACGGGCACTGAAGCCAGTCCTGTCGTAGTTGCACCTGAGCTCGATGTGAAGAATCCTCCTGGAGTTGAAGTTGAACTTGCGACACTGGAGCTGGCCGAGGTTGGCTCCAATGAACCGGGACTGGAGGATGTTGTAGTTGAAGCTGTTATGGAAGATGGAGATCGAGTTGTCGTTGCTGTAGCTGGGATAAAAGGATTTTCGATAGTCCCGTCGGCCTCCTCGCCGGGATCAATTCCATCTTCATCACTACTTATTCCATCCAGGTCACTATCACTCTCTCCATCCAACTCATCATCCCTCGTGTCAACTTTAGGAGGGCTCCCCAGTATTCCTGAGGGGAGTCTTAGGATTGAAGGAGGGGCAGGTGGCAGATATGAAGACGAACCTGATTGTGGCGGCGGTGGTGGTGGCACCTCACCTTGCCGCTTCACATGTTGTGGTCTGTGAATCTCTTCCGAACTCTCATCACGCTCTACTTTCAGAGGAGCAATTCTTGATCTGTCGAACCGTCTGAGACTCCCCTTTGCCGGCATGGTTGGTAAACCCGACAGAATCGAAACTTTCCAGAGGCAGTACGGCCAAGTAAAGGAAAAATAAGCATCGATCAAGAGATCCTCAGAACGCCAAGTGAGAAAGAACGGAGGACCAGCCTCGGATGCGAGAAAGACCGAAGGGAACACGAGGCCAAGGGTTATGCAAACCAGCGCACAGAGGAAGGAAGAGGAACAACAAAAAGACAAGAGGGGCTCAGACGTCTATGAATCCTCCGACCCAAACAGGCGATAATACAGACCGAGGACATGGCGAGAGCTTTCGCGCAGCCAAGCCGCCGCAGGAGGGCATCCAGACAGGAAACGTCTGGAGCGGTGTGGGACAACGCTGTCATGAACCCGCTGCGGTTCCTGACGACGATTGAAAAAGTGGAATGCGGTGAACTGCAATGCATGGTGGATGCTCGAAGAGTGACAGATCCTCCTTGAAGCCGACGATTGTGTGAGACGGTCGCAGGCTGGAGCGGATGTGAAACGTCAAGAGAATCAGAGATCGCGGTGGTGCTTGGCAGGGGGTTGTATCCCTGAATAGGGGGAACCTATGGCACTGCACCGCAGAACGGCGAAGACCCTGGACTAGAAGTAGTTGCAAATAAAACCAGGAGATCACGTTGATCTTTGCAATCCTGCGTTGATTCCTTTCTGTGTCGAAGTAACAGTGCTAGTGGCAGTCAATTTCACTCATAATCAGCTGTGTGGGCGGAACATGAAGGCTTGGCCGCGGTCACGAGTACCACAGTACTTTGCCAAGGTCCGTGCACGTGATCCTCCACGTGATCGGTCATTACCTGCGCTTCGACGAATACCGCTGTCCACGGCTCGCCCTGCGACAAGGCAACAATATATATCACAACGGACACCTGATGGCGTCGTTGGCTGAACCTCCTTGGCACACGGTCTGCATTTGTCTTACTGCTCTGCAGCCAGGCAATCGCAGTCTATCAATGCGTTGGCCTTTCTCAGGCACTAACAACGTCTACTAAATGTTTGGCATCACACTTGTAGACAAGATTTCTACGCAATCTCGTCCGAAGGCATGGGGCGCAGCACAGGCACCATGCTTGAGCTCAGGATTAATAGCCTGTACTCTCATCAAGCCTTGATCGCACCGCCCAAAGCACCACCCCCGAACTGTTGCCCACCAGGTCTTCTCTGACCTTGCTGGCCTTGCCTCGCCAGATTTTGCAGACCACTTCTGCCACCGCCACGTCCACCCCTTCCTCTCTGTTGTTCCGGCCGGGTGTAGCCACCAACCATGCCTGCTGTTCTCGTCTCAAGGACCTTCTCGTTTGACTCGAGGATGCCCATTGCTCTCTCACTCAGCGTGATGACCTGGCTCTGTAGACGTGACAGCTCGACGCCTTTCCGGAAGACGACCGCATCGTTGACTTGGTCCAGTGCAGCAGCAAGTTCTTCGTGCGAAATCATCTTGGAGATCACCGCGGAGATCTCCTTCGAGTCAAGTTCGAACATGGCGGAGAGACTTGTTATCGATACAGTATCGTAGTAAGGGGCATAGGTAAAGAGGTATGTTCGCAGGCCCTCTTCCTGGATCTGCTCGGCAAGCATCTTCTTGACTTTCTCTTTGTTGTCAGCGCCAAGCAGGTCCCAGATGCCGATTTTGCTGATCAGCTCTTGACATTTCTTCCAGTCACCCTGAGCGAGTGCCTTTGCCGCCTGCATCACATGGTCACGCGTGTTCTCGGGAGGACCTTGGAAGACCTGTCGCTCGGTGTACTCGAGCATGCGGCGGAAGGTTTTGGAGATGACACGCTTGCGGACATCAGGCGAAGAGCCGGTCTGTGCCAACAACGGGATCTCGAGGAGCATGCTGCAGGTGAGGTAGACGCATTCCAGAAGTTCGAGATTGATGTGCATGTGAAAGGGTAATTGACGTTGTCGCTCTAGTCGTTCTTGTTCTGGCGTGACTTGCGAAAAGCGCTGCATGATAACACCCTGAGCGAGCAGCTCTTTCTGTCTTCCAGAGCCACAGATCTCTTGGAGTACCCCCTGGGCTTCATAACAAAGACCTGCGCGGAATGCACAAAGACCTATCTGAACGAGGGTGCGGTTGAAGAGGATCTGGGTCGAAACGTCAAACGATGAGATGTTCTCAGTCAAGTGACTCATCAGTGCAAGATCGCGCGCTCGGTAGTAGTCATCTTGCAAAGCCAAGAAGTAAATCTCGCAGAGCATGGCACGGGCGCGGATGATCCCTTCACTCTGCTCGAAGAGATGGTTGCATAGTGTCTGGACAAGAGAAGCGACCTCGACGAACTTTCCTCTCGGAGTAAGGTCGGAGTTGAGTGATGAAGGTAGAGCGGCCCAGGTCTTCTCTTCGAGGATCTTGACGACCTGCGTCGGCTTGAAGTAGATGTGTTCTAGTCGTCGGATGACCGTTCGGTTGACATTGTCTTGCTTCCCCTCCAACTTCTCCAATCTCTTGTTGATGGTTTCAATGTAAATCAGCGTCCGTACAATGTCAGTGTATAGGAGCTGCTCATCGCTAAGTCTGTCGATATACTCGGCTGTGTGGGGATCTGTCTGCTGCAGCGAGCGCGTCAACTCATCATCTAGTCTTTCAACAAGAGACACAATGCTGCCTGGGACCCTGAAGACATCGTCGGCAGTTGGATTTGGCTGTTTGTCATCATCTTCCCATTCTTCGGCTCCTTCCGTGACGACGTACTGGGGTTCGTCCTCCAGAGTTTGCAGCAAAGTCGAAAATTCTCGCTGAGCGGCTCGCCATGAGTCTTGAGACATGTATGCCTGCACTGAGGTGGTGGTGACATCGAACCTGGTGGAGATCAAGGTCAGAAGAACGCGTATTCGCTGATAGGGTGTATTTGCGACATCGAGCAGTCTCTCCATAATGCGAATCTGCTCAGACCGATCGGTGTTCTTCCTGCCTCTGGATTCAATGATGCTGCGGAGATGCTTGAGAATGCTCTCCGGCGTGTAGACAAGAGCCTTGCCGCCTTTGCCGACCGTCGCGAAACCCTCTTCATCAATAGCGGCCTCGATGGCATCGATTCTCTGGGCTCTGTTCTTACGGGTTTGCCGCTCCACCTCCAAAGGCTCCTCCTCGTCAGATTCCATAAAGTCATCTTTGTTTTCTCGGTACTTGTCAATTTCTGTCACATAATCCTTGTTGTTCTTCTTGATCTTTTGTTTCATTGCATTGAAACCCTTTGCAGCAATGGGGTTCATCTTCTTCGCCCCAGCCGCCTTCTGTTTGTCATTGGTTTCCGTGATCATGTCCTCAAGATCGGCGATCATCTTGATGTAGAGCTTGGGAGTGGCACCTTGCTGTGTGACCTTGACGACCTGTCGGTTCATCTTGTCGAATTCTGAATGAAGGTTAGACGAACTGGCTCGGGCATACACCACTAGGATACGAACCTGAAGCAATGACGGCCCAGTCACCAATCTTCTGAGCATTCTCAATCGCCTTGATCGTGCCTTCTAACTCCGCAAATCTCTTATCCTTTGCACTCTTGACCACTCTCTCCCGATCTTCGTCTTCGCTCTCGTCTGAGTCGTCGCCACCCGGACCTGAAGGCTTCAAAAATCGGCTAGCGCCCAGGCCGCGACCCTCGTCTTCGGAGGACTCTTCAGAGGACTCATCCTCGTCCTCATCTTCCTCTTCGGATTCCTCCTCAGATTCTTCCTCCTTCTCGCTGTAAAGCTCTTCCTCTTCCGAGGAACTGCTCTCGCTGTCGGAGTCACCTCCGTGGAAAAACCGGGACGACATGCTGGATGACCTTGGGATACGGTGGAAGACAGAAGGTAGGACGATCCGCACAGACAGCGGCGAAATACAAACACCTGCCTGACTGCGCCGAGCCTGGTGTCACGTCTTCGAAAATTGAAGTGGGCTAGCGCCAAGACTTTGGTCAGTCACGTGAGCGGCTCAAATGACTCGCAAGTTCGAGATTCATTTAACGGTATGACTCGAAGAATTCTGGTGCGTTTGGGCTCACCCGGATCTCACTCCTGGTATGGATCTTGTAAGCTACAAGGTACCCTCTGCAAGTCATGACCCTGTACACCACGCCGAAGGAATATCCTAGTATCAAGATAGAGACCTGAGCCCGACCACGGTTACGGACAGCTTAGTGCTTCTTCGTACGGTCAACCCAGTTCATTCGCTTGTTCCCTGTGCACAAGTTGCCTTTGAACCTCCTTCTGAGCGTGGGCTAACCACCCGACAGGTCCTCCTGGCTCAGCCCAAGTCCATGCTCATCCGAACCAATCAATCATCCTGCGGAGCCTCCAAATCTGTGGACTCAAGAGTGAAACCTGTGCCACTACTGTACTGCCGTTCCACTCAAGCCCGTGATTTCGTTGTTCATCATCATAGCGCTTACCAGTGACCTCGCCAGACGACGTGTCAGAGCCATTCCGTCTTTCCTGAGTCACCCATGTTGCTCTTTGAAGCTCCTCTTCTTCACGACGTAGTCGGCCACACGAGGAAAGCCGGGAGGACATTAACCTCGCCCAATTAGCCTCAGCTGTACTCTGGCACCAAGGTAGAGCTAGCAAGAAGTGCTCTCACTGGCTAGGTATTGCATTTTCAGCCTTACACTCGGTCCAACCTCTTGCGTGGTGGGATGTAAATTCAGCAAGATCCGACCGTCCTCAGCCGATTCGCAGCCTGTGCGCCACTCAACGAAGCCCAATTTATTTCCGGAGCGCTATCAGTGCCATTGAGTTTTGCCCATAAAGCTCTCACCCATGGCGCCATCTTCCAAAGTCCGGATAAAATCGCGATTTCTCTGGTTCCGGCTGCCACGCCTTCGAGCTGTCGACGGTGAGTCCACGTATCCATCCGCCGGTGGCGGATAATATGCTGGACTTGGTTGCAATCTGATTGGCTGGTTAGGGTCAAGATGGCTGGCAACACGTTGGATAGCTGGAGGGATGCCGGCCTGCTGCTGATCCATGGTTGAAGCTCGTTGACGACCAGCTCTCTGCGTGGCTTGTGCGTACAAGCTCTGCTGGTGATTGTAATGCCCTGGGTTCATCTGAGGATTCTGCTGTTGCATCATTCCCATTTGGGTCGGGTAGTTCGATGACTGTGTTGGATATGGTGGGGGCGCGCCTTGGGGGTGCGTCGGGTACATGTTGTTGTACAAGGGCGGAGGCTGCGATTGGGGATAAGGACTCATCTGCATTGCATAAGCGCTCTGAGCCTGTGCTTGTGCATGAGCCTGGGCAGCTTGTGCTTGCGCCTGCGCAGCCTGAGCAGCACGCTGCTTGCTGAGCGCTTCAGCTTGTTGCTGTTGCTGGACGCCAGGGGCAGGTGTCTTGTTCCCAGAGGTCTTCAGATTCATCGGAGGAACGAACGGCTGGGTGAATTTCTGCTGGGTGATAAAAGGATGTAGCTTCGCTTGCTGAGGCGACCAACGTTCCAGCGGATTGATGGAAAGTAAGCCTCGCACAAAATCGGTGAAAGCGATCCGATTGTTCATTTCTAGCCACCGTCAGTACTCACATGAGGTAATAGCCACGTAAACGTACCTCGTTCCACTTCCGCTTGTTTCATGTTTTTCCTGGGCATAGAATAGCTGCGGATGATTTCGGGTAGGGTGGTAGCCTGGAAATACTTTTTGCTCGGTTGCTCCTTCACATTATGTTCACGAGAGTATTGTTCCATGCTCTTAAGGCGATATGTACGGCGGCCAAATTCGTCCGTTGTCTTTTCAAAGAATTCTCCCGACTGCTTTCCCATCTCCAGCATCCATGTCGGAGGCATTCCCAGCATTTCCACGATTCGGGAAACCTGATTGTACTCGGAAGATCCAGGGAAAAGAGGTAGACCTAGGAACAATTCCACAACAATGCACCCAAGAGACCACATATCAATGGCAGACGAATAGGGAAGTCCAAGAAGTACTTCTGGTGATCGGTAGAATCGAGATTGGATATATGTATAGACAGTCTGTCTCTCGTCGCAAGCAGAGCCGAAGTCGATGATTTTGATGATCGGGCTCTCCAAATTCTTCAGCAGGATGTTTTCTGGCTTCAGGTCACAGTGGATTAGACGTGCCTTGTTCAACAATGTCAATCCGTTTAGTAGTTGTTGTGCAAATACTCGGACAAGGGTCGTACTAAGACCTCGGAACTGATTTTGCTTGATCAATTCGTAGAGGTTGACGCTGAGAAGTTCGAAGACAAGACACAGATGTTGCCGATGTATGAAGGTGTCTTTCAGCCGCAGCAGATGGTGGTCGTCGTTCTTGTCGAGCTTTTGATTGAGCAGGTCGAGAACCGAGACTTCCATCATACTCTGGTTGAAGTAAGCGGTCCGATTCTTGATGACTTTAACCGCAACTACTTCCTGGGTCCTCAGATTCTGACATTTTACCACCTGACCAAAGGTGCCCTGCCCCAGCACGTCCAGAATTAGATATCGATTCTTGTGACCCGCCTCTTCGCTGCCCAAGATGTCATTGACGTAGAGAATGTAGTCGCTATCATCGTTATCGTAGCCGTCATTCTTCGTCCCCTTGCTTGGTTTAGTCAGGACACGCCTCGGGTTCCGCGACGACTCGTACTTGAAGCTGGGATTGCATATTCGGTAGGTTGAAGGCAGGTATGTGGTAAGGGCCTGCAAGGGACTGATAAAGCCGCCTTCTGGGTTCGCCCTGCGATAAGGTGGCTGAGCGCTGATCTTGGGGTTGAGATCCTGCAGAGTCTTGACCTTTCTGAACCTGGGTACCGGCCCAGGTCCTTGGTGTGACTGCTGTCTCGAGAGGGGAGCAGGTCGCGCGCTTCCTGCCGCAGCGGGGTAGAATGATTCTGGACTCAACGCGGAGTTGCTTTGCATAGCGGGCGAATAGTCGGAGTTGTATCTCGTCGGGGTCGGGGGCTCGTTATAGCGCTCGGCGTTGTAGCTACCGGTGCGAGTCGGCGACTGTCGCGTGTTCTGAGGCTGGTTGAGGTAGGAGAACGACGACTGGTTTTGACCTTTGGGGCTTGACACATAGCCCGCACCTGTGGGTTGAGCATTCATGGGGGAGTAACGCTGAGCTGCCGTTGAGATCTCTGGGATGTATTGGGCGGACAAGCGGTGTTGATGAGTCGGGCGGGGCGGATATTTGGTTCGGTTATAAGGGTCCGCGTCCTCCATGGGCACATCGACCTCACCGTTGTGCTCATATGGGTGTGTCTGGTTCTGAGGGGTGGTGTTCGTAGACATGGCTGTTTGCGAGCCACTTTAAGTGTGCGCGAAGGGTATTCCAATGGTCTGCAATGGGCTGAAACTGAGCCAGAGTGATTGGGCTTGTTGTGCCGCAATTAATGTGATAGCGAGGACATGGAACAGCCACAGCTTCAAGCAATGCTCGGTCAGAACGACCAGACTTTTGCTGCTCGTTAGAGCCAGGCGACTTGGGAGAGGTTGCGGTCAACCCTCGGAGGGGCAGACGAAGTAAGAAGCGAGGTTGGTAAGCGCAGTCAACCGAGACTGAGCAACGGAGGGCGAAAGCGGACGCATGGTAAGGAGGAAGAGACTCTCAGCACGGAGCCATTGTGTCGAAAATGGTCAGCCTGGTGTGGGAGCGTGCTTGCGTTGATTTTCGAGCGCAGTGGAGGTCGACGAGGGAGTTGGGCACAATGAGCTGGAGCAGACTCGAGGAATTCAGAGATCAGCCGAAGTGAGGTAGAATTGAGTCGCGCGGCACAACAATGCAGGGACTGAGAGATCAGCCTGAGACCACACTGCGCCTGCCCTCAGCTGGCTTCGTGGTGAACTGAGGATGACAATATGAGGACAAAGGCATGGATCGTTTTGGCAACGTGAGAACTGACTCCAGTATCCAGTAATTAGTGCCTGATCTTGTCGCTTGCTGTGCCTCAGCTGGGCTCCTTCGGGGCGTTCCATCGGCTTAGACGCCAGGCCCTTGTCTGGCTCAAACACCAAGCGGCTGGGGAGGCCAATACGGTCACGCATTTGATAGGTATGGCAGCAACGCCTGTACGGTGGCGCATAACCTGCGGACAAAGAAGAAGTGACATAGTGAAAAGCAGCCTGATCCATCGAGTCCATCAATGAAGAGAGAAGCATCGACAGGTCAAGACTGTGAACGGACAACATGATTGTCTGAGAACTGTCTGTCTTGTACGAGTAGTCCAAGCCGCTGAGAACTATCTTATCTCAGTTATTAGTCGACGTTTTTCCATACTGCCAGACCACCTCTTGGTCTCACACCCATCCATACATCAAATTGCCACTATTTTGTCTCAAGCCGCACCCATATCCATCGCCACTGGGAGTTTAGTTGATCTTGATATTATACATTTTGACCGTGCATACGGTGGTCTCTGATGGTCGACAAGGGCAATCAAAACTCCTGGAGGAGGATGACGAGAAACCAAGCTTGACTAATTCCAGCGAGCTCTCATCACCATTAGTCATGGACGGACAACACCCAGCAAGCCCTGAACAGGGAGCTGCAGCTGGAAACGAGGTAGATACCGAAAACCATGTCACCTTCGCTGAGCCAGCTGGCATGATGGACGAAGCTGCCCGACTTCGGAATCTCGACGCCCAAGTCCGCGACCAAGACGACCTGGAACGAGGAATCGGGCGCGAAGCCGATCGACTTCTATTCGAACAAGCTCAGCAGAGAGACCAGCAACGCCTCGAGAAGTCCAAAGCACAGAAACAAAAGTTGCTGAATCAAATTAAGAAGACCAGAGATGACATTAGCCGTCCCATCGGCACCACTCAACGTGGACGCCTGCACCTGGATGTCGAGCGCATGCAAGGTCAAATCCATGATTTGGACAACGATATTTCCGAGATCGAAGAGCGTATGGCGGAGAGAGAAACCAATGCTGGCGCTACCGGACAAGAAACCGGCGCATCGACCGGACGATTGCCAGGCGAGAGCCAGCGTGATTTTCTCATCAGGACCGGGAAGATCACCCCGTTCTCGAACTTCGGGCTGTCGACCCATGGAGAGTCGTCCGCAACTCTTCAGGGGGCGCTTCTAGACGCCGAAGAGGAGCCCGACCTTGGCGAGATTGAAGTCGGCGCACGAGGTGGGAAGTCTATGTCACATCGAAATTTGAGGCAGCCAGGCTTCGCTTCCAACTTTGTCGACTCAAGTGCCGAAGGTGACGTGGATTCGGAGCAGCCGCGTAAACGAAGACGAGTTGCTAAAGAACTGTCCCCAGCGGATGAAGAAGCCTCTTATGACGAAGGATCGCTCGAAGGCGACCTGCTCACGGAGTCACAAGAGGACCTTGAAGAGGACATGCCCAGTACCCATGGGAAGAAGCGAAGAGCAGCCCGAAAGTCAGTGGCTCGAACAGATGATGAGGTCGAAGATTTTCGTGGTGTTGACGATGGCAATGAGAATGGCTATCAGTCAAGACTTCAGAGATGGGCTATGCGCAGAAGGAACGCTCGAAGACAGGCAGCCCATGGTGCAGAACAGCCAGGAGAGGACGGACTTGACGAAGATGACCCAGCCGTCATTGCTGAGGAAGAGTGCTTTCTGCCACATCCCGAAATTCCAGACACCGTCCTTGATGCTGGCTACAAGTTACCCGGAGATATATACCCTAGCTTGTTCGACTACCAGAAGACCGGGGTGCAGTGGCTCCATGAGCTCCACATTCAACAAGTAGGCGGAATCATTGGTGATGAAATGGGTCTCGGCAAGACAATTCAGATTATCGCCTTTTTGGCTGGTCTTCATTACAGCAAAAGATTGGACAAGCCTATCATCGTCGTTTGTCCTGCTACGGTCATGAAGCAATGGGTCAATGAATTTCATCGATGGTGGCCACCGTTCCGAGTGACCATCCTTCATTCCTCCGGCAGTGGTATGATCAACGTCCGAAATGAAGCCAGCAAGGAAGATAGTCTTGTTGATCTCGAGTGGGATCCCAATGCTGGAAACCGACCACTCACTGGGGCTCAGAAGGCAGCACAGAGGATTCTGAGGCCAATCCTCGAGAAAGGAGGTGTTCTAGTGACGACATACTCTGGCCTTCAGACTTACGCGCCGCTTCTCATTCCAGTCGATTGGCAGTATGCGGTCCTAGATGAAGGGCACAAAATCAGAAACCCAAATACAGCCATCACGATATACTGCAAAGAACTGCGGACTCCCAATCGGATCATTCTGTCTGGTACACCTATGCAGAACAACCTCATAGAGCTGTGGTCGCTCTTCGACTTTGTCTTCCCTATGCGACTGGGTACGCTGGTTAACTTCCGCAACCAGTTCGAGATACCGATTCGTCAAGGCGGCTACGCGAATGCATCGAACTTGCAAGTGCAGACTGCTTTCAAGTGTGCAGAGACGTTGAAGGACGCCATCAGCCCCTACTTGTTGCAACGTTTCAAAATCGATGTTGCTTCTGACCTACCCAAGAAGAGCGAGCAGGTCTTGTTTTGCAAGTTGACATCTTTGCAGCGCAAGGAATACCAGAAATTCATCACTTCAGGAGAAATGGATGCCATCATGACCGGCAAGCGACAGGTCCTCTACGGTATCGATCTGCTCCGAAAGATCTGCAACCATCCGGATCTCACGGACCACAAGCGTCTTCCGGGCAAATCTGGCTACGACTACGGGAATCCAGCGAAATCAGGCAAGATGCAGGTCGTGGGCTCGCTCCTGGAGCTGTGGCGAGATACTGGGCACAAAACACTTCTGTTCGCTCAGCATCGTATTATGCTTGATATCCTGGAGAAATATGTAAGATCACTCTCGGGATTTAAATACCGCCGCATGGACGGCAACACGCCGATTCAGACGCGGCAGAGTATGGTCGACGAGTTCAATACCGACCCAGATCTGCATGTCTTCCTGTTGACCACCAAAGTCGGAGGGCTAGGTATCAATCTAACTGGAGCCGACAGAGTCATCATCTATGATCCCGATTGGAACCCTTCAACCGATCTACAAGCCCGAGAACGAGCTTGGCGGTTAGGCCAGAAGCGCGAAGTGACCATTTACCGCCTGATGACGGCTGGCACTATTGAAGAGAAAATATACCACCGTCAGATCTTCAAACAGTTCTTGACCAACAAGATCCTCAAGGATCCGAAACAGCGGCAGACGTTCCATCTGAATGACTTGCACGACCTTTTCAGCCTTGGCAACGAAGGAGACGAAACAGAGACCAGCAAGCTATTCCAAGATGCACAGGTTAAGCATTCGACGAAGCCTGCTGATGCTCCGACAGCCGTGACAACAGCTGATGAGAATCAGTCAGCGCCTGCTAATACCGAGACAAACATCGAGGCCTTACCGGGCATCTCTTCCATGGAACAATACGCTGGAGAGGTGGAGGAAGAGGAACAGGCGAAGAAGGACCCCACGAACAACTCAGAAGATAGAGTTATGGAAGGTATCTTCTCTCGCGCTGGTATCCACTCTGCGGTAGAACATGATGCCATCATTGACGGGAAAACGCAAAAGAAAGTCGCAGCAGATCCTGTGATGATCGAGCAAGAGGCTCGGAAAGTAGCCGCTGAAGCGGCCAAAGAGTTGCGCCGTGCTGGTGAGGTTGCCCGCACTGTGCCAATTGGGACACCAACCTGGACCGGGCAATTTGGCGTGGCCGGGCGGCCGCAGGAGACCACAGCTCGGAATGCATTCAGCTCCAACTCGCGAAGTAGAGGCGGCGGTCTACAGTCATCAAGCCTGCTGGCCAACCTGCAACGTCAGGGCAACCATCTACCTTCCCGTGGTGGCACTCCAAGAACAGCAAGCCCAGCTAGATCATCTGGTTCGGCAGCCTCAGTTTCGAGAGAAGGAACGCCGACCCTGCCTAGGGGCAAGGACTTTGGCAAACTCATCCGTGACTACCTTACCACGCATGGAGGGAGTGTGTATACCCAGATGCTCATTGACCACTTTAACCGATACTGCACCACGGCGCAAGCAACGGCTGAGTTCAAGGAGACGCTAAAGTTGATTGCCAGGCTTGAGAAGGGTAGTCGTGGCCGTGGTCGATGGGTGCTGAAGGATGAATACAAGTCGTAGAAGTGGCGCTTGAATCGTTGAAGATTCTTGGGGGGAAAGTTCTCGGCCGATTGGGCTCGTCTGAGCGAGGTCCATTCCATAGGAGCTGAATATCGATATTCGACGCCTCATCCAGCAACCGATCCCCGTCTCACTCGTTATCGTCCAGTAGTCCTTGTGGAGACCAATACTCCGGTTCCGAACATTGATAGTCAACCCATACTAGGGAATCTGCTAATAGATCTTGAATGACGGTTTCGGCCCGAGCTCGTTCCCAACTCAGGTTGAGTTGCAAAAGCGATACGGTCACGCTGCCCAAAAGCTGCAACACCTCGAGCACCGTAGACTGGTCCGTATTGAACTCCTTTGGCACGGAGCGAATGAATCTTTTGTTCGCAATAGTGAGAATCACAAACCCGGACCCAAGCGGTTCCAGGGACTTGACTGCTCTTTCGATGTCGTCCTCCGACACCTGCAATCCACCACCAATAGCCTTCCCCTTGGCCACAGTTTCAGAACATTCCTTGAGCCCGATTAAACCTCCATTTTCCGCCCTCGTCCCCTGACACAACTCTACCACCCTCACCGCAACAGAGAAGTAAAAGTCATTAACATCATGGCCTAGTACCTTCGCCCAAAGAGAGTCGGCCTTTTTGCCTTTTATATTGCTGCCTGCAAGTGGATCAACGCCAATAGCGTTACACATCCGAGCGAACTCAGCCCGAAATGTCGGGTTGGATTTTATAGTTGCGGCATGCTCTAGAGCGAAGTTGTGGAGAAGAGATTGGAAGACTTCGAGTTGAGCCTGCAGGGAAGCCGCATTTGCAGACTTGAGTGATGAGCCATGGGCCGCGTATTGTTGGGCTGTGGCAGTTCTATTTGTGAATGCGCCGAGACCGACACCACGGCGGATGGACATTGTTAGGGTAAGGATCGTAATGGCTTACATGGCCTCCTAAAGACTGAAAGAGTGATGCTGGTTCGACCTTCTGCCCATACAGGAGTGGAGCACTCACGTGCCGCGACCATGTTGCCAAGCCATTTTGGGTCTATGCCATTTTCGAGTTAGCCCACAACCTGCGGATCGAGGTTCAACTTTTCGGTCTGCTTGAACTTTTGAACTTCTCGCCAGCTCGACCCTTCTCCCTTGACCTCGTCGCTGCACAAGGACAACCGCCAGCAAAGATGACGAAGCCGACTGTCAAGTCGTAAGTTTACTCCTATTTTCGGGCTGACTGTCGGAATTTTCAGATATGGTCCGCTCCTTTCGCTGGTTCGCCTCTGGCTGCGCCAGCTCGATAATCCCAATGGCTTGAATCGGGAGGAAGGTGAAAGCCGCAACCGAAGAGCAATAGCCGGGGCTTTGAGGCTAGAAGGGTTACACCTTCTTCCTTGAAATATATTGAGCTCGTACGGCATGCTCTCTGTTTTTCGGAACTGAGCGCATGCTGTAGAGTCAAACCCCTCCTGACCTCTGGTCGGGGCGTTGTCAGATGAGAGTCGAGAGAGTGTGGTCAGACCTTGCTCCAAGGCCCGCGTCCGACTCACTCTTTTCTCACTGATCAAATTGATTTCGTCGAGTTTAACGCCACAATCACCAGTTTTGAGAATGCCGCGCCATAGCTGCAGTTCCGACTCGGCGATCCTTACCCTGCGGACCATAACTGATTCGATCGCTTCTCACAGAACTGTCCCAACGACGGACCAGGTCCTCGTCCCGGAGACCTTGTTGAAGAAGAGAAAGAGCCAGGAGAAGGCTAGAGAGCAGCGTGCTGCTGACCAAGAGAAGCGCAAGAAGGTCGGTACATCCTTGCACAGTGCAGCACATTCTTTTGGTGATGATAGATACCACTACGCTGGCTAGACTTTCGGGTCGATGTTGTCGCTTTTGTTATACCATCTTTCGGGGCTGAACATGTCGGAATCCGCGCAACAATTGTCATTGGGCTCCCGTATGCAGCAGCTAACATGTTATCTGTAGGCCAACAAGGAGAAGCGTGGAGTCATCTTCAAACGTGCCGAGACGTACGTCAAGGAGTACCGCGATGCGGAGCGCGAGAAGATCAGACTCGCTCGGTTGAGCCGACAAGAGGGCAACTTCTTCGTCGATGAGCAGCCCAAGGTGGTCTTCGTCATCCGGATCAAGGGGTGAGTGTACCTCATTCATCACCAGCGCCGCAGCATCTAACTTGCTTCCAGTATCAACAAGATCGCCCCCAAGCCTCGCAAGATCCTTCAACTCCTGCGACTTCTCCAGCTCAACAGCGGTGTCTTTATCAGATTGACCAAGGCCACTCAAGAGATGCTCACAATCGTCAACCCCTACATTGCCTACGGCTATCCCAACCTGAAGACCATCCGCGAACTCATCTACAAACGCGGTTATGGCAAGATCAACAAGCAGCGCATTGCTCTTACCGACAACCAGCTTGTTGAGGACAACCTGGGCAAGTACGGCATCGTCTGCGTGGAGGACCTGATCCACGAGATCTTCACCGTTGGTCCCAACTTCAAACAAGCCAGCAACTTCTTGTGGCCCTTCAAGCTTTCCAACCCCAACGGTGGCTTCCATACTCGCAAATTCAAGCACTACATCGAGGGTGGTGATTACGGTAACCGCGAGGAGGCTATCAATGCTTTGGTTAGACAAATGAACTAGGCTGGGCACATGTGGAGTGCGGGTGCAGCCGTCCAAAGGTCGCGAACTGCAATAGCGTTGATTAACAGGAAAGCATGTCAGCTCGAAGAACAAAAGGGTGGGGTGGACACTCGAGGAAGAAAGTCTTGATTGTGCTACCCATGCCTGTGTGTCACTCGAGTTAGTCACATAAGGGATAACAATCAAAGCCAATGAGAACGAATTTCTTTTGTAATTATGCGTTGTCATTCGTGCTCGTGCATGATGTATTCCCCCGGGGTTGGAGGAACCAGTGTAATTAACTAGTGTGATCCGAAATTCGAATCTCAGATCTCGCTTCTCCAAACATCGGCCAACGACCTTTCACCACCTAATCAAGGTCAAGATTAGCTGTTGTTGCCATGCTCCTTGACGAGCAGAAGCTCTGCTTTTGTCGACAGAATAGGTTCTTGAAGATGTCTGCATTCGAACCCATGCATGGGCGGTATGGTGGGCTGGGCTGTGTGTCATTCAGGCTCCATGACTTCTCCCACCACATAAGTGGCCGCAGCCCTCGAGGCGGCAGATGACAGGTAACGTGCCAGATTGCTGGGACGATCTACCCATTGTGAGTCGTTGACAGTCAAGTCTACGGCTCATTTTCCTGCCACGTTGCAGGTGCCACTCCTCAGCCGAATGAGATATTCGGAAGCTGCAATCAACATGTGCGGCTGGCATGCCGTGTCTGCGGCTTGTATCATACAGAACCTTCTTTGACTCTCAGGAAGCCCTACGATCCCGTCGAGGGCTTTCAACCGACATCCTCGAGTCGGTAGAATGGAGTCCGTTGATATAGCCATATAGCTCAATTGAAGGCTGAAGAAGAAGACGACCCTAGAGACCATTCGTCATTTACTTCCCGGTCTCATGTACCTTTTGTGCTGTTGACACGGATGGACAGCAACTCTGACTTAACTTGACATATGCGGCTATGCACTCAAGTCAGGCAGCATTGGAGACGGCACCCCTGACCAAGAATGCGTCTAGATTTCTTCGACCCTCAACACGAAGACAGTACCTGACATCCTGCAGCAGGTGGCTTGCGCCGAGAAGCACTTCAACTCCCCGAGATGTGGAGCACCTGTGCTTTCACCACCAAATGCGTGTTGAGGGCTGAGTCGCCCTGCACCTCTGCCGTCTGTGTTCGACCTCTGAGTGGGATTCACTTGGGTTTCGTTGCTGTGCTTGGCATCTGGTTTTGTTCCCAAGTTCTGGCACATAACAGAGCAGCCTGCCTCAAGACTTGGGTCTACTCAACAAGCATAACTCAATGGCGGTTCTTGAGCAAGTTTAGAGCATCGCTCAGAGATACGTGGCATAAGTTCTCCTAGGTCTTATGATCGTGAGGCTCCTGATTAACAAATGTGGCAGTGGACTCAACTCTATTGCTGGTCCTTTTCTTGCCGGCTTCACCAACCTGCGGCGAGTCTTCATCACCTCGTTCTCTGACCCGGTGGAACACCTTGTGCATTTACATCGAAAATTTAACTCACACTTCGTGAGACTCGGTCCTCGCGTTGTCTCCATTTCCGATCCTGCTCTGATACCGACGATCTATGGCATCAATACTGACTTCAGAAAGACTGAATTCTACCCCATCATCGACCTATGGCACAACGGGAAGTTCGCGCACAGTCTCTGTGAGCACCGAGATGAAGACTATCATACACGCATCAGAAGATCAGTGGCCAATGCTTTCAGTATGACGGCTGTGATGGAGTCCGAACCAGCAGTAGACTCCACGGTGGAGCTGCTCATGTCCAAGCTGGATCAGTTCGCTGCCTCCCAAGTCTCAGTTCCCTTGGAGAATGACTGCAATACTACACCTTCGACGTGTTGTGAGTCCTCCAGACTGCTCTGGCCGTTTCTCCCTCCCTGACACACCTTGTAGATGTGAGATCCTGTTCAGTAGAAAATTAGGCTGCCTCGAGTCTGGGACCGACGTCGAGTCGGTCATGTCGGGGATCCGTTTCTTCGACAAGTACTGGCAAGCGGTAAGTGTGTCATCGTACGTTGCCACATCTCCAGCAGGAAAACTGACCTGACACCAACCTGGTAGGTCGGCCAAATTCCCTTCCTAGACCGATTCCTATTGCACAACCCTTTGATGAAGAGATATGGACCCGATGTTCCGATGCTGCGCTTCGCCGTCAACAGACTCAAAGGAGAGGTCGTCGTGGAAAGCAAGTGGCCATGCAACCAAGCGCGACTTCCTGGAGCGATGCATCGAAGCTCAAGCAAAATATCCGGACGTGGTCAATGACAGAATGGTAGTGCTCCACAACTTCAACAACATTGGCGCAGGCTCGGATACTACAGCCACTACACTTATATCGGTGAGCAGAACATAGTCTTGCTAGTGGCACACCCAATGGCGGTTAGGCCGCTGATCCTGATCAACTTCATACCTTAGCTCATGTACCATCTCCTCAAGAACCCAAGAACCCTGCAGAAGGTACTGAAAGATTTGGACCGCGCCAACAAAGAAGGGTGCCTCAGCAGAACTGTTACCTGGCAAGAAGCCGGCAAGCTGTCCTACTTTCAGGCCTGTATCCAGGAAGCATTGCGTGAGTCTCAAGCGTTCATGATTGATTGATTGCGTTGATCCCTCCGCTAACCACTTTCTGGTGCCCCGCTCCAGGTATGCATCCTCCCATCGGAATGATTCAGGAGAGATACGTGCCCAAGGGTGGCATCTCCATGGGTGGCCACTACTTTCCCGAGGGCACAATCGTGGAGATCAACCCCTGGCTCACGGCGTCAGTACATCTTCCTCCGAAAGCAAGACAACTCTGACGAAGTGCCATGCCACAGACGAAACAGAGAAGTCTACGGAGCTGACTCCGACAGCTTTAGGCCAGAGCGGTGGCTCGACGCTTCGAAGGACCAACTTACCGCTATGGAGGGGGCAAACTTTGTGGTATGCAGCTCCATTCTGCCATTCCATGAAGGCCGTCGTAAACATGACTCTCAGCTGACCCACTCGGCTCGTCCCGTCTAGTTCGGCCATGGTGCTCGCGGATGTATCGGCAAGCCATCGCCATGTTGGAAATGACCAAGTTGGTTCCCCAGTTGCTGCGCCATTACCAGGTATGTATATAGCAGGCTCAGCCTCCCCGCCTAGCCCCTACAGGCATTCCTTTTTCATCCGCGGAACCACACTTCTCACATATATCATGTTTTGCTGATTTACGCTTTACACGCGGTAGTTCTCGTTCGCAAGGCCGGACCTGGAGTGGACGGTCAACGGCGGCTGGATGATGTGGCAAGATGACGTTCACGTGGGTATCAAACGGCGGGCCGAGAACTATACCCCGTAGACTGTTGCCAGGGATCAAATGCCAGGACAAAAGCTAGGCTACGCTCTGCAATACCAGGGTAACCCAGATTACACAGTACAAGGACTAGGCGTTCAGAGCTCGAACAAGGCTCCAAGTGGCTGGCTGTGGAAGAGGCGCATTGAGGATGACGGGTTTACAAAGCAAGGCAGACCATATCATACCTTGATGAACTCAATCGAATTATCAGGTAGAGTCCGCAAATCCAATTAGGACTCCGTCTTCCATTCCCCACTCACCAGGCCCGTGACCGGTATGTAGGCAATGTGCTCCATGATGGAGCGATTGCACTTCCGGCACGCCAGGCAAGGCTGCGGTTGCAACACGCTTGGCAAGATGGCGCTTTGTCCCATAGCATTGCATGCCGGTGGTTCAAGCCGAAGACCCAGTCCAGTGTCTGTAAATAAAGTTTTCATGGTGTCCGGATTTGAAGGGTTTTGAGGCAAGTGCAGAAAGAGCTGAAGTTGAAAAGCGACAACAAGAAGAGAGAGAAGCTGCAGCTAGTTTCGGACCTGTGCACGTGATACGAGGTAGAATCAGTGGGCTGAACCCCGCCACTCCACCGACACGACGTTGATTCGCTATATTCACTAAACGCGCTTTCGAAACGCGTCACGGTCTTTGAGCGCGACTTTACTGAACCGCCCACTCCAACCACCACCATTCATTTTCCCTTCCCTACACCTCGACTTCATTCTGTACTTCGTAACCCAAAAGCTTCATCGTTACTCCGCGCTGCATGGGCAGAATTTGACAACATGTCGCACCGCTCGGCCCTGGCCCAGCTTCGGGCTCAGCGAGCCTCCGGAAAGTCGCGACTTGAATCCTACCAGATCGAAGATCAGGGTGCCATATACGATGAGGTCGATGAGGATGGGTACAAGAAGGTGGTGAGGAGTCGACTCGACAAAGACGACTTTGTTGTCGACGACAACGGCGAAGGCTATGCCGACGATGGACGCGAAGAATGGCAGAATGAGCGCCAGTCCTATAGCAGCGATGAGGAGGCTATGCCCTTGAACGGCAAAGCCGCAAAACGAAAACGTGAAGAGGATCGCGAAAAGGAAGATCGCTCCAACCATAAGATCCTCAACTATTTCAATAATGGCCCTGTTGCTGCTCCAAAACCCAAGGTATGCCCATCAGCAATCCTGCGGGATTGAGTCTAACATGGCCAGATACAAACCACGGCCGAGGACGAAGCGTTCATGGCCGACCTCCTTGGAGAGGTCGATGCCAATATCCTGCCTGCACGTGCTTATACGAACAAACCTATCAAGTCGGATAACCGCCGCAAGGTTCGAGTACTATCTCCTCCATTGTCCCGCGAAAAGCCTCGACCGAAGTACCAGGCTCCGGCTACAGAACTTGTTGATACTCCTCCTCCACAAGCCTCCAACGATGAAGACGAAACTTTACCAACATTCGACGATGACAACCTCATGAGCGATCCCCTACCTTCGTCACCAGTCGTCAAGGCTATCGAGCGCAAGACAAAAGTGCAGATAAAAGAAGAGGACGAAGACGACGATATGATGGACGTGGCTCAAGTCGTTGGAAACGAAGCTGCTCAAGCGAAAAGTGTCAATATGACAGGCAGCAGACCACCACCAAAGATAAAATCTCAACAACTTCCAACGCCTATGAACTCGTCTCCGCCATTACCCGCTGTTCAGGAAGTTGATGCGTCCTCCTGGACCAAAATCACCAGCCAGCTCAGCGTCCAGAGCAGTCCTGCTTCCGAGACTCACATGTTTGGCAAGATGAAGCCTCAAGATGCTGTTGAAGAAGACGGCACTCTACGCATGTTCTGGCTCGACTACACGGAAGTCAACGGCAGCCTCTGTCTCTTTGGAAAGGTCAAGGACAGAAATACAGGCCAATTCCGCAGTGCCTTTGTCAAGGTCGATAACATTCTCCGCAAGGTTTTCTTTCTGCCAAGGAAGTGCAGATATGTCAATGGTCGCGAGACGGACGAGGAGATCGAAATGGACGATGTCTATGGTGAAGTCGACACATTGATGTCCCGAATGAAAGTCACTACCAGAAAGGTCAAGCCGTGTACCCGAAAATATGCCTTCGAACTGCCCGACGTACCAAAGGAAGCAGAATACCTCAAGTTGCTCTACCCATACGACAAGAACGCCTTACCAATAGACTTGCAAGGAGAGACATTTTCCCGAGTCTTCGGCACAAACACTGCACTGTTCGAACAATTCGTCCTGTGGAAGAACATTATGGGTCCGTGCTGGTTGAACATTGAAGACGCCGACTTTTCTGCTGTCAACAATGCGTCTTGGTGCAAGCTTGAATGCAGTGTCACCAAACCCAACAACATCAGTGTCTTGAGCAATTCCGAAGCCATGGAAGCTCCTCGCATCACACTGATGTCACTTGCGTTCCGGACTCAGCTCAACATCAAGGAGAACAAACAGGAGATTCTTGTTGCAAGCGCTCGAGTCTACGAGAATGTCTCCCTGACAGACACCACCCCTCCTGAGAAGATGCCCTCACACACGTTCACGGTAATGCGACCCTCCGGCTCTGCTTATCCAGTTGGCTTTGCCGAAGAAACCAAGAAACAGAAGGGCACCTTTATGCTTGAAAAGACCGAGCAGTTTCTCCTAAGCAGATTCCTTGCTTTGTTCGAGAGGGTCGACCCGGATGTGCTCATGGGCCACCAGCTTCAGGAGGTCGACTACAGCATCCTCCTAAGCCGGTTGAAGGAGAAGAAAACCCCTGGCTGGCATCGCATTGGTAGGCTGAAGCGAAGTGAGTGGCCAAAAACATTCGGCAGAGGTGGTTCGTTCTTCGCCGAACGACAGCTTCTGGCCGGCCGCCTTATGTGCGATCTTGCCAATGACATGGGCAAATCTTTGATGACCAGATGCCAACAGTGGAGCTTGACCGAAATGTGTGAGCTATACCTGGGACCAGAAAATCCTCGTCGCGAAATTGACAACGAGGCGGCGTTGAAGACTTGGGCAACGACACGGGCCGGCCTCGTCGACTACGTGAACCACTGTCATGCCGACACATTCTTCATTGCCGCTCTCGCTCTAAAGTTGCAGATGCTGCCATTGACGAAAGTCCTCACGGAGCTCGCCGGTAACTCGTGGGCTCGTACCTTGAGCGGCACACGAGCGGAGCGAAACGAGTACATTTTACTGCACGAGTTCCATCGCAACAAGTACATCTGTCCGGACAAAGAGTTCGGCAAAGGTCGTGCCAAGCAAACACATGAAAACGAGGATGAGGATGAGGGGGCTGACACCAAGAAGAAGGACAAATACAAAGGTGGCTTGGTCTTCGAGCCCGAGAAGGGTCTTTACGACAAGTTCATCCTCGTTATGGACTTTAACAGTCTGTACCCCAGCATTATCCAGGAGTACAACATCTGCTTCACAACCGTTGACCGAACAAGCACGGCCGAGAACGAGAATGAAGAGAAAGTACCAGAGGTGCCCGTCGACCAAGCACAGGGTGTGTTGCCGAAGCTCATTGCCAACCTTGTCATGCGTCGCCGGGAAGTCAAGAAGTTGATGAAGGACAAGCGAGCGACACCTGAGCAGCTGGCACTGTGGGACACCAAACAGCTTGCCCTGAAGCTTACAGCCAACTCCATGTATGGTTGTTTGGGTTACACCCAGTCACGCTTTTATGCTCGACCTCTTGCCATGCTCACTACCTTTAAAGGTAGAGAGATTTTGCGAAGTACCAAAGAACTCGCCGAGAGCAATCAGCTTCAGGTCATCTACGGTGACACTGATTCCGTCATGATCAACACCAATGCAGACAATATCGCACAGGCGTTGAGCGTCGGGCTCGAATTCAAACGGTCCGTCAATGAAAGATACAGACTGTTGGAAATCGACATCGACAACGTTTTCAGGCGCCTGCTGCTACATGCGAAGAAGAAGTATGCAGCTATCAATATGGCTGAAGTGGACGGCAAATACATCGAAAAGCTTGAGGTCAAAGGTCTTGATATGAAGAGAAGGGAGTACTGCAATCTGTCCAAAGAAGCGTCTCAGAAGCTCCTGAACGAGATCCTGTCGGGCGAAGATTCAGAGGTCGTCCTCGAAAAGATTCATGAGTATCTCCGAGAATTGGCAAGCAAGATGAGAGAAAATGCCATCCCCGTTCAGAAATATGTCATCTACACGGTAAGCTGCCTTCCATCAGAAGACGACACACCTACTGATTGTTTCAGAAACTCGGCAAAAACCCGACAGAGTACCCTAATGCTGATTCAATGCCTCAAGTCCAAGTCGCGCTACGTGAAATTAGTCGGGGCAAGAGTGTACGAGTCAACGATGTCATGTCTTATATCGTCACGATGGGAGATGAACAAACCAAGGCCTTGCCTGCGCCAAAGCGGTCCTACACACCTCAGGATGTGCAGAAACCAGATTCCGGCCTCGTCCCCGACGTCGAATACTACCTGTACAAACAAATCTTCCCGCCCATTGAACGCTTGTGCGCACCCATTCCCGGTACGGATTCAGTCCGGCTGGCTGAGTGCTTGGGCCTGGATGTGCGCAAGTACCAGATCAACACTTCGAACGGCACAAGTCAGCAGAACACCGAGATCTTCCCACTGGAGTCACAAATCCCGGACACGATTCGTTTCCAAGACGCTGCCAGGCTCAATCTTCGATGCAGAGCGTGCAAGGACGTTACTGTGTTTGAGGGTCTATGCGACTCGACCGAGTCATGCACGCCCGACGGCATATTGTGTTCCAACGTCGAATGCAAGCAGACATTCTCAAGTCTCTCCATCGTCACGCAACTGGAGTCTCAAATCCGAGCACAAACTTCTGCCTACTACGAGGGCTGGCTGGCCTGTGACGACCCATCGTGCGGAAACCGGACGCGACAAATGTCCGTCTACGGCCATCGGTGCCTGGGTCCAAGCGGACGTGCGGAGGGGTGTCTTGGCCGCATGTCGTATGAGTACTCGGAGAAGAAGTTATACAACCAGCTCTTGTACTTTGCTGCGCTGTTCGACGCTGAAAAGGCCAAGAACAAGGCAAAGACGGAGAAGGAATATGGACAGAAGAAGGATCGAGTCGTGGTCCTTGCGGAGACGAACAAGGCTGCGTTTGAAGCCATTAAAGCTGTCGTCGACGGATATCTGCGCAAATGCGGACGACAATGGGTTGAGATGGACACCTTGTTCGGGTTCGCATGGAAATAGTTGGTATAGGTCAATCACTGGATAGATATGCCGTGATAAGAAGCAGTTCTCGTACTCCATTGAGGGGCCGTCATGGTCAAGGGTGGTGATGGTGTGCTTGCTTCATTCTTGGTATTACAGAAGAACGGAGAAACCGCCGGCGTGTGATTGGCGAATGAAACTTCAATTGAGCGCCACCTTGAACTCGGACGTGAACTCGACCCAGCTTTCATACCGCCCGGCTTGCTTCATTGCCGTCCCTTGCACGTTGGTCAGGCCCGGGAAGAGAGGCGTTATCGTCTGCAAACGATGCTCAGCCGCTGCCCGCAATGACCATCCCACGAGTTCTCGTCATCGCCGGCTCGGACAGCTCCGGTGGGGCGTGAGTGATGAATTTGCCCGACCTTCAGCCTCGCCTGTCCTTTGGCTCTAACCCGCGATCGCAGTGGTCTCGAAGCCGATCAAAAGGTCCTTGCGGCTCATGGCTGCTACGCCATGACCGCCACAACAGCCTTGACGGCCCAGAACACCTTGGGCGTGGACGACATCCACATCACGCCGCCCGCATTTGTCGGCAAGCAGGTCGATGCGTGTTTGACCGACGTTGGTTGTGATGCCGTCAAGATTGGTAAGTGCCCCGTGAGTGCAGACTGCCTATGTGACGCCTGGTTGAAAGAAGAACAAAGGCATGCTCGCCTCGGCCGAGACAATCAAAGTGGTCGCCGAGGCCTTGCAAAGGCACAAGGTCTCCAACATCATCACGGACCCAGTATGAATTCACGTGCCACTCAGCGTGGCCCAACGGACTCACAGCGCTCCAGGTCATGGTCTCGACCAGCGGCGCGCAGTTGCTGCCCGGCGACGCGGTACGGAATCTACGGGAGAAACTGCTGCCGATCTCGACGCTCCTGACGCCCAACATCCCCGAAGCGACGCTCCTCCTCCGCGACGCGGACATGCAATATAAATCGCCTGCCAACCTCGAGGATCTCAAGACCCTCGCCAAGATGGTCCAGCAGCTCGGTCCGCACGCGGTCCTCCTCAAGGGCGGCCACATGCCGCTGACAAAAAGCTACACCAAGGCCACGACCGACGCCGAGAGGGCCCTGACAGTGGACATTCTGTACGACGGCGTGGCCTTCACGACCATCGAATCGCCCTACCTGACGGCCAAGAACACGCACGGCACGGGCTGCAGCCTTGCGAGTGCGATCGCATCGAACCTCGCGCGCCAGGCGTCATCCGAGGCATCCGAGGCATCCAACAAGGGATCCCCCTCCCTTCCGCTCGCCACCCGCAAAGCAGTCCACTACGTCTCCGCAGGGATCAGACTCTCGGACCCGACGCTGGGCCGCGGCGCCGGCCCCATCAACCACTTCCACAGCCTGCACATCCTGCCCTTCTCGGCGGGCCACTTCATCGACACGTACCTCCTGGAGCACCCCGCCGTGAGGGACCCCTGGCAACGGTACACGCACCACGCCTTCCCGGCCGCCATGGCGCAAGGCACACTCCCCGAGCGGCTGTTCAAGAACTATCTGGTCCAGGATTACTTGTACCTCACGCACTTTGCGCGCACGCACGCCCTGGCCGCGTACAAGAGCCGCTCGATGCCCGAGATCGCCGCCTCGGCGCACATCATCCTGCACATCCAGCGCGAGATGGCCCTGCACCTGGGCTACTGTGCCGAGTTTGGCATCGCGCAGGCCGAGCTGGACGACCCCGCGCGCACGAAGGAGTCGCTCGCCTGCACGGCGTACAGTCGGTACGTGCTCGACGTGGGGGCCAGCCAGGACTGGTTGGCGCTGCAGATGGCGCTGGCGCCGTGCTTGCTTGGGTATGCGGTGACCGCGGCGCGGCTGCACGCGGACCCGGCGAGTGTACGGCAACAGGACCAGAATCCGTACTGGCGGTGGGTGGAGAATTACGTGGCGGAGGATTATTGCGAGGCCGTGCGCGTCGGGAGAGGTGAGTACAGACAAACACCCCCAACGCTCCTACCCTCCAATTCTTCAACTCCCCGTATACACGGCACGGCAATACCTGGATGCGTGCTCGTGTGCATGAACACCTAAATGTCGGTTTTGCTTACGCTTCATGGTGTGCTGTGTTGTTTGGTGCGTTGCGCTACTTTACGTTGCCTTATTGTTGCCTTATATTGTGTTGCTTCATATTAAATTATATCATGTTGCGTTGCGTTGCATTGCAGAGCGTTTGATAGCGTTGCGTCGTGTCGCATCCACTTTGTGTGAAATCTCTCGTCCCTCTCCCTGCGGAGCAATCCACCTGCCTTGATCGCTGACCCGGTTGTATACCCACAGACCTCATCGAGACGCACATCGTCAAGCAGTCCCCCTCGCGCATCGAGGAGCTGGTCGCCATCTTTGTGCGGGCCACGGAGATGGAAATTCGGTTCTGGGACTTTGACGCGCACTCGGAGGAGCAGTCGGAGCAGTCGGAGGAAAAGGGGTGAGACACCGATATATACTCTTACATACCAACTCCGGCTCTGGGACTTTGACGCTCACTCGGAGGAGCACTCGATGCACTTGGAGGAGCGGGGGCGTGGAAAGTGAAGCCGAGTGACACATGCAAGGTCGATGGGATTGAGAGATACATACGAGGTCTGTCTATAACAATGCCTATGGATCGAGAGAGAGAAGGTCCGTCTATAGCAATAGCAAGACCTATCTACGAATCAACGGCGGGACGGTTGTTCAAATGCGGCCCTGTAGGCTACTGTAGCTAGGTAGCTAGACTTGGCAACATTCGTGAGGGTAATGGCAATGGTGATGGTACACATTATATTAGGTACTACGAGGTACTCAAGTACAACTACACTGTTTGTTACATGGCACGAGCTGCTCGGGTGTTACTATCCCACGACATGCCCACCAAACCCGACGGGTCTTCTCCTGCCGCCGTTCTCGGGCACGATGGCCATGACTTTATACGCCTTGCCCATCCCCTTGGGGCCGGCCTCGACGAGTCTCTTCCACCCGGTTTCCAGGTCTGATTTTCTCTTTTCTAGCGCCTGACTTTTCGCACCTGTGCTCTCCTGGGCTGCCAACTCTCTCGAAAGTCTCTCTGCTCTCTCCTTGATGCCGAGCTGCGTCAGCCACATGCCCTGCTCGACAGGCCCGTGGATTTCCACTCCTGGGCTTGCTTCCAATGCCGCGTCAGCCAGGGCGCCAAAGTCAACGTCTACGCTGATATCGGCGTCACCGGCATAGACGAAGGGCGATATGATTTTATGCTTGCGGATCGCACGGAGGGAGTTAACCGGCACCGTGTCGAGGGGGCCGTAATCGATGATGAGGGCTGCTCCTGCGGGATTGGACTTCGTCACTGAGGACGGGGACGATGGCTGTGAGTCGCCGCCGATACGGTGTGCAAAGTCCATGACGTATCGTGACGACTCGGGCGAGACTTCAATGCGAGAGGAGACTTGGGATTTGAGGGCCCGGTAGCGCGGTCGTTCCGGGATGACGAGGGACGAGGGCGTGCTTGCTTTGGCGAGTGTCAGTTGAAACTCGGGATCAGCTTCTTTGTGGCCTGAGGGCGTCCCACTCTCGCTGTCGCGGGAGAGCATGCTCGTAAGGCTAGGAGTCGTGGGCGCTACTAGAAGTTCTCGCCATTGGGGCTGTTTGCTCGCTGATGGAGAACGACGTCTTCGTAGTTCTGCTTCGGTCAGGAGCTGGGCCTTTGGGTCTAGCTCTGCTCCTTCCGGTTTAGGAGCGACGGACTCGAACGCATGGATCGGGAGGGCGTCGAAAAATTCGTGCGCCACGATGAAAGGGACGGGTGCGTCGCCTTCGCCTCGTCCAGGGAGCAGTGCAATGTCCTCGACCCACCTCACGGGTATGCCTTGTTTACTTGTAGCTTCGAACCAGACGTTCTTCCCTGACGCATCGCGGACCTCGTCGAGCGCGGCCGTTTCCCCGCAAAGCAGGTGCTTCTGCCTCTTCCGCAACCCATCTCCCGCCTCAACGAGCCAGACTGCGGATATGGCGTTTGCAAACGTCTTGAACTGCCCAACGGTTCTCAAGATATCACTCATCAGTGTTCCGCGACCGGGTCCAATCTCAATGAACTGGACACCCGCACTGGGCCGTCCCTGTGCCATCCACTCGGTCATGAACCATATTCCGACTAGTTCGCCAAAGATCTGCGATATCTCAGGCGACGTGATGAAGTCGCCGGCTAAGCCGAACGGGTCGGCGTCACTGCATGATGCCAGTCCTTTCGTATAGTATCCCCCATTGGGGTTGGTGAGACATTGCCGCATGTAGGAGGCGATCGATATCGGTCCTGTCACCTCGATCGCCTGCGCGATGGTCTTCGCCAGAGGAGTGGACCATGTTCGCGCAGGTAGCGAGGGCGAGCTAGGCGAGCTCTGTGTAGGTCTGATCGATGCGTGCGCGAATGCTCGTCTCGGAGGCCGTGTTGGAGGATCATGGTTGCAGAAAGACGGAGGAGGCGGACGGATTTTCGATGAGAAGGATCGATATAGACACAAGATCAGCCTGGGACTTCGTTCAGTGAGTCGGCAACCTCCATATCTCATGGCGAGGGAGCAGGGACTTGGAGAAGGTCGTCGACTGGAATGATGAGGGATTCAAATTGATGCATCACGAGCATCTCCAAGTGGTACAATTCTAGGGCGGAACGGTGGGGAGGCCAAGAGCCTCTTACAGTAAGCAGTGCAAGAGGTTTGTACCGGAACAGCCACTTCCACATTTTGGCTTCTTCGAGGCGTCTTCTAGGCACTAGACTTTCTGTGTCAAGTACTTGTACTCCTGGAGAGTTTGTCCTTGCCCAAGCAGGTGTAAGCATGCGACAAACGCGCGGATGCTTCTCAAAAAAAAGATCATGAGCCTGCCTGCAGCATAATTACTACTCCAGAATGTCGGGTCCATGTCAATGGTTGCCGACCAAATTCATCGCTCATCAGCCAGTGACGTGTCAGAGGTCATCCGGAATGGCACCCTGGCCGTGGTTGCCACCGACGAGGTGGTCGTTATGTGGCTACTTCCTGCCGTCGAGGCCGAGGTCGTTATATTCCAGACAACGAGATGGGGCAGACAGTTGTCGATTGTGACACGCCGATCCGTGGCCTATAGATGGTTGAACGAAAGACGGCCCGACGAAAACACCGCGCTCAGGGATGACTACCTCCTGGCGGCCGCCGTAGCAGCGGTCGCGGAACATCGCATGGCAATGCACGCGGTGCCCGGTACTGTACCATATAAGCAGCAGTACAGAAGCTGCTTGAGTTGACAAGTGCGCTGAGACCGATTTCAGTCGACGAAATTTCGCTGTTTCCCAGACTAAGCTGAGAATCATAGATACTCTCGGAAGTTCCAGTCTCGGAGGCACCACTGCCGCCTCTTGAGCCTGTGAGCCTGACCCGTGACCTGGACACGGTGCATGATACTACATATACATTCATGTGGTATTGTACAGTAGAGGAAGGAGTCGACCATGACCATCCATGAATCCCATGCATCCATCTATCATGCGCCTGGCCGTCCTGAACGCCGGCTGTTTTGCCATCTGTGCAGCTTTCGTATAGTACAGTACAGTGCAGTGCAGTGCAGTATCACCTCCCTGTTCCTGCTGTATACGCCGTCGGCCACGCCAGGTTTTGTAACCACCTTATTGTATACATTTCGCTTTCGAATATGATCGACTGATTCAGGGCCCCAGTTCAATAAGGCCAGCCTCTCCTCCGAGGTTTCTACCCTTCTCTTTAGCCAGCTCCTCAAACCCACCACCCCAACCTCGGTACGTCTCCTTCTGATCCCGCATCCTGTCCCTTTTCGCCGTCTCCACGAGCTCGACCTCCTCCCTTCGCCGCCGCCTGTCTTCTTTCTCCCTCTGCCTCCGCTCATCCCTGGTCTCTCTCGCTAGCTTCCGGGTCGCCTCTCTCGCCTTCCAGACCGGCATCTTCCTTTCGCCGCCACCAGTACCAGACTCGAGCATTTCCCTCGTCCGCTCCCGCGCCGCGGCCGCCTTCGTGTCCTGTTTCCGTAACACACGCTTTGGCGTCTCTTGTTGGCGAAGCATACTGGCGGGAAACTGTGCGCGGATGGTTTCCTTTTTGATGAGTTCGAGCTTTTGTCGGCGCGAGAGACCGCGCTCTTCGGATTTCTTGAGCACTTTCTCTTGCGCGGATTGAATGTCGGAAAGGATCTTGGCGCGAGGACCGGGCGCCGGGATCGAAGGGTCGGTCAGATCCTGGTCATCATTAATATCGACTTGCTTGGTGGCTTGTGCGTCCGAGTCACCCCCGACATGCTCCTGAGACTGTCTCCGGCCTGGGCGATGGCCCTGTTCGTTGATCCTCCGCGCTCGGATCTCGGACGGATTTCTGGGCTCCACGACTGCATTCGCATACTTGCTCACAAAGGCGGACAGCTTTCGCTTCTGCAACCAACACTCATTAACGATCTCTTTGTCGAGAGGGCCCATTCCCTCATCCTCCAATTTCTCGTTGACCAGGATGATTTTGTCAATCGCCCCGATCATGGTCCGCAGCAATTCGATCAGGTCGTTGATGTTCTCGTTCGTACTGTACGGAGTAATCTTCCGCTTCTCGAGCAGCTTCTTGACCCTGATTGTTCGTTCTTGGATGGAGGCTTGCTGTTCAATGTCAATCAAGTACGATTTGATCATCTGCCTGACGTTCATGATATCCGGGCCCAGCCGTCGCAGGGCTCGCATTGCGTGATTTTTGCTGGGATCGCGCTCAAAGTCCAAGTCTCCGCTCTTGGTCTTCTGGAGAGCCTCGCCGTTGATGCCTTTGGTGGTTGCAATGGCTATTTCCAGATACATCCGAAGTACTTTTGGCGAGAACCTGAGCTTTTGGCCGTCTGGATCTTCTTCTCTCTCACGTCCACTCATGTCTTCTGTGCTTTCCTGCATCAGATCCATGATTCGACTGGCGGTTTCAAAGACATTAGGGTTCTTCTTGTCTCTCAGACAGGTGCTCATTGCTATAATGAAAGTGCCGCGCACCATCAACTTGTGGCTCACGTCTTCGGGTCGGGGTTCGCGTAGCACATCCAAAACAGCTCTGCTTGCGCGGGAAACTCGAAGTAGACGCAGGTAAGCCTGGATGTTTTGGTGGTCAGGGACAACCTTGTACGGGCCGTCTTTAGCGGTGAGCAATTCCCAGTAGTACTTGCCCAATCTGAGCTCCCGAAGAGCCGTGGCTGTTTCAATGAGCATTGAGAGGGTGTTATTCCCGGGTGTGGCATAGACCGAGGTGGCCGTGCTGACTTGCTTCGCAGACGCATCTGATCGAGGTGTTATCCTTGCTGGGGCATCTATCGTGGACGGACGCTGCTCGTCACTTCCCGCCTCATCATCCTCTTGTGCTTCATCCTGCGCTTCAGCATCTGACCCCTGCGACATCTTGGCTATGTTCATAGTTTGGTGAACGAGGTTGAGTACATCCTTCTGGGTTTTCTTATCGTCCGAAAGCATGAGTAATCTGCCCATCGCACAGACAAGAGCCTCATCGATGTGTAGATAACCCCTCCTCCACCGTGAAGTGATGTCAAGCCACAGTTTCCGGGCATCCTCGATGACCTGGTCAAAAATTGGTTGCGGGTTGAAGCCCGGACCTTCTCTGGCTCCTTGCTCTATAGCCCGCTTTTGAGCCTCGCCGTTCAGACCCTGTAGGATGGTGGTGAAAGTGATATGGTTCGGAGCGCCAGGGCCGCGCTCTGAAAGTCTCCCAGCGATCTTCCACATCGCGTCGACATCGTGTGCTCGGGCGCATACACTAAGAACCGCATTGGTGTGAATCGTGGTCGGAGTGACGGTGGAGTTGGCAGCGGAGATGGAGTCGTAAACGCTCATCGCTTGTTGAACAGCATTGGGTTTCTTGACGTTGTGACGATACCCTCTCAACATGATGGTGTACGTGTGTGCGTCCGGTTTGTGGCCGCGTTTTTTCATCTCATTGTAGATCTTCCATGCCTCACCAGGAGAGTCCTGGCTCATCAGCCAGTCGATGATGTGATTCCAACTGACGATATTCTCTACACCTTTGCCATCGAGACTCTTCTCACTTGCACGGACCAGTTCTAACGCCTCGTCCAGCTGGTGGTCCCTCAGCTTTTCTAGAATACCCTGAGCCAACTTCAGTGGGTCCACCAAGTATTTGGACTCCTGTCTCATAGCTCTCTTCATGTACTTCTCCCGGGCATCGGGCTCGAGACGCTTCAGCCGGTTGTTTTCCACGGCCTCCACCTGTCTGACATTGAACCTTGACCGCGGGTTCGACGGTTTGGACTTGGGTATCGAGACTTTCCTCCTCTTGTCCTTGAGAGCCCCGAATACCGAGTGGCGATGATGGCCCTTTCTGAGGGATTCGAGAGTGACATGGCTGCGACAGAAACTGATTGTAGGATTGAGCGCGCGATCGAGGGGCTGATGTGTGAACCGAGGGGATTTTAAGGACGGTCTACCAAGGGAGAATAACGCCCGATGCAGACAGGCATCGCAGGTAAACATGAGAAGACTGAGGGTAAAAGCTCGACATGAAATCCAAGTAAGAGGACAAACTCCAGCGCGACTGTTCAGAGCACCAAAGTCACAAGTCGCAGTCAATAATTTTTTGTTCGAGGCAAGTAGACCGAGAACCATACCATACGTTATTTATTTTCTAGCAACGGTAACTGCGTCAGACTTCGGTATCGGCATTACAGAAGTACCGGTACTTCGGATAGTCCATGTGTGACTCGAAGGCGCTTCACTACGCCATGCATGGCGGCAATATGGTCGAGGCGGATATCAGAGTCGTTCGCTGATTCCACCCGGACCGGTTGCGATGAGAATAAAAAATGCCATCGATGTGTTTCTTAGTCTTACGCAGTGTGCAGAACTCAGCATTCAGCGTACGGCAATCGATCTGTTCGGAGGCCTGCCGGTAAGGTCTCCATCTTGTCCCTGGTACCTTTACAGGACATCTAGAGGGTGTCAAGCTCTAGATTTTTCTAAGCTGTAGCCTCATATAGTACTCGGTGCCGTCCCGTCGCTCAGCTAACCTAGAGCAAGCCACACCGCCACCCAGCGATTTGGACTCTGCAGTAGTCCATGTGGTGTACACGCGTGAAGATCTGCTCAAGCGCAGTATTTTGGTATCCCTGTCGTACCCTGTCTTGCGCCACTCATGCAGGCTGTTCTCCTCTGGACTGGGGTATATGTACATAAGGGCTTTCCCAGCCGTGTCTTGTAAACTCCGTTGACGGGTTATATCTCCGGGTATGCTGGGCTGGAAGGGAGTTTCTTAAAAACCGGCGGCCTTAAGGAGGCACAAGAACTTCCTGGTACTCATACCGATCAGGCTGTGCCTCCTTAGCTTCAGGAAAGGTCGTGTCTTCGCGAATGTGTGGTATTCCGGCGCTTCCAGGTAGCAGACATTGATTGCGTGTAAAGAACTTACCTTAGAAGACCATAGTCGCGACACCGCTCACTATTCACTGACGCTCATGTACTCATGGTAACTCGAGTTCGACTGCTGTAGCACGAAGGAGGATACAGCCATGCAATATCTGAGGTTGCTTCGGTGGGAGGAACAGCGAGTGGTGACTAGGATACTGGTCCAGCCAGGTACGAGGGTCGACGGAATGACATGCCTCCCGCAAGAGTTCGGTTGGCTAACATGGTTCGTGCTCGTGTCGATGCTAAAATCTAGTGTTGGGTCATGGCCTCGAACTTAGTGGTGACGGACCGCGGTCGCAAACCAGATTGTCGGGCCACGAGAGGACGAGGTGTGTTACACCAGACGATTGTGCTTTGATAGGACGACGCAGTCTTCTGGCATCTGTCACCTCCTTGCGGGCACTAGGGAACTAAGCAGTAGCGTGAGCGCTACCCGTGAAATAGCTAGCCTCTCCAGTTAACAACATTAGGCGTGTTAGGCCTAGAGCCCGCCTGCTGGGCTGACAAGTTAGGCTCCGGGGCGCCTAGCTTTGACGCCGTCACGGGCAGTCACTGAGTCCATGGGGACAGCCTCTAGTGGTTGCGCAACACCCAGCGCCGGCGAATTTCGTGCAGCTGTCGGCCTCAAGCTATCCTCTTTTTCCCACCCCTCGCTACGTCGGCCACCATGTTAGTCCCCTTCGCAGGCGTTGCTGTTAGTTAGTCTTGTGTAACCCCAAACCCTTGTGTTCGAGCAAGCCCACAATAAAGTAGCGCTGGTCACGAATGTGCGCCAAACCACGATCCGAATCCTTGCTCAACTTAAATTCTACGACAAGCGTCTCTCTCTTCACAGCAACACTTGAAGTCATCAGGAGAGTGGCTGGCCATCACCAAAATATCCCTTTGCGAGACTTGAGAGTGTGCTTTGGTACGAGTGAAAGAACGTCTGGCGGATGTGAGGGAGGCGAAAAATAGCACTTGTTCTTGGCGCAAGATCAGTGCCAGAATATGTTCGATCTGAGTGCGTCTACCAAATATGGTTGGTAAGACCGGGTTTCTCATCTAAAAAAGCATTCTCTCCCACGCGCACCAACACATCAGGCCATACAATGTACAGTGGCGGACCGAGAGGCCCAGATTCCCTGTCACAATAGCAGGTAACCGGACGTTGTCGCTGCTGCGATTGCCTCTGTCGCAAATCCAGTCGACGTAACCTTTTGTTTCTTCACTTCCGAGCTCTAAAAGTCTGGGGTATCCGTCCAGAAGCACGCGGCTTCCGTAAACGCTCCGCTTCCCCTGAAGAAATGCATTCGATCGCCTGGTCGTCGTAACATTCGTCGCCTCGAAATCTTCTGTTGCTGTGCCATTGATGAAGGAGACCGTCAACCGAAAGAAACACGCCCCAAACAGTCAAAGAAATTCATGTGCACGGCCACCACCAGCCACCATGACAGAGAAACTCCTGCAGACATGCCCTTCGACCTCGATTCTCTGGCATGTCCGATTACCTCCTCCACTCCCACCTTGGGTATCTTGGTAACAATGAGGTGCTGCTGCAACGCAGAAAAGCATCCAACTCAGGCGCAAGTACTCTCGCGCCACTCAGCGGCCCACGCAGGCAATAACCAAACCACTCCGAGCACAGAATGCACCATCCATCAATCGCCAAGTGGTATGCGTCTCGATGCGGTCTAGTACTGACGTTGTTGATAGACTTGGCCTTGTTGGCCGTATGGGGAGTTCGGGTAATTTGGATAGCTGCCCATCTGACCATTCCCCTGTGGATACACCATGCCGCCCTGTGGTTGCGCGTATTGGCCCTGAGCATGGTTGTCCGGGGTTTGATATCCAATGGGTGGGAGAGATGGGCGAGCTCCATTCTGTTGGTAGGCTTGTCCTGGAACCTGATGTGCATCTGCTGGAGGGCCGTCGACCTGGCTAGCTTGCGCCGCAGCTCTGTGACGCTCTTCCTCTGCCTTGCGTGCGTTCTCTTCCTCCTTCTTGCGAGCTTTCCATTCTTTACGAATTTCCTTGAACTCTGTCGACACGTCAGCAAACATTCTCGCACTCTGAGTGGAGACCAAGAAGGGAGCTGATGGACGGGGTCTAGGCTGTGGCGCCTGGGCGGACATGCAACAAGAGGGCTGCACACACAGCGCCCAGGATTGCGTCCACCGCTCGCGATTACAAAGGAAGGGGTTTTGTAGGCTCGCGATGGATTTCTTTACCTTCGGGGGTTCGTTTTGTGCCATGCGACTGCATAGTCACATGCGCATTCAAATGGTTCAATGTCCCGTACGCTTTTTCACACCCGTTCCAACCGCACTTGTACATTCTCTCAATCTCTTCATATCTCCGTCGGGGTCGCTTGTGCTGCTGCGCACCCGGGATGGGCACGAATGAATACACCTACAAGTTGAGAGAAGGTTAGGTCATGCACAGATTTCCGAGGTAGATCTCGTTTGAAGCACTGCTAACATACCTGACCTGATCGCGACGCCGCTGAAGTCTGAGGCGGACCTTGAACGCCTGGCCCTGGGTGGGGGTATGGGCCGGGCATACCATGTTGTGGTGGATAACCTCCCCATTGCTCGTGTGGCGGTCGCTGCTGCATGTAAGGCGGATGCTGGGGCTGGTAGGCATGTTGCATGTCCTGGCCCTGAGGGTAGGGTGAGTAGGGAGGGTAGGTCGGGCTGGCTTGCGAAATCGAGGGATCTATAGGAACATCCGAGTTAGATCTCACATGGTGGGAGCTTGTGGTTGGATTGCCATTGGGCGCTCCTTCTGGCAGGGATTTTGACGGACTTGTTGGCTGTGCCATGGCTCCAACAGCACCTGGATGGTGTTGCGGCTGGGGAAACTGGCTGTAGCGAAGATGCTCTGGTGGGAAGCCCGACGAACGCGCCGACGAAGGGGGCAGACCGTAGTCAGACTGCGGTGTGTTGTTGCTTGAGATCGGTGCAGACCGCGGGTCTTGCGTGGCGTAGGTCGCGACAGACGACTGATCTATGTGACACGACTTTTCTCAGAGTTTGCTCGTGAAGACGGTTTGTCTCGTGGTGTTGCTAACCTGACTGCGCGTACTCTGATCCACCTCTGTCCATCAAAAGTGCTCTTCACTGCCTAAGTGAAGAACAGTGACGCGATTGGTGAGGCAGTGGCAGTGGCAAGCGGAAGGTCACTCAAGGCGCACTGGCGTACAGTGCCTGACCCGAGAGAAAGGTAGTGGATGGGAGCGGTCGCTCCAAGTAAAAATCGTCCAGGCCACACACTGGACGGGCAGACCACGATTCGACTGAAGCAATCCCTAGACAAGACCGGCGCGAATCTTTATTTTGAGGGCTGTCTAGACGAGAGCCCCCCAAGACCGTGGCGGACTCGAAGGACGCCGCCGTTGTGGAGAGCAGATTGGACTGAGATGGGGTTGGGTCGGGAGCGGCAAGCGCTATTTTGCACGAGGAACGGACACCAAATCGGTCCTGGCGTGCGAAGCACTCGAGCAGAAAAGGATAGGTGATCTTTGACCAGGGGCAGCGCAGTGTACCGTCGAACCGAGGGCGAGAATGGGTCGAAAATGGGAGGTTTGACACGTTCCTCGCTGCGCTAGTTGCAAGCTTGCACTGATTCAAGAGGAGCCGTTACTTCTCTCGAGATGGTGCGGGCCCGAAGACTAATAAAGAATAGAGATAAATGGGTAACCGGGGGGAGCCAACCTCGTCCAAAGTCGGAGGAGTCTGATAGGTCTGCCTTTGGCCCCGAGATCCTCCCTGTCTATGTAGCAGTTGAATGGTGGGTTTCTCGCCTTTGAAGTCTGCTGCGTGCGCCTGCCAACCACAGCAGGTGTTTGCTGCCAGGTGATGTGACAGGGTTGCTTTTCTCTCTTTTGAGATTCTTGCGCCGGAAGATGGGCTCAAGTGGGATCCTCGCCCATTTGGTGCTCGATCAGAGATGCAAATGGGTGACCGCCTTCAGGTGTGGGACCCAGATGCACAATCTTCACTATGTCTCCTGCCAATAGCAGTGTGTTTGGCAATGGAGAAGGGCGTCTCCCGGGGCGAGGTGTTGTGTCTTGACCTGTTCGCCTTTGA